AGACAATTTCAGAAAGGCCTGGGATTCAAAGGTCTTACCTGTCAATCACAAAACGAACAAGGGCTTTGGCGAACCGTGGCATGCCTGCCTCAGTTGCCTTATCTGCACAATGGGAACAACCGCAAGGTGAAGGTTCTAAGCTGTTTAATAAAAATAAAATAAACGAAACACAACAATAATCATTTACAACCATGCTGAAATTGAAATCACTGATTCCAGCCAATATTTCAGTATGCTCATTTGGGGACTTGGCTTCTAAATTGCACAGCAAAGGCATTTCATAAATCTAATCTCAGCTGAAAAGGAGCCAGAGATAAAACTGAGTCGCAGTTTATTCTCATTACTTGTTTTGAAAGTCAAAGTTCAAGCCCTGAAACATGTGAAGGTCCTACATAATCCCCCCTCCTCTCTCTCTCTCTGTAGTGGACTTTCTCCTCAATGCAGACAAACAACAACCAGCCCATTTCACAGCAGAGTCCTCTGCCAGGTTTTGAGTCCTGCAAGCTTTCTTTACAGTAAGTATTGCTGCTTGGCAGCTGACCTCTGGCAAAGCTTATCTTGCCAAGGTTATTTCAGGGGCAGATAACGATGCAACACTTTGCTTAAGAACAAAAAAAATGCTGGTGCTTCAGATTACATTGACCAGGACAGCACAAAACTAGATTAATGAATAAAATTCCGCTGGTCAGCCATGATCAGTCTGCCCTGGAGCCACTGCCAATGCACTTTGCATTCTTTTTGCAGGAAAAGATCTTCTGCTCAGAGTTGTTGGAGAAGGCACGCTTTTCTTATCAGAATTAGTAGGGTGGTATTTGGACAAACAATTTAACTTTCCCAGGAATAACAATTGCCACTGTTGCATCTGATTTCCTTCACCTTGCCTTTTCCACGATCCTTCCCCTTATTCCCATTAGATAACAGCCATTCAAAGGTCGTGGCCCACCCCATACTTATCATTTCAGGCATCCCATAATGATGGTTGCGATCTGATCAATAACATCGGCATACCCTCCAACGCTTCCCTGATTAAAACAGGGACATCCCATTCCATAAAGAAGAAGAATAATGATAATTTTACTCTTTATACCCCACACATCTTACTGTGTTGCCCCAGGCACTGGGCAGCTTCCAACATATATAATATGAAAATAAAACATTTAACATTAAAAAAAAACTTCCCTGTACAGGATTGCTTTCAGACGGCTAGGACATACCCTCCAACATTTCTCCAATGAAAATAGGGACGTGCTTCATGGGAGAAAAGCAATGACAAACCTAGACAGCATCTTAAAAAGTAGAGACATCACCTTGTCAACAAAGGTCCGTATAGTTAAAGCTATGGTTTTCCCAGTAGTGATGTATGGAAGTGAGAGCTGGACCATAAAGAAGGCTGATCACCTAAGAATTGATGCTTTTGAATTATGGTGCTGGAGGAGACTCTTGAGAGTCCCATGGACTGCAAGAAGATCAAACCTATCCATTCTTAAGGAAATCAGCCCTGAGTGCTCACTGGAAGGACAGATCCTGAAGCTGAGGCTCCAGTACTTTGGCCACCTCATGAGAAGAGAAGACTCCCAGGAAAAGACCCTAATGTTGGGAAAGATGGAGGGCACAAGGAGAAGGGGATGACAGAGGACGAGATGGTTGGATAGTGTTCTCGAAGCTACCAGCATGAGTTGGACCAAACTGCGGGAGGCAGTGGAAGACAAGAGTGCCTGGCGTGCTCTGGTCCAGGGGTTCACAAAGAGTCGGACACGACTAAACAACGACGAAGGAAAAGCGGGGCATTCTGGGATCAAATCAGAAACCGGGACGGCTTCTCTAAATCAGGGACGTCCCTGGAAAATAGGGACCTCCTGCTGCTGTAACTGTTTGATTTTAGGTTTTGCTGCTGGATTTCCAATTCATTGGTTTTTCATAAATTTAATTTGTGTGCTGGGTGGTGGTGGTGGCAGAAGTTGCAAGAGAGGCCTAATTCTGTTTAAGTCGGAAAAAGGCAAACATCTTTGCTCCCTCCTCTCAGCAAAAAAACAGTCCGATGTTCTACATTCCTGAGTCATCCTTTGGGACCTTTTTGGTTTCCCCTCCTATCACCACCCAGCCTTGCAGAGGGGACTGTGGATAGTAAATTGCTAGGAATTGTGAGTGCACCATCTCTTTAAGGGGATCCTCCTAAGTGCACATTTGTTAAATGCTTGCAAAACTATTTATTGAAATTACAGCCTACTGTTTTTCTCCAAAGAGCCTCAGGTAGCGTACGTGATTCTTCTCTCTTCTCATTTAATCCCCGCACAGCAACTCTGCAAAGTAAGTTAGGCTGTGTTATAAGAATTTTAAGGTCATTTATGTATATGATAAATGTTCATATATAAACTACATGTCTGAAACACCACAGAAAAAGTCCTGAAACCATTTTGTCCCTCCCAAATTGACCTCAAATATTTCTCTGCAAGATTGAAGGAAAATGGAAAAGCCTCCCCATTGTCGTTCACAAATCCTGTCTTAAGGGTATGTCTGTGTATGAATAGGGTGAGCCTATGAGCTGGCTCAGGAACTAAGTATTTATCATTACAAAAAACTGGCCAGGCTCCCAATCAAGTGACCATTAACAGGTAACCTGCAAGACAGGAGATAACAACGCACTCAGATTTCTGTTGTAGATCGCCTTTTCTATGATGTATGTATGATGCTTCTGGGGGTGGTCTTGGACTCCAGGGCGGGTAATTTAAAATGTCTATATAAGGGCGGGCACACCTTTGTTCTGGGTCTTCCTCCATCCTCCTGCGTGTGAGGGGAGCACCCTGTTGCAACAGCTTTAATACAGATCAGGCTTTCTAGTTGCTTTGCTTCTCAATATTCTCTGGTTGGCCTCTGTTATTTTCTCCTACCGATAGGGATCCCACTTAAGAACTCTATACGGGCTCTTGGATACCCCGTAAGGGAAGAAGCGCAGATTTTGTTTACAACAGCATGCAGTGAGGGGCCCGAGGAAGGAAAAATTAGATATAAAAAGAGCACCAATTAGGACGAGTGAAAATGGTAAATAAGTCCTTTCTCGTCCTTCCTGGTGACAACCCTATGATCCTACCCCGGCTAGAAACACGTGGAGTACGCCTGTTTTCAGAGAAACGTAGAATTGTAGAGTTGGGACCCCAAGGGTCATCTAGTCCAACCCCGCACAATGCAATGTTTTAGGGAGTCTCACCTCTATCCTCCTTTCCCTAGCCAGGTGGTTGGGTACCACTGAGAGGTTGCATCCCCTGCCTCCCAGGAAGAGCTTAATGGTGATGGGGAGACCAACCTGGCCCATCCATCGGCCAGTGTAGATGCAGCTGCTGCAGTACTTTTCTTCCCTCCGTGTTCCATTTTCCTTTTGTATCACAACTGTTTTTGTATTTATGAAAAATACAGAAGCTTTTCTACTAGGGATAATGGACACAGGTATAGCAAGAGAAGATCAGAAAATATTCCTCTATGCCGCAGGAGCAGCAAGGATCCTAATTGCTAAAAACTGGAAAAAAGAAATTGTGCCAATAAAAAAGGAATGGCAAGACAAACTGTTAGAGTACCGTATATTGAACTGGTTAGATTAACAGAGGCAATTAGAGATCACACTGGACAAGAGTTTCAAAAAGCATGGGGAAAATGTAGAGAATACTTCACAAAATAGTGCCCTAAAATACATACCTGGACTTGTTTTGATTAATGTCTGCAGGAGACTTTGTGGATATTTAAGTTATAATTAGAAAAATCTTAATAATTATTCATAAAGGAAATAGCTTATAAGAAGCAAATAAGGAGGCCAGATACAGGATAACGGAAATCTTTTATTTGGTTGTTTGTATTGTTGTATGTTATGTTTATTGTATTTTATTGTATGTTTATTGTATTATCGAGAGCCAGTGTGGTGTAGTGGTTAAGAGCGGTAGTCTCGTAATCTGGGGAACCGGGTTCGCGTCTCCGCTCCTCCACATGCAGCTGCTGGGTGACCTTAGGCCAGTCACACTTCTTTGAAGTCTCTCAGCCCCACTCACCTCACAGAGTGTTTGTTGTGGGGGAGGAAGGGAAAGGAGAATGTGAGCCGCTTTGAGACTCCTTAAAGGGAGTGAAAGGCGGGATATCAAATCCAAACTCTTCTATTTCTGTACTGGGGAGTGGGGGGTTTATGTTATGTAGTAAATAAAATTTCCAATAAGAAACAACAACAACTGTTTGTTGTATTGTGAGCCTGCAGGCGAGGGATGGGTTTATCTTTTCATATATGCACGGTGCTTAGAAAAATTTAGGTACGGTATAAGGATCTGACAGCAACCCCTATGTGTCCTGAGGCCTTCTTTCCTTTTAAACTTGGAAAAAATGTTTAAGTGTCTCTCTGGCTGGCTCCACAATGGAAGAGCAACCTTTGCCCGCCTTAGGGAAACAGCAAACGCCTTGTCCGGAGGGAGTAAGAAGGGAGTTGATAGCGTGACCCTGGAAGAAGACTTCTTCCCTGCCAGGGACAGAACGTTTTCCTTGAGGCAGCAAAGATAACCGAATACCCTCCCCGGCAGATGGAGAAATCAAGGACAGGAGCAAGAGGCATTTCTGAACATTTACAAGGTTTTGATACGTAAGTGGACTTTAGGGAAATGGTCTCTGGACCTGGAAGAAAAAATGATTTGGGAATTGGGTTAACAATCCCAGAAGGGATTGTGCTATTGTCACAACTGTTGCCTGACTAAATAAATCTCATTCCACCGTGTGGGTTTTCGTTGATCAACGGATTAAATGTACATGTGAAAAAATACTAGCCCTGAAGAATAAAAGAGATAACTTGCTTTGATTGCAGATCAAAGAGTGTATCTTCTGATCCTTTCACTCTTGCACAGAAAAGATTATCTTCTAATCCTTTCACTCTCACACAAAAAGAGATGCCTGTTTTAAGTAAAACCACAGTGCATCCGACTTCACAGAGCCCAGTCCTCTGTTTGAAGGGCTGTGTACTCCAAGTCTGGTTTAAAAATAAGGAACCCTAAGGCCACTCAGTATGCTTCATGGCTGAGGAGGGATTTGAATCCTGCTCTTCCAGGTCCTGGGTTCAAATCCCTCCTCAGCCATGAAGCGTACTGAGTGGCCTTAGGGTTCCTTATTCTTCCAGGTCCTGGACGCGGGTGGCGCTGTGGGTTAAACCACAGAGCCTAGGACTTGCTGATCAGAAGGTCGGCGGTTCGAATCCCTGCGATGGGGTGAGCTCCTGTTGCTCGGTCCCTGCTCCTGCCAACCTAGCAGTTCGAAAGCACGTCAAAGTGCAAGTAGATAAATAGGTACCAGTCCGGCAGGAAGGTAAACTGCGTTTCTGTGCACTGCTCTGGTTTGCCAGAAGCGGCTTAGTCATGCTGGCCACATGACCTGGAAGCTGTACGCCGGCTCCCTCGGCTAATAAAGCGAGATGAGCGTTGCAACCCCAGAGTCGGTCACGACTGGACCTAATGGTCAGGGGTCCCTTTACCTTTACCTTCCAGGCCCTGGTCCGACACTCCAACCACTGGCTGTCTGCATGACTAGGCTGGACGGACAACCATCAGGCATGGCTATGCAGGGATGCTAGCTCATGGGCTTGGGAGCAGCCAGCATGCTTAGTAGGAAGGTTTTTTTCCCCTTTTTCCTTTTGGAGAGGGGACACCCCCTCAGCATCTGCCGCCAGAAGCAGCCGCCTCACATTGCTTAACAGTAGGGCCGGTCCTGCAAGGATGGAATAGAGCAGAGTGCTCCTCCTCAACCCTCTCTCTCAGGAACACACGCTGATAATGCAAGGATAATGCAAAGGACTCCAGTCGGCTCTGTAAAAAAACAACAACACTTGCGCTCCATTCCTTCTTATGGTTCCCTCTTCTCAATTGTAGATTTTGATTTGCGTGGTTCCTGGAGCACCTCCTGGCGGCAATGTATCAGTACTGCAGTTGCATCTGAGAATGCTTCATAATTTAATGTTTTCAGGAGTCTCTCTTCCTCCCCAGTCTCTGTAACTGGGCAGAGGGGAGAAGCCAGCTTTTTATTTTTTAAAGCAAAAGCAGCGGTCCTCAAGATCCTAATGAGTATCTTGGCTGCAGAGCTATGTGTATAGATAAATAAAATAAAATAAAATAAAATTTTCCTTCCAGTAGTACCTTAGAGACCGACTAAGGTGCTACTGGAAGGAATTATTTTATTTTATTATTTTCTTTCGATTACGGCAGACCAACACGGCTACCTACCTGTAACTATGTTTGAATGCGTGACAACCGAATTATTTTACACTTTTCAATACTTAATGCACGTAAAGTGTGAACACTTAAAAAGCGATGCGGGGGGGCGGGGAGCTTAAGTAATGTAATTCTAAATATTTAGGCTCGGAAGTCCAGAACTTGCTCTGTGACGTGCCTATTAAGACAAATCTGGCATTCAATGTGGAAGCAGCAGCCTGCCTCAAGGGGAGGGAGTTTAAATATCTAAATTTGTGAATGAAATGGGTTTTATGCCTGCCAGGAAACCACATCCTCTGTCCCGGAAACATTTCCCCTTCTTCTCAGGTCTGCGCAGAAAACAGCCATGATTTTGACTCCCAAGTGGAAGGAAAGGCACTCTGCATAATCTCAGAGACACCCTTATTGTCGCTGCTCCTGTTCTAGGCACTGTCATGTCAATCACAGCTAGGAGTTGAGCCCTGTTTCAAATTACAGCGCAGAGTGAGGGCTAGACTGTGCCTTGTCTAACGGACGAGTCATCCTCTACAAAAAAAATTTCCGCCACTATCCCTCATGAAAGGGGACGGTTTCTGGCAAAGAATTTCTGGGCATGGCGGCATGGAGCAAAGTGTTGTCTGTTTCTCCTTTCGGTGGGTCATGACTAAACCCATTTCCTCCCCTCAGATATTGTAAACAGATTAACAGTCCTCCTCAGTTCCATCACTGCAACCCTCAAAGGCTGGAAACTGGGTTCAAAAAATGCCTTCTGGCCCCTCTTCCTTTTTCTCTCACATGCAGGGCACTGTTACCTTGTGAGAAAAGGCAATGCCCTCTAATTTAGTTACCTGTACCCAGGTTAGAAAGGGACGCGGGTGGCGCTGTGGGTTAAACCACAGAGCCTAGGACTTGCCGATCAGAAGGTCGGCGGTTCGAATCCCTGCGACGGGGTGAGCTCCCGTTGCTCGGTCCCTGCTCCTGCCAACCTAGCAGTTCAAAAGCACGTCAAAGTGCAAGTAGATAAATAGGTACCGCTCTGACAGGAAGGTAAACGGCGTTTCCGTACGCTGCTCTGGTTCGCCAGAAGCGGCTTAGTCATGCTGGCCACATGACCCGGAAGCTGTACGCCGGCTCCCTCGGCCAATAAAGCGAGATGAGCGCCGCAACCCCAGAATCGGTCACGACTGGACCTAATGGTCCCTTTACCTTTACCCAGGTTAGAGAAGCCATAGGCCTTGATGTTGAACTCCAACTCCCATCAGCCGCAGGCAGCATGGCTCACAGTGAGGCATGATGGGAGTTGGGGTCCAATATCACCTGGCAGTTCGACAGGTCCCCTGCCCTGTACTGGGACGGCCATTTTGCTTAGAGGAGTTGATTTTCTACCGGGTGTTGCTGGAGCAGGAAAGTTTACCCAGACTAAAATCCTTCCTTTAATGCAAAAGGGCAGGAGAGTCCCTTCTCTCTTACAGACACACATCTGGTAACCCAATAGCTATGGAGGCTGCCAAACAGACACTCCCAGCGCAAGGCAAAGCAAGATCTTGCTCCGATTCGCCAATAACCTGAGGTCAACAAAACAAGCTGTGAAAATACGAAATTGCAGCAAAGGAGCGTAACCCCTTGTGTCAATAGCCTGGGGTTATCTGGGGCCATTTGGAAAAGAAGAGAGGACCCTTCTCAGATGGGCTAAACGTTGCGGGTTTCTTTTGCTCAACATCTTTCCAAGGGCCTCGGGCACAAAATGGAAAATGCTACTTCCAACGCAGGCTTTGTGTGTGCATGTACAGTTGTTGACATCTGGTTCCAGATGTTTTCTTCTGCGGCAGCTACATGGAACAGAGCTCCCTCCCAAAAGGCCACACCCTGGCATGTTTTGTGGGACAGCCCAGGGGAATTGGGAGACACCCTGCAAATATTTACCATGTGAGAAAAGCTTATCAGCCCCTCCTCACAAAATATGGGGAGCCTATCTAACCACACCCCAAGCCACCACTTCTTCTGCATTTTGGAATAGTGACTGGATGTTGTGTTTGCTTATTCCTTAAATATTTTTTGAAATTCCGCTGCTTGACCCAACACCCCACCCCCCCGCTTCCATTTCCCATTTATCAAAAACAGTTTTGCCCCTTCGAGAGTTCAGGAATGTAGGAAGCACTGCCTTATAATACCGGGTTAGACTGTCAGTTATTGAGGCTCAAGATCATCTCTTCTGATGCTATCAGTGGTTTTTGAGGGGTCTTTCCTGTCACCTGGTCCTTTTAACCTGGAATGGCCAGAATCTGAACACCTGAATCTGGGATGTTCTCCATATAAAGCAAGAACAGGGAACTGTTGCTGTGGTCTTCCAGTTGCACAACCTTTGCAACCCACCCTGTGTGTCTCTTGATGAAGAGCATATAAATCTTAATACACAATATCTTGACCACCAGCCATGCGGACAGGGGCTGATGTGAACTGGACTTCAATCACATCTGAAGGCTGCAGATGGTTCATCCCAGCTCTAAGGATGCTTTTAAAATTTTATTTTAAAGGTATAAGTTGCTACCCTTCAACCTCCAGAATCCTCCCCACTGCCTGCAAGGTCTGTAGAAATCAAATCTTAAACCAGTTCATGGTGGTGGCAGCTCCATCTTGCCTGCAGAAGTGTTAACAATTCATTGCACCCGGCTGAAAAGATCTCCTGCAGCGCTCTTCACTCTCTGCAGCTGGTCAGCTTGAACTGTCACCAACATTACACAGCAATTCTTATTTCTTAAAGACCAATACAGCCCTGTACATTTTGTACCCGTGCTGGATGGGTTATTGGACAGCAAATTAACGCAGTGTAGAAATGGTCTCTAAAAACGCTATTAAAAAATATTCCTTCCAGTAGCACCTTAGAGAGCAACTAAGTTTGCTATTGGTATGAGCTTTCGTGTGCATGCACTTCTAAAAGTGCTGTTATTTCCCAGTAACCAGAGGTGTGTGAGCAGAGACGGCCATTGCCCAGCACAGAAACTGGTACTAGATACAAAACTCAGCATGGTGAGGCTCCTTGCTATACCCTTAAAACAAGTTTCTAGTCCTTAAGCCTGCAAAGGCTCAGCAGCAACTGGCCAGCACTTGACCAGTCTGAGAAACTGTATGGGTACAGCAGTGCAGCCAGAGCAGGATTTCCCAATGGTTAAAGCAGCAAAGTATTAATGCTCTGCCTCTTTCTCTGTGTCCCCTACAAGTTTATACTTCAGCCAGATTATTATTATTCCCAATAAAAACGGCAGCATGTTGGAATTGAAACCAGCTAGAAGCTGGTTAAAGCTAAACTGTGGTTAGCACACAGGAGAAAGTGCTCCTTCAGAGAGAAAGGGAAGGAATTCACACGGAGGGGCCCTGTGGGAAATTGGTCCTGCGTCCCCGTTCTTCCACCTTCCTTGTGTTCTTTGCAACAAGGGTGCCCTTAATGCCCTTAATCCAAGATAAACCGTTAGGATGCCACAAAGCGACAGTCCAGACTCAACACATGCAACTGCGAGACATTCCTGGAACGAGCATTCCTGAGGCATGACTGCCTGCAAGTTTAGCCAAAAAGAATTTCCTGCCCTTTATAACGTAAGGAGAAAGGTTGCTCCCGGGGATGAGGCAGATATTTTAAGAGAGGATGGGCCTGGCAAGAGGCACCAGAGGCTGCCACTCGCTCCCTTCCCATCTCCAAATAATCTATAGCCAGGGCTCAGCAAAAGCCACTTCTTTGCAGGCCGGCTGCGCTAATGTAAAATTTGGAGCTGCGCACAGAATTCAGGATAGTGGCGTTGCAGTTCCATTCAGTTCCAGAGTTGTAAGAACACTTCGCGCCAGCAGAGGCTGATCAGCTGTTTCAGTGGGATTAAGCTACCACATTCCTTCACTTTGGGAGGGAGGGAGGGAGGGAGGGAGGGAGGGAGGGAGGAAGGAAGGAAGGAAGGAAAGCAGCAGCTAGCTGATTTCCTTCTTAAGGAAATCAGCCCTGGAAGGACAGATCCTGAAGCTGAGGCTCCAATACTTTGGCCACCTCATGAGAAGACTCCCTGGAAAAGACCCTGATGCTGGGAAAGATGGAGGGCACAAGGAGAAGGGGACGACAGAGGACGAGATGGTTGGATAGTGTTCTTGAAGCTACAAACATGAGTCTGACCAAACTGCGGGAGGCAGTGGAAGACAGGAGTGCCTGGCGTGCTCTGGTCCAGGGGGTCACGAAAAGTCGGACACGACTAAACGACTAAACAACAACAACAAAGCAGATTTCCTGGCACTGACCTGCAGAAAAGGTCTATGAGCAAGAACAGCCCATCACCATAAGGCTGAGATCATCACAAAGCAGGGAGGCAAAGCTGTGTGTCTATGGAGCCTCCCCCAGGAAAAGTCCACCCAACTTGACCCAAATTTTTGGAGGCAGCAGTGCCGATGCTGTGGGGAGGGAAGCTTTGCTGACCCAAGCAGGAACAGAGCACCCCCACACTGTGGTTTAGCCGTTGTAAATCCGAGACGAGAGCAGCCTAAAAAGAAAAATTGTGCATACGTCTCTGTGACCTTATTTTAAGTGGGGGGAAAGACAAGACACGGGGGGGGGGGGAGAGAGAGACAACTCAAATAAGCAAAGGGTTGATGCACCTTACCTTAAAATGCATGGGGGGAAAATTGAGGGGAATTTTAAATCTGTGCAATAAGCTAAACCATGGTTAATGCTAAACCTAATAAACATTAGTGAAAGCAGAAGTGTCTGGCAGATGATCACTCAAAACTTGGTTTACTACAGCACAGTACAGTTAAAAACAACAGTGAGATCAGCCATTCCTTGAGAGCAGTTTGAATTTTTTGTTGCTCTTCACTCCCAGGTCTGGCTTGTGGATGTCGATGGCTTCTTAACCATAGTTCAGGGAGGAGGCCTGGGCTTAGAAGTAATGCTAAGCTTTGGTTAGTGACAACTAAGGTTTGCAAACTATGAACCATGGTTAACAAATGGCCTTTAGCTGTAGTTATCAAGCCAGACTTAAGCAGGCGGGCTGGATTTATATGTAATGCTAAACCATGGTTTGGCATTATGTGAAAATCAGTGTGGGTGGGGGGGCAGTTAAGAGAGACATCACAGAAATTTACAGCAGGTAATCTCCAATCCCCCCCCCATAATACTAAAGCCACTGAAGATCCCAAAGGAAAGGAAGTAATTCACACATAATTAACACTGTGTTAGATACCTGAATCTTGCTGTTAAATGAAAGCTGGATTTTACACCCAGTGACACATGCACAGTCCTGGAGGAAATTTCTTAGCCTAAAGCCTTGTGAGAAGAAACAGGAGGAGGGAGAAGCAGAGGGATTGTTTTGGTGTATTATTCTTATTAACTTAAAACACCCAAATGAATTTATTAAATCCAGAGTCTGTTATTAGGATGTAATGATGAGAAACGGTGTTTTGCTATCTTTTGTTCTGATCATCAGCTCTCTTTATGAAACGGAGACACAACTTGGAGGAAAACTCCTTAATAACAATGTCCTAAATACCCGCACAATGGAATGGAGGTCACAATGATTACTGGTTTGAGTTTTGCTTTTAAACATAGAGATTTACGGAGGGGCGGGGGGAAGTGGGTGGGTGAGGTGAGGTTTCTCTCTCATGGATACAGCTTATCACATCGAACTCCACCAACATTTCAAGCGGTCTTCCTCCCACGCCACCCCGCCCCCTCCCAAAAACCCGCCCCAGCCGCCGCCGCGTGTTTACTGGAATAGAAAATAAAACGCTTTGGACCCTGGAGGGCCGAAGCAACTCTGCTTGCCTCCCCCACCCATTTTGCTTTCTGTCCATTATCCAACAGTGAGAGTGTCAGGTTAGGGATCTTAAAAAATAAACGCGGGAGCAGGTTAATCTTTCTTCTTCTCCTCCGCCGTTTTCGAAGGGAGTGCTTCGGCCGCGCCGTCTGGCAAGCGCGCCGAGGTGGCTGCGGGAATGTCGGCGGCTCCTCTCTCCGTCGCTGCTGCGGGGGCACCGTTTGCCGGGCCCTCCGTTACCGCCCTGACGGCCCTGTTGGCCAGCACTGCAGGGCCACCGTCCTGCTGAGCAACGCTCGGCGTCGCGGTCCGAGATACTTGGTCCTCCCCGCTGATTCCGAACTCGTTGACGCGGGTCGGATCCACCCGGTAGATCCACCGCTGGTAGAGGTAAATGAAGAAAACGACATCTGCGGGAGAAGGAGGAGGAAAGGCCAGGCGTTACAACAGGGTAGGAGAGAGAGGGGCCCTTTGGCTCAGAGTTTTCCATAGATTTGTCCAAGGATCACAGAATTGTAGAGTTGGAAGGGACCACCAGGATCATCTAGTCCAACCCCCTGTAATGCAGGAATCTTTTGCCCACGACCGGGATTAAGAGGCTCATGCTCTACCGACTGAGCTATCTCAGACCTCTTAGAAGCCCGTTTGGCACATATATTTAACATTTCCATATATATAAATATATATAAAAATACATATAAATAAAAACACTCAGGAACCTGTATGCATAGGGCAGCTGTTTACCAGCTCCATCTGGAACACAGGCTGAGACCCTACCTACCCACAGACTGTCTCGCTAGAGTGGTGCATGCTCTAGTTATCTCTCGCTTGGACTACTGCAATGCGCTCTACGTGGGGCTAGCTTTGAAGGTGACCCAGAAACTACAACTACTTTTTCTTTCATTCTATAGGACGCACATTTCCCTCTCCAAAAATTAAGGGGAAATGTGTGTGGGTCCTATAGCGCGAATGCAGGCTGCGCCGCTAAGCCCAAAGCCAGAACAGGAAGACGCGACGCACTGCGCTGCGCGAGCTGCTCCAGCTCGGGGCTCGCCTGCTCTAGCTTGGGGACGGCTGCGCGCAAACCTCTGCAGGGCAGCGGAGTGCCTTCACCCCGCTGTCCTGCAGAAGCTAAGAAGGCTGTTCCCAAACCAGAACAACGAGACGGAGGGCTCCGTTTCGCTGCTCTAGCTTGGGGACGGCTGCGCACACCTCTGCAGGGCAGCGGGGCGCTGCGCTCCAAAGGCTTCAGGGATCTTTGAGGCTGGCGGTGGGGTAAAGCAGCGCTTCCCCCCACCGCCAGCCCCACAAGCTCTGGTGAATGTACCTTGAACGCACCTTGTTTTAGAGGGGGAGAACAAGAAAAAAATTTTTTTCCCTGTTCTCCCCCTCCTATGGTCCGGTGCGTCCTATGGTCCGGTGCGTCCAATGGAGCGAAAAATACGGTAATCCAGAATGTGGCAGCTAGACTGGTGACTGGGAGCGGCCGCCGAGACCGTATAACACCAGCCTTGAAAGACCTACACTGGCTCCCAGTACGTTTCCGAGCACAATTCAAAGTGTTGGTGCTGACTTTTAAAGCCCTAAACGGCCTCAAGGGCCCAGTATACCTGAAGAAGAAGAAGAAGAAGAAGAAGAAGAAGAAGAAGAAGAGGAGGAGGAGGAGTAGTTTGGATTTGATATCCCGCTTTATCACTACCTGAAGGAGTCTCAAAGCGGCTAACATTCTCCTTTCTCTTCCTCCCCCACAACAAACACTCTGTGAGGTTAGTGGGGCTGTGAGACTTCAGAGAAGTGTGACTGGCCCAAGGTCACCCAGCAGCTGCATGTGGAGGAGTGGAGACGCGAACCTGGTTCCCCAGATTACAAGTCTACCGCTCTTAACCACTACACCACACTGACTCTCCACCCCCAGGAGCGTCTCCACCCCCATTGTTCTGCCCGGATGCTGAGGTCCAGCTCCGATGGCCTTCTGGCAGTTCCCTCCCTGCAAGAAGCAAAGCTACAGGGAAGCAGGCAGAGGGCCTTCTCGGTAGTGGCGCCCGCCCTGTGGAACGCCCTCCCATCAGATGTCAAAGAGATAAACAACTACCTGACATTTAGAAGACATCTGAAGGCAGCCCTGTTTAGGGATGTTTTTAATGTGTGATATTTTAATGTATTTTTAATCTTTGTTGGAAGCAGCCCAGAGTGACTGGGGAAACCCAGCCAGATGGGCGGGGTACAAATAATAAATCATTATTATTATTAGTCTACACATTGTCTAGAAAACACTCAACAGAATCACAGAATTGTACAGCTGGAAGGGACCACCAGGGTCATCCAGCCCAACGCCCTGCAACGCAGGAATCTTTTGCCCAATCTGGGGCACGAATCCATGATCCTGAGATTAAGGTTCTCACGCTCTACCAACTGAGATATCATTGGTTCGGGGTGGGCGGTCATAGAAAAAGCCCCCCTGAGATACACAGGAGGCGGGGTGGGAGAATACAATGAGATGCAGGAGGGAGAGAAATTACCGTCTCGAAGGCAACCTATTCTGTACATCATGGGCATTTTGATGACGAAGGCAAACAGGTCGTCGATGAAGGTGTTGAGGGCTTTGTAGGTGAGCATCCGCCAGGGCAGGTGAGCAACAGACTTCAGCTTGTAGTTGATGAACAGCTGAGGCGTCATGGTGATGAAGCCTGGGAGGGGGGACAGGGCAAAGGCAGGCAGGAAAAGAAAAAGTCAAGGCTGGATTAGTTAACGCAGAAGTCAGCAACCTTTTCTGACCAGTGGGTGCACTTCCAAGTATTGAGAGTGTCCTGGGGTGGGGTGAATGACAAAACACAAAATTAGAGACACGGCCATCCCCAGGAATCTGTTGCTTACCAGGGGAAGTCAGCTATGCCCTGCTGCTCCAGATCATAGCTGTTAACGTTTCCCTTTTTTAAAGGGAAATTCCTTATTCCGAATAGGATTTCTCGCAAGAAAAGGGAAAAGTTGACAGCTATGGTCCAGATTGTGGAGATCAAACAATATTGATTACACACACACACACACAGCGGCTGATTCTGTTGCTGTCTAATAGGCACAGGGAACATTCCTCAGTACCAGGAAAAATATACAAGGTAGCCAAACCACCCCCACTCTCATTTCTGTTATTTTTTATTGATTATAGTTTAGAAATTATTTATTGTACTTGCAAAGATTGAATTCTTGTTTAATTCTTATTTGCTGACCTTTAATTTTATTGTGTACTATTATATCCTAATGGGACGCGGGTGGCGCTGTGGGTTAAACCACAGAGCCTAGGACTTGCCGATCTGAAGGTTGGCAGTTCGAATCCCCGCGACGGGGTGAGCTCCCGTTGCTCGGTCCCTGCTCCTGCCAACCTAGCAGTTCGGAAGAACCTCAAAGTGCAAGTAGATAAATAGGTACCGCTCCGGCGGGAAGGTAAACGGCGTTTCCGTGCGCTGCTCTGGTTTGCCAGAAGCGGCTTAGTCATGCTGGCCACATGATACAGAAGCTGTACGCTGGCTCCCTCGGCCAATAAAGCGAGATGAGCGCCGCAACCCCAGAGTCGGTCACGACTGGACCTAATGGTCAGGGGTCCCTTTACCTTTACTTTATTATATCCTAATGGATTATTGAATGTTACTTTATTTAATATAAGTGGCTTATTTTAAAATCAAGTTTTTATTATGACATTTTTGCATTGGATCAGATTGTTACAAGGTGCACGGTCTTTGTTGTTTCTTCAACAAAGAAACCGTAAACCGCCTTGTGCATAGTAATATAGAAAGGCGGGATGCAATTTAAAATGGAAAGGAAAGGAAATTTCTTCGAAATTGCTTAGGAAGTTCCTGCGAATTTTGCCCCATAACTTTCTTTCCAGAATAACTAGAGATTTGCTTTTTCTGCTTATCAAAAAGAGAGAGAAAGCTTTGGAGTCTGGGGCAACCCTGGGTTAATGGGCGAAGAGAACACAATTCAAATGGAGCTGCCCTGTTCCGTATGTGGGGAGATGCAAGCTGCCGTGCCACACAGAACGCTGCTTTAGGAATCCTCCCATTACTCACCGAAAGTCAGCAGGAACCCATAGAGCATGCTGAGAACCCAGGAATACCAGCCCTTGTGCTCCATGTAGAGGAGGCTGTAAACAGCGTAGCAACCCAGGAGGGGGAAGAGGATCCAGGAGAGATACCGGAAAGCCATCTGCAGAGGTGAACAAATCGAGACAAGTTCAGAAGGAATAGCAAAGTCCACAATTGGGAAAATTAGAAACGGAGGGCGATCCAGAGGTGCCTGACTAGCCACCCACATGTGCAGGTGTGATGTGTTGTTGTTTTTTGGTTGAATTTGTTGTAACTAAGCATTTTAGTCTGTTTTCAAAGTTGCATTTTAGATTTCTGCCGTTTGCCCCGGGTAAAAAAAGATAAAAGTAAAGGGCCCCTGGACGGTTAAGTCCAGTCAAAGGCAACTGTGGGGTTGCGGCGCTCATCTCGCTTTTGGGCAAGAGAACCGGTGTTTGTCCACAGGCAACTTTTCCAGATCATGTGCCCAGCATGACTAAGCCGCTTCTGGCGCAACGGGACACCGTGATGGAAGCCAGAGCGCACGGAAACGCCATTTACCTTCCTGCTGCAGCAGTACCTATTTATCTACTTGGACCGGTGTGCTTTCGAACTGCTAGGTTGGCAGGAGCAGGGACAGAGCAACGGAAGCTCACCCTGTTGCGGGGATTCGAACCAATGACCTTCTGATCGGCAAGTCCAAGAGGCTCAGTGGTTTCAACCACAACGCTACCCACATCCCTTAGGGTAACTAACTAACAACAATAATAATAGTAAATGAAGGGGACAGGTTAGGTTACCCAAAAACCTGTGTAGTCACCCCCCTCCAACCAGGCCTCAAGACTTTTAATTTACTTTCTCTGAGGATTCAGTAGCTAAAAAAGCATTAGCTAGCATTAGCTTTGCTGTAACAAAAAGAAGCTGAGAAAAACAAAGTGTCCCCTTCATAATGACAACAACCAATTCCCTAGCCGGTATGCACTTGTACAAATCACCACCATGGAAAATAGCTCCCCTCCCCATAGTATCTGGAGAGGACCCTCTCCTAGAGCAGTCACTAAACTCACGTCATCATAGACTTTGGTAGACGATTCGATGTACGTCGATTTGTCTTTGAAAGTCAAGCGTGGGAGGATCCCGGCAATTTTGTTTTCCCGATCCAGCTGTTGCAGCATTATCCGAGGGAGGAAAGAGCAGAGAGAGGAAAGGCGTTAAGAGACAGACATCAAGGGAAGGGAATCCAGCGGACTTGAAGCAAATGAGGTGAAGCCCACGATGCAAAGGGAGGCAAAAAGTGTCTTCATCCCAGCCCTGCTGATGTGCAGGAAACTAGGATTCCCAAATGCTTTTTTGACCCAACTCCACGTGATGCGGTTGTGGCAGGAACAGCTTAACCTGTTCACACTCAAATTGTCCCAGATCCCTGGCTTTCTCTGAAATAGCTAGAAGTCTACGCAGAGTTCTAAGCATCTTGCAGAAGCAACAACAACAAAAACTAACGCGATGGTTCTATTACCAAGAGTCTTTTTAAATAACTCTCGAGCCCTCATACAGAAAAAGCACAAGGGCAGGTGAAATAAAACACTGTTTTGCGCAAGGCAGTTAACATGTACTGAAGTTGGTTCTCAGGCTGCTTCGAAAAGGGATGCAGGGAATTCGAGGAGGGCAGGGCTATCAATGGCTCTTAAGTCGCAATGGCCACCTGGAACTCTCAGTGTTCAGAGACACTACGCCACTGGATACCAGTTTCTGGGAAGGTAGAGGGTATGTACGTGTTTCTGGGCCTGTGAGGAATCTAGTTGACCACTGGATCTGGAGAAGATGGGCTGCCGGGTTGATCAAGCGAGGCTTTTCTTTGGTTCCGAACGGCTGGGCTTGCGCAGTTACCCAAGTGCTTTTTCTTCCTAGTCAGTCACTGCCAGCTCATGCCCAATCAGTTAGTTTCTTTCGCCCCAATTATTTTACACTCGCTTACATTGAGACAGGACCACAATAGCTCAAGGACCGACTCTCCCCATATGAACTGACTCAGACCCTGCGCTCACCATCCAAAGCCCTTCTTTGTGTGCCTCCGCCACGAGAGGTCCGGAGGGCGGCAACACGAGAACGGGGCCTTCTCTGCAGTGGCTCCCCGTTTCTGGAATGCTCTCCCCATGGGGGCTTGCCTGGTGCCTTCACTACGTATCCTTTACGTGCCAGGCGAAAACATTCCCCTTCAACCAGGCCTTGGTTCAATTAGCCAGCCTATGGCCTTTTAAACTGCATGTTACTATTTTGTTTGCTATTATGCTACATATTCTCATTTTTTTTAATACCAAAAACCACCCTGTGATCCTCCCATTTTACTGGTCATTTGCCCAGCTTGGAGAGATCCTTTTGGATCTCATCCCTATTTTTTGTTTTGTTTTAACTACCCTAATGTCATGTCATCAAAACGAGAGATGAGACGAGAGCAGACACCTTCATGCACTAACTGCCCTCTTTGTCCAGCTCTTACCCTGACATCCATAACTTTTGTGATCTTCCAGAGATCAATCAGGAGCCCAATGAAGACGCTGACTTGCACCACAAAGTTAGTTTCGTTGTCCAGGATGTAGAGAAGGACCACGAGTGACTGGAATACTCCAAAGAATACTGAGCGGACAGAGAGCCCCTCTAGGGACTGCCTGCTGTTCCAGAACTGAATATCTAAAAAGGAAGATGACAAACAAGAGGTTTAAAAGGAAAAGAATGCTTTTCAGTTTTTCACTGGAGCTACTTCCCAACCCTCCAGTAAATGGTAAAAATATAAAGGACCCCTGGATAAAGTTCAGTCAAAGGTGACTATGGGTTGTGACTCTCATCTTGCTTTCAGGCTGAGAGAGCCAGGGTTGGTCCACAGACAGCTTTCCGGGTCATGTGGCCAGCATGACTAAACCACTTCTGGCACAACTGAACACCGTGACGGAAGCCAGAGCGCACAGAAACGCCGTTTATCTTTCCACCTCAGCGGTACCTATTTATCTACTTGCGCTGGTGTGCTTTCGAACTGCTAGGTTGGCAGAAGCTGGGACAGAGCAATGGGAGCTCACCCCATTGCGGGGATTCAAACTGCTGACCTTCTGATCGGCAAGCCCAAGAGGCTCGGTGGTTTAGACCACAACGCCACCTGCCTCCCACAATCCTCCAGTACTGTTGGGTGGGCTGGTATCTGGCCAGAGGTGGCTTTGACTTGAAGCGCAGAAGGCACTGAGGAGGAAGACAGGCAGCTGCGCTAGAGCCTTGCGGCATCCTCCCCCGCCCCTTCGCCTTCTGGCTTTAAACAGGCAGGAGGGGGAAAGGGGGTTGGGGAGAGAGAAGAGAAGCAGCTCAAATATTTTGGAACCTACCATTTTTGAAAGCAAGGAATTCGAAAATGCTATGTACAATGGAAACAATAATGGTCAACGCCAGAAGGTAGGGATTGGTTTCTAATAGTGCAACCTAGGAGAAAGGAGAAAGAGGGTATGAGGAAGACCAGCATTTCCAGGGCACCCCCAAAATATACAAAATTAGAAGCACGCCAGTCATATGTAACGTATTTACCATTAACTCTGGAAATGTACACTCAATTCTGACCAAAGGAAGCCTCCTGATGTTTTTCTGTTGTAGAAGGCTTAGTTTGATCTGAATTGAGTATACATTTCCAGAGTTAATGCTAACTGTGTGGTGAGTTCACGTCCCCCCCCCCCCAAGGTGGAAATAATGACACACGACACAATTATTAAGGTTAATGGGCTAAAAAAGGCCACAACTTTATTGGTTACAGGTGATGAGCGGTACTGGCTTAGGCATTGGTCCTAACTGACTATATCAGACTTCAGCCCGTCCGCTTGAAGTCCGGGAAGGGTTAACCACCAGTAGGGGGAGTCCTGCTGATGTACATCAACTAGGAACTCCCCCGGGGTCACCGTTAGGGGCGTGCCTTAGGTCCTCACCTGCCTAGGCTTCGGACAGGCCCCTCCCCCGGAATCCTTTACCGGACTACCCTTCAATCTGCGGGGCAGGTAATGGCGCTACCTCCCCTCTTCCATCTACAGAACTATACCAGCTGATGAGCGGCAAAGAGGGAGATCCCTGGCAGTGTCCTGCCTTTATAGGGCAGGCCACGCCCCTGAAGCAGCCAATTGGCCAGCCAAGGGGTGACGCGGCCGGGAATCCCCCCAATCGCATGGGGGCTGGCCTCCACCCACTGAGCGTGTAGTGGAGCCGTGAAGCCCACAACCCCACCTCCTACATAGGGCGGAAGTGGCTATACATTACTTCTGGTAAACGAGCTATCACAGCTAATAGAGGGCCATGACAATTTGTGTCCTGAGCTTTGTAGGCTCATCTACCCATGTACTATCTGAAACCAAAGGTATGCGCTGGTTGCGGGGTGTGAGATTTCCCCCCAGCTCCCCTACCCCGCCCCCAGAAACGGCATCGCTGCCATCACTCCCTGCTCACCTTCACGGAGTCTTGCTCCTCATCCGACTGCTCATACAAGTCCTCCCCCAGGAAGTTCCAGGGGGACTTAGTGCTCTGGGCAGCATACAGCTGCCATCGCCACAGTGACAGTGGGCAGAAGGACAGTCGGAAAGGAAGGCGCTCCAGTGTCTCGTTGATAGGGAAGTAGTCCTTCTGCAAGTTCCAGTAATCGTTGAAGTACAAGATGGGGTAGTAGTCGCCACTCACCGCGTCAAATTTCACATCTGAAACAAAGAGAGTCCAAAGGGGGGACATGTTGTGCAGCTGGACCAGGATGCCGCAGAGGCACAGCGGGGCACAGAAAAGGAACCCCACAGCCCTTCACCCCAGGTGTCTCCCGCAGCTGACAATTTCATAAATTTATGATGTCACAACAACGGCATTGCACCACGGCATGATGTTCTTTCAAATGAGCTGGCAGTTTGCACAAATATCCTTACACATTAAATATCACTTTCAAAATAATTTTGTGCACCTTTCTCCGTGCTTCGTCTGTCTCCGGGCTCTCCTCTCCCCTCAACACATCCATAAAGAGAACCAAACTGAAGCTTGGGGGGTAGATTAGCACAACTGAAAACTTCCCAACAACCTGGATTTTCAAATTAACCATGCAGGCTGCAAAAGCTGACCCTTTTTTTTTTCCACACCGAAAGGAATTTCCAGGCTGCCGGTTTCAGCCTGAGCTCGTGTGCAAAAGGGAACGTGCCATGGCCATGCTTTTATTTCTTCTCTCCCCGCTGCAACTGTATATTGTGACCCGAGTGGCCTGAGGAGCTAATTATCTGTTGTCCTTACATTGGTCCAGAGGCGGAGGAACACTGCCCTTTACCCATGGTGTGTGGTCATCCACAATGTTGATGGTGAGGTTTGGGTGCCAGTGTGAGATCACCTCCACGGGGCCGTAATCTTCAGCTCTCTGCAACAAAAGCGTAAAGGACTGCAAGCAGTTTCCACATCAAACCCAGCAGCAGGACTGCTGCAGATACATACAGTCAAGGTTTTCAAAGCAATTTTGACCCTTATGCCGTCAGAAGGGACGGCTCCTATTCCTGCTTGCTGCCGCAGCCTGGAAAATGTTTAGAGATGCCAAGGAAGAGGCCCTCTAATTAGCTGTATCAGAAGCCACGGGCTTGCAGAAGAAGCCAACATGCTTGACAAAGGCCTCTAGCTAGCCTTAGGCACAGCCCAGCCCTTGTAACTGGCAGCTGGAGGGGTCTCAGCACTCACTCTATTCAAAGCGACACAGGTGTGAGCAGCAAAGCTTTATTTTGAACAGGGTTGGTGGAGGCTGGGCTAGGAGAGTCCCCACAAATTATAATGTCGGCTGCACGCAGGAAGTGAGGCTTAAATATAGCGCTCTCGCTCATTTGCCAAAACCCCCCAAAGGCTGTATCTGGATGGCAGGGAGCCAAAATCAGCCCCAAAGGCGTTCTCTCCCCCCCCCCATTACGTAAGAATTCATCTAGCCCAGCATCCTGTTCCCAACAGCGTGCAGCCAGATGCTTCTGGGCAGACCACAGGCAAGCCTCAACTCATCACTTAAAACATTTCCCCCCAGCATGAACCACAAAACCTCAGTTTGCAAAGAGCTCTTTTCCAGACCAAGCGTTTCAATAAAAACCCAGGCTTTTACTGTAGCGGTTTGTAATAGATTTCCTCCCTGCCTTCATGTCACCCCACCCTGCCCAATATTATCTTTCCAGCACTATAAATACACGAGAACGGTTCATGGAATTTCCCGCCCCCCACTTCAGAAGAAAGACGGCAGGTGGAGGGCTTCGGCGTATTATGAAGTGAGGAACTGAAAGGAATGATGAAAATAGTTCTGCAACATTAAGCATAGTGATTTGGCCACCAGTGTCGATTTGTCAGAGGCTCAGCTCTGCCAGAGAGCCATGGGCTGCCAACCTCACAATCCGGGAAGGATGAATTATGGGGACAGAAAGAATGGAGGTGTGCTAGCCAGAAGCCCCGTGGGACTGTGCCCACTGGGAAGGGGGGGGGGGAACCTGTGACCTTGACAGGTAAAGAAGGATGGGGAGGGGAGGGCTATATGCAGGGGGTCTGAGATAAGAAGTAATTGTTACTTTTATCATTTCAGGATCCGCTTCTGTCTCCCCCGTGAGCAGATTCTTGGTTTTCTGGAACCGTCTGCGCTTATACTTATTTATCACTGCAAAGGAAAAAGGGGAAGGAAAGGTAAGCAGACGCAAAACACTACTGGCAGGTAAAGCTAGACAGCAGCATTATCCTGAACCTGAGAACTACAAGCACGTTTCAACCTCGGTTTCTATCGCTCATGGTTGTTGTTGTTGTTATTATTTACTACATTTGCCAGTCACTTTGTACAAAAGAAAAAAAATCCTAAAGTAAAACAAGTGCAATAAATAAAGACCTTAAAACGATGAACAATGCATAAAAGGCTCATCCAGCAATATGCTAGGACAAGTCCCGTGCACCTCAGTAAAATATGAACACCACTGAAGGAGGCAATTACCAAAGGCCTGAGTGAGCGAAAATGTCTTAGCCTGGCACTTAACAAGTGACAATGATGGGGCTGGGCACATCTCCCTGGGGAGAGAATTCCACAGACAGGGGGCCACCACTGAAAAGGCCTGCACTCACGCAGCCACTTCCCACTCCACCCTCAGGTAGGGCACGCAGAGAAGGGCCTCTGATGCAGAGGAGGGGATGTTCCTCATATACTCTTGCACAGTTGCAAGAATATAGCAAAAAAAAAAAGCAGCAGCAGCAAATCCCTCTCTGCAAATACACATATGCCAAAAAGGAGAAGGAACAAGTCCAACGCAGTTATGCTTTTCTATTTTTATGGGTGTATAATATCAATTACTTGCTTGGTTCCTTCGCTCTCCTTCCCATCACTACTATTCTGTCCCAGAGTGGTACCACAAAAACAAAAGGTGAGTTGGCAGGACATTTACAGATTATCCCCCCCCCCCAAGCAATATATAGCATAGGACCTGCAAAACTAACTATCAGCTCAGAATTTTCGGTTTTCAGATGCAGACTTTTAGGGGTACGGAACATGCTCAGTGCTGCACTTAGCACTTGAATTTATACAAGATTTGGAAAGTTCCAGTAAGAATTGCCCCTGCAAAATATAGGCTCTTGCTCATGGGTTCAAATACCCCCCATGCCTTTTCCAGATGTTACAACACACACACACACACACGCACTGCTTTGCTGAAAGCCAGCGGCCTTTCCATAGGGCTCCAACCACTGAACGAAAATATACCGAAATGCGTGCTCAAATATGAGAGAACACACATCACGAACCATACTGAATTCCGGCGTGGGGAGAGGGAAACTCCCCCCAATCCATTATCACAGCAAATATGCACTGGGAATCTGCAACTCGCTGCAGCTTCCTACCATGTGGCTACCAAAGATGTTTGCAGGTTTGCAGTTCCCCGTCAAACATCACCGTGTTGACTGCACAGAAATGCACCAGCCACATAAAGGACAAGGCAGCCCCAGTAGCACTCAAGCCCCTATCATCGCTCCAGGATGGTCGGAGGGAAAGAAAGAGAGAGAGAGAGAGAGAAAGAGAGAGAGAGATGAGAGAGAGAGGAAATGCATCACTTACTGGAATTGGGAATGGGGGCCTCAGTGGGGCAAGTGGCAGGATGTGACAAGAAGGCGAGGAACTAGGTGCCCTGGGGGAAGGGGGGAGAACAGTGCTGAGTGCAGACATCTCTACCCACAACCATCGGCTGCAGCCTCCCGGCAAAAAGAGAGGGACGGGGGGAAGGCTTACTTCGAGACGTGTGGACCGTGGCGAGTCGCCTGTACAGGTTCTTCTGTTTCGGATCGGGGTGGAACCCGCTCTTCGTAAAATACACGTGGATGTACATGGAGCCGTTGTGCTGAACGCTCTGGGGGAAAAAACAACCAACGCAATAGGACTACTGGCCTCATCCATTTTACTGAAACATTGGGGGGGGCGGGGAATGCAACACAGCAAGGAAGTGATCAAGGAAGCCACAGCTGTTGGACTAATACTAATAGTTTAATAGTTTTATGTTGCCCATAAACCCTGACTGGGTTGCTGCAGGCACTCTGGGAGGCTTCCAGCAAAATATAAAAACACAAGCTCCCTCCTAATGTTAAGGATCCTCTGCCTTAAAATGTCAAACAGTAGCTTTGGTGTCTCCTTCCTTCCCCGCTTTGTCCCCCTAGCCCTTCCAAGCCTTCTCTGAGCACCTAGCATTTTAAAAGGCCAAAGACAGAAAGCTTCCCCCAGACCCATCCTGTCCTGCTTCCTTGTCTTCCAAGAGGGCTTCACCATTCAAATTGCCAGAGCCAGTCAGATGTGGGGAACCTCTGGTGCTCCAGTTGTTCCAGAACTACAACTCCCATCCTCCTTGGCCACGGCTCCTGGGCCTGATGGGACTTGTAGTTTATAACATGTGGCAGGCATAAGGTTTCCCCACACTTGGGCTAGGGGCTTGGGTAAGACTTCTGAGGTGCTAGAATGGAGTGATGCCCCTATTTGCATTCATAAAGGATCATCACCACTAATGGCGTTTAAATCAGTACTGGACATTCAGACAGTGGGTCACACCAGTCTCTCTCTCTTAGCTCTATAGGTAAAGGTAAAGGGACCCCTGACCATTAGGTCCAGTCGTGGACGACTCTGGGGTTGCGGCGCTCATCTCACTTTATCGGCCGAGGGAGCCGGAGTACAGCTTCCGGTTCATGTGGCCAGCATGACTAAGCCGCTTCTGGCGAACCAGAGCAGCGCACGGAAACCCCGTTTACTTTCCCACTGAAGCGGTACCTATTTATCTACTTGCACTTCGTGCTTTCGAGCTGCTAGGTTGGCAGGAACAGGGACCGAGCAACGGGAGCTCACCTTGTCACGGGGAATTGAACTGCCGACCTTCTGATTGGCAAGCCCTAGGCTCTGTGGTTTAACCCACAGCGCCACCCGCGTCCCTCTTAGCTCTATAATCTCTTGTTAACGTAGAGGAACTATTGCCTCTAACATGGAAGAGGAGATGCTTCCTAGTCCAGTCCAGACAATGTATTTCTTAAAGGAGTTTTGCTTTTGGAGTCTGGAGATGGAGAGCCCCCTTAAGTACAGGCAGCCCACTGCAGACAAGTAGGGAGAAAAGTGAGGTCTGCAGCAGGGGGCTTGGCTTGAGTGCAGCTGGAGAACAGCTGGCCAGTGACATGCGTTGCTCACGCACCTCCGGAATATCTAACTCTCCGTAGTGTTCATAGCACCCGTCGGAATTCTCGCCACTGGTCCAGTCCCCGTAGACAAGATCCCGCTGCTCCCAAAACAACGCAGAGGTAGCGTTGAAATCTGTAAAGTGCTCATGCTCTGATATATAGACATGAAGATCCTGCAGGGAGAAGAGAAGAGCATTATTTGAGGCAGGGAAGCCTATATCATGGGCTGCAATAAAGGAATAAAAAGGTAAAGGGACCCCTGACCATTAGGTCCAGTCGTGGCTGACTCTGGGGTTGCGGCAATCATCTCGCTTTATTGGCCAAGGGAGACGGCGTACAGCTTCCGGGTCATGTGGCCAGCAGGACTAAGCCGCTTCTGGCGAACCAGAGCAGCACACGGAAACACCGTTTACCTTATCGCCGGAGCGGTACCTATTTATCTACTTGCACTTTGACGTGCTTTCAAACTGCTAGGTGGGCAGGAGCAGGGACCGAGCAACGGGAGCTCACCCCGTAGCGGGGATTTGAACCACCGACCTTCTGATCGGCAAGTCCTAGGCTCTGTGGTTTAACCCACAGCGCCACCCGCGTCCCTTATAATAAAGGAATAGACCCAGGCAAATGTTCAGCTTCTTTACTGTTATGATGATCAGGGCTATGCATTTACTGCAATCCCTCAGCAGTGCAGGGGGGGGAAAATCGGCTACCCAGGAATCACAGCTTCCATCCAGGAGAAAAAGCAAGTTTCCAGCCACCCTCATGGCTGCAAAGGTACACTGAAAAGCACGTGGGCAATGCCTGCTCAATTTTCAGGTGGCAGATGAGCTGCTGTGGAAGACTTCCAGTGGTGGTGACAGAACAAAAGATGCAATACAGTAAAACTAACGGATGATGCCGTGGAGCAAATGTTTTGAATAATTCTTTTTTATGTAATTGACAGACGAAGAATCGGAAGCCCTCTTTCTTTTCTTTTGTCTCTTTTCCCCCTTTAAAAATTCTGTCGCGTCAAAAAAGCTTCAATAAAAAATTTATGCAGTGCAGTAAAACTGGCAGAACACAATACACAGAATGAGAGAAATTCTGCAAATCTGCTCAGCTTCCGTGATTTCTGCAGGCTGCAGTTCGACAGGCTGCAAAAATTTTATCCAGATCATACAGGCGCGTAATTGTACTTTTACATACTGAGCGCATACTTGTTTACACTTTGCAAACTTTGGGGCCCAGCTAACCCAAGTTCCGGGTCACACTTACCATTAAAGTGTCTTTAGGAAAGAGATTGCGGCTGGGCGCCCTGGGTGCTCCGCCAGTGGTGGTTGGATCCTGTGGTGCCGGCCCACGACGGAACCAACTGCTGATGGCCCAAATGATAAAGATCCTTTGGGGAGGGGCGGAGAGAGAGAAAACTAGAGAATCAATACAAGATGCAGTTATAAGCTGGCCGTTCCTTCTAGAGGCAGCTACTGCACAAAGAAATTGCTAACAGCCTCAACATTAAAAAGAAGCTTCCCAAAGATTTGTCAAATATCGTAACTCTGCTTGTTCACAGGGGCCATAAGGTAAAGGTAAAGGGACCCCTGACCATTAGGTCCAGTCGTGGCCGACTCTGGGGTTGTGGCGCTCATCTCACTTTATTGGCCAAGGGAGCCGGCGTACAGCTTCCGGGTCATGTGGCCAGCAGGACTAAGCCGCTTCTGGCGAAACAGAGCAGTGCACGGAAACGCTGTTTACCTTCCCGCCGGAGTGGTACCTATTTATCTACTTGCCCTTTGACGTGCTTTCAAACTGCTAGGTTGGCAGGAGCAGGGACCGAGCAACGGGAGCTCACCCCGTCGTGGGGATTCAAACCACCGACCTTCTGATCGGCAAGTCCTAGGCTCTGTGGTTTAACCCACAGTGCCACCCGCGTCCCATACAGTTTTTGACACAGTGCAAATTGTGTTTACACTGTGTCAAATTGGTGAAAAGGAGAAGCTCAGGCTTCCCTCCCTCCTGCCCTTTCTTATTTAAACCCCAGCCCCCCCCCCCCAGTGTCCCTTTCTATTAGACTCCTTGCTTCAATGCTACCATCTGAGCTAACTCTGCTTCTGCAATATCCTTTGGGGAGGCAGCGGAGAGATACCATCAGCAGAACGGAATGTGGCATGCTAGGGAAGCACCGCCCCTCTTGATGTGCACCTTCTTCACTGTTATTATTTTACATGCAAAGATACTAGTCCGGGGCTTTGTGTGAATAATACACACGTGCGCACAAAGAGCATGCACTGCCACTGCCCCAACTCAAAGGAAACAAAAGCTCCGCATTGAGCACTTGCTGTCGCTTTTAAGTTGCCTCCAAATCAACTTTGTAATACAGTGGTACCTCGGGTTACAAACTCCGCTAAGCCGGAAGTAGTATAAACTTTGCCCCAGGATGAGAATGGAAATCGCGTGCCAGGGGCACTGCAGCAGCGGGCGGCCCCATTAGCGAAAGCACGCCTCAGGTTAAAAATGGTTTCAGGTTAAGAATGGACCTCCGGAACGAATTAGGTTCGTAACCCAAGATACCACTCTATCTGTTTCAGCACTTGCTGTGTTGAGGATTGGCAAGCAGTCTAATAATACACCATCATCATCATCATCATCCTTAAAAGCAATAATTACTTTTGTATCCTGCCTTCCCCCTCCAAGGAACTTGGAGTGCAACAATGTTTTGTTTCCTTGCATTTAATCCTCAGACGGCCACCCCGTGAAGGTGAGGCTGGAAGGTAGAAAATGGCCCAAGGTCACTCGGACAGCTTCCCAGCTGAGTGGGAATTTAAATACATTTTGGCCCCCTTTGAAACCTCACTTTTCTTTGGCGGAGGATTTACTCAATTTTTTCTTTCTTTCTTATGTTTATACTGCCCGCCCGTCAGAAGAACTTTTGGGTTTACTGCAGATCATTTATATAAGGGATGGGAAAACTTTTTAGCCCAGTGGACCAGATCTTCCTCTCCCCACCCGGCAGGCCAACTATCACAGGTGGGTGGGATCGCCCACCTTCTAACTGTTTGGCCTCATGATGTCATATGATTGACAGGTGGGCAGTTCCACCCACTTGGCAACATTGGCTGGCAAGGTGACCAAGCAGGAGTGAACTCCCCATGCATTAGATGATGCTCAGGGAGTTCAATCCAGTTTTGTGCAGCTGAGTCTCTTCCTTCCACCCACCCCATGCATCAGGTGTGGGGTAGGTGGGTATGATTTGGGGAGTCTGGGGGGGTCAAATCTCATGCAATTGTAGCAATCCCTCCCCTCCATCCCGTGATGATGCACAAAACATGGCCATGTGGCGTCATTCTGAAAAAGGCACTCTTCACTTCTGTATACTGAGAATATGCTACCTGTATGGTGGAGTGTACCAGAGACTGGCAGAAGCTCTACTGAATTCATGGACAGTTAATTAAAACCACACACACAACACGGTTAACGAGGCAAGTCCATCGTCTTGCACAACCGGCTTATTCTACTTCTCAGGTACGCTTGCTTCGGAATGTATGGACCTCAGAGACCCAGACCCCTGCCCTGGCGCCCTGCCTTGCATATATAAGCGCGTCTGGTTCTGCAGAGAAGCTACGCACGTCTCTTCCGGCATTCGCAGGCTAGTGTGTTTAAAATTATAGCTGAAGATAACCAGCCAACTGGGAAGACAGAGCCACAGCACCGCTGGCTTCCGCTGCCTCATGAATCATCTGTGTAACTCACAAACCTAGGAGGGCCAGACAGTGTTGCCAGCTTCCCAAATCTAACGGGGGGGAGGGAATGCAGATTCCTTGCTCTTCTTCAGACAATGACCGGTATCTCTTAATTTAAAATTCACGCACCCAAGAGGCAATGTCACCTTCCTTCAAGATCTTCCCCACCGCCCCTGTCAAATATCCTTCAGGAGCTTTCACAGTGCATAAACACACACAAATCTAGCCGGCCAATCAATCAGTTTTAAGCCAGGAGGTTAATTAGCTAAGCTGTTTCTGCTTCAGATTTGCCCTTGCTGGGTGATTCGGCAGGGAAGCTTTGCAAAAATCGGACCCTTTTTTACTTCCTTTTTTGCCACAGGTGACTCACCAAGACATGTGTGGCAGGAGGGGCAGCAATGCCTGTGGAAAGCCTGTTTTCCTTGGTTGTCAACAGTTCTGAATTACCAGACTAAAAGAATGGAATCATTTATTCTATTCTGCGACTTCCTCTAAGGCTCCCCACTTAAAATGGGCCACAACCATCTGGAAAATGCTGAGCCCAATGAAGGGTGGATTATTTCGTTCAACTTCAAAGCAATGTTCTGGATCAATTTCAGCAGCCGGGGTGGGGTGGGGGCCTTGCCAAGTAAAGATGATTTTTTTTTTGCATACCCACAATTTTGGAAGTGCATTACTGCAGCATTTGCCCATTTCTGGAAGAGGGAGAACACGCCAGCGCCGAGCCTGTTCCAATCTGATTTGCATTAATAAATGGAAATGTTTTAACCGTTCTAATCATACGGAAGTTCATCGCTCAGCTGGTACTGAACAGATGCCAAAACGTTTTGCTGACACAGCTCAAAGAGCCAATATAGCATCCCAAGCAATAATGGCTTTAGAAATGGCACAAACTCTCTCTGGCTTCTCTTTCCCACCTGGTCACCTTGCTCTCAAGGGGACATCTGAATGCGTTAGAAAAGGTTGGCTCCTGCTAATGCTATTCGTGGGCCGATTTTGTTGGGCAAGTGGCTAGATGGCGAGTGCCACGAAAGGAGCAGTATCTGAAACGGCATTACTCAATTTAGTCAACTCCGCCCTACCCGATCAACTTATCTCAGAGCCCTCTGGAACCATTACTCGTCCCGTGAACAGTGTTAGAAACTCGGATACCTAAGCTACTCATTAAATGGCACCTCAAACCTAGGTTACGGCCGCCACAATGGAATGTCTAGGTGCCACAATGGAATGTTTAGGTGCCGCCCCCTTGGCTTACAAAGCTGAAAATGAATTGTGTATATTGTCGGCACGATGGAGATGTCAGTTGCCATCCTGGTGCCCAGAGATCTCTGCATGTTTACAATTGGATCCATGCTAGGTGCAAAATGTGCCTGGTGCCCAGGGGATTTCTAGCACTGCCCTTGGGCGGCTTACAACATATCTAAAAACATAAAACATCCAGCATTATAAACTTCCCGATACAGGGCTGCCTTCAGATGTGTTCTAAAAGTTGTGTAATTCTTTATCTTCTTGACATCTGAAGGGAGGGCGTTCCATAGGGAGGGCACACTACCGAGAAGGCCCTTTGCCTGGATGAAGCTGCTGCTCTCAATTTGCTTTGATTCCCAATACCAGCTGTAAATTTTTCTCATGCTTCAAGCTCTGTGCACTCCTGGAGTACCATAAAGGATAGGCCAGATGGGGAACCAACCACCACCACGACCAGCAAGAGAGAACCACAACCCTGAAAAAGATCAGTAGGCCTCATCCCCACAAGCCACAAAAACCCCAAGAGGCCATCACAAACGTATTAAGGAGTGTCATCGATCCACACGCATTAGCTAAAGGAGAATAGTGGAGGAAACACAACCACGCTCCTGTGCTCTCCAGCTTGAGAAGCATGAAGAGGACGAAGCCTTTGATAAAACCCAGAGAGAGACCTTTGGAAGGATAGGAAGACGTCTCCCTGCAAGTCGAAGGCTGCATGCTTACTTACAGCAGTAAGGCCCACTGATATTGACGGGGAGCCACTCTGAGTAAATAAGCTCAGGATTACAATGCCACAACTTCTCCTATGCTAGGGATGGGGAGGTTGTGGTCCTCCAGAGGGTGTTAGTCTCCAACTCCCATCAGCCCCAGGAAGCCCAGCCGAAGGTCAGAAATGGTTATTTATTTATTTCATAAAAATTATACACCGCTTGACTGTTCACAACCATACTTTAAAATGCTAAAACAGACTAAAATCACCTCAACCTTTCAGGATGGCGGCTAGTTTTCTTTTGGGAAGAAGTGAAGGCATGGAGTGATCAGTATACAAATTGAAATTTTTGGGAATCCCTGGAGGGAGAAGTCCCAAGTTGTTTAACTGAACGTTAAATGTGGAATGTTGCTTGATTATTGTTTATATTACAAAATCCTATGATAAATAAATAAATAAATAAATGTAGCTCAGCTTTCTTAAGGGTTTGGGTAGGCAAGTCTAAACAAGAACATTTTTAGCAGGCGCCAAAACGAGTACAGGGAAGGCACCTGCTTGATGACTGGAGCTGTGGTCCAGCAACTTCTGGACCAGGGTGGTTCAACACGCAGCCCAAGGGCCACTTGTGGCCCTCAAAACCTTTTTAGAGAGGCCCTCAGCAACATTTGACGCTGCACTGGGTTTTGGGAAGGAGGCATAAGGGCCCTGACAGGATCCTAGAGTTCTCCCTCCTCCTTCCCAAAGCCTAGTCTGTGCTTTCCCAGCTTTGGGAAGGACCCTGCCACCGCCAGGCACTTCCTTCCTGAAGCCCAGCGCCTCACTTTGCATCAGGCTCTGGTTGCCTTAACTCACACAAAACACAGACGTCAAAGCACAGACATTTCTCTCCGCAGTCTCATCCATAAACCAAACTATCGAGATCCCAAGTGACAAAAGAGCTGGCTCTAATGACTGGTGTTAAAAGCCTTATGGGGACCTCTGCCCTGGAAAGATGCCGCCAAAACTTAGAGAAGAGGTGCTTAACTTAAAAGTTAATTAGGGTAGCAATCAGCTTAATACTTTACTGAACACACTTTGGCACAAGCCTATAGGCTGGCCCCACGCACGCCCTTCCTTCTAGAAAGGGGAAGGACTCTTAACTCTGCTGCTTCGTATGCAGAAGGTTCAAGGTTCAAGCCCTGGCATTTCCAAAGAGAGCAGTAAAAGACGCTGGATGAAATCCCAGACAGCCCCTGACAGGCTTCACTTGCCTTCCTCGCCTTGCCGCCCTCCAGATATTTTATTATTTGTAACTAGCCTTTTTTCCAAGGAGCTCAGAGTTGGCATATATGGTTCTCCCTCCCCTCATTTAATTCCCCACAACAATCCTGTGAGGTAGGCTAGGCTGAGAGGCAGTGACTGGTCCAAGGTCACCCAGTGAGCTTCATGGCTGAGTGGGGATTCGAACCCTGGACTCCTGAGTCCTAGGTTCAACACTCTTAACTGCTGCACCACTTCTGGCTCTCCAGTTTGTAGATGTACAAACCCCGATGTGGGTTTGGGCTACAGCCAGCATTGGAGTTCTAGCCCCAAACATTTGGAGGGTGCTAGTAGAAGAAGAAGAAGAAGAAGAAGAAGAAGAAGAGGAAGAGAAGGAGGAGGAGGAGGAGGAGGAGGAGGAGGAGTTTGGATTTGATATCCCGCTTTATCACTACCCTAAGGAGTCTCAAAGCGGCTAACAATCTCCTTTCCCTTCCACCCCCACAACCAACACTCTGTGAGGTGAGACTTCAGAGAAGTGTGACTAGCCCAAGGTCACCCAGCAGCTGCATGTGAAGGAGCAGGGAAGCGAACCCAGTTCACGAAATTATGAGTCTACCGCTCTTAACCACTACACCACACTGGCTGTCTCACATTGCTAAGCTGAAGAAGGCTGTTGTAGACAAATTCTTTCTTAAAAATAAGATTTTACTAAAGCTTTTTTCACAGAAATATAAAGTAAAGAAAGAGAAAATACAATCCTACTCTCTCAAAAGGTAGTTCTTAACCCTTGTCTCACACAGAAATTAGAAGATCCTCCCCACTCTCACATGGGAGCTTTTATTTTTTTCTCCCAGTCGGGGGACACACAAATACTGAGCTGGGTGGACCAATGGTCTGATTCTGCATACAGGCCACTACCTACATACTAATCACTTGGAGGAAGACCACCGTGTTCACAAGGACATAAAGCCATGGCTCTTAGGTCTCATGAAACAGCACGTAAAGCCTGTTTCTTCAATGCGCTACTTCAAACTGCAGGCGGAGGGAAGCTGCTTACTGTCCTCCATATAGAATAACTTTCTGCATGCAGAAGAGCAGTGAAGAAGATGACAGAGGTCTGGTCTAGCCCAGCTGACGTCCCAGCATGTTAGTTTTATTGCTGTTAGATTGATCTGTAGGGAATGTTTCTTGCATGGTGGAGAATTCAATCATGCAAGCCTCCAGCTGCAGTTTTTAACCATCCGGACCAGGGGCTGGCAAATTCTGACTAACCAAAAAGGACACCTCTCCCCACCAAACACACACCTTCCAAAGGACAAGATGCCCCTTTTATTAAGGGGGAAAGTGTAGTTCGGTGGTGGGGCATCTGCTTTGCACGCAGAAGGTTCTGGGTTCAAGCCCCAACATCTTCAGGTATGGCTGGGAGAGAACCCCTTCTGAATATCTTGGGAATCTGCCTGCCAGTCCAGACAATACTGAGCTAAATGGACCACGGGTCTGACTCGGTATAAGGCAGCTCCCTAGGTTCCTATGTCTGGAATGTAGAACAGGATCAGAGAAAAATCTGTTCCTTCTTTTCAGCTCCAGGCCAAGAGCAGAAAATAAGCCCTGAGCCTATAAACCCAGAGTGAAGGTGATGGACCTCTGCATGCCACGCTTCGGCTTGCACCTGAAAAGCCAGGAGGGGGAATGGAGGCGCATCAGATTGCTCTGCCTGCCTGCACTCCTTAGGCACACTGGTTCCTCTGTCTCTGCACGTAATGATGGGTGCTCTCTGAGCTCAGAAGCCCTGCTGGCACAGAGCCAAACCCACACGGCTCCACTTCCCTTTTCTAGCTCCAAGGTGATCCGGGGAGGTGGAAGAATACTGGTTTACCGTGCACCAATGGGTGCTCCCAGTGCAGGATGCTCCTTGGGTATTCAGAGGATCTGAGCTGAAGGTGAGAGGCAGAGGCACTTCAGCTCACCTTGGAGAAACAGGCTTTAGGTTGGTCATTTAGTGCTATGCAGCTGAGACAGTGTGCCTAGGAGGCCAAGACAGGAGTCAGTGTAAGCCCCTAGTTCAAATACCGCCTCTTTCATAAACTTAACTGGACGGCCACAGTCAAGCCACTACAGTGGTACCTCGGGTTACATATGCTTCAGGTTACACAGTCCGCTAACCCAGAAATAGTGCTTCAGGTTAAGAACTTTGCTTCAGGATAAGAACAGAAATCGGGCTCCGGCGGCAGCAGCAGGAGGCCCCATTAGCTAAAGTGGTGCTTCAGGTTAAGAACAGTTTCAGGTTAAGAACGGACCTCCGGAACGAATTAAGTACTTAACCCGAGGTACCACTGTATCCCCTCGCCAATTCGCAGTGTGGGTGTCTGGGGTGTCGCAAGAATGGCTGAGATCATGTTTGCAAAGAAAGAGCACATCTGCTGGCACAGGGCTGGTGCTCAGAAGCCATTTCTGATCACTTGAGTTCGTATTGTCTGCTGAACGTGTTTGCTTTTGCTTTGTATGCTCTTGTGTTTTCGACAGGATTATGATCGGCTGAAACGTTTGCTAATTTTTAATGCTTTTGTTGTTACTGTGAGCTGCTTTGAGCGCAGCAGCGCTGTTGGAAAATTGGGATACAAATATTTAAAAATTTAAAATATCAAAAAGTACTTGGAATCAACTGAAGCGGTATAGAAACACCAGTTATTCTGGGTCTTGCCCTGCAGATGCATGAAAACAGTGAGTATTGGCTGCTTTCATAGAAGTACAGGAACTTGACCCAGGACATGTAAGTCCAAGCGCAAGTGATTTAAGGACAAACACCAAATACACATACACACCCCACCCTCTAGTGTGATATATATACACACCCAGGATGACAACGCGGCAGTTCTGGAGCAGTCGAGATCTCACCTGAACAAGACTCCTTTGATGACCTGCCATGCATTTGGAGCTTGCTGTTGGGGCTGGTTCTGCTGCTGGGTCTCAGCAACCGCTTCACCTCCCGCTGCAGTTCCATTGCTGGTCACTTGCTATAGAGGTGGAGAGAAAAACGGGAAGATGGAAATCAGCAAAAGTCATTTGTCATAAGAAGCCAAGAGGTTCAAACTCTTCTTTTTTTAAAAAAAGAGACACTTTTGTGGAAGCCCCCCTCCTCTTGGGACAGGAATGAGTTCAGCTTCCCGGAAAACAAGATTTTTAATTAGATGCAAAGTGCTGTACAACAATGAGCTGGGATAGCACAGTGGAGGAGAGCTTGAAATCTGGTTTTAATAACTCCCATTTCAAATCTCAACTCAGCCGTAAGTTCGTAAGGCGCCATCCTTCAGCCTTGGTCTGCCATCTGAAATATAGGATAACAGCAACAGGGTAAGGAGAGCCCAGCTGCATCAAGGCCGTCGAGCCCATCAACGTTTCCAGCAGCAGCCAGGCAGATGCTTCCAGGAAGCCACAAGCAGGCCATGAATTAGAGTATTATTTTTATTTTCTTTGTATTTAAACAATTTATATACTGCTTAACTATAGTTATCACTAGGAGGTTGGCAATGATACAGTACAAAAAGTAGATAGAAAATCAAACTTTGGTTGAAATGTCTGCTTGAATTTTCAAAAGTCTTCAGTCCTCGCCTGTTGTAAGTTAATTCTGCCCTATGTTTTTTTATCTGTCCTGAATTGACTACCATCTATTTCATCTACCCTTTAGTTCTAGTATTACGGGATGGGAAGGAAAATTTATCTGTCCTCTCCCTTCCCCATTCATAAACATCTCTCACTGCCCCATTGTTTTTTCTGAACAAGGAAGTCACAAATAATTTTGTCTTTTCTGAAACAACAAAGGCCTGTCAACCCCGTGATCATTTTGGCTCTCCTTACCTGCACTTCTTCCATTTCTCCAATATGTCTTTTGAGATTTTTTTGGGGGGGTGGGTGTGTGAGAAAACTGTATGGGATATTCCAAAGGTGGGCTCAGCATCTTTTTATAGAAGGGCATTAAGCAGTGGCCATTTTGTTCCCCATCCATTCTTGAGTTTGCTATTTTACCACAACCTCACCCTGTTGACATTTTCATTTAGTTATCAGCAATGACCCCCTCCCCCCAAGATATATTAATAGATAGTCACAGACACTTTAGACCCCCATGTTTCTATGTGGTTAAGATTTTCTACCTGTGGGTGCCTCACTTTACACTCACTTAAGAGAAAATCTCATTTGTCATTTCATTCCCATTTACCTAGTTGCAGAGACGCTTTTGGGACTCTCTGCAGGCTGCTTGGGTTATTCCTACTCTGGTTATTCATCAATTGCTATTTATTTCATTGTATTTAGAAAGGTGGGGTTCAACTAAACGCAGGCAAGCACCACATAAAAAGCAATGAATAATCTGCAAATCTGACTACAGGATCACTTATAAATGTTAAATAGTACTAGTCTTAATACAGATCCCATTGTTTATTAACCCCTACTATAAAAACTATGCAGTTACTCTCCTATGGTCCAGAACCTAATCTTTAATCAGCTGCTGATGCAAAAAAGAATTTGCCCTCTTACTTCATCGCTGCTAAATTTATGTAGGACCTTTTAATTAAGGATTGTGTTAAAAGCAACTAGTCAATCTATATACTAGCCCCAACCAGTTTTCACTAGCTTATCTTACAGGGTTGTTCTATGAATTACTGAAACAACATATGCAAAGTTCCTTGAGTACTTAGGAGAAAACACATAATCACTAATTCTTATGAGGATCTGATCTGAGGGAAAGGCATACATGATTTATGTTATTCAAATTTGCCCAGAAGAAAAGCACCTCATCACTTTTAATCCAATTTTTCAGATGAGAAACTCAATTCATGTTCCCAGTCTCTCCCTACAGGCACGCAGGGTCAGTAAAGTAAGCCCATGACATTAAGTGAATATTTAAGCCAGCAAATTCTTTTCGGTACTACATTTGAATTTAAAGACAAATCAAATTATCATCTCAGTTCTTCACTCTTAAAGCACCCCAATCCATGTTGGGCAAAAGATTCCTGTATTGTTATTGAGTATTTAAAGAACTATTATAGCAAGATGAAAAAACGAGCAGGATTTGAAATATGAGCAACAGGGTGAATAAGATAAATAGGTTAAATTAAATGTATTGAATAGTATAGGCGAAATATGTAGCATTTATGGGTAAATATGGAGACCATGGAAGGGGAGGACAGAAAGTCAATTGATAAAGTAACATGGTTTATGTTAAAATTTGCATATATTTTTTCTTTGTGAAAAATTAATAAATAAGATCTGCTTTTAAAAAACAATTCCTGTATTGCAGGGGGTTGGACTAGATGATCCTTGGGTTCCCTTCCAACTCTACAATTCTATGATTCAATCTCCTTTCAGGAAACTAATGGTGGAGGGCCAAAATATGAGCCTCTTCATCCACATTCAACATTGTTGAGAGAATTAAGGCTTTGATTCTGGATTCAAGTTTATTTTTAGATCATTTATTTAAAATGGCAGATTGTGTTTGACAGATTTCATCACAAAGATATTATGTAAAAATCTAGATGGTAAAAGAGGGTGGGGATAAAAGGGAAGTAGCAAGAATGATCCAAGTGGTAAATGTACCTGGGGAATCCCAAGGTGAGGCGTGGGGAGGACACTAAAAGGTAACACTGCTTTTAACACATGGATGGCAGCCCAACAAAAGGATTGCGGGCCCTGTGTGGGCTGTTTCCCAGCAAACGGTGGAAAAACAAGGTGTGGAATGGGAATTCCCGAGCCCCCCCATCCTCTCACCCCAAGCACCTGTAGCCAACAACACTCTGCGCACTGTTACCTAAGCTTCTGATAGCTAGAGCTTACTTCCCTAAATTATAATTGGAGACACACCTGAAGTGGTTTGCTTTCAGAAAATGAAAGTGTTAAGAATTTCCCACACTTGGAAGAGCTCACCTGCGTTTGAGACAAGTCACTGTTCTACAAGTGCTTCTTCTCAATGTAAGCTCAGAGCAGTAACTCACAGAGATGCAACGGACAGACTCCCTTCATCTCTGCATCAGGAGCAACTGAATGATCCAATCACATCCAATGCTGAGATGGGCCACAAATGTCCTTCCCCAGGAAGGAGTGGATGTAAGTAAGGGTAGAGCAAAGAATCACGCAGGTACCCAGCAGGCACTATGGGCTGAGTGCTTTGAGCTGATGGCAAATTATAATGATTCTATTTATTTATTACATCTCACAACACACAAATGTGTCACAGCAATCTGTGCAGGAATTACTGGCTTTGAGTGAGATGAGACTCCACACAGGGGGAAAATAAGCGCTTTCATCTAGAATAGGTAGTAGATGAGAGAGCACTGCTGTCTAGAATGAGACAAATTTTGGGCACTGTGTGTAATATTCACAGAATCAACAGACAATTGGGGAGAGGAGAGATCATGATGTCAAGTTTCCCCATGAAAGCCACATCTCCTTACAGATAAAAGAGGAAAATACCTGCAAAAGCAGATTAGATGCAGTTAAGGGGAAGCATCTAACAGATGAAAAAAGTAACTGCATGCTCATGCATCTGTTTCCCCTACAGAAAGGTATGAGAATCAGATGGGGGGGGGGGGAGAGAAGGCAGAAAGGGCAGCTACTCAAAGAGGAAATTTAACTTAGGAGGAGGACAGAGGAGGGGGAAAAAACGTTAGTAGGGAACCCAAAGACAAATTCCTCAAAAAAGAGAAACAATTCCTGAAGTACGAAGCTCTGAAATTAGTGATGTTGAAAGGAATGGCAGGTGAACTCTTAGCCTAGATGGAGAAAACAGAGTGACACCTGTAAATTTCAGGGACAAAATGCTTTTGACAGTACAGTCAAGGAGATTGGGGAAGAGGAACCACGGTCTGAAACTGGAAGAAACATGAAAGTCAGTTGGAGACAAGAGAGGAAACCAGCCAAGAAAAGCAGAGCACAGTGAGAAATGTAGATTGTCATAAAGGATGGGGGGCAAGGGCCAAGAGAACTATCTGGGTCAGAACTTGTTGGTTCTTTATGGGGGATAAAGGCAGGAGCAATTTGCTAATGAGACCAATTAGGAGAAGAAAGATAACTACCCAGAGGGGGGCATTGAGATGAAAGCGATTCCTTGGCATACACCAGAGAAATCAGATCTATCTAACAAGGGACAGAGTCAGGCGAGAATTTCTAAGTCAAGGGAACAAGATGGATGCCAGATCAAAAGGGTGGAGGTGTACCCAAGAGAAGTGGGGTGTTGAGGCTGAAGCAACACTGTGTGACACATCCAAGAAGGAAGGAGTGGCTAGTGTGGGACATTGAACAGAGAGACAAATGGTTGACTCCTCATTTAATCATAAAGTTCATTGCATGGTTTCCATGAGGCAATTTGGGCAACTCGTTTTACTACAAATTGTGCCTGACAAGTGGCAAAAGCTTCCTTCCTGAAGCAAATATATACCAGTGATGAAACTACAGGTGAACCAGGTCCCCAAGAATTAAGGATTTATACACTTTTCGGGTATAGAAGTGTGGCAAGACGCAGGGTACAAACTGCCACTTGCGCAGCTATACAGAATGATGAAACCCGGGCTCATATTCTGGGGATTTGTATGCAGGTCCAGTTTCACTCTGTAGCTTCTAGGAAAGAGTCCTGTCTGCGACTCTACAGCCTGTCAGTATAAAGAATACTGAGCTGATGAACTAAGTGTCTGAGTTGGAATGTCATCTTGCTATCTTCTTATGCTTCCTAAATTTAAGCTCCCATCCACACTAGGCCATGAGGCTCCTTCAGGAATTCAGGGCCAGTCGCTACTGCTTAACCTAACCTACCTCACACAGCTGTTGTGAAGGTAAAACTGCATATTTGCGAGCAAGAACCACACATGCCACTTTGTCTCCTTAAAGGAAAAGCAGGTTATAAATGAACCTGACGTGATTCGGGTTACCAAACGCACCAGGAGTGATTTTTACCACTTCACAACATCCTTCCTCCACCTTGGGTGCCTGACGTTGTCGGACTACAAATCCCATCGTTCCCAGGCGACATGGCCGGTCAGGGCTGATGGGGAGCTGTTAGTTCAAGAACATCTAGCGACCCTCAAGGTTGAGAGGGGCCCTTTCAGAAGCCGACTTGCGCCTGGTCGGACCATTGGCCCATGCAGCTCAGTACTGCCTACACGGGCTGGCAGCACCTCTCCGAGGTCTCGGGGCAGGTGCATTTCCCAGACCTACCTGGAGGTGCCAGAGACGGAACTTAGGGACTCTCTGCAGGCGGAGGGCGTGCTATAACCACAGGGTTGCGACCCTTGCTCACTCGTGCCATAAGCCTCTCTGAGCCCGGCTGAGAATAAAACGGGGGCTGGGCGTGTGTGGACCCCTCCTCCCCACCCCCACCCCAAAAAACAACCCCACCCCTGGCGTCTTGGGAGGAAAAATGCAGGCGATAATAATAAATAAAAAGCAGCATATATATATATATATATGAGTGAGATAAATAAGAAAAAGAGCTGACCTGGAGAAGGGGCATGGTGGGCAATCGCCCCTGGAGGCCAATTAATATTTTTTTTCTGGGGTAGGGAGAAGGGCGTCACGTGACTGGCGAGAGGGGCGGGGCTGGGGCATGAGGGGACCTAGCCCCCCCTCCTTGCCCGCGGGAGGGGCAAAAGGAGGGCGGCGTGAGGGGCTACTGCCCCCCCGCAGGGAAAGGAGAGCCGCCGAGCGGCAGCTCCCGCGAGGGGGGCGACGGAGAAAGGGGCTCTGCGGCCGGTACCTGTTCAGGGCCGGACGCGGGACCCGCCGCCGCCACCACCTCCGTCTCCGGCGCCGCCATCTTGCTGCGCCGTTGCCTGGTGCAGCTCTCGCGAGAGTTCCCCCTAAGTCCCGCTTTGCTCCCGCCCGCCCTCTCTCGCTCTCTGGCCCACGTGACCTCCTCCCCTCTAAACCCCGTCTGGGCGGAGCGCCTTCTGGTTACCGTATATTCGCGAGCGGCTCCGCAGCATGGGAGTGCCGAGTGCCTGCGAGGGAGGCAGATCCTGGTTTGTTGACCCCGGAGGAATTAATCCGAATTAACTGCTGCTGCTGCCGCCTCCTGCTTTTTGCATCTTTACCACATGTTGCAGACTTACATGGGAGGGGAAGCTAAATGCTAATAACGTGCCATAGTTTGCGAAATAATAAATTCGCATTTAAGGTGTTGCATAACTCTTCGCGTTTTCCCCATAGATAAGATTTTCCGAATGATTGAATGACTATATGTTGTGTTTTTCAGTGTTGCTTATTTTTTCTTTTCTTTTGGTCGGGCTTGTATCTCTGAAGGCCATTGTAAATCAGCGTATAAATGCTCTTCATAATTTACAATAATAATGATTCAAGAGAAGGAAACCGACCGCAGATTACTCCAGATGAAATAATCTGAAGTTGGCTGTACCACATGGTGGTATGCTCCCTAATTCAAGAAAATAATCATTCCCTTTTAAAAAATAAATTACTCTAAAATAACCACCATGTCTTCAGAACTCACAACCGCAATGGGGCAGCATTCGAATCTCTTTCCAAATACTGACTGAAACAGTAGAAAGTGGGGGAAATTCATTTATTTCTCTTTTTACAGCTTTACAGTATGCTTTGCATTACAAAGGATTATTGTGTTTTGTTTGTTTGCATTTGGAGAACAATAGATAGGACAATATTTAGTAAGTTATGGTATCAATGGGCAGAATCTACTATTAGGGCCCTATCCAAACATCCTATTCATTGTGCATTCATGTTGGTCCATGCTCATGAGACTATTAATATTAGTTTATTTCATAAATCTTGATTGTAATAAAAACAACAACCTCAAAGTGTTTTACAAAAAGATAAAACAATAAAATCAGAGGGAAAATACAACCATACTTTAAAACATGCAAAAGTTAAAATACTGAAGCAGATGAAAAGCACCTCAATTTTCTAAGCATCTGTTTGCTTCTCTGTAATATTTTTAGCAGGCACTGAAGAGTACAGTGGAGACACCTGGTTTATATCAATAGGCAGGGAGTTCCAATACTGTTTCCACCTGCGAAGATTTCGTGCAGACGTACTGCTTCATTTCCAGTTGGTGCACGTTCCGTAGCTTCCTGCCGCAATTCACTTTATATACCACGAATATTCTGTTGTTGTTGTTGCTTGTCCCACTTTTGTTGCCAGCGAAGCCAAACCCAGTGAAACGGCAGTGCTAACTAATTCTGGTTTTATCCCCATCTTCCTCCCTGCTGAGTTCTACCAGGGCAATCCTGAGAGATACATCTGCACACACATCATACATTTAAAACAACATTACTTCCCCTGAAGAATCCTGGGAACTGTAGTTTGGTTACAGGTACTGGGAATTGAGGACGTGGGTGGCGCTGTGCGTTAAACCAGAGAGCCTAGGACTTGCCAATCGGAATGTTGGCGATTCGAATCCCCGTGAGGGGGTGAGCTCCCGTTGCTCGGTCCCAGCTCCTGCCAACCTAGCAGTTCGAAAGCACGTCAAAGTGCAAGTAGATAAATAGGTACCGCTCCGGCGGGAAGGTAAACGGCATTTCCGTGCACTGGTCTGGTTTGCCAGAAGCGGCTTAGTCATGCTGGCCACATGACCTGGAAGCTGTACGCCGGCTCCCTCGGCCAATAAAGCGAGATGAGCACCGCAACCCCAGAGTCAGCCACAACTGGACCTAATGGTCAGGGTTCCCTTTGTTGTTGTTATTGTTTAGTCATTTAATCGTGTCCGACTCTTTGTGACCCCATGGACCAGAGCACGCCAGGCACTCCTGTCTTCCACTGCCTCCCGCAGTTTGGTCAAACTCATGCTGGGAGCTTCGAGAACACTATCCAACCATCTTGTCCTCTGTCGTCCCCTTCTCCTTGTGCCCTCTATCTTTCCCAACATCCGGGTCTTTTCCAGGGAGCCTTCTCTTCCACTCCAGTGTCCCTGCCAAGAAAACTCCAATACAACAGGCATATAAAAAAACAGGATGTCCCTTTACCTTTACCTTTACTGGGAATTGAAGCTCTGTGAAGGGTAAGCTACAGTTCCCAGGATTGTTGGTGCGGATGTGCTTTAAATCTATGGTGTTTGTGGATAAGGATGATGAAGATGATGATCATTTCTCCCTCCATAGGAAGGCAGGCAGGGGAGGGCTGGAGGGACAGGTGCCCCATTCACTCTGATGAACCAGCCTCCGTGGACAGATATTAAAGTCAAATGTGGACCATCAAGCCGAGCTCCGGTCACAGCACTCTCTTTCTGGCAGTTTGTGTTTCTTGAAACCACATGGCTGATCGGCTTGGCCAATAACTTTTTTCTTTCTTTCTTTTTTTTTTGGAAGAGGGAGCTTCCGGTGCCAAAAGACCAAGGAGGGGAAGGGGGCTGTGTGTTCCGGTCATGACAGCCCTCTTTTCTTTTCCTGGAATTGGAAATCCTTCCTGATTCCCCCCCCCATCCCTTTCCTCTTCAAAAGAAATGAGCCTGGAAGCCCCGAAACTGAAAGCTGAACCTGGTGTTGGGGGAAAAGATGCTGCAGAAGAAGAAGGAGGATGCAAATTTGCCCAGGGAGAAATCTTCCAACCTGAGCCCTGCCTTGAGGAGTTGGGGCAATTTGGAGAGGACACACAGCTAAAAGAAGAGCTGGGTAAGGGGCCGCTGAACTCCCTACTGGGTTCGATTTCTTGCTGAAGTTAAGAGAAACTCTGTGATGAAAGAGGGGGAAACAAGCAAACAAAAAGTTGGGATCTTTCCCACTCTTCCTGGTGCATATTTAGGTACCACGGATAATTCTGATCTGCGAGTAGGGATTGTTTAGCAACCGTGCAGTATCTCCACATTGAGTTGCCAACTATTTAAAGGACCAGCAGATATTAGCACAGGTGAAGCTTTTCAGAGGATGGAGGGAAACATCTGCACCCTAGGAAGAACTTCATTTCAGCAGGAATAGGAAACCTGTTGCACTCCAGAAGTTCTTGGACTCCAAATCCCATCATCCAGGACTATTTGCCATGGTGACCGGGGCTGATGGGAATTGGAGTCCCAGCAGTGTTGGGGGGGGAACAGTTTGGTCTCTGGGTTTTTGCAGACCATCGGGCTGCCCTGCAAGACACAGGTGAAAAGGAGGCTGCTTTATTTTCTTATCGGTTTAGCATGCAGCTTCATTTCCTCCAAGCTATTGTTTTTAAGTATTATAAAACAATCTTTAATAATCGCCTTAAAAGTGGGTGAGTGGGGGGTACACAGCAGACGTTTATAAAGTTAGGAGTGGAAAGAGTTGATGGGTTAGAATTATTTTTTTCTTCTCCTATTACTAGGAGCTAGTTAGCAAGTAGGCTCAGGACTGGTGTTAGGAAGTTATTTGTCACCCAGTTTATTATCTTGTAGAATTCACCTGTGTGTCGAGGTTGACTTGCTTTTTGAAAAGGCTTAGTTGTCAGAATTCATGGAGGGCGGGTTTTGGAATGCACATTGGTAAGCCAGGGCAGCTAAATGGAACCTCCAGCTGCAGAGAAAGTCTACCTTGGAGCAACAGGTGCTAAGGGGAAGGCTGTTTTTCCTTCATGACCTGCTTGCTCGTGACCTTTCCAGAGAAGCATCTGCCTGTCCACCTCTGGAAGCGGAACAACTGGGTGTGCATGCAGGCCTGATCCTGCCCGGAGCGAGAAAGAGAAAACGAGTGTAGGAAACCAAGTCTCCACCCCACACCCCCTTCACCCCCGCTTAGCCTAGCACCTGTTGCCTTACTAAGTATGAGGGAGTGCCTGTTTGCTTTTCCTTTCTCAGTTCTTGGTTGTTGTGTGTGTTTTTTGCTGCGTTTTGGTTTTTTTTTTCCACGCCTGAGAGTAGATCCTGCCCTTTACCGCTAGGCTGGGGGCTTTCCCGTTCCATTGAGCATGACTTCATGACAGCCAGCAGCCAATCAGGAAGCAGCAGCCGGCAGAGCAGGGGAATTCCAAGAACCCTCAAAGCTTAAAAAAATAATAAAAATAGACAGACAGACAGAGAGAAATTGGGGCTTGAGGGCTGAGCGAGGGGGGAATGGAGCTCAGGGCCAGGTTATGAAGAGGCCTGGAGTGAGACGGGAGCCGCTGCGATTGCCTCTCTGGCAGAGGAAAGAGATGCTCTCTTCCCCAGCTCTAGGTATGGGGCAGCTGGAGTGAAACGAGTTCTAGGGGAGAGAGGGCGTGTGTGACTTTTCAGTTACCGGCCCAGGGGTTGGGGGCACTGTGTTATTATCTAGGCAACAGACTGGGTCGCTGGGAGGCCTGGGGACAGCAGGAAGGAGTCACGGTCTCTCTGCTGTGCCTCTAAATGCCGGAAACCGCAGGAGGCGAGGGGAGAGTTGCTCCGATCTGCTTGTAGGTTCGCCACGGGAGGGGGGGAATTTTTGGGGTGAGTTTCCCTGCTTTTCCTCTGGCTTGGAACAGCACAGGTCGAAATCTTGCTGTCTGCTCATTTCCACACTGATAATCTTTGCTTGCTGATTTCTGCATTTCAATCCTGCACTTAAAAGGAGCGGGTGTGTTTGGGTTCTCTTGGTCCCTTCTCTAGCCATGTGGTGATCATGGGGACATCCCTTTTCTGAAAAGGCAGGGGGTTCTTCCTTCCCCACCCCCACTTCACACAAGAAACTCAAGTTAAAGGGGCAGAGAGGTTTCTTACACTGGCAGGTGAAGGGGCATGAGTCTGTGAGTTTCAAGTAAAATCAATTTTATTTGCTTTCTCCAACGTTTTGAAGTGGATGTTTCCTGCTCTGTGAATGGTCATTTGGTTTTAGAAAGTTTGACCCTATAGTGCCAAGCTGGTGGCTCTGTTTTTAAAGACTTTTTGATCATCCCGTCTTGCAAACGGGCTCACGTCTGCCTGGTCGCCTGTGGTGAGCAAAAATTGTCTCCAGGTAACCAGGCAACAAAATGTTGAGCAAGCTTAGGTGTATGTAGACAGGTAGACTAGTAGGGTTTTTTGTGTTTTTTTTGATGGGCTAGTGGCTTTACATATTTCTTCAAATCGCTCTGCTTTCTTATGAGGTGTTTTTAAGTAGAAAATGCATCTTGATATGAAAGGTAAAGGGACCCCTGACCATTAGGTCCAGTCGTGGTTGACTCTGGGGTTGCAGCACTCATCTCACTTTATTGGCCGAGGGGGCCGGTGTACAGCTTCCGGGTCATGTGGCCAGCAGGACTAAGCCGCTTCTGGAGAACCAGAGCAGCGCACGGAAACGACGTTTACCTTCCCGCCGGAGCGGTACCTATTTATCTACTCGCACTGGTGTGCTTTCGAACTGCTAGGTTGGCAGGAGCAGGGACTGAACAACGGGAGCTCACCCCGTCGCGGGGATTCGAACCGCCGACCTTCTGATCGGCAAGTCCTAGGCTCTGTGGTTTAACCCACAGCGCCACCCGCGTCCCCTATCTGCAATTTAAATGTGTAAGATCCTAACCATTGGTGTTTGGAGATCCTTTGGAGGTGGCATGCTCTTAGAAACTATACGCTGTATGGCAGTGAAATGGGAAAGTGAACAAAATATGGATGTTTCTGTCTCCACTGTTGTTGTGAGAACATTGGCCTGATCAGGCAGTGCTTGCCTGATTTTCTTACGTTTATTATTAAAGCAAAGGGTAGATATTTGGCCCTAGGTGAATGGTGCGGTAGACGATATATCTGTAGCTTGGAAGAATTCTGGGGCAGTAAGAACGCATTAGGTTACAAGGCGATTAATAAACCAATGATGATGACAACAACACTTTGTTAAGGGTGCTGGGAGTTACAGTTCCGCGAGGGGTGAACTACAGTTCCCATGATTGCTTGGGAGAAAGCAGTGTGCTTTGAATGCATGCTGTGTACATAGCCTTTCGCTTCATAACCTCTTTACCCCTGCAATTCAGGCACTCTTAAAAAGGGAAGGTGGTTTTCCGGGTACTGAATTTGAGGATGGAAGGGAGACTAACCAGGTGAAAAAATGTCAGACTGGTCCGCTGTTGCACCTTGAACAGCCGCCATGCTGAGTGGCTTGAAGATGCCATTTTGAATTTCCCACGATGCCCTGGAGCGACACTGCATCTGGGGCATCGTGGGTTGTTTTAAATGAGGTCTGCATTTAAACATTGCTGATTGCCCTTGGCCTTCTCTAATACTGGGCGGCCTCCGTTGGTCTCCCCTGGTTATGAACACTTTCTTGGTGGACAGGGCCTGGAAATTATGGGAGAATGCAGCTTCCTAACACATTGTTTGTCTTCGCAGGTTCCTCCCTCCCAGCTTCCAGTTTGTCCATCATGCAGCCCACGGCAGAGACGGCTGGTAAGGACCACTTGCGTTCGGATCACGTGTATCCCTTTGATCAACTTCTTAGAAACCCAGAGTTTAATTCTTCCTCAGTGATGAAAGAAATAAAAAAGTAAAAGGCTAGGAATTATTGTTACTTTACGTTTATTGTAGGGTCCCAGGATGGGTTACAGTACTTAAAGGTTTTTATGTGCTTTTAGTTTTTTTTAAAAAAGGCTTTTCAAAAGTCTTAAATTATTGCTGTTAATTTTTCAATCAATCCCTCTTCCCAGGGGACCCCTAATGACCATTTAATGAAGGCAGGGCTGATGAGTTAGTAAACATGGGCTGGGTTGTGAACCCCTCACTGTTCAATATGTGCAGACAGGCGGAATATGCTGTGATTTGATTTAAAATACTGATCTATCTTTCTTTTCTTTTCAGATGAATTAGGTAAGAATTCTGGGGCTTGGGGCAGAGTAGTGAAGCAAACTTCAGGTAAGGGAAAAAAATCAATATTAGGATGATATATTCTTGACATATACAAGGAACATACAGTAAGTGAGAGCTAGTGTGGTGTAGCGGTTAAGAGCGGTAGACTCGTAATCTGGTGAACCGGGTTCGCGTCTCCGCTCCTCCACATGCAGCTGCTGGGTGACCTTGGGCCAGTCACACTTCTTTGAAGTCTCTCAGCCCCACTCACCTCACAGAGTGTTTGTTGTGGGGGAGGAAGGGAAAGGAGAATGTTAGCCGCTTTGAGACTCCTTCGGGTAGTGATAAACCGGGGTATCAAATCCAAACTCTTCTTCTTCTGCATGTGGCTTGGTTCACATTTAATGACCAAAGCATGGTTTGCCCTTCAGAGCTTAAGCACATATCCTTTACTGTATTTCCTGGTTCAGCAAGCAGCTATTTGATGTTGCATCCAACTGGCCAAACCACAGTTTTCTTCCAAACTAGAACTGGAAACTGTAGTTTGATTAACATTCCTCATTGGGAGGAAAACCATAGTTTGCCAATTCAGATGTAATGACAAACCATGGTTTGTGTGAACCGGGAAATGATGGAGGGAGGGGAGGGGGAGGAGCAGGAGCACAAAGCCCATTCGAGATGGCAAAAATCATGGTTTGACTGTTGCATCTAAACCAAGTTCTCTGTGTATGTGTGGAGGACAAGTTGGTGGTTAAAGTACTGATTCGTACATGTGTGTATGTCCCTTAGTGTCACATAACTCAGTGGCTTTAATCTAAATGTGTGAATTAGATTCTATGCACCAGTACCATGTTAAGAGATAGAGATTTGTTGGAGTTCAGCGGCTGCTTCTGTGTGTGGAAGTCAGTCAGGCGTTCTGTCTGATCAGTGAGCTGTGGCAGTGTTTTGAGGGATGCTGGTGGGGCATGTGACGCTTTTGTGTTTTCTATTTTGTGCATTGTTCTCCTCCCTTCCCGCTCTGGGCTCTCTTTGACTATAGTGGAGGTTCGCAAAACAACAACAAACCTCTGATTACGTGAAACATATTCAATAAACACACAAGATGTAACCGGCTGTACGTTTGAATAAATCAAGTATACTATTCATTGTATTAAAGTGTAGATTTCAACAAAAGTAGCTCATAAAGGTCAACGGAAAAAGTAGAAGACCCAGTGGATCAGTTCATTCTCTAATCAGTTCATGCATAAGGTCCATATATGTTTAAGTGTCTATTGCACCTGTCTGTTCATAGAGTCCAACAGTCCACACGAAAGGTTGTTACAGTTCCACAGAATCCTTTCACAGAGTCTAAGACAAGGATTTCCAGAATATTAGCCTTGTTTCGCCATCCTGGGCTTCATCAGTAGTACAAACTCATATAATAATAGTAGTAGTAGTAGTAGTAATAATAATAATAATAATAGATTTTATTTATATCCCACCCTCCCCGCCAAGACCGGGCTCAGGGTGGCTAACAACCAATAATAAAAACAAGTTGATTAAAATACAATTTAAAAAACAAGATTAAAATACAACATTAAAACATTAGGATGCATCCTCTTCACAGGAGGAGAAAGGAAAGAAGAAAGAGGGGGAGGGAATCAAACTGGCTCCAAGTCAAAGGCCAGGCGGAACAACTCTGTCTTACAGGCCCTGCGGAAAGAAATCAGATCCCGCAGGGCCCTGGTCTCATGAGGCAGAGCGTTCCACCAGGCCGGAGCCAGTGTTGAGAAGGCCCTGGCTCTGGTTGAAGCTAATCTAACTTCCTTAGGGCCCGGGACTCTAGGGTGTTGCCATTTATGGACCTTAAGGTATATATACAAACTGTCACAGAACAGTGGATCTTATAGCATAGTAGTAGCTGCTGTATAGTGGAGGTTCTGCAGCGGCTAAGAACTAGCATCATGTCGGATTGTTCTGTAAAGATGAAAAAGAAGACTAAAACATAAGGAAACAAGTAATGCCGAAACACCATTTCTTTATTTCCATGGCACTTAAACAAAGCACTGTTTTTAAATCTCCCAAACAGCAGCGACAAAGAACAGTAGTGAGGACATAAGAATAGCTTTGCTGGATCCGATCAAAGGCCTTTCTAGTTCAGTGCTCTGTTCTTACAGTGTCCAATCTGATGCCTCTGGGAAGTCCACAAGCAGGGCAAGAGCGCAACATTGCTTGCCCCATCTGTGATTCCCAGCAAGTGGTATTGCCTCTGATTCCGGAGGTAGCAGATAGCCATCATGACTGGTAGCCATGGATATGCAGATTCCTGGAGGTGAAGGCAAAACTTTTTTTACAAAGTTTTTCTTTATACTTTTCAAATCTATACATTTCATAAGTTTTACAATCATTTTAACATTTCAGAGTTCGACTTCCTTCCCCCTCATTCTGCGGTTCCTTATTATTTTTTAATATCTTCTGCATATCCAAATTAATTTCATTTGCTCATTGTCTACTTTAAATATACAGTGGACCCTTAATTCATTCTGGGGGTCCTTGCATACCCCAAAAAGTCCGCAGCATGAGGCGCCACTTCTGCGCATGTGCACGGCATGGTAGAGCACTTCTGCGCATGCGCGTGCGGCAAAACCCAGAAGTATACACTTCTGGGTTTGCCATGTTCACAACCTGAAAGTTAGTTACTAGAAGGTAATGTAACCTAAGGTTCCACTGTATACTCTTATGAACTCCAGGTTATTACAATAATCCTGCCAATGTTTTTATCTGTTTGCAATTCATCTGTGAATATTCAATAAACCATTTCCGTTCTTTTATAAAAAAGTTTGTTATCTTGATTGCTTACTCTTCCGGTAAGTTTTGCCATTTCTGCATATTCCATAAGTTTTTGTATCCATTCTTCCTTTGCTTCTGCATCTTTCCATTTTGGAGCGAGTAGTATTCTTGCTGCTGTAGTCACATACATAAATAAATTTTTATATACAATTTAGGTAGTTCTGTTCCTATCGTTCCCAAAAGAAAAGCTTCTGGTTTATTTACAAAGGTTATTTTAAACATCCTGTTCAATTAATATAATATATCATTTCCCACTGTTCAGTTCTAACTCTGCAATCCCTAAGACGATAATGAGTGTTTGAACCAATTTCTTAAAAGATTGAGTAGAAATGTCCCGCAGGGAAGGTGCCACCACCAAGAGGACCCTGCTTCTCACAAATATGGGACTGTAATGAGAATTATAGAATTGTAGAGGGTTATCCAGTCCAACCCCCTGCAATGCAGGAATCTCAGCCAGAGCCTCCATGACAGATAGCCACCCAACCTCTGCTTAAAAACCTCCAAGGAAGGAGAGTCCACCACCTCCCAAAGGAGTCTGTTTCATTATCAAACAGCTCTTACCGTCAGTGAAATATACTCAGAGTCCTGTAGTGATTTCATGCTCTTTATTGCAGCTAGTAAAACAGTGATTGAATTGCCCCCCAAACCTCAGGCTTTTATATACATTATTTACACAATGAGTCCCGTCTGATTGGCTGATTCTGCTTCCCTCCTGGAGACTGATTGGTCTTTTCCTGCAGGCCAATCAGTTGTTACATTCTATGATCCTACCAGCCTAATAGGCTGATTAACTTCCTCCTGGATCCTACCAGCCTAATAGGCTGATTAACTTCCTCCAAGTTGTTGCATTCTAGGATCCTACTTGTCTATTGTTCTAGGATCCAAGCTCAGTACATAACAGTCAGAAAGTTTTTTTCTGATGTTTAGTCGTAATCTCCTTTCTTGTAGCTTGAAGGCATTTGTTACGTATTGTTCTAGCACCAATCAGACTGCTGCATTCTGAATCCTGTTGTTCTAGGACCAATCAGACTGCTGCATTTTGGATCCTATTCAACTCAGTACATAACACCCCTCCCCTCTAAGTTCCAGTGCTGCCTGGGAGGTTGCATTCATAGTCCTCAAGGTACGCCGGCGGCCTACGTGTGCGTTGCGGCCTGGGGTGTTCCCTGGTCAGGGGTTTGTGTTCTGGCTCGTGTTCTGAGGATGCTGGCTGCAATGGGGCCGTTTGGTCTGGCACAACTGGCTCGCTCAGTCGTGGCTCTGGTTCCGGTGTTCTTTCGGCCTTGTGGGTCCTCTGTATTTACTGATTCTGCCTCCCCTGCTGGCCCCTCCTGCTCTACGGGCCTCACTGCCCCACTGTTCCCTTTGAACTCCTCTGACCTGTCCTCCTCCTGGTTTTCTCCTGAGAATCGTCGCCGTAGCTGGTCGCAGTGGCGGCGCCATCAGCATTGGTTCGAGTCCTACCCTCCAGAGCAGGAGAAAACAAGCTTTCTCCATCTTCCACATGACAGCCTTTGAGATATTTGAAGGTGGCTATCACATCTCCTCTCAGTCTCCTCTTTTCCAGGCCGCACATGCCCAGCTCTTTCAAAGAGAAGCCTTGCTGACGATTGCAGCGCTTGTGGTTCCTATGGGAAAGGGGATTTCTTGAGATGCGTAAAGTCCAAGGCCATTCAGAGGTTTAAACGTGAATATCAATGCTTTGAACGGAACCTGGAACTTAACCTCTCCCTGCTCTCATTCTGCCTTTCAGCAATCATTGATGAACTGATTAAGGAAGATGGCTTCGAGGTGGATCCTGTCTCGCTTCCCCCCAGGGTCTCGCTTAACGGGCCAGCCGAGCTGATCCCCAAATGTTCCAACTTAGCATCACCAGCCGGAATGCCGAGACCAGCTGAGCCGATGGGCATGAGCCCGGTGAGGCCCTACGGCTCCTCCTTCTCAGCCTCTTGCGCGCTGCGAGACCCGTCTCCTTCCCAGCTCTCTCAGAACCTGAACAACTTGACGCTAAGGCCCCAGCTGGTTCCAAGGGGGACGTCCCTGCCGTTGCTGCCTAGTAGCCGATGCTCTGATGACTCGTGGCCCCCTCTCCCCTCTTCCCTGCGCCCAGGGATGTCCCGAGAGCAGTTGGACGACGTCATCCAGGAGCCGCCCAGGCTGGTGATCACGGAGCAGCCCAAGCAGAGGGGGATGCGTTTCCGTTACCAGTGCGAAGGCAGGTCGGCTGGAAGCATCTTGGGCGAATTCAGCACCGAGACCAACAAAACTCTGCCGACCATTGAGGTGAGTGGTGTGTGTTAGGATATTGATGTTCTGTTCCACCTAAACAGATGTGTGGAGCTGTTGTATGTCGCATGTCTGTTTACATTCCAGCACAGCTTGCTGGGAACTTCCGTTTGTGTGTAGCTTTTGCCTTACGCTTCTTGCTTGGACATAAAGGAGAGCAGACATGTTTTCTTTGTCCTGATCTATGCTGAATAAACTGCTTGTAAATATGCTTTAGGGACGCGGGTGGCGCTGTGGGTTAAACCACAGAGCCTAGGACTTGCTGATCAGAAAGTCGGCGGTTCGAATCCCTGCGACGGTGTGAGCTCCCGTTGCTGGGTCCCTGCTCCTGCCAACCTAGCAGTTCGAAAGCACCTCAAAGTGCAAGTAGATAAATAGGTACCGCTCCGGCGGGAAGGTAAACGGAGTTTCCGTGCGCTGCTCTGGTTCGCCAGAAGCGGCTTAGTCATGCTGGTCACATGACCCGGAAGCTGTCTGCGGACAAATGCCGGCTCGCTCGGCCTCTAGAGCGAGATGAGTGTGCAATCCCAAGGTCGGTCACGGCTGGACCTAATGGTCAGGGGTCCCTTTACCTTTACCTTTAAATATGCTTTACATATGCCTCTGCCTGCCCTTCCATCGCGAAGAGTTTGTTATCTCTGCTGGCTTGCGCGCTCAGCTTCTGAAAGGCTTCTGAAGCTCTGAGTCGCAGATTGATGCAGAACTGAGGACCAGAGTTTGACCAGCTGCTGGCCAGTTTGCTGGAGCCAGCTGGGGGCCTGCCAATTGCCCCCGTTCCCTTGGACGCATCACAACAGTGTATTTCATCAAAGCTCAGATTGCAGTCAGCCGTTGTTTAAAATATTCCCTTTGCCAACCGGCTGCGCTGCAGATGTTTTGGACTACAAGTCCCATCGTCCTTAGCTCACAGGACCCAATGGTCATGGACGATGGAAGTTGTAGTTCAACAACATCTGGCGACCCAAAGTTGAGAAAGGCCGTGTTAAGGCCAACAGGTTGGTGAAGGCTGTGTGAAGAACTGCACAGAACCCGTGAAAGTCTTGCCCTTTGGGAAGGTGCTGTAGGGGCAGCTCAGCCAATAGCGGCCCGTGGGCTCCTTGGTGGTGGCCCCCGAAGAAGGCCTCCTCCTTCTCTGTTTGTTTCTCCAGCTGCAGAACTTTGCAGGCATCCCAGAAGCGAAGGTGACAGCGTGCTTGGTGTGGAAGGATTGGCCTCACCGGATCCACCCTCACAGCCTGGTGGGGAAAGACTGCAACAATGGTCTCTGTGAAGTGACACTGAAGCCCCGAGCCAACCCCAAGCACAGGTAAGAACGCCTTGCATTGCTTGCGTTGCTGCAGCACTGTGTTTGCTGTGGGGTCTGTTAAAGGTGCTGAGAGTTGTTAGGGGACCCCTGTTCCTTCTCACATAGCTATAGTTCCCAGAGTTCCCTGTGGAGAGGGGTTGATAGTTAAAGCCCTCTGGGAATTGCAGTTCTGTGACAACTGTTGTTGTTTAGTCGTGTCCAACTCTTCGTGACCCCATGGACCAGAGCACGCCAGGCACTCCTGTCTTCCACTGCCTCCCGCAGTTTGGTCAAACTCATGCTGGTAGCTTCGAGAACACTGTCCAGCCATCTCGTCCTCTGTCGTCCCCTTCTCATTGTGCCCTCCATCTTTCCCAACATCAGGGTCTTTTCCAGGGAGTCTTCTCTTCCCATGAGGTGGCCAAAGTCTTGGAGCCTCAGCTTCAGGATCTGTCCTTCCAGTGAGCACTCAGGGCTGATTTCCTTCAGAATGGATAGGTCTGATCTTCTTGCAGTCCATGGGACTCTCAAGAGTCTCCTCTGGTTTATCAGAAAAAATAAGGAATATATCAAAACAGGAATTTGTTTCAAAATGGACGGTTTTCAAAGAATATCTGAAAAATAAATATAGTAGTTTAAATTCTGCTGCAGCATTCGAGGAACTTCAGAAATAGTTGCAAGGTAGATATAAGAAATTAGATTTATTAAGAATAAGTTTAATTATGATAAAAGTGTGTATTGGCAATAAGTAATATGAATTTGAAATATGGAATAGATGGGAGGTTGGCTCTTTAGTGTTAAGACCAATAGATGTTTTATTGTTTGCTAAGAAAATTATGTGTCCATGGTTATTCTTGTGTGTAATTTGGTATTTGTGTTTTTTTTTTCTTTTTTCTTGTTGTATCAATAAAAAAATTATTTATTTATTTTAAAAAAGAGTCTCCTCCAGCACCATAATTCAAAACTGTGACGACTATCAGCACCCTAAACAAAACACAGCTTCCAGTATTATTTTGGGGAAAGCTGTGGCTATTTAATGTGGTATGATTCTGCTTTAAGTGTATTGTGCCAATAGGGCCTAACTTAAGCAGGGGATATTGTATTAGGATTATGGAATTGTAGATTTGGTCCAAGCCCCTACAATGCCGGAATCTCAACTAAAGCATCCATGACAGAGCCAACATTTGCTTAAACACCTCCCAAGGAAGGAGAGTCCACGAAGGGAGTCTGTTGCCCTTTCAAACAGCTCTTACCTTTAGAAAGTTCTTCCCAATATTCAGTTGGAATCTCATTTCTTGTAACTTGAAGCCATTGGTTCAGGTCCTAGCTTCCAGAGGAGCAGAAAACAAGTTTACTGCATCTTCTGTGTGCCAGCCCTTGGAATATTTGAAGTTGGCTCTCATATCTCCTCTCAGTTTCCTCTTTTCCAGGCTAAACATACCTAACTCCCTCAACCATTCCTCATAAGGCTTGGTTTCCATCTTGGTTGCCTTCCTCTGCACATCTTCCAGTTTGTCAGTATCCTTCTTAAATTGTGGTGCCCAGAACTGGACACAGGACTGCAGGTGTGGTTTGACCAAGGCAGACTAGAGCGGGACCATTACTTCCCTTGATCAGGACGCTATAATTTGTTGATGCAGCCTAGAATTGCATTAATATTTTTTGCTGCTGCACCACACTGTATTGTGTATTGTGTGTGTGTGTGCGTATGCGTGCACAATCTGACTTATTTTAGAGGGATAAATTAATTTAAGATAACCATGTTTAGAGATGACGGTGATGAGGGATTGAGGATTGGAATTACCGTTTTGTGATATTACAAATATTACACATTACGGCAGTGGATAAAGCTGTATTATAACTTTTGAATAAGTGTGTTTTTAAAATAATAATAATAAATGAGATGATCTGGGAGTAATAGAAGGGGAATCCAACTGATTTCAAGCAGGATCTGTTGGGAAAAGAATTGGGCAGCAAATGAATTGAAGAGGAACTGCAATGGAGTGATCTGGGACAGGGTACAAAGGGTGCCAGTTGAATGAATGGCTTCTTTGAGTTATTTGGATGAGAAATAACTTGGTTTGCTTTCCATGACATTTGCAGTCAAAATCTGCAGCTGCGCATACAAAACAGCACATGTAAATTTTGTGCAAACGTATGCCTATTGGCCTGTGCTCAAAATCTTTTAAAGTTCCTAATAATAATAATAATAAATTTTCTTTATACCCCACCCTCTCCAGCCAGAGTGGGGCTCAGGGCGGCTAACACCAGTAAAATTACAGTAAAAACATAATAGGAAAAAAGCCCAATTTAAAATACAGGTTAAAATGCAATTTAAAATGCAATTTAAAATTTAAAATCCTAGCGAGTATGCTCTTGATCCCTGCTGTCTCCAGTCAGGACTGAAAAAGAGCAAGATACTGAGAATTGCAAACAACATTGATCTAGATGGAGAAATAGACCAATATGGTTTAATGCAGCTTGGAAGCAAAACGCCTCCTTTGTTGGCAGCCTTCCAGTTTCCTGAACCCCAAACTCTCCTCTGATCGCTTTGCAGTTTTAACAACCTTGGGATCCAGTGCGTGAAGAAGAAGGACATAGAGGAATCCATAGAGAAAAAGCTGCAACTTGGGATCGATCCTTTCAAAGGTATTGAGAGGCCGGGTTGGTCATAGTAGCTCCTGCAGGACTAGAATCAAAATCTGGCGGCCAGAGGCCTTTGTGCGTTGGACAACCCATCAAGGCAAAACGGGGGAGCCTGTGGTCCTCCTGATGCTGGTGGAATGCACCTTGAAGTCCAACTCCAACACCTTGAAGTCAAAATCCAGGATGCCACCTTACTGTTGTTTTTCATCGCAAGAACATGGCAGCCATTTTGGTTGCTGTGACCTGCTGTGCTGCAGATGTTTTGGACTACAACTCCCATCACCCTTAGCTCACAGGACTAAATGGCCACTGATAATTGAGAGCCAAAGGGCTGGCAAAAAAGAAATGTTTTTGCCTGGTACTCAGGGTTGCCATATTCCCCAAAGTGAAAATCAGGACAAAGTTCTTGAGCTTTTTGTTTTTTAGCTTCACAAAATCTCCCAAGAAACAAAATATTTTTGGCTTTTCTTTGATTTTTAAAGCAGTTTTTAAATAAAAAAATAGCAACCCTCCTTGCAATATGTCTGGGTTTTCCCAGGCATTTTGCCAATTCAGCAGAAAATCTGCTTGGACACCATTTCGCTGCCCAATTCCCAGACGTATCACGGAAAGCCCGGACATATGGCAGCCCTACTGGTGCCTAAAGCTATGTAATGGTGGCACCAGGTGAGCCTTTCCGAGGAGAGCTTTCCGCAAATGGGGAGCCACCACTGAAAAGCCCCTGTTTCTGCTCATATATACAACAAATGTGTTTATTCTGTGCTTGGTTTGCTCTTTCTGTTTCTCACTTTTTCTCTCTCCTTCTCTCTCTGTATAGCTGGCTCATTAAAAAATCACCAGGAGGTTGACATGAACGTGGTCAGGATTTGTTTTCAAGTCTCATACCAAGATCGCACAGGGAAGACGCGGCACCTCAGCCCTGTTCTTTCAGAACCCATCTTTGACAAGAGTAAGCAATGGGGAATATTGGAAGATGGTGAAGTGGGCGAGTGTTTTTTTTAAGCCATGGCTACAAAGGAAAATAACAAGGGCAAGTAAACAAACACCGGGGGGGGGGGGGCAAAGACATGGTGTTAGGAATCCAGCCAATCCAGTGCTTTTTCTAGGATTGAGACCCTACAAAAACCAGAAAATGGGTTGTTGTTAGTGGATAGGCGGGAATGACACACTGCACATGATCAAAAGCCTTATATTCTGATCCGGGGAGAAGCCTTGGGGTAAGGCAAGCTGGTTGCTTCAGGACCATGGAGAGCTCCTGGTGAGAAACTTGCTCCAGTAAGGGTTGGAAGTCAACAACAGCCTCCACCTCGACTGGGCTCAGTTTCCTTGTGGAGAAACTGGAGTCCATCAAAGGGTCAATACCCTGGACACTTTGCCTGTACTCCATTGGTCTCCTGTGCCATTGGACCATTGAAGTAAAGTAGGAGGCAGTTTCTTGGGCTTGGGGTGGGGGGAAGGTGCCTATGAGCTTTCTGTCTCCAGGTATATAGGCTCTGATACTGTAGGATGGTTCAGCAGCTGCCTGCCTTCCAGCCTCAGGTTCAGGGATCTGATCATCAGCCTCAGGACCAAGAACCCAGTACAGCTCCTTAACCCACGACACTTCAGCTTTCAAATCAGTGTCCTGGTCAAAGCTGGACTCCGCAGGCCCTGTGAAATTACTTTTCCAAGGAGTAAGCCCTGACATCGGAATGGGCTTTGTATCTTAGCTTTGGATGATTGCCCTTTAAGGGAATGTTCCTCCCATGCACCCCCTGCTATGTGTACGATCTGGGCTTTCTCTGGAGAAGGTCCCTTGCAGTCACATGGAGCAGAAAAGAAAACACATGTGGTTATGGGAAGCAGGGTCAGATCCTAACGCTGTGGGTTTGGGTACGTGCAGAATCCACAAACACGTCGGAGCTGAAAATCTACCGGATGAATAAGGAGTATGGCAGCTGTACGGGTGGAGAGGAGCTCTATTTGCTGTGTGATAAAGTCCAGAAAGGTAAGTGAGAAGAACCCCAGGGATCTTTCGTGGGTCTCATTCCCCAACACATCAGGCTTGCTGAGCTTGTTTGATTGGGTGCCTGCAGTTCTGAACCGCAGGCCCCAAGCGCAGGCCTGTGAAAGTGGTTTGATGCAGGAATCCCAAAGAGGGATTTCAAAAATGCCAGAATGGCCCGTTCTAGTGCTTTATTAAAGAAAGGTGTCAACTTACAACACAGAGTGCAGAGTCTCACTGCCTTTACAGATTCAGGACAGACACTGCAACAGTGAGAGGTTGTCATGACTTATGCACCCCCAAGCAAATGTATATACATCCTTTATGCACTAACCAGCATACGTCAGTTTACCCAGAACCTCCTAGAACACCTGGCCGGTGAGGCCATAGGTGGCAGTTAGCCAAAGCTTCTCAAGGTCTACAGATAAGCGTAGCATCAAGCCAGCCGACTACCACAAGTGAATATAAACATATATGAGCTCATTCTTGCAACATTTGCCAATTATTCTGGAGTTATCTTGACTACCAAAGATGGTGCTTTAAGGCCTTCTGGAACATTTCAGCTTTGGTTCAACACAACCGTGAGGAAGACAGAGAAGTGTGATGGGTTCAGCTTCCATTCTTAAGAGGAGGCAGAGCTCATCTTCTTTCTTTGGCAACCCCTCGTAGCCGAGTAAGATTGTCTTCCATGAACACAATCTTAACAGTGAGTCCGTAAATGACTGTGGAGGTCGATTCTGGATCTGCACATCCTTCCAATGGGGACATAGGTTTCTGGCTGGGAGTTGATCACGGTGAGGGTTTGCCAAGTGTGCCTTCCTCTTAGCACATTTCTCCTTTTCATCCTGAGTTCGAGCATCTTCAAAGCCCATGACACCTTCGTTAAAAGCTGTTCTCTAATTGGAGCGCTCGCAGGCCAGTGTTTCCCAATTGTCGGTGTTTATACTACATTTTTTTTTAGATTTGCTTTGAGAGAGTCTTTGAACCTCTTTTGTTGACCACCAGCATTATGCTTTCCATTTTTAAGTTCAGAATAGAGTAGTTTCTTGGGCAGACAATAATCAGACTTCCTGGAGGGGAAGACCTTATCTAAAAGGACCTCCTTGCCTCTGTCGTCCTTGCAGAAGACATCTCCATCATCTTTCGAAGGGACAAGTGGGAAGGGAAAGCTGACTTTTCCCAAGCCGATGTTCACCGGCAGATTGCCATCGTCTTCAAGACGCCACCGTACCAGCACCTTGACATTGTGGAGCCGGTGGAGGTGGAGGTATACCTCCGCCGTTTGACGGACAGCGTCTCCAGCGACCCCTTCAACTTCACCTACCTGCCAAAGGACAACGGTATGATGGGAGCATGAGAAATTGTCTGGTACCAAGTCAGGCGGTTCATCCATCTAGCTTAACACTGGCTGGCAGGGTCTTGGACAAAGTGCGCCTTCCCTTTCACTTTATACCTTTTCCTTTTAGCCAGAGATACCAGAGATTGAGGGGACGTGGGTGGTGCTGTGGGTTAAACCACAGAGCCTAGGACTTGCCGATCAGAAGGTTGGCGGTTTGAATCCCCGCGACGGGGTGAGCTCCCGTTGCTCAGTCCCTGCTCCTGCCAACCTAGCAGTTCGAAAGCACATCAAAGTGCAAGTAGATAAATAGGTACCGCTCTGGTGGGAAGGTAAACGGCGTTTCCGTGCGCTGCTCTGGTTCACCAGAAGCGGCTTCGTCATGCTGGCCACATGACCCGGAAGCTGTACGCCAGCTCCCTCGGCCAATAGAGCGAGATGAGCACCGCAACCCCAGAGTTGGTCACGACTGGACCTAATGGTCAGGGGTCCCTTTACCTTTACCTTTAAAATGCGAAAAATATAGGATATTAAAAGAGGGGAGGGACTTGCTGAACAAAATAATTGAACTGGAATACAAAAAAGGAAGGTGTGAGGAGGTCCTGGAAATAAGTAAATGAAGGTTAAGTAATGAAAGGAAAGAATTGTTTTTATATTTTTACTATGTATTTTCTTTTTTATTCTTTTTTTTTCTTTTTCTTTGTGTGTTTTGTAAAACATTGAAAACTTTAATAAATATCTTATAAAATGCGAAAAATAAAATGAAAATGTACTTCTTTGCCAAACCTTTGGATCAATCTTTCTGCAGACACTTACCGGGTGAACAAAAAAAGGAAGCAAGGCATGCCCGATGTCCTAGAGGAGCTCTCTGGCCCAGGTTTGTATACTTGCTGGCAACTCGGTTTGCTGCCCAAGGGGTCACGGATATGTTTTGCAGAATCCGCACACGGTGGACGGTTTTGTCCAACTTCCCTTTTGCCTTTTGTTTCACCAGACCCTCATGGGATCGAAGCCAAAAAGAAGAGAAAGAAGCCAGGGTACATGGACCATTTCAACTTGACTCCGTCCGCAGGTCAGTCCGGCTAGGCTAGGCCGAAGCCTGCCTCTGTTTGGAGCCTACTGAGTTCTAAACTGAATATTATGCAGTAGTACAGAAAATTATTGAAGAGGGCACAGCGGTGGTCCCACCAACCCCTCTCCCCAAACACACACCAGAGGCTTTCCATAACGTTTCGGGAACCCAGTTTGCGGGCAAAGCCACTGTTGTGGTGAGCTGGTGTAAAAATGAAGCAAAATCTCGGCCTCTGACAGCTCTCCTTCCACTGTCAGAAGTAGCATGCTTCTGAATACCAGTTGCTGTGTAGCCTTATGAGGCTTTGCCCTCGGGTGGGAAAAATATTGCGCCCGGGAAAAGGGAAGTGGGAGTCAACAGACACTCAAAGAATAGTTTCAGAGAAAAAGCTTTATTTCTACCATCCATGAACTGGTAGAAGGAGCAAGTGTGATAACTCACAAAAAGCATGCACGGGTTCACAGTCATGTGCACAGAGTATATATGTTTTTAGAATGTTGCCCTATTTTAGTGTTGTTAGCCGCCCTGAGCCCGGCTTCGGCTGGGGAGGGCGGGATATAAATAAAATTTATTATTATTATTCTCATTCCCGTTCCCTCCCCTTTCTCCTCCTTCTTCAAGAGTCCTGCCCATGAGTTCCTCTGAGCATGAACAGAAAGCTGTCTTGGGACTATTGTGGCACCCTTCCCAGGAAAGGGGGAATGAGAAGCCAAAGGGGGGTGGGTCGAGAAGCCCTGGTGGTTCGGCATGTCCAAGATGTTGCAACCGAATGAGATAAGATTCAGTTCTCAGGCCGGAGTATTCTTGCCATTGACAGAGTCTATTCATTAGCCTTTTGAAGCCTTCTTGTACTGATAAAAAAATAACATTTTGCCTATGTACCAGCATCTTGTGAGAATCCACAGAAAAGCTGTAGCTGTGGGTTTTTAGAAGACAAAAGGAATTTTGGACAGTTTTGAGGCCTGGTTGGGCGGGGGGTGACTTCGGGCCTAGGTGGGGTCACCTGTCCTCACCTCCTACAGCTGCAAATGGCAGGAGGGGATCCAGAAGATCTCTTCTTATTTCCGATAGCTATTGTTACCTTGGGGAAAAGTCACTTGAGTTGGCTATTCTGGATTCTCCGTCCCTGCAAAGTGCTTTAAAAACTGAGCTAAACCAAGGAGAGGGTTTGTTGGCAGAGTAGCTAAATTGCAGCTAGGAAGCCAAATCATGTGCAATACTGACTCTTTCCTTTAAATTAAACAGTGTCCACTTGTTAAAATACACAAAAGCTTTTACTTGCAGAGCATATAGCTAAAGAAGAATATATTCAAAGTATTCATATTCTCATGCTTATGCAAGCATGGGCTTAGTTTTTCTTAGTTGAAGATTGCAGCTTCTTCCTCAAACAGTCAAACAAACTGTGTTTCTTTCTTCCTTTCCAGTGTTTGCTCTCAAGCTAAGCCATGCAGTTCTTTCTAAGAGGCTTCCATTTTCTCCTTCCAGCAGACTTCTCCTTACTGCTTCTTTGGGAGAACATCAAGTTCTGTACTTCTTTCTGTCACATCCATTCACACATTAGCAAGCCTCTCCCCTTTATTGTGTTTAGAGAAGAGTTATCTAACACGGGTCTCTCCTTCAGTGTTCACAGAGATGCAGCTAAGTCGGTCGCGCAGAAAATAAGGCGGAGAATGTAATAAGATGCCTCTCATGTGACACGGGAGTTACTGGGGAACATTCCAGAATTAACCACACAGTGATGCATTTAAGCATTCCCCAATTTCAGTAAATTGAAGCGCTATACTTAACAGGGTTTGCTAAGCAGGAAGATTCTATGCAAGACAGAGTTGTTCCGCCTGGCCTTCGGCTTGGAATCAATTTGATTCCCTCCCCCTCTTCTTTTTTCTTTCCCCTCCTGTGATGGAACTCGTATTTGGGGACTTCCCTGGCTTTTTCTGGCCCGTGTAGGACCAGTTTGGAAAGTTAGCCATGCTGAAGACTTGACGTTTTCATCCCCCCAAAACATTTTTTATTTGAGTTTCCATTTAATGAGGCTGTATTTTAATATTTTAATGTTGTATTTTAATCCTGTTTTAAATTTGTATTTCAATCAGTTTGTTTTATATTGGATGTTAGCCACCCTGAGCCCGGTCTTGGCTGGGGAGGGTGGGGTATAAATAATTTTATTATTATTATTATTTATTATCATGGGTAAGCAAACTAAGACCTGGGGGCCGGATCTGGCCCAATTGTCTTCTCAATCTGGCCTGCAGATGGTCCGGGAATCAGCGTGTTTTTACATGAGTAGAATGTGTGCTTTTATTTAAAATGCATCTCTGGGTTATTTGTGGGGCATAGGAATTCGTTCATTATTCCCCCCCCCCGAATATAGTCCAGCCCCCCACAAGGTCTGAGGGACAGTGGACCGGCCCCCTGCTGAAAAAAGTTTGCTGACCCCTGATCTATGTCATGTTTTGTAGAGGGGGTCTGTGACTGTTCTCAGATGCCCCCGAGTAGCGTTGATTTCCTTGTTCTGGTTGCAGATGGCTCCTTGACCGGTTCGGAAGACAGGAATAGCCTGAGCAACTTGGAGCGTATCACCGTGCCAGACCTGTTTGAGGACTACAACCTGGGCCAAGACTTCTCTTCCTACAACGGCCCCACCTTGAGCGATATCCTGCTGCCAGCTGCTATGGACTTCCCAGATTCCGCAGAACAGGAGTTCCTGCTGGATGCTTATTCCATCCACTCTGGCATCTCGGCCCCCTTCCCGTTCCCTGTGGATTGTGACCCAGAGGGCACAGCCAGTTTGGTGGGGAGCAGCATGTTCCCCAGCCAGTACAAGGAGGCCGAAGCACGACTGGAGATGGAGACCAAGCTCAAGTCAACAGACAGCGCTGCAACCTTGTGAAGGAGCATGGGCCCACTGTGGCCTGGGAGGGAAGGGGCCTCGCTCTCCATTTTGAATCTTACCGGTAGCAGAGAGATCCCTGGGCAAAGCAAACGGGGATGTTTTCCCTACTGGCAAACTGAAGAGGGGAAAATTACATTGATCTCGATCGGGGATCCGTGACAGGCTTCCCTTAGGGAGATAAGACATGGTGTGAATGGAAGGAAGGAAGATTGCACTAATAACTGAATTGCAGGGGAGGGAAGTGCCCTCAGTGTTAGCCCCCTGCATTTGGCTTCCTAGTTTCTCTTCCTCAGTTTTCCCCATCTGTAAAATCGGGTCAACAACACTGACTTGTTCTGCTAGGGCAAAAATGTCAGACTAGCAAATGTAGTCTTGTTAGTTTCATGGGTGTACCCCTAAGGCCTTTTCCTCTGCTTGAAGACTTATGCCGATCTGTCGTGGAACGTTTTGTACTTCGGATTCTTTTTGCAAAGTCCACGCACACTGCAATAGCTAATGGGCGGCCTTGTGTTTTGGAGTAGCTCAGGAGCTGATCTAACATAGATACGTAACGGTATATTCCACAAGGACATGTCTTTCAATACATTTATGAAGTCATGAGACTTAGCTGTTGGTCCACCTGGTGTTGCCCTAACAGTGATACTCCTGGTTTTTCTCTCTAGCTGCTGCAGATACCTATCTAGAGGTGCCAAGGATTGAATGTGTGACTGCCCACATGCAATGAATGTACTTATTCTCTAACGCAGAATTACAACCTCTCCCTCTCATCTTCTCTGTGCAAAGCAAGCCTCTTGGGGCTAAAAGCTTGCACCACTTTTAAACAGTGCACTTGAGGCTGTCTGATACGGCTAGGTCCAGAGACAACAGACATTATTGCAAGCCAGGATATTGTCGGGTGGGATGTGGGAGGCTGTGCTTCTCTTCCACCTGTATAGACTACAACATGTCACTAGCATGAAAGTGCTATGTGGTACATCAAAATCTTTTTTAAATGTCCATGTCCACTAGGAAGGGGTGTTGTAGAGCTGAGGAGGAAATTTGCTCACAGTAAAAAAATTGGTAAGCACCTAACATTGTTTTGCATTTCAGAATGTTTCTTGTAACTGCAGATCCTCGTACCCCTGCCTACTGGCCAGCCAGAATGTTGCTGAGCTCTTTCATGGTTGCTAAAGGTTTCTTAAGGTATTCCCCAAGCACTTGTCAAGCCTATCTGTCCAGCCTTAGGGCCTAGAAATTTAGGGTGCTTCCAAACAAGGACTTAATGCTTTGAATGGGTCACTGAGATATCGCAAACCGGTCGTTGGCAACCATTTTTGTTTTTCTGTGTAACTTCTTTGGGTTTTCCCTGCAAAGGGGAAATCCAGATTTAATGGAGGGGAGGGGAGAAAAAGGCTGGTGTTGTGATGACAGAAAAACAACAACACATGTGTTAAGGAGCGAGTATTATAGGCCTTGACTTGACTCTTGCATCCTGAGTGTAAATTTTTCACATTTGGAACCAGAAAAACACGGTGTGTTTTTCCTAATGGGTTGCATTGTAACTAAATCCTAGACAGAGTAGACCGACTGGAAATCAATAGGCCTAAGTTAGTCAAGTGTATTAATTTAAGTGGGTCTTCTCCAGTGCTATTTTTCTAGAAAAAGGGGGGCTGGAACGCCTCCCTCGTTCTCTTAGAATGACAATGGCGCCTTCCTGAGAGGTGCCAGAACTGAGTTCTGGTGAGTTTCGACTGAAAAAAAGCCCTGGTCTTCTCGTGAGTGCAACTGACCTTGGATACAACCCAAGGTGACCTTGACACTGCAGGTCCTTAGCAGCTACCAGCAAAAGGGATGTGACCTTTCTAAAAAAGCTCATCCTTGGAAACCGAATAGATCCCTAGAAAGAGGATAGCACCATAGATAGCTTCCCCCTGCCTTTTTCTCCTTTTTGGCATTCGACAATGAAACTGTCCCTAGGCACCATTCTGAATTTAGAAGACATCACCACCTCCTCAGTGCTGGTAAATGGTTTTTGTCACATTCTCCCTTCTTCAGGTTTCTTCCTGCTTCTGTAGCTTTAAAATCAAAAGTTGCCTGAGGTTAAAGGTTGAAGTAGCTGAAAGTATTTTGATGTTGTTATAATAAGAATAAAACACAACCACTTGATTTCCAACCCCATGGTCACATAATCACTCTTTAAAAAAGCATTTCAAGGTGTGTAAGGAAAATAAATCTTCAAAAGCTGTCACAGAATCTGTAACCAGGCAGGGAGAATAATTTATACATCTTGGGATGGTGGTAATGTTGGATGGGTCCTTTTGAATGAAGTACTGTACCTTCTCTGGGCTTACCTTTCAAATGTATGCATTATTACTGGCTTAATTTTAGCCCTATAACCTGTTTTCTGTGCCACGGCTGAGCCCTGGAAAGATGTGAAGTATTAATAAAACAGGCACTGCTTCGGATTGTGTACGGGGCTTGTTTCCTTGTCAGTTGCTAACTTCAAACAACGCTGGATGCTTGCAGACTTGCCCTTTTCGGGTGGGATTCAGTTCCATATCAGCAAGTTTGGGTTGTGCAGTTAAAGCTGAGGTGGAGCTCTTGCACAGCAAGCCTACTTCCCCAGAGGACCGGACTTTTTGCCATAAGGAAAGTGAGAGTGAAACACAGTTGACAGCGTAGGATAACGCTTGCTTTGACACAACTATTTTCTAGCCTCCCCGGAGACAAACCCAGGTGAGTATTCAGTAAGCAAGTCATCTGGAAAAGCTGCTCCACACTTTTTGGCAGTTAGGGAGCAGAGATAGTGAGTCAAAGGAGGTGTCTTCCAAGGGCAAGTTTATTTCAGCCCTGGCACTTTGGAAGGACAGGTCAACCCCACCCCTTGGGCCTAGAATTATCCTTTTTTCAAAATTTATATTCTGATAATTGTATCTCGCCTTTCTTCAATTATGGAGCTCAAGGTGGAATTTCCAGGTATCTTGTTTATTTAATATATTTATATCCCGCCTTTCTCCCAAGTTGGGCTTCAAGGTGGTTTTTACAAAAGTTTAAAAACATCAGTTATAAAATACAGAATAATACAAACAAAACTGGTTAAAAGCAACAATGGCAATGCAGATCTGAAAACAGCAATTTAAATATAATTTACCTCAACAGGAGCCTAGTGATCAGCACCGTCTGCACCTGATTTTCCACAGGCTTGTCTGAGCAGGTAGATCTTGGCCTCCAACATAGTTGGAGCCAACCTAACCCCTCTTGGGAATGAGGGCTACCAACTTGGATGGTTTCAAAACAAGATTAGACAAATTCATAGAGGAGAAGGCTATCAATGGCTACTAGCCAGGGGGGACTGTGCTGTACCTCCACTGTTGGAGGCAGCAATATTTCCAAATCCCAGTTGCTGGAAACAACAGGAGGGGTGAGTGCTCTTGCCCTCGGTTCCTGCTGCTTGGGGGTTTTTCCCACGGACACCCTGGTGGCCATTGTGGGAGCAGGATGCCGTTGGCTCAGTTGGTTAGAGCGTGGTGCTGGCAGCACCAAGATCCCCATATACGGGGCCACCTGCATATTCCTGCATTGCAGCGGGTTGGACTGGATGACCTTTGGGTGCCCCTTCCAACTAGGATTCTATGACCAGATGAGGCCATTGGTTGGTCCAGCAGGCCTCTTAACTTCTTGCGCTGCCGTTCAGGGGCTAAAGCTGGCTTTCCGCCCCTTCCTGCCTTTTCCCAATGCATGTTTGTGGATTATGGGATGGAATTGGGATCCGTTTTAAGACACAGACCCCCCAACAGAGCTTTCACCTCCTCCTGCGCCTGCGCGGGCGCTTCCTTGCGATGCTTTCCCACTACTGACCAGCAGAGGGGGATGTTCCTAGAGAACGGAAGGCGGGAGGGCTGAGGAGCGCTGTGATTGGCCGGCGCCGCCACCGGTCACGCGACTCACTCCGGACGAATGGGGGCTTCGGCCAGGAAGGTATGCGCTCTGTCTGTCCCCTCGCGTTCCCCACGCTCTATGGCCCTGGGGTACTTCCGGTTCCGGTGTGGGAGCTGCGACTTTTGGGGCGGGTGAGGAATGGCCTCTCCTGTCCTCTAATCTGCGAGCTGGCCGGGGCTGGTGGCTGAGGGGGCTGTTTGACAGGGGAGCCCTGCTCTCTCGCTCGCTCTCAGGTGAACGGGGCCTATTCGCTTGTGGGGAGGAGGGTGAAGCAGCCTGAGGGAGGGCGCTGTCCTGTGGGAGCCCCTTTGGCCTCAGGAAAAGAGGATGTAAGATAGAGAGACATCTTGATATTGCAGAGATAGGTGTATTAACATAACATTCATGCGCGGTTGCTGGGAGGGGGGGCGCTGTTTTGACACGTCAGCCCTGCTCCCTCTCTCATAATCTATTAATATGTTAATTAATATATTAGTAGTATACAGTGGTACCTCGGGTTAAGTACTTAATTCGTTCCGGAGGTCTGTTCTTAACCTGAAACTGTTCTTAACCTGAAGCACCACTTTAGCTAATGGGGCCTCCTCCTGCTGCCGCACAATTTCTGTTCTCATCCTGAAGCAAAGTTCTTAACCTGAAGCACTATTTCTGGGTTAGCGGAGTCTGTAACCTGAAGCGTATGTAACCTGAGGTACCACTGTATATTCATATATTAGTAATATATACTATAATCCGTGCATTGGAATTATTGGGGTGGACTATCTCATTCTTCCCCTTTCTACTATATATACACTTCACCCCAGTAATTCCCACATATTGATTATATATATTTATATTAATATCTATATCTATCTAGCTATATATAAACAGTGGTACCTTGGGTTACAGACGCTTCAGGTTACAGACTCCGCTAACCCAGAAATAGTACCTCGGGCGAAGAACTTTGCTTCAGGATGAGAACAGAAATTGTGTGGCAGCGGCGCAGCAACAGCAGGGGGAGGTCCCATTAGCTAAAGTAGTACCTCAGGTTAAGAACAGTTTCAGGTTAAGAACAGACCTCCAGAATGAATTAAGTTCTTAGCCTGAGGTACCGCTGTATACACATACAGAGAGGGATGGTTTTGTGTGTGTGTGTGTGTGTGTGTGTGTATATATATATATATATATATATATATAAAATCGATACGTATGTGGGAATTATTGGGGTGGAGTATTTCAGTTTCCCCCTTTCCACAACAGAGAATAAGCTACCCAGTTCTCGGGAGCCAAAATATAATTTTAAGAGTCAGATCTGCCATTATAGGGCCATTTAGGGAGGAGGGGGAGATATAAAAACATATTGAGGGTTGGAACAATTTTTTTAAAAGACATATTTCAGGATTTACTTTTCTTCCGCCCTCCACCCCCAACAGCACGTTTTTAAGCACCTCTGGATTTTCCCTAGTTTCAGAGAGCATTCCTGCCATGGAGCATTAATTGTTTTTTGCCAAAAAAGGAGCTTTTCAGGATCCAGTTGTAAGATTCTGTCTTTTCTCAGGCTCACAGTGTTACAAAAGGAATGATGCACAAGGAAAAGAGGGGAGGGGAAGGGGGAAAGAAAAGAAAGCTACCTCAGGAGCCAGTTCTTAAAGAGATTGTTTCTGGCTGGGGTGGAAATAGTTCAGTTGGGGCCTGTCACTTGGTGGGCGACAGTTGGGGAGAAGAGCCAGCTGCAGCTGGTGTCTGCCCTGTGGTATGGCTGCTGCTGGGTGACTGATAGAATAGAATTGAGTCAGTAGGGATGTTACAGTGGATTAAGATGTATCTCTTTTTCCAGGCTATTGAGGAATTATGACAAAAATGCTCACTGCTGTCTCTTAACTCTTGTTTTTTTGGGGGAGGGGTTCCTGTGGTGTTACTGTTAAAACTTCATGTTGATTTAAAAAAGAAAAAAAATTGCGGGTTGTATCCATCTAAATTCTACTTGGAGTAGACCACTAATGGACCTAAGTTAGTCATATCCATTAATTTCAGTGGTTCTACTCTGAGTATGGCTAACATTGGCACCAACCCTGTGTGTGCAAATTGCTGAAGGACATTTTAATATTAAGCAACAAATCTATAATAAATAGTAAAAAATCAAGGGGATATTGCTGAAATTTTCAGCAGCTACACCCAAAGGTGTACCTAGTTATATGTATAGCCGAGAACGTAATATTCAAGTTCTCTATCTATAGATGCCTGCCTTAGAATATTGTTCATAATGTTATATACTATGTGGAATAATCCTAGGTGTGCTGTTTGCCAGGTTTGTGCCACAGTATAATATTTTATTTTTATGTGGCCGTCTTTTCGTCTTCCTTCCCACCAAATGTGTTAGCATCATATTTTTGTGTAATGATGATTTTTAATTTAATTATGCTCATGGTCACTTGCTAACTATTCCAGCATCACTGATTTCCTGAAAGTCCTTTTCATTATTTCGCTTTCCTGAATGGGACCTACTGCTCCCTTTCTGTCTTTTCAGCTTTTTTAAAGGAGTACATAGAGATAAGACTCCTCTGAAAATGGCAAGCTGTGGCTCAGCTTCCAGAGGGGTAGCCATGGTTTAATCTGTTGCAGCAGAAGCAATGAGATCTATTAGAAATGTAAAAGACTTGCAGGTGTTGTGGCATTAGCTTTCATGAGCTAGAGTTCATCAGGTGCTTGTCATGATGTGGACTCTGACCCAGGAAAGCTTATGCTTTAATAAAAGTGTTGGTCTCTAAGGTGCCACAAGATTCTTTATTGTTCAAGCAACGGCTCAGTTGCCTAAAAGCGTCATGGTAGGGCTAGGACTTTCAGAGGTCTGTGGTGAATGAGGTTTCTCTTTTTTTCAGGTGAGTCTGAATGGTGATGGGCTGCAGCTTGCATTCAAAAGCTGTTTCAGTTTGTCAGCAGAATTCAAAAGGCACTCGTGCCTCTGCTGAATGCTGAGTGTGTGCTTTTATGTACATGTGCCCTCTTTGCAGGTAGCCAGGTCGCTTTTTAATTGTTTGAGAGCACCTTCTCCTTCACCTACTGAGCTGATTTCAAAGTCCAAACGAACAGTGTCCCAAAAAGGTGAGGCAGAGTGAACCTTTCCTACCCACAAGTTGGGAAGTGCAGAAAGATGGGAAGTGTGTTCTGCTTTTTGTCTTGAAAAACAGCCCTGATTCCCTGTGCTTCGGCTAATTGCTTTGAATTTTGGTGACTGCAGCCTGAATAGAATAGCTTTGCAATGCTCTTGGAATACGGAATGGCAACTGGAGGTCCATGGGACCGCATCTTGACCCTCCTTGTTCTACTTTGCCTCAGGAGTACAGTAAAAAGGAGTATAGTAATAGGACTGGAGTGAACCATTGGGAGAGAGTTTGAGGTAGGAATTTGCTACTCCCCTTTCTGAAAGAGATGAACTAGTTGCTGACTAGGCTACTAGCTGAGACTGTACGAAATATTTTGAAGATGGGTGCTCTGTAGATTATATTTTTGGTGTCTGTAACTCCTTGGCTTTTTTCCTTTTGAAGGATTTAAACAAGACTGGATTTTATTTATTTTTTAACAAGAGAAGAGCATCATTCAAATACATTGGCATACAGAAATATTTAAGTCCACATGAGAAGTATGTGTTCCACGGAGAGGAATGTTTCAGGACCATCCATGGGCTCTGCAGTAGCCTTCCCAACTCTTTGGGATTTGCAATCTCAGATATCTGAAAGTCACCACATTGAGAAGGCTGCTCCAGGGGTTTGGACGCCCTGTCCAATGACTTGCATTTGGTGTCCAGTTTTAAATTAGAAACAAGCAACGTTTCTAGATTTCATGGTGGTTTGGAAATGTTTAGCGAATCTGTATGCTTGTAAAAAGAATACACAGATGAGGATGGGTTTCTGCATAGCATTTTTCTGCATGTAGGGTCCCCACTTGGGTAAAAGGATGCACATATTTTGTAACGTAGGAGTGGCTAATACACCAGCGATTTTCTTGGAGATGTCAATCTGATAGATGATCTGCTTCTTAGCAGCTTATTTGATTAAATTTAAATATTTTTGCATATCTACAGGTTTCAGTATAGAAATTTCACCTTCAGATATTAATGTGTGAGTTTTTTTTTAAAAGAAGCTGCCACACATGTTAAAAATGGCCCTCTTCTAACAATATTTTTATTCACTATTTTAGTAATGGACCAGAACTAAAACAACCTATTAAAAATAAAGCAGTATGTCACTAACTTTTCATCCTTGCTGATTAAAATTTGACAGTGCTGATTTATTTTGGGAGTGAGGGAAACTCTCTTTACACAAGGACCCAGGAGACAGAAGGGTATTTTGCCTCACAAATTGATCACCTTCGTGGGCAGTCAATACAAGCCTTGTTAATGACGCCATGCAGTGGAAAGGGGCTACAGTTACAGCCTATTTGCTTGGGTACACAATAACTTGGGTTAAATTGCTGTGCACTCCGTGTTTTTATTCCAACATGAATATGTTTTATTCTATTTGTGGGTGAACTTGCAGGCAAATGTCTTCCCACAACCATTCTTACCCATTCTGACTTCACAATTATCTAGGATACCCCTCCTGGATACACAGAGTGTCTTCGATCTCTTCATGGGCTGTGATTAGTGAAAAGAAGAGCATCCATTTTGACATTTCTCAAGTTCCTGCTCTGAGTGAGTATTGGCTTTGCATGTCAGGACTTCCAGCTGCAGTACGATTTGTCAAAGCTCCCTTGACTTGCAACTCTTCCCAGCCATCCACTTCGCTCTTATACCTGCACAGGTTTTCTTTTCAGAGTGTGCTTCTACTGTCCAACTCCTCCCCATCTGAAGGAGGCAAACTTAGAGAAATGATTTGCACAAGGTGAAGCAGGCATTGTTCTCTGAGGTTGGCTGATTCTGCCACACCTCTCCATTGGGGAGGGTTGAATCCACTAATGATGCGCAGAGATGCCAGTATTAGTTGCCCCCACCTGAGGCTGCTTGGAAGGAGGCAAGACCAGAGTAGTAACTTGTCTAAGCAACATAATGGGCGGCCTCCTCTCTTGGCGGCCGCTGAGACCATATAACACTTGTCTTGAAAGACCTACACTGGCTCCCAGTACGTTTCTGAGCACAATTCAAAGTGTTGGTGCTGACCTTTAAAGCCCTGAACGGCCTCGGCCCAGTATACCTGAAGGAGCGTCTCCACCCCCATTGTTCAGCCCGGACACTGAGGTCCAGCCCCGAGGGCCTTCTGGCGGTTCCCTCACTGCGAGAGGCCAAGTTACAGGGAACCAGGCAGAGGGCCTTCTCGGTAGTGGCGCCCGCCCTGTGAAACGCCCTCCCACCAGATGTCAAAGAGAAAAATAACTACAAAACTTTTAGAAGACATCTGAAGGCAGCCCTGTTTAGGGAAGCTTTTAATGTTTAATAGGTTATTGTATTTTAGTGTTCTGTTGGAAGCTGCCCAGAGTGGCTGGGGAAGCTCAGCCAGATGGGCGGGGTATAAATAATAAATTATTATTATTATTATTAGTTGGTTGGCTTATATGGCTTCACAGGAGGCTTCAATTTATTTTACTGTATTTCTTATGTCACACTAGCATGTCCCGACACAATTTTTGGGAGCTGCCGCTTTTCTCCCTGCTGCTTTCAGGTGCTTGATGCACGATGAGATCTCTTAATGCTGTTATCAAACCATTACATTTGCTCTGGGTGCAACAGATCCTTGGGTACGTGTGTGAGAATGTTGCTTCGTGCAGTTTTGGTGTCATCTTCTCTCCTGTTCTTGCCCTTTTCTCTCTAACAGATTGTAGGCGGGCAGGATGTGGCACGAAGCTCGAAAGCATGAGCGCAAGCTCCGGGGGATGATGGTTGATTACAAGAAGCGAGCTGAGCGCCGGAGGGAGTATTATGAAAAGATAGTGAGTGTCTCCCTCTTTTGCCTACCCTCCCTTTTTGTCCAGTGTTCCCAATGAGGGAGTTCTCTGTGTCCCGCTCCTTTCTCTCCTCATCCTTGAGAAAGGGAAAGGGAAATCATGGGGAGCAAGTAGCTCTTGAATGGCACCATCTGGCTTCTTCTTAAGATGTGACTCGTAAGAATTCTGCCTCTAAGAATTTGTGCTTAGAGCATATGCAGAGGTCACAGGTTTAGTCTCTGCCGTCTCCAGGAAGGACTGGGAAAGTCTTCATCTGAAGCCCTGCAAAGGAGAGGTGAGGAGCCTCTGGCCCTTCATTTAGGAATCATCTGAAGGCAGCCATGTATAGGGAAGCTTTTTAAGGTTTAATGTTTTACAGTCATACCTCATGTTATGTCCACTTCATGTTACGTTCTTTCAGGTTACGTCCCGTGGCGACCCGGAAGTACCGGAAAGGGTTACTTCCGGGTTTCCACGCATGCGCAGAAGCACAAAATGATGTCATGCGCAGAAGCGGCGAATTGCAACCCGCGCGTGCACAGATGCACCGCTGCGGGTTGCGCTCTTTTCATGTTGCGAACGGGCCTCCGGAACGGATCCTGTTCGCAATCAGAGGTACTACTGTACTATGTTTTTCTATATGCTGGAAGTCTCAATCAGAGGTACCACTGTACTATGTTTTTCTATATGCTGGAAGCCGTACAAATAAATTATTATTATTATGTTACCATAACTGTAACTCCCATCAGCCCCAGCAAGCATGACAAATGGCCAAGGATGATGGGAGTTGTAGTTTTGAAGCCACTTCCCATAAGCATAGACCATACTGTGCCAAGATGAAGCTGCGGTCTGCTTAGGAATATGACAGCTTGTTGTGTTGTGCTTCTCTTCCAGAAAAAGGATCCCGCCCAGTTCCTCCAGGTCCACGGCCGTGCATGCAAAGTCCACTTAGATTCTGCTGTGGCTCTTGCAGCTGAAAGCCCTGTGAATATGTGAGTAGCTTTCAGCTCTGTGCTGGCAATGTGGAAGTTTGTCTACTGAAAACGAGTGGGGAGGCTGCCCTTGTCATGTGATTCCTCCCCGAGGGTATTTTGGAAGGACTTCTAACCCCCTTCCCTTGACATCTTGCCCCTTGCAGGATGCCATGGCAGGGGGATACTAACAACATGATTGATCGGTTTGATGTTCGAGCCCACCTGGACTACATCCCCATGTATACTCCTCCGCTGCTAAACCCAATGTAAGGCGTTCATTTGCTTTTTTTTATTATTCTGAGATGCATTGCCCCTTGCTTCGGGTCCCTTGCTTTGTTTGCACAATGAAATGGTTAATTGGAAGCTGAAAACAGAGAAAAGAGGAGCTTGGATAATTAGGCTTGACGCCTGACTTTATCATCCGGAAGGGGCAAGCAAGCGTTAAACGAAATAGTGGGATTTCTTATGTCGGGTAGGTTAAGGCCAGAATTGTCCAGAATCTTTGCACAGTTGGGCTATTAATATACTGCACAGTTTGAGGCAACAGAGCCTTGTTGCTATCCAAGAGAGATTTGAGGATTTCCTCTGCCAGATCATTGCTGTACTACTTCTGAAGAGGAGGGTGGGCTGGTATTTTGCTATTAAAGGACCCATTTGGCATTTGAAATGCCTGCGAGTCTTCTCCAAAATTGTGCTCCCGTATTATGCAAATGAACATAAAATTATGCAGTCTAATGGGTATTCTCTAACTACTAGTTTTTAACCTTCTTTGGTTTTTTTTTTTAATGGTTGAAAGGATTGAGGTTTCATTATTAAAGTAAAATGCCCTGGTTGTCTTCATATCTAAGTGATGCAAAAAATGTGTGCAGGGATTTCCCTTAGAAACAGCTAAGCAAATGAATGGTTACATGCAGACCTGTATGTTTTTGCTTATGCCTTCATGGAGCATTTTTCCATCCTTTTAACAGTTGGCTTTGTAAGCTAGGGTCCAAAGAACCATGCGATTAATCCTGTGATGCTAAAGGGGTCCCCTTTGACTTCTTTGAACGTGGGGGTGAGGGCCCTTGCTCAGTGGTAGACCATATGCTTCACATGCAAAAGGAAACAGCTGCAATCTGTGGGCTAGAAAAGTGTCATTAAAAAAAAGGGGACAAAGATTATGTTAAATTCTAAATGCACAGCCAGCAACCAGCTTTCAGCAATGGGTTAGGCACCATAAGGCAGATTTGTTCCCTCCCCACAAATTGTTGTCATAATAATTAGCATTCTAATCCCTCTTCCTAAGCCTCTTCCTCTTCCTTCTCCAGTACCCCAGAACAGGAGTCTGATGAGAGGAAATGCAACTACGAAAGGTATAGAGGTTTGGTGCAGAACGACTTCGCTGGCAGTAAGTTCCCTTTGACTTTCTTTCTACTGCTGTATAGGGCAGGTGTCAGGAAAGAGTAGAGCTTCTGTCCTTAACGTTCTGGCTCAGGTGGCAGTTGCTGCTACTGTTTGCCAAGAAGGCTGATAAGTTACACCCCAGATTATTTTGTAGGTTAGTAACCAGGAAGTACAACTGATCTGATTACCTTCTCTTATATCCCTTAAATGGGCAAGATTGAGGGAGGGCTGCAGTATGTCAGACCCATTACATAGTTTGGAGTCCCCGTGATCAGGATATTGCTGCCTCTCTCTCATCCCCTCAATGACAAGATAAGACACTACTGCCTCCTGCAAATGCTGGGAGGAGTGGCCTCTTCAGCCGGTGGAGGCAATAACTCTAGATGCCAAAAACTCTTCGGTACTCGGTCCAATTCAGGGATGGGGGACCAGCCAGCTGAAGCAAACCCCCCATAAACTGCCTCTCTTGTGTATGGCAAATTTGTGAAGACACTTAAACCAGCTTGCCTGAGAGAGATGCAAGCATAGGTGTGTTTGCAGATAGGAACAAATTCTTGCTTGGTGCATGCTGAGAGTGGAAGGACCACTGTTGTCACTCTTTGCTTCCCAGCTCCTGCTGATACCATCTTGTGTCTCCCCCTAGGGCTGTGGTTTCTTCCTTGAGTGACAGGGGAAGAGAACATTGGAGTTCTGGAGGCAGGCTGCGGAGAAGCATTGCTTGACCAGTTTGGGGAGGCTGGTGACAGTTCCTCTCCGCAAACACACCTGCTTGTCTTTTGGCTACGTGCTGCCTGAAATGGATCTCTTCAGCTGCCCATTCCCTTTCCTAGGCGTGTCAGGATTGGAGGGGAGGGGGAGTCAGCAGATGGGGATGGAGGAACAGAGAGTTGTTCTGCCCTCTCAGGCAGTCTTCCTTGCGCTAGACCTGTGGAATTTCTGGTCTGCTTCACCTCCATCTCCTCCTCTCTCCCCCCCCCCCCCAGTCTCAGAGGAGCAGTGTCTGTATCAGATCTACATGGATGAGCTGTACGGGGGACTCCAGAAGCCCAACGAGGACGAAAAGAAGAAGTGAGTGTATTGGGAAGCTCGACTGAGTTCAGTCATGGAGGCAGAGCTCATGATCCGGAGCCTTTTGTATGTTTGAGCTGGTTCCTTTCTCCTACCCAGAGGATTGAGGACAGGTTGAATGTGTATGGAACAGGGGTGAGGAACCTTTTCAACTCAAGGGCCACATTCTCCTCCATGCAGAGGACACATGCTAGTGTTGGGTGGGGTCAGGGGAAAAGTGGGTGGAGCAACAAATGTAGAATTTACCTTTGCACCATAGGCTAGTTTGGGGACACACCTACTCACACCTCTCTCTCTGCCCTCCATTAGGACAAGAGGCATGAGCAGAGTTCAAGGACGCAATCAATCCTGGAAAAACAATTGAAGGGCAAAGCAGGCCAGTGAGGGTTGTAGTCTGAGGAGAAATCCAAGGGCCAGATAAGACACGTGAAGGGCCACATTTCACCCCTGGGCCTGAGGTTTCCCCCTCCTGCTTTGGAATATGACTAGGGCCTTTGTTTTACTCAAAAGCCTTATGAAGCAGTTCCTTCCGAGAAGAAATCCTCAAATTATTTTTGAATTTCAGTGGCAACGTGAATGTATATTTTTATATTTAGCAGGCCCAGGTATTCCTTTCCCCCTCCTACTTTTGCATCTTTGAAAGGTTGCAAAGAGGGGTGTGGCTTGATGACGGGGAAAAGCTTTAGAATCCCAGCGCAGGTGTCTGTGCTACATACTCCATCCAGCGTGTACTTAATGGGAGGGGTCTGACCAACTAGGTTAGCAGAGAAGAAGGCATCCATTGGCTACACGTACGAGGACAGCACGGTGGCGGAGATTGAGAACCCGTCTGAGAAGAGAACAGAGGAGGAAGACTCGGAAGAAGACAGCAACACAGATGAGGATGAAGTTATCCCTGATATTGGTATGTTTCCAAGGCCCCCGGGCGTTTGGGATTGGGCTTTTAGAAAGTCGGGGATCTGACGGTGCTCCATTGTCCTCTCCCAGTATCCCCAGTCTGCCTCCTGCCTTACGATGTGCTGAACATGATGTATGCTTCCACCCCTAATCCATGTGCAGTAGGTGGTGGTCTGTGGGAGATGGGGACCTGTATTCTTTCCCAAGAGCTATCTGCTGCCGCATGCATTTTCCCCCACAGCCACACCACCCTCAGCCACTTCTCCCAGAGTTCTCCTGCCACTGAGGATGCGATCCTACGCATACTCACCTGGAAGTAAATTCCATTGAACTCAGTAGGGTTTGCTTCCGAGTAGACAGGTTGATTTGACGATGCAGAATCGCCGTATGGCGTTGGCTTGGATAGCTTTATAATAACTATAATAACTATAATAACATATTACGTTCGTTAGTCGCTTCATGCGCAAAAAAAGAGGCTCAGGGCGACTTTAACAAGGTAAAAATACAAATGGGTAAAATTTAATGCAGTTTAAAACCCACAGTGCAAAATATCTGAAATACTCATCTGATAACATAAAGGGGACAAGTTGTACCCACCCCTCTAAAAGATGAGGCCAGTTTAGTTGCCATAGACCTAAGGGAAGAAAAAGTTCTTAGCCTGGTGCCTGAAAACTGATAATGAAGGCACCAGGTGTGTTTCCATAGGGATGGGAAAAATCAGTAGAAGAGAAATCTCACAGAGAACATTATCCCTAGTTAAATGAAGGTCCTCAGTGTGCAGCTGCCAACTGGCTCCCTTATGTTGCTTGCAGATGTTGAAGTCGATGTAGATGAGCTGAACCAGGAGCAAGTGGCTGACCTGAACAAGCAGGCAACCACCTATGGGATGGCGGAGGGAGACTTTGTCCGGTAAGATGCCTGTGCTGTCGGGGCTCCTGAGCTTCTCCTCTGCATCATCAGCCAGGCGTTTCCGTGGCGTTGGGCTTGTGCAGTGGCTGATGCATCACCTAGGTTACCTCGCATGGTACCCAGCCTCTTATTTTTAAGCACCGTGGGTGACAAGAAGTTGCCTGCAGGAGGGGTAGAGTATTGCATCCTTCCTCTGTGGCCAGCATGGAAATGCAGCAGGTTGATTTAGGAAGGTCTGGAGCTCTCTGTCTCTTCTCTACAGGAGACTGGTAAAACTCTTTGCAGGCCAGTGACTTCATGGGTTTATTTGCAAGGCGGCTGGGTAATGTCATGGAGCTGAGAAAAGGTGCTGAAAAGGGCACCCAACATAATTTAAGTTGTAGACCACCTTCCCCAAGACAGAAGCTTATAAAATTATGAAAGGTTTAAAGAGTGGATATGTAAGCTCACCATCACCATGTCCTTTGGGGTCAGCCAAGGAGCTCTGGCAATTTGGTCAGGGCAGGGGAGAGGAATTTCTTCTTCTGTGAAGGCATAAGTAACCTGCAAAATGTGCACCTACTGGCCGTGTTGAATACCTACTAACTTGGATAGCCAGTGCTGCAGATTATAGCTCTCGTCCGCTCTAGCCAGCCTAGCCAATGGGAGTGGTGGTTCAGAACTACCACACTGGCTACTGCTTGCCAAAAGGGATTAGGTAGATTTCTTAAGGAGAGGTCTGTGAGTGGCTGTTGCCCACAATAGTTAAATGAAACCTTCATATTTAGAGACGGTCTCCCTCTGAATACCAGTTGCTGGGGAACAAGCCAGGGGAGGAGGGCTGTCACCTTTTCAAGTGGTCTAGGTTCTGCTTGAAAGAGTCTCCACCCTTAAGAGCGGCTGTTGCCTTCTCTTTGACTGGCTGCTGCTGCTGGACTTCAACCTGGTGCCCGCCATGTGTTTTGGGCTACACCTTCCACCAGACCCAGCCAGCCATGGCTGATGGAAGGCGGCAGTTGTAATATTAAAACATCTGGATTGGGGAAGGCTGACTTAGCTGAGCCTAAGATGTGACCCTGTAGGGCTCATTTCATGGGGTAAAAACGCTGTGCTGCAGAAACCAAGCAAGCAAACACCTCGTAATTCAGAACTTGCCCCCCTCTTTCTGACACCACATGCATAAAACGTGTAGATCCATGTTAGAAAGCTTTGGACTGTCAGCTGTAAGCTACATGATACTGGCAGTAGCGTCTTTCCCTTGCAGTCGGGAGTTATTCTGCTGTCTGTAATGTCATTGAGGTTATCACAGGGCCAGTTGAGGGGGACAGGTACTAGAAGTCTGTGCTTAGGGGAACAGCAGCCCTTTCCCCCTTGGTTGGGGGGAGGGAATGGGGGAGGAGAGCCTGGTTTTAGCAGTAATGGCTGAATTATTACTAGGCCTAAGCTTGCCACTAGGCTCTTGCCTGCCTTTTGAGTTAGACATGAGACCTTGTACCAAATTGAGGGTGATTTTTTGGAGTGGGGAGCCCTGAATGTGTTGGTAGCAGTTAGAATAGCTGCTGCAAGGCATTGGAAGGCCTGTGTCCCCCACAAATCTAAGCATCCCTGTCTTTCTCCCACCTGCCCCTTCCTCCCCTTGTTTCTGAAAGGATGTTGCGGAAGGACAAGGAGGAAGCAGAAGCCATCAAACATGCCAAAGCCTTGGAGGAGGAGAAAGCCATGTACTCGGTATGGAAAGTTGGGGACCTGGGCAGTTCTAAGAAGCCCTCTCCATCTTGCCTACCCCGTCTCGCTACCCCAAGGGATCATCTGTGATTCCCTCTATTTACGACTGACTGGACCAAGAGGTTCCTCTTGGTTAAACAGCGGGGAAAACTTTAGGATCAATTCCTCATGGAAGCATGCTTGGGGTGTGGGTGGGATACCCCCCCAAAAACCCAATTTATTCCAGGAAAAACAGAAAATGGGAGCATTTTCTGGGCCTCCCTCTTGGCGTGGTGGACTCTCTCGTGACTATCCCTCTTTCCAGGGCCGCCGCTCTCGGAGACAGAGGAGGGAATTCCGAGAGAAGCGTTTGAAAGGAAGGAAAATCAGTCCTCCGAGGTAAGCCTTTTTGAAGATGGGGGCTCAATTCAGCCGCCGTCGAGCCTAGGCATTTCTGTCTCTCCACAAGAGTTGAGAGGGAGCACCTGGGAATGCTTTTCCCTTTGTCCCGCATGGCAGCTCAGGGCCCTGGGTGAGGGCCGTGCAACAAGGGCAGCATGTATGACAGCCTCTGCAGGGAGGAAAGGATGCTGAGGCACGGCTGGGGCAAAAATAGGCTGTGCTCCTTGAGTTGGGCTGAAGCATTTGCTGAGAGGTTGGGCCTTTGCAAGTCTCCCGTGATGCTTCTGTGATTCTAGAACCGGTGCCAGTTTTGTCCTCATTTAATCCCCTATCGTTGCAGTTATGCTCGGAGAGACAGTCCCACCTATGATCCTTACAAACGGTGAGTGGATGCAGCTGCCCCTCCCCCAGATGTGCTGGTGGGTGTCTGTACTCTTGGAGTATCACATACCTGCACACAATGGGCGCACGGTTTCTCTGGTGGGGTTTCTAAAACAAACAAACAAACAAACAAACAAACAAACAAACAAACATGGGCTGTTCCCTGTCAACCAGACAGCCGAAATGTGGTGTTTGCATAGTTTGAGGCACCCTTGCTGCTGTAAAAGGCTGGAAGTGGAACATTGTATAGAGCATAACGTGGAACATTGGGATATAAAGGCCAGCAAGACATGGACTGAGCACAGTTGCAGCAGATGGCATGGAATTTAGGCTGGATATTCTGCTGCCAGCTCATGTTCCTCCGTAATCCTTGGGTTGAAGGGGAGGTTTTCATTCGCATTCAACAAAACATCTGTACAGCGGAACCTCGTGTTATGGACGGGATCCGTTCTGGAGGCCTGTCTGTAACATGGAACTGACACGAGCCAAAGTGCTGCGTCTGTGCATGCGCACGGTGTGATTTAGCACCTCTGCGCATGCGCGAGCAGTGAAACCTGGAAGTAACCCATACCGGTACTTCCAGGTTGCCGTGGGACACAACACGAAAACACATAGCCTGAAACGGACGCAACATGAGGTATAACTATACTTGCAGAACACATGCTATCTCTGTGTGTGTTTCGCTTTGTTTAGAGAGAGTTGGGGCCCAGTGTGAGGCAAATAACTCTGAGTTGCCTTGCGGGGGGGAACTCCACGCTGATGGCTTTGTGTTTTGTCCAAGGTGGTTTTGCTCCCCAGCTGTTTCCTAAGCTTCATTGCACCACAGAGTTTGCTAGTGTTGCACTAAGCCCAGCTTGGGCTGCCTTCCAGGGGCTTGGCCCATCCTCTACCACATAGGTGGGGAGAAAGTAGCTGGTAGTCCACTTAGTAATACCTGCTGGTTGCTGGGCCTCTCTCAAAAGGACACTGAGCTAGGTGGGTTTTGGTCTGTTCAGACAAGATACGTCCACAAGCAAGACTGCATCACTCAGATGGCTTTGTGCAGATCAGGGATGCTCAACGCTCCTGAACACCTGAGTTTTGCATCCCTAAATCTTGTTGGGGTGTCTGGTAAAGAGCAAGTGGAATGCGCAGCTGCTCTGTTCTGCTGCTCATAACCTGCAGTTGATTATCTGCCTTGATCCGTCAGATCGCCCTCGGAATCCACTTCCGAGTCCCGTTCCCGCTCTCGCTCGCCTTCCCCGGGTCACGAGGAGAAGATCACCTTCATCACCAGCTTCGGGGGAAGTGACGAAGAGGCAGCCGCCGCCGCTGCTGCCGCCGCCGCCGCTCAAACCGCAGGAGCTCCCAGGAAGCCCGCCTCCCTCGGCAAGGCACGCTCCAGCCAAGTGCAGCAGGGCAGCGCTGCGGCAGGTCATAGCGCCTCCTCCCGGTCGGTAACTTTCGTACCTGCCTCGCTTTCCCAAACCTTAAAGCAGAGACCATTCCAGGGTCAAAGGTTGACTTCTTATTTTCTTTCCCATCCTCCCTGACTGCTCAGAACCTTGACCACCAACTTTTGGGAACTTTGCATTCCCACTGGCCTCTCCTGTGGGCCAATCCCCACAAAGCCAAACTGTTCGTTGCAGAGTCTCCCTGGGAAATGAGGGGAAGTATAGATTCCCTTCTTCCTGTGGAATGCTGGGAAACCTAAGGGTGGTTGGTCCAAGGGATGTTAAGGTGGGCGGGGTCAGCCGTGGTTTGTACCAGGGGGAGAATATGGGGCTGGGGTTTTTCTTTCTGGCTCATCTTGTATCTCTCCAACGAGAACAGCAGTAGCTGCTGTTGTTTCACTGAAGGAAGCAGGAAGGTCAGAGACCCTGTGTGGCTGCCTTGAGTTAAAATGGGCCCTGTTGTACTTTTTGGTTGGGGCATCCCAGAGCCCTGGGTTGCTGGTTTACTGCAAGTTGAAACATAAAATTTTGTAAACAGACAAAATTGAATACTGCAAAAGGATGAGGTGGTTAACTTGTAGGCTGTGTCCCATAAGATTGCAGGTGTGGAAATGGTTTTAAAGGTTGGGGAGAAAGGATCTAGGCCACCTTTCTCCCTGCCACGCCAGTTTCCCACGGGAAGGGATTTTTTTTTTTTAAGTCTGAAGTGGTATATCCCAGGTCAACCACCTCAATAGGAGAACTAGACCATAGATTTGGTATTAGAACAGTGAAATCACTAACTGCTAGCTTGGGGACGTAACCGGCAAAACCACAATTGCATATTGGAAGCATTTGTTCAGTCTTTCACTGCTCAGAGATTTGGGAGGCTGCAAGAATCCGTACAGTTTAGTCATTGGCCCACCCCCCCAGTCTCTCCCTCTGAATCTGTTTCCATGCAGATCTTTTCCATTGAAAGCTTTTTTCCATTCATGGAGAGGTAAAAGTTGGCATGATCAGGAATGGAATGGATGCCGAGCTGCCGCGAGTTTACAGTGAGATCTGGCAGTAACCCAGCATCCCACAGGGTCTCCCAAACCCTTCCTGCTCCTCTGGTGTGCTCTGCTTGCTGCAGCACAAAGAGAGGAAGTTGAAGATGTGAATGTTTTGAGCTCCGGCACTGTAGTTGCTAATTTGGAAGCTTCTGTCTCTACTTGCGGACCCGTCAGCAGGACTTGGGTCTTGGCCTCCCGGGGTGTCTTCCTGCACCTTCTCGTCTTCCCTGCCCCCCCCAACTTTCCCCACACCTGCCGATCTGCCTGCGCCGTGTGAATATCCAGCGCCGTGACTCTCCTCTTTCCAGGCGACGCTCCACCTCCTCCTCTTCCTCCTCCACGTCGTCGACGTCCTCGTCCTCCAGCTCGCGTTCCAGCTCGCGGTCTCACCGGGCCGGGGGTTATCACAGAGCTAGCCGCTACGGCCGCTCGCGCAGCCACAGGTACTCCCGGTCCCGAAGCAGAACGAGGCGCTATTCGGCGGGAGGCTCGCGGGATGGCCGGCGCCACTCCAGATCTCGCTCCCCTGAGCGGGGCTGGCGATACGGCTCCCGCCGCAGGTCCAGGTGAGTCTGAGGAGCTCCTGATATTTTTGGGGGGGCGGGGAAGAGAGAGAGAAATCGATTCCCAACAACATGCTTCTTCTGTCATCCCTAGAAGCCATTCACGGTCTGGAGAACGCTACCGGTGGAGCAGCGGCAGGGGAGGGAGGCACTGGAGTAGCAGCCGCAGCAGCCGCAGCGACAGCGAGTCACGGAGCCGCAGCCGGTCAGCGTCTCCAGCCAGAGAGAAACTGCTGAGGCCTGTGGCTTCCCCAGCTGTAGGGGAGAAACTGAAAAAGTGAGCAAGGGGTGCACGCTGGTTTGATTGGAGTACAGGGTCGGGTTTAAGGTGCTGGTTTTGGCCTTTAAAGCCCTATGCAGCCTAGGACCCTTGTACCTACGGGACCGCCTCTCCTGGTATGCCCCATGGAGGACCTTAGGTAAAGGTAAAGGGACCCCTGACCGTTAGATCCAGTCGCGGACGACTCTGGGGTTGCGGCGCTCATCTCGCTTTACTGGCCGAGGGAGCCAACATACAGCTTCTGGGTCATGTGGCCAGCATGACAAAGCCACTTCTGGTGAACCAGAGCAGCGCACGGAAACGCTGTTTACTTTCCCTCCGGAGTGGTACCTCTCTATCTGCTTGCACTTCGTGCTTTTGAAATGCTAGGTTGGCAGGAGCAGGGACTGAGCAACGGGAGCTCACCCTGTCACGGGGATTCGAACCGCCAACCTTCTGATTGGCAAGCCCTAGGCTCTGTGGTTTAACCTCTCCTGGTATTCTCCGTGGAGGACCTTACAGTCCACAAATAACAACACTTTGGAGGTCCCGAGCTGGAAGGAGCTTAGATTGGTGTCAACCAGGGCCCAGGGCCTTTTCAGTACTGGCCCCAACTTGGTGGAACGCTCTGTCGCAAGAGACCAGGGCCCTGCGGGATTTGAAATCTTTCCGCAGGGCCTGTAAGACAGAGCTGTTCCGCCTGGCCTTTGGTCTGAGCCTTATGTTTCCCTCCCCTTACGGTTTTGATTTATGGGCTACTACTAAAATGAAGCTGCATTTTAAATCGTATTTTAACCCGTATTTTAATTAACTGGTTCCCCCCCCCCCCCCATTACGTTTTATTGTAATTTTATTGGTGTTAGCTGCCCTGAGCCTGGTTCTGGCCAGGGAGGGCGGGGTATAAATAAAAAAGTTATTATTATTATTATTTCAATTTAATGTTTGTAGCCTGCTTTTTCCTACAACAATTGTTGAGCTCAGGGTGGCTCACAAAAGAATTGCAATAGCTCTGGCAAGCAACAAACACTGCAGTCACTGCAGTATCAAGCACAATAGTATATCAACCTGGAAAAGGAACCCTTCTAGGAGAAGGAAGACTCTGATCTGAAACCTGTGCTGCCTTGTGGGATATTTTCGGGAGAAGGAAAGGCTAAGGAGTAAACCCTACACAAATCCAGACGTTCATACCCCTTCCTGTCCCAGAGTGGGCACCCGTCTTTCTTCTGCTGCTGTAACAAATATAACCAGGTTTATCTTCTCTCCCTCCCTTTTCTCCAGGGCTGAAACTGCCGGTGGTAAAGAGACAGGAGCTGCCAAAGTCAGTAAGAATTTAAACCTCACCTCTTAATTTCCATCACTGCAGAAAAAGACTCAGGGAAACTTAATAGAGATGCAGGGAAAATAAAGTGTTGTTGTTTTTTAGAGTTCGGATGGCCACACTTGACTGCTTCAGACGTGGTCAGAAACGTAGCTATTGAGCACCTCCTTAGGGTGCTACCAAACCAGGAAGCCGTCTTTTAAATTTGGGCCTTGTCAGGCTAGTGTTGAGGGGGTTGGGTCTTCAGGGAAGTTTGTGTTAACGTTGGGGTTTAACTTTTTGGTATTGCCAAAGGGGGTGGGTGGGTAGCTGCTTTGGAGGGGGGTTTCCTGACCTGGTCTAGAATCTAATACCGGGGGTTGTCTCTTTGGGGGAGTCAGTCTCTCTCTCTCTCTCTCTCTCTCTCTCTCTCTCTGTGTGTGTGTGTGTTTGTGAATGCATGGGTTTACCTGTTAACTTGGATTTCTCTCTCTTGTTGACACTTGTACATTAGCCTGCCCTTTTGCACTGACCCTGCCATGCAGCCCTAGCTTCTGGTGGTTTCCTCTGTTGGGACCAAAACCAGATCTTGCTTCTCCTGGAAGCCTTTTCCTTCCGTGTTTTATGGCTCCGTTTCCCCTGAAATGCCCTGCCTGTTCCCACCCCACCGCATGGGAAACCAGTGTGCATATAAAGAAACATGGCGGTGCTGCTGAGCTGCCTTCCTACCCAACTGTGAGCCCGTTGGGAAAGCATCTGTCATGGGAAAGCCGGGTGGAGTTGTGTCTTGGGCCAGTCTCAATGCATCCTTGTCCCTGGCGGTTGGGGCGGTTTAGGACTATGGGTAGATTTACTCCTCCTCCTTCATTTATTAAATTCCTCATACCCTGCCTTTCTTCGGTGGGCTCAAGGTAGCTAACAGTGTATTAAAACAACAAAAGTTTCAGAAACCATTTAGGAGAAATAATAACCAAAGCAGCAATGAGATATTGAAAAATAGAGGGAAAAAATGAAAAAGCAACAGCTGTCACATGCCCTTTCCCCACACAACGTCATCCAAAAGCGTTTCCCCCCCAAGCCAGGCCTTAAAGCTGATGTTAGGGATTGCTAACAGGGTGCCCTCCAGATGTTTGATTCGTCTCGAGTGGCTTTCCGTGGACTATCCTGGAGTAACGCCTCCTCATCCTTGGTTCAGTATCCAAGGAGTGACCTGAAAGTGTTGGCAACCTCTGGCACAACCAAGGACCTCTTTTTGATCTGGGTTAAGAGAAACACGTAGACAGTATCCCCTGCTCTCGATACAAATTGAGTGGGCATTCAGTCCCAGAGAGAGCCACTGGGAGCTGTGAGTGACCCCAGTGTGAGCATTTCTGACATCTCATGGAATTCCCTGAGCATTTAAACAATGGGGTATGGTGTCAGCAAGACAGATTTGAGGTATGGATGGTGGCATTTATGCGCGCAGGAGGTTTTTAGCCCTAGCTCAAGCCACTGCACGACTGGAGGGAGTTTTCAACAGCACTACGTTTGTTATCTCAGTTACGGTGTCCGCTTGCTCCCTCAAAGATTGTGCTTCTCCTAGAAATGACTCCTGCCTACTTTTGGTGTCCGTGGCAGAGCACAGCCACCCCTGCTCAAACGTTGTTTGCTTTCAACTCTTAAGGCATGAAAAGTTGGTATAGAGCTTTAAAAAATCAATGCGGAAAACCACAGGTTCACCTTCCAGAGAGATCGGTTATCCAAGCAGGCAGCTGAGCCATTGGGGAGGTTGGGGTTGTCTGTGAAATTTGATCTTGCTTGGGCTGGAGCCTAAAGCAAAGGACGCTACTTGCTAGCCGATTTCCTTGTTGGAATTTGTAGGGGAAGAAACTACTTGTAGACCTGAACGATGCTTGCAGCTCTTCAGAAGCTCAAGGAAGGAAGCGAAACCTCTCGATTTTAGGGCATAGTTTAACAAATCTACTGTTTCTTTCCCCATCTCTCAAAGTGTAAAGCCAGGTCTCCCAAGGCAAATGTGGCTTTATTGTCTTTTCGCAGCTTATTTAACTCTTCTAGTTCAAGTTCTCTTTGTTTTAAACTGGGCTTGCTCAGGGAGTGCCCTTGGGCTAGTTTTCTTTATGTCTGGGCATGTCTTTGAGAAGTAGTAGTAGTGGTTGGAATTGATGCTCACATGTCCCTACTTTGGCATGGAAAGTAGAAATGTGGGGGGTGGGAGTCCAGTGAAGGGCTGCTTATCCTGGCTCGTGGGGGTGCAGCTGGTGGCCCCATAGTCCACGTTCTTCAAACAGTGCAAACGTATGGGAACCTCATCCTGAGAGCCATCCCATCATGGGTGACAGCAGAGGACTGGCTGAACCACAGTGGGGATCCTTGCTCATTGACTGCAGCACCCAGCCGCGACTTGCTTGGGTGCATTTGGACCCTGAGGCAGAACTGTCCCATCTCCCAATGAGATTTTCTCCCAACAGTATTTTCCCGGTGAAGACAATTAACACACTTGGTCGAGAGTCACCAAGAGGTTTCAGGTTCTGAAAGGCTAAACTTCAGACACTTAATGAAGAGTTGGGTGGGGCAGGGCTTGTTTGCTTGTGTCTGGTGTTTTGGCTTTGTTTTAGCAATCACGAGTGCTAGAACCTTGGCTTTTCTTCTTCTTTTTAGATGGAAAGGTGGGGGTTCTCGGGGCTTGTGGTTGGGGTGGGGTACTGCATACCAGAGACCTCGGAAGCACCACACAGAGGATGTTGGGAACCCCTGTGTTCTCTTGAGGATTAACCCAGCCACAGGAAGGAGTGGAGGAGAAGCAGATGGAAGCCCACCTTTGTAAAGAACCCTTCGAAAGTTATTGGCCTTAACATTTTTACTGGCTGCCTACGAGATGCAAAATTCAGCTCTCCGGCCTGCCCTTTTCAAGGCCATTGAGTACCAGCAAACATTATCCATTGACTTGGATGCCCAGTCGCCGTGACTGTCTGCTTAACAAGCTTGTTGGGGTTGGAGTGGATTTCAGTACCCTGTCAATGTGTGTTAAGTTGATTCCTTGCATCTTCCCTACCGCCACCTCCTTGGGAATGGCCCAGTCTAGATTGCCAGGGACTGTTTTCCCTTCCTGCAGGCTCCAGCTTCCTTTTCCGCACCTGAAACGCTCCTCCTTTAAAAAAAATAATCCTCTTCAGTTGAAAGCGCCTGGCTCCTGATCGTTACAGGCAAAGGAGCCCATAGGCCTCAGTTGGCTCTCCTACTATATATCCTGGGGAGATGGCCTCCCTCTTCTTGCTGGGGGAAGCACAGCCCCCTTGAGCAGGGTGTGCTGCTGGTGAGTCCCCTGGAACTCAACCTACTCTTCCTTGCTTGAAAGTGGGACTCTGGTTCATGGCTGTCTTGAAGTCTCTCTTTTCCTCCCTCCAGATGTTGTGTGCAGAAATACATTATATAGGGTCCCTCCGCCAAGGCCCTTTTCTCCCCATGTATGCCTTCTCCCAGACTCGTTTGACTGTGAGTTCAGGCCAAGGGAGGGGCAACCTCTTAACACCTTTCTGTTTGCCTTCCGCTTGTAGCCAAAGCTGACCCCACAGGAGAAGCTGAAGCTGCGTATGCAGAAGGCGCTTAACCGGCAGTGTAAGCATCTGGGCTGGAGGACGCTGGCTGGGGCGGTGGGAGGGCGACACAGGGGAGCCATCTCCTTCTTTTGACCTGTTTGTTGCACGCGCTCATATTCCCCACTCTGCCTCTTCAGTCAAAGCAGATAAAAAGGCCGCCCAGGAGAAGATGATGCAACAGGAACACGAAAGACAGGTAACTGGCAGGCGCACTGAATTCTGCGGTCTGAAAAGCCCCATTCTGCAAGTGGAATAAACTTAAAATGGAGCTGGAACGGACAAATGCTAACTGGGATGCATAAAAAATATTTATGTACTGCTGTTCATGAGAAGAAATCTCAGAGCAGTTTGCAACAATTATGCATAAAACCATACAATAAAAACCGTATAAAAAGTTACAAGTCAGAAGGCAGTTGGGTATTACGGAAGGAGGCATTTTTAATTGTCTGCAGAAACCTGATGGATTGGAAAAGTTTTCAGCAGGCATTTAAAAGTTGAAACCCTTGCTGAACCTCTATTGGCAGTGTGTTCTGCAGGACCAGGTCGATGACATTAAAGGCTGAGTTTCCCGTTGTTGTGTAGTAAGCCTTGCCAGCTCAGTCAGTAGAGCGTGAGATTAATCTCAAGGTTGTGACTTCGAGTCCTACGTTGGTCAAAAGGTTTCCTATATTGCAAGGGCTTGGGTTAGATGACCCTCGTGGTCCCTTTCAACTCTATGATTCTAAGACAAGGTTGCAACACTAAAGGCAGGGTTCATATACAGTGCTGTGCCCTGGTTTCTTCTAACCATGGTTTCTTCAACAAAAACTACAAGTTGTCTCACAGATGAGCAAGCAAGCCACAGCTTATTTCTTTGGTTTCACTTATTTTCTAACAGCTCTTGCCTTGCACCTTTGTAACTTGGCGAGTTGGCCAACAAACCATGGTTACACCAGACTGCTGAGGTTCAGACATAGTGCCAAACCATACTTAAAAGCAAGCCAACAGAAAAAAGCATGGCTTCACATTGTGGTCCGTTGCTACGAGAGTCTACCGGGCTGGGCGTTTGGATGTTCAAACGATCCATAGCGAGTCAAAGCAAACCATGGCTTTCAAGGATGCAGAATTTTATTCCACTTGCAGAATTACCATTTTCTCGCTGCAGAGCGTACCGTTTGCCAAGGTCGCCCTTGGCTTGTCTGCCTTGCGTGGTGTTCACCCTTCGGCTGACTGATATGTGCTATCTCGTCTCTTCCAGGAGCGGGAAGACGAATTGCGTGCCATGGCTAGGAAGATCCGGATGAAGTAATGCCTTTTGGGGTTTCCTTGTCCCTCCCGGCACAGAGCAGTGGGGGAGCATTGGGGGGAGGGAGTGGCTTGGTTGCCTGCCTGCTAAATCGGCAGCATTTTTTCTTGGCAGGGAGCGCGAGCGCCGGGAGAAGGAACGAGAGGAGTGGGAGCGACAGTACAGCCGGCAGAGTCGGTCTCCTTCCCCACGTTACAGTGAGTGCCCTGGGGCTGGTGGGAGGAAGAACGCAGTGGCAATGGGGCTGTTGTGAAGCACTGGAGAAAAGATCATTATTTTGGGGGTCCGACTTTGACAGTGAGGTCCCTACAGAGATAAAAGAACTTCACCCAGACAAGTAGAGAGGTCTTGGCCAAAACATTCATGCCTCATGAGTACAGTGGTACCTTGGTTCTCAAACGCCTTGGTACTCAAACAACTTGGAACCCAAACACTGCAGACCTGGAAGTAAGTGTTCTGGTTTGCAAATGTTTTTTAGAACCCGAACATGCTCCGTTTTGAGTGTTACGCTTCTGTTTTGAGTGTTATGCTAAGGTCTGTCTGTTTTTGCTATTTATTTTGCGTTTTTGCGGTTCTTTTTGCGTGTGTGACTATGTAGAACCCTAGGGGATGCAGGTGGCACTGTGGGTTAAACCACAGAGCCTAGGACTTGCTGATCAGAAGGTTGGCGGTTCGAATCCCCGCAACGGGGTGAGCTCCCATTGCTCGGTCCCTGCTCCTGCCAACCTAGCAGTTCGAAAGCATGTCAAAGTGCAAGTAGATAAATAGGTACCGCTCCGGCGGGAAGGTAAACGGCGTTTCCGTGCGCTGCTCTGGTTCGCCAGAAGTGGTTTAGTCCTGCTGGCCACATGACCCGGAAGCTGTACGCCGGCTCCCTCGGCCAATAAAGCAAGATGAGCACCGCCCCCAGAGTCGGTCACCACTGGACCTGATGGTCAGGGGTCCCTTTACCTTTTTATATGGAACCCAGTTCAGCTACTGATTGATGGTTTGTGTGACTGCAGTACATTGTTTATTGCTTTCTTTTTTGGATCAATGGTCTCATTAGATAGTAAAATTCATGCTAAATTGCTGTTTTAGGGGTTGTTTTTTAAAGTTTGGAATGGTTTAATCCATTTTGCATTACTTTCTATGGGAAAGTGCACCATGGTTTTGCAACGGACTTCCAGAACGGATAAATTTAAGAACCAAGGTACCACTGTACTTCACTGTTTGCAGATTGACTCTTACTTAAAAAAAACACACACAACTGTCATAGAATTGTAGAGTTAGGATCATCTAGTCCAACCACCTGCAATGCAGGCATCTCAGCTAAAGCATCCATGACAGATGGGCCGTCCAACCTCTGCTCTGACACTGAGGTGGTTGGTATGCGGTAACATTGAATTAGAACATGAATTCCACCCTCATAAAGATTTAGGTGTGACCATTAGCAAGAGAATTTGGTGGTCCCCCATAGCCGATTCATCTCTGACTTGCTTTTCTGCAGGCTTTGGGACCCTGAAAGAAGGAAGCAAATATTCCTACCAGACGGTTTGCCAAACCTCTGTTTGCAGGGAGTTCCATAGAGCAGGGACTGTCCTACAACAAGAGGCTTTGTCCCTTGTAAAGGCTGACCGAACCTCAGGGGCACCAGAGGGTCTCCGTGATTTTTCTGCTTCTTAATGGCTCAAGGTTCACATCCTTTCCTTCCTCCACTGCCCTTGCTAAGAGATTAACAGGTTTAGCCTAAATGGGCAAATGCGGAGAGTTCCAGAAATGTAATTTGGAGGTTCTTGACTTTCCCGTTTGTCTTGCAGGTCGAGACTACAGCTCTTCGAGGAGGTAAATTTTGCTTTTGCTTATCGACTCTAGTGGCGGAAGGGAGATAGACGCAGGCCTCTCATTGAGCTGATAAGACGGAGCAGAGGTGGAGATACGGGCACCTTTCAGAACCTGCATTTCTTCCTCTGAGCTGCCTGAAATATTTAAATAGTTTGAACTTGAGGTCAGCCTGATCCCTTTCAGGCTGCAGATGTTCTCCAGCCACTTTAACAGTTTGCAAAGGGTCCTTTGGCACCTTCAAGTCTTCTTAGATTTGCTAAGGCATGAGCAATATGCTTCCTATGTTCATGGGCACAAGCCTACTTTGTTCGGTGCAGGAAATGAAATCTCAAGTTGGCAGGGTGTGTGTGTGTGTATACAGTCATACCTCGGGTCAAGTATGCTTCGAGTTGAGCGCGTTCGAGTTGCGCTCCTTGGCAACCTGGAAGTAACGGAGCGCGTTACTTCCAGGTTTCACCGCTTGCGCATGCGCAGACGCTCAAAATGACGTCACGCGCATGCGCAGAAGCGGCGAAAAGTGACGCGTGCAGACGTGCCGTCGCTAGTTACGTTTACCTCTAGATGCGAACGGGGCTCCGGAACGGATCCCGTTCATATCTAGAGGTACCACTGTATATTATTTATTTATACCAGGAAGTCTCAGGGTGGTCCACAGAACTATATATGTATAGTTGTGCTTGCTTGCGTTTGCACACACATACACACCCACGTGTGTGAATAATTTTAAAGAAGAAAAATGCAAGGCAGGAGCTGAATCGCAGTGAGATGCAAAAAGAAAGAGTTTGTGGTCATTTGGTCCAAGCTTTCAGATGCATGTTCTGTATTGTCTTTAGCTGTTTCTCCAGCCCTTCCTCCCAAAGGAGGCTGGGGTAGTAAACAACAAAACAGCAAAAACAATGCAAAGGATTTTTTTTTTAAAGGCAGAATATTTTCCCAGCTAAATAATTTTCAGAGTTGCCAAGAATAATATATTTCAGCCAACAAGCGTCTGGGTGAACAGCAATGTTTATAAATTCTGCCTAAATATTAATAACTAGGGAAACAGTAGGCATGAGAAGCCTCTGCAAGTGGCAGAGAGGTGATAACTTATTTCGGCATCTCTGGGATGATTGTGTCCACATCTGTCAGGGGACAGGAAGCCATTATCTTTATTAAGACCCAAGTGACTAGTTCTGAACTTATGAGTTGTCATTAAGTGCCCTTGAAGTCTCTTTGTACAAGTAACATGGTTAAGTACATGGATAGTAGGATGTACTTTGCCCTGCTTCCAAGCAGCTTGGTGCATTGCAGTATTAGGCCTTCTGATTTTTTTACTTCCACAAAAACCCAATAAAATGCAGCTGACACAGAGGAAGACTTTCCCCAAGGCCAGCCACTGTGGGCTTTGTGGCTTGGCAATTAAAAGTGCTCAACCACTTCCCCATATCAAGTTCAGTGTTCTTATCTGCTACGTTGTGTTGGCTCTGGCTAGTGCTTAACAGAGCGATCATCTACCACCAACGGGAATTGTGACTTTGTGGGACTCTTACTACCGTATTTTTCGCTCCATAAGACACACCTTTTCCCTCCTAAAAAGTAAGGGGAAATGTGTGTGCGTCTTATGGAGCGAATGCAGGTGGGAGGCTCTGCTCAGCGCTCCCTTTAAAGAGCCGTGTGGAGTGTTTCGTGGCTAAGGCGGGATGTGAACCTTCGCCTCCCAAGGTCCTAGTCTGACAACAGGGGTGCCATACGGTTTTTCCTCGAGGAGGGAGAAGGGCAGCCTGTCAGTCCCTTCTCCCTCCTTGAGGAAAAGCCCCCAATAGCCGCACACACACTCCAAGCGGCTCTTTAAAGGGAGCGCGGCTCTTGCTGGCTTTTCCGGGAGGTGGGGGAAGGGACAGAGGGGCTGTCCTGCTGGTTTTTGCGGGAGGTGGGGGAAAGGGACAGAGGGCAGCCCCTCAGTCCCTTCCTCCACCTCCCGGAAAAGCCCCCAAGAGCCGCACACACGCTCCACGCAGAGTGTGAAAGGGAGCGCTGAGCAGCGCCTGGGATGCATACAGGCTCTGCTCAGCGCTCCCTTTAAAGAATTTTTTTTCTTGCATTCCCCCTCTAAAAACTAGGCGCATCTTATGGAGTGAAAAATACGGTATATAGGTTTCTCTTTTAAGTTCACACGTGACCTGTTCTTCTGCCTCCTACAGGCATTCACGGTCCCGATCTCGGAGCCCTCATTACCGCCACTAGAAGCTGTTCCTGGTTCAGTGCCACGCTGCCTGCCTCCCGCCCAGCTGGTTCACCAGGCCTCATGTAATCCTGTAATAACGCTGTACATTGCTGGTTTTTGTTTCTATGCTGTCTAAATAAATACATAAATAAAAAACCAGAAGCAGTCATCTCTTGACGAGCACCTTCAGCTGCACACAACCATCTTGCTCCATTTCGGAAAGACTTTGATAGGAGCTTCTAAGGACGTGCGCTTCCTTTCATCCCAAAGCTGTGTGTGATAAGCCCTGTGGAGATCATGCGCAGCAAGGAGTGAGGGTGGGAAGCCCAGGGGCTTCCGCTTGCGTCCAGAGCCAGCCTTAGGAATAAGCTTCTCAGCTCGAAAGTTGTGAAGCAAAATGCACAGGCACAAATCAAAGCAACTACTATGTGATAATCAAGCCTGCTCCTACTTTTGGGGTTTTTCCCCCACCAATGATTAGAGTCAGGACTAGGGCTGGGTGAGACATGGTTTTCAACACTGTGATATATCACCAGCTAAACATTGTGGTATAGTGATATATCATGGTGTCTGAAAGAAGGATGGAGCTATATCAAGGCACTGGCTGGCTTCACGGTTTTTCCTGCATTGTGATTTTTGCTGGCGCCTGCTCTTGTCATTCACTTCCCCTGCAGGAGGCAGGGGAGAGCTGAGCTGGCAGAGTTAACAGGCTGCAATAATCTAGAGAGGCATTGTGATTTTTGCAGAGCGCGCACACACACGCACACAATCATGATTTGAGATGTGTTGGCAGGTCAAAAATTATGAAACTGGTATCACAAAATTGACTTCACACCTGTTTCAGATGTTATATCGCCCAGCCCTAGTCAGGGTGCTAGAGTGAAATATGGTCACTTAAGTCCAAGGGCAGGTACAAATTACCCAGGGGGACCCTTTTCTGGACACAACAGCCTTGCTGGATCACATCAAAAGCCTATCTAGTGCAGCATCCTGTTCTCTGTGTGCAAATCAGTGTGAATCAAAGCACCGTGGCTGGAGTCCTCAGCGGTCAGTAGGCTAAATGGATATTTCATGATGGTTTATGATAAACTCAAAAGGATAAACACAAAAAAGGCAGGCCTGTGTGCGAGCCTGAACGGAGCTGCAATGCATTTTTTAAAAAACAAGGGCCCCTTAATTCACTTTCATCTGAGCTGAAGCTGCTGAGAATTTCCACTGCACTGCTAGTTTCAGGTAAATGCCAAAGAACATGGGAGACCCAGCACCAAGCGTCTGCAGCCAAGTGCCATCCCTCCAGGGATGAGGGAGGCAAGGTTTTAAGTCCTGCCATTTGCTTAGAAGCAGCTGCTGAATCAGCATTTGCTGTATTGCAATGCTTTATTGCATGAGAGAATAACTCCCTCTACAGTGTTGATGCTGTGTCACTGCTAGTGTAGTTAAAATGGGGCTGCCCACAAGGAGGAGGGATTAGCAGGCTTAGGGGGAGACCCCCGAAATAGCAAAAATGGGAGCTTGTAATGATGGCAATACTGGGGAAACAAAACAGGAAAGCGGTGGGGTGCAGCGCTTCATACTGTGACATTTTGTTACAGCTCCTACTTGCAACACAGACCCAGAATCTGGGAGGCAGTGCGTGCAGAACAGTGAATCGTTCAGAGATGTCTCCTCTGCAGTTCAAACTCATTACTTAATTTGTCATAGCCCGCTGGACATGTCTGCTATGAATGACCAGAGCCTGCTCTCTGCAACTCAAAGGACTGAATACCTGCTTATAAAAGGTGCTTTAATAGTAAAAAGGCAGAGCTGTCAAAGCTCAAAGGAGTATGCGATGATGTCCGAACATCGGAGCAGCGCTTCTCTCTGTATCCCCAGTGGAGTCTGAAGCTCGGAGACCTGGAAGTTCAGGATGTCAATGTCGGACGCTCCAAACAAAGCTGTGACCTTGACCCTCTCGTACATGGTGAATCTGACGGGCCGTCCAACCATGGCTGAGAGGCTGCGCAGGTAGCGTTCTCGAAGTGTCACACGACTTTGCTGCTCCTGCTCTAGGTCTGCTGTGCTGCCAGAGGAGAGGCTGGCAGGACCAAGGGCCTGGAAACGGGGAGAGTTGGGATCGAAGCCGCGGCTTGACCCGTCGGGTCCGTGGGGCAGGCGGATGACCGCAACCGGCACCTTCATTGTGCACCCCTGCTGGCAAAGAGGAGAAATATGTTATACAAATGGCGCCTTGTTTGTGTCAGCAGCAGCAGGTACTCTTAAGGAGGTAGGTGCTCCTATGGCTTAGAATACATTCTGCCCTCCTGTCCGTCTTGCTGAGCAGACCAAGTTCCCTCTATAGTTTAAGCTGTTTGAAATAGACTGCAGGATTTTTTGCTCTTGTTGCTGTGTTCCATAATCATGAGACGTATGAGCCCATTTTAATGTTTAAAGAAAAGCTTATATGTTCAAGGAACCGTATGATTCTGCGCTGGGAGAGAGAAAAACCCCAGATTTCTAGGTCCCATGGCTTTAATGTTCGGATTTCTCACGCCTAATCAAGATGGCTACAAATTTCACATTCTGTCTTCAACTGGTGGGTCGCAACAGGAGCGCTACCGCCGTGCAAATATAAGTTAGAAGATTTGAGAAACGGGTCTCCAAATGTGTGTGAGTTAAATGTGGGTCATGGGGTGTGAGAAGGTTGAAGACAACCAGCTCTAGGTAAGCAATGTACTTTTTGGGTGGTAGGTTGGGGGTTGGGAGCCTCGGAGCAAAAGCAGCCTTTCAGCCCCTGCGTCTCCCTCCAGGCTACTCTCTTCTGTCAACCTTGCCCCTAAAGTGCTTTTGCCTGCCTGGGCTGTGTCCTACAATGGCGATGAAGCCTCTTGCTAGAAAACCTCCGACCTTCGCACAGCTGGAATGTAGCACACTGTACAAAAGGAAAAGTCTCACCCATTGCTCTGCCCAGGTCTGTCTCTGGCCCTGCCCACCACTGGTTTGCAGCACAGCTGTTCGGCACCCCGCCCCCCATTACCCATAAGAGAATGAAAAATGATTCCCACCCTGTGCTGTAGATTTAGGGGAGAGGTGAGCCACTGACTTGGAATTTTGGGTCACTTCTGCCCTGTGCCAAGGGCAGAACTCTTGCCAGCTGGGAACTCTGCCTGCTGCAGTGGCCATGGCCGCTGGTCTTCAGGCAGCAGAGGGTTAAGCACAGGCTTATGGGGGCCTGTAAACAGGAAGTGCTGCTGCACGAGGACAGCCTGTTTTCCCCTCTGGACGGTGGCGGCACCAACTTGACGCTCCCTCACTGTGCCAACATCCTCTGTGGCGGGCGGCCAAGCCCAGGGTCAGCGGCGAAGAGGATGTTTTGCACAGCGAGCTGGAGAAACAGCCGCCGGCAGCCAAGGACAACTCTGGCGCAAGGAGGAGAGCGAGAGGGGTTGGCCTGGGCCAGAAATGGATGCTGCTGAATCCAGAAGCTTAGACTTTTAGCCAAATGCTAGGTAACTCTAGTTGTTGTTGTTGAGTTGTTTAGTCGTGTCCAACTCTTCGTGACCCCATGGACCAGAGCACGCCAGGCACTCCTGTCTTCCACTGCCTCCCGCAGCTTGGTCAAACTCATGCTGGTAGCTTCGAGAACACTGTCCAACCATCTCGTCCTCTGTCGTCCCCTTCTCTTTGTGCCCTCCATCTTTCCCAACATCAGGGTCTTTTCCAGGGAGTCTTCTCTTCTCATGAGGTGGCCAAAGTATTGGAGCCTCAGCTTCAGGATCTGTCCTTCCAGTGAGCACTCAGGTCTGATTTCCTTAAGAATGGATCGGTTTGATTTCTTGCAGTCCATGGGACTCTCAAGAGTTTCCTCCAGCACCATAATTCAAAAGCATCAATTCTTCGGCGATCAGCCTTCTTTATGGTCCAGCTTTCACTTCCATACATCACTACTGGGAAAACCATGGCTTTAACTATACGGACCTTTGTTGGCAAGGTGATGTCTCTACTTTTTAAGATGCTGTCTAGTTACCTAAAATGAATTTACTGCTTCCTCTCCACAGCATCCCTGGTGGACAGTAGCTTGGAGAAGAGGCGGTTAACCCCTGGGCCGATTTGGAATTCCCAAAGTTCCTTGCAATGGGAAAACCCGTGACAGTTGACCTCTGTTGGGTTTTTAGTGGAGACGTGCCCCCAGAGGAGGATTGATTCCAAAAAGGCAGGGCAGTACGCACTAGCTTTGGGAGAAAGCAGCATGATTCACAGTCCTCTAGGCTCAAAGGATCCAGCCACAGAGCAGCACTTCTGCTGCCTCTCTGCCCAATTTGTCATGCCCGTCTTGAATACTTCCAGTTGGTTGCCACTGGGTGAGGTTCTGCCATGGGTGTGATTGCAAGAGGGCTGCCTGTCCTCAGAAGAGGCTACCTGCTGCATCTCTGCCCTTTGGGTCCCAGGACTAGAAGAGGATTGAAGTGGGAGTAGTAGAAGCAGGCTACACACAGGCGTAGTCTGCACCTGCCAGTGCAAAACTCGGGTAGGGAATATACATAATCTGGGGGCGAGGGCTCTCTGTTGCAGCAACTGCCTCATCGGGTGCAAACCTGGCGTAGCTGAGGGAGGTAGCATGAGTGGACATGCCTTTCCCCAACTTGTAAGTGTACTTTTGACAATAAAGAGTTAACTCCTCCTTCTGGACATTCATTGCCTGACAGTGCTGTGACACACTCCGTGAATCTACTCCATCCTCTTCCAAAGTCATTCAAGTGGGTAGCCAGGACATGTACATACAGGTTCAGCATGCTCTCTGAACCAACTGGGGGGAGACAAAAAGCTCCCGATTTTTCAATTCTGGAGCGCCAGAGGAAACCTTCCCGTGGTTCAAATGGACCACGTTCCATGGAAGCTCCCGCAGAATTTTCCTGGTGTCGGTGGTGGACTCAAAGCACAAGTTGCTGCTTGGGAATGACGGTGGCTTGCTTAGTGGTCAGGGTCCCCAGCATGAGCATGAAGAAAAAGCACCCCAGAATTGTAGAGTTGAAAGAGACCCCAAGGGTCATCTAGTCCAACCCCCTGCAATGCAGGGATCTCAACTAAAGCAGCCATTATACTGCACACCTCCAGCTTAAGGAACTGCAATTCTGCCTTGGGAAAGGACAGCCGAACTGCTGCGCATTCAATCTGGCTTAATGTGCGCCTGCAGCCAAGACCTTTTTCCAGCTTAGGCTTCTGGGAGGGAATGCCGCCAGCTTCAGCCTTGCTGGAGATTACCTCTCCCCAACCCCTCACCCAGGTCCCCAACGAGGCCACATTCCTGCACCGTGTGTTTGTTCCAAGAGTCTGCCTTGGGCGATGACCGCAGCGCTTCCTCCTCAGGCCCTGTTGACGCGCTCTTTCCACAGACAGCTCGTTCCCGGCGCGTGCTGTCTGGTGGCGGAGGAAGCGCCGGCCCCTGAAAGCCCTCTCCCCCTCTGGCCTGATAAGGACCTGGCCCAGATCTCCTGCACTCCCAGGCAGCACGCCAGGAAGAACGGGGCCTGGGGAGGGGGTGGGTTGGCTGTTTTTCTGGCGAGGCTCATGCCTTTGGGACGGCACCAGGTTCTGTTTGAACGCGACCTGAGAATAATCGCACGTGTTACTTTGAAGAAGGGGGGGGGGGGGGACAGTCAAAGCTGCAATGTAAAAGCCTGCATTGACTTTGCAGGCTTGTAAATTGGGCTGCCAGCACAAACGCTGGGAAACTAGCCCCGTGCCAAGCGAAGCGTTGGGGTGGGTGACCTATCCCTGTTTTTCAGTGTGTCTTAGTAGCAGGTTGATAAACGTCAGCTCCAGGTGGTAAGCAGCCCAAATTTCAGACTGGAAGGGTTGGCCTTCAAACAGCGTCACGTCGCCCATTTTGGCTCATGGTAGCAGCACCTTCTGGGTGTTTTTGAAGGCCTGTTGCTAACCGGGCGGGGAGATGAAGAGTCGGCCAAATTTGGCCACCTCGTGTCCTTGGCCCAGCTGTTAACTGGTGAAGCAGATGTCCCATAATTTTCTGGGGTGGAGATGCAATTCGCCTCCTGTTCCTCACCTGGGAGCAGAGCTGGCATAGCTCTCTCGCCTTCCTGGCAGGGCCGAAGCGAGTGGCGAGTCCAGAAAATGGGCCACCGTGCTGTGCTGAAGAGAGCGAAGAGGCGACAACTCACAACAAACTTGTTTGTTCTGGCTCGGCCTCCTGGCCTGGTTGACATCACATCCTGAAGGCAGCGAGGACGGCACCTCCACAGGCAGGGTGGGCAGAGCCCCAGCGCTCTGGAGAAGAGCTGGGAGGCTGGCCGGCCTCTGGCTCACTTGCCGAGCGAGGGAAGGACGACGTAGGTCGCTGGGGAGAAGCGGGGTGGCCATGGGGCAGTGCGGGCTGTTCCCTGGCTTGGGCGACCTGAGAGAAGCAGCAGCAAGGTTGGGAGAGACCTAACGGCAAGGAAAAGCTGCTGGATTTGCAGGAGTGGGGAAAATGGATGCCTGCCAACAGCCTCAACCTTTGCAAGTAAGTACTTCTGAGCGGGGCGAGGGGGGGATGGACATCCACACTGTCAACAACACTTCAGAAAAGCAACACTACCCTCCTTGTGGACGTGCTTAGAGGGCTCTTATGGGCAGTGCCCTGGATGGGCCCTTGCTTGCTCTGCTAATTTTACATGTATTAACCAAGGCTTGGTGAAAAGGGTGTCTCAAGATAGCATCCAGCAGCAAGATGCCCTCATGAGAAGCTCCACCCACTTGCCAGTCTGCCTGCCCATCTCTGGCAGAAACCACACCCAACTAGTTGCATGGTGCCACGTTGAGGGCAAGGCTACGGTCACCGTTCCAGAATCTTCCCACATTCATCTGCACAACACCTCAAAGGGCTTGTGCAATCTCCGGGGTACAGCTGACTTGAGTGCTTATGGTCAAGGCTAGTTGCAAATGTCGGCCTGTAGCAAATTGTGCCCATTTCGTGGGTGTTATATGGCAAGCTCTCTGTGCCTCAGTTTTTCTCCTTCATTGGTGGGTTCTCCTCCGCTGGAGGTTTTAAAACAGAGATTGGGTGGCCATCTGCCAGGGTTTCTTTAGCTGAGATTCCTACATTGCAGGGGGTTGGACTAGATGACCCTTGCGGACCCTTCCAACTCTACAATTCTATGGATGACAGAGGATGACTTCCTCTGTGGTAAGCTACGGGGAGGGTGAGTGAGGCATCAGGCAAGATTGCCCACCCCAAGCCTAGGCAAATGGAAGATCAAGGAAGAGCAGGGATGTCAAGACATTAACAAAGGCCAGGACTTTCTCTTATCTACAGCAGAATTCTTTCAAAGGCAAAAGACATGCTCTTGAAACAAAAACAAAAAAACGCAGCACACATCACTCTCAATAATCTAACTCGCTTGCTCCAAGAAGCCCCTCTGCCTTCTCGCAACACATTTTTTTTGGCACTGAAACCCTTTTGCAAAGCAAAATGTGCACTTGATAAAATAAAGGGATCTGAACTCCCCAGGGTTTTGCTCTGTTCAAAAGTCTCAGCAGAGGCATCTTTCTTCAGGCTTCTTTCGTACTCACTAAGACCTCTGCTAGCAATTTTCCTGCAGCATCCTGCAGAGACGGTCTGGGAGAAATTTAACACGCATACACTCTCTGAGGCTATATCCTAATGCCACAGAATTAACTGAACTGCATCAAATTATACTGATGTGCAGCATGGGGTAATTTCCCCCACTACCAGCAGGGGGCACGATGCTAAAAAGGCAACCCAGTTTTTTGACTGGCTCCCTTTAACTATACTTTAATCTACAGTATACATATTCCAAGTCGAATGCATTCTTTTATTTTCTGGTTTCTTTGGGGGGCGGCGGCAGGGAGTGGAGACGAAAAGGGAAAAACAAGCCAGGAAATCCAATTCTGTCTACAAGCCACATTCACCAACCATGTCTTTGTCTTCCCTCTGCCTTCCCCAGTTCCACAATGGTTTCTGGTAACTTGGCTGTTTTGGTGGTCCTGCTTATACCTCTTGAATTCTGGAGATCTGGAGGCCTCCTAGCGGCCTCTCCAGGAACTGCTGGCGAGCATGACTCCTCAAAGCAGGTCCCTATCCAAGCCCTCCAAACCATCCTGCTGAGACGCCTGGGCTTGCAACGGCGCCCGGAGCCAAGGGCGGGGCTTGTGGTCCCCCAATATCTTCTGGATCTGTACCAGTTCTGCTTGGGGAAGGCTCCCTCCTCCCTCAAAGAGACAGAGCTTCCCTTCCTGGAGGAACAAGCCGGGAGAGCCAACACCATCCGCACCTTCCACCATGTTGGTGAGCTTGCGATTGCCACGTCCGCCTTCAAATTCCACGTTTGGGCCGCTGGGGTGGCTGGGGCCTTGAAAAATTGGTTGGGGTAGCAGCAGAGGGGAGAAAAGTGGGGAAATTTAACCCAGGCCCTCCAGGAGTTGCTAGACTATCATCATCTCCCATCATCTCCCTGAACATTGGCCATGCCAGCTGCAGGGGCTGATGGGAGCTGGAGTCCAACTAGAGACAGCCACAGGCTCTCCATCCCTGAAGTGACTGCACAAAACCAGGAGCCAGGGACAGGGATAAAGGAGAGGTGGAAAGCTGTAGATAAGCGGCCGCACTGCGTAAAGGGAAAAAGAGGTAGCTCAGCAGGCAGGAACCTTGCTTTGCATGCAGAAGGTCCCAAGTTCAATCCTTGACACCCCCAGTTAAAAGGAAAGCCCCTCTGTTTGCCCCGGTCCTTGGAGAGCAACTGCCAGCCATGGCTGACAATAAGAGGCTGACAAATAGCCTGACCTGGTAGAAGGCTCAGTTGGGAGAGCGCAAGACTCTTCATCTCAGGGTTGTGGGTTCAAACCCCACATTGAAAGATTCCTGCGTTGCAGGGGGTTGCACTGATAGATGACCCTTGTGGTCCCTTCCAACTCTACAATTGTGATTTTGACTCTGAGGGTCAAACACGCTCCATCGAGGAGGAAGGAAAGCAAAGCTCCCTAATGCCAAGATACTTCAAGAATGCCCCCATGCTTTGCTTACTTAAGGAAGATCTCTTCTTTTTTCCTCTTGGGTTTTGGGAGGCGTATGATTTGCCTTGGGTTACAGCGCCACCTGCAGAGCAAGCAAGGCAACAGAGCCACACACAGGGTAGGAGGCGCTTGCGTTATCAGCAGAGCCAGGAGCCCTGCACCACTTCAGGCAAGGACATGCCACTTCACAGAAAGGGATGCCAAATACAGTTCTGATTCTTTAAAAATCCCAAAACAGTCTAAGAAAAAAGTGCTGCACACTGAATAGCCACAAATAAGTATTTTCTTTTACTTTAAAAAGTTAGGGCAATAACTTTAAGACAATTTACAGGGAACAGCTGTTGCTTGAGAGCTTCTTAGAAGCATCTGGCTGGATGCAGGGGGCAAAACACAGATGGGCTAGATGGACACTTGGTTGGACGCAAGAAGGCAATTCCTGCAGTCCTGGCATGGGCAGCCTTTGTGAATGTTGCTGAAATACAACTCCCACCAGACCCAGCAAGCATGGCTCATGGCCAGGGGCGATGGGAGCTGTAGTTCAGAAGCATCTGCAAGGCTCCCCACACCAGCCCCAAACACTCAGTCCTCAATCCCTTTCCGGCTTCTGTTTCACATCTAGAGGATCTGGAAAACACCCCTGAAGCTGTAGATGGTTCGCTCTACTTCCTGTTCAACCTGACCTTGCTGCCTGTGGAAGAGGAGCTGACCGCCCTGGAGCTGCGCCTGTACCACTCGCAGAAGGAAAGCAGGGGTTTCCACATCAACATATACCACGCAATGGGCCCCCTACCCGTTTCCGGAAACAAGAGCAGTCTCCTCCTGGCTCGCAGATTCTTGGCTCCCAAGCAGCCCAGGTGGGAGAGCTTTGACGTGACCGCTGCTTTCCAGAGGGCCGAGGGCCAAAGGCACCACCTTGGGTTTCTCATTGAGGTGGAGCGCCCCAACGGCAGCCACGAGCTTCCTCAGCACCAGGCTCCGCTTCGCCCGAGGCGGTCTCCCGGAGAGGAGGAGGCCCAGTGGGCTCTGGAAAGGCCTCTGCTGGTCACCTACAGTCACGACCGGAGGGGGCAGCCTTTGACTCGTGGGAAGAGACAAAGCAGGAGCCAGCCGGGTGGGCTAACCCAGAAAGGAGGCCGAAGAGCCCCCAAGGGGCCAGCCTCCCGCAGCAAACGCAAAGGCCTGAAGCCCAAGGCCAAAGCCAGCACAAGGTGCCGGAGGCAGCGCCTGTTTGTAGATTTCAAGGAAGTTGGGTGGAACGACTGGATAGTTGCCCCCAGCGGCTACCATGCTTTCTACTGCTCCGGGGAGTGCCGGTTCCCGCTAGCCGACCACATGAACTCCTCCAGCCATGCTGTGGTGCAGACTATGCTGAGCTCGGTGAACTCCAGGGTGCCCAAGGCGTGCTGCGTCCCGACGGACCTCAGCCCCATCGCTATGCTCTACCTGGACCAACACGACATGGTGGTCCTGAAGACGTACCAGGACATGGTGGTGGAGGGCTGTGGGTGCCGGTAGAAACCACAGAGCAGGGATAAGCCTCCTCTCAGGTAACCCAAGCAGAGGGCTTGGCACCGTCACGAGTCTTTCTTCAGGCAACATGGAATTAATGTATGGAACTTCCTACCACAAGAGGGGGGACAGCCAGAAGATTAGATGGCTCAGCTATGAGATACATGGGATATCTGGGCACAGAGGCAGCATATGATTTAACACCAAACACCAGAGGCAAACAGGCAAAGGCTATCACCAGCCTGCTGTACGAGACAGATGTACCTTGCCTCTGATTCAACAAGGCAGAATTCTCATATTCTTATCACGCCTCATCAAGTTCTCTATACGATGAATAGCTGCTGTTGTTGTTTTAAACTGTGATGACCTTTAGTTGAGCAATAAATGAGAAAGCTACCAAGCCTGTCACAGTGAGCATCCTTAAACCAAGGTGAAAACTGTGTGACGGTGTGGTTGCCACTAAAGGTGAATTCACATGACCAAAGAGAATCAGCACCAGACATTCCTGAAAAGATGATTTGGGAGAGCTGGCTGACTTTTCACACATTGTTTATGGGGAACCTGTGGCTCTTCAAACTTGCTGGACTCCCAGCTCTCACGGACCCCAGGCTGCACAGCCAATGGCCCTACAGTGCTTGAAGGACCACAGGCTTCCCCGATTCCTGCTCTAAAATAGAAGCTCTCTGTCAGAGTGCTTATCCGGTAGAGGAGAGCAGTGGTTGTCAATTCTGCTGGAACTGACATTTTGGGTGAAAAAATGACAGATGTGTGCTCCCAGCAGCTGTTGTGTGAAACATGAAGCCGTCCCTAACACTTTACAGCAGGGATGTGGATTCCAATCCAATCTCCATCAGCTCCAGTCATCATTGCCACTAGTCAGGAATGATACAAGATGTGCTCCAGCAGCACCTGAAGGGCTGAGGGTTCTCCACCCCTTCATTAAGCGTCTAATACCCCTGGGGGTTGTTTCTGAGCAGAGGGGCATCATAAACCTCACTGCACCAAATGTGTGGACAAAAAGGCAGCCAGAGACTGACACAAGAGAGCAGGTGGTCCATATCTTATTGGTGGAGAGTCAGCATTTTCTTCTGACCAGGGTGAATTTGATTTAAATCAAATCAATTTAAATCACTAGTCAATAAGACTTGGTTTAAATCGTTTTTATTTTTTTACAGAAATACTCATTCTTGGTGGTATAATCTTAATATTTACAGCGAGATGAAGGTTTCATTTTTTGGAATAATAAATTTTCAGAGTGCTTTTTACAGTTTTATCAAAAATTACTGACTTGCACAATTATTACACAAAGATCCCAAGACTTGCGGAGTATTCTGCTCACAAGGTTGCACTTTCATTTTTACTGCTTCACACTTAGCTACTTATGCAGATCTATTCCATTCAAAACAAATCTGTTCATTGAACCTCTTGGAACTTAGCATTTGGTAAGGGGTTGATTCTGTGTATATAAATTTGCAAAGGAACAATGGGATTAAAGTTTTTTCCTCAACTCTGTATGTTTATTTTTCCTATGGTCCCCCCTGTGAAGAGAAGGCATGTTATCTCTGCAGACACAAATTCACCCTTTTGAGAACTGCAAAAACAAGCATCTGTGATAATATCTTCTCGTTAGAAAAGCTGCCCCAAATAATCTTACAGAAAGCTCTGGATGAGCATGACATTGTGAACAGATTAATGGAATTCATCTACCTAAAAATTTAAACATTGCATGTAAAGCCTCATGCTACATAATTAAAAACAAATCCTTATTTCCTGATGAATAGCATTTGGACTATAATGTAACTTAAATAGAAAACCATCTTTAGAAAGATTTTTCCTCCAAAAGGAAAATTTTAAAAAATCCAATTTAAATAAAAAAAATCGAAATTAAATTTAAAAATCTGATTTATTCATTTATTTTTAAAATAACTGACTTTATCCACCCTGCTTCTAACTACATACACCAAAAAAGCACCTTGCTAGTCATTGCTTCTAAGCCCCTACTTGGTGTCTCAAGGCAAGTCTCAAGTTCTGCTTCATAGCAAGGAAAGGGACAAAAAGCTCTGAGGAATGTGGTGGGGAGAAATGTAGCACTCAACAGGAATATGGTGCATTTTAGTGCATTGTTTTAAGTCAGCCTTCTCCAAACTGGCACACATCCACGCCCAATGTTGTTGGGACTACAATGGGATGGTGAAAGTTGTAACCCAAAAAATCTGGAGGCCACTTGGCTGGGGAAAGTTTTTCAAAGGGCACAATATTTCTACTTTTGTGTCCAAAAAATAAATAAATGTATACAATGGTGAAATAAACTGTACAGCTTTTGCTGATGTTTTTCTTCTTTTAAAAAAGATGAAATATGGGTGTAAGAAAATGGGCTAAGATGCAACATTGAAGCTTTATGAAAGAGATGTCAGAGTTAATAGTGAACTCCAAAGTAAGTAATGTAGAGAGACAGAGCCAGTATCATGTGAGTGGATTCCAGTTTACAGGTCTGAAATGGGCTGGACAGGATGCAAAGATGAACAGCAAGAAAACATCTATAAACACTTTTACCCCACCTTCCCGTCATCAAGACATCCAAGGAAGCTACGTACACTAAAGGGTGGACACTGAAAAACCACACTATCAAAAACACATCAGAGTGAGCAACTAAACCAAATGTGGAGCAGGGCAAGAGAAAAATAAACCAGAGACCCAGGAAGATTTAGCGTGGGAAGAGCTTTTGAGAACCAGAAGCTGGGTAGATCCAATCAATAATAGAAAAGTAACAGATGCTGTAATTAAAAATTAAAATGAAACCTGTATAACAGGATTCTTACTATTAAACTTTAAAGAATACAGACATATATTAAAACTGAATCATGCCCTCTCTCTTATATAGCTTGAGGCTATTTTTAGTATTAAAAGCAATCGAGAGGGAAGCATTTTATTATGAAGGTTAACCAACATAATGGGCACAATGGGCCTTGATTAATGTGAGCTTCCTATTGCACCGTAGCAAATAACCACATACCTTAGGATGTATATGCATGCATATATATATATATATATATATATATATATGAGATAGGCATAATCAGTGCTTTTTCTGGGGGGACGCAGGTGTACACATACCCCTAAACATTTTGTGAATCTTTGCATTTTTGTCCATTTACTGTATTTATTCTTTCCGATTTGAACTATTAAATGGTGATTTTCTTGAGTCAAAATGAGAGTACCACTAAACATATTTTTTTTTAGAAAAAAAGCACTGGATATAATATATTTCTCCATCTCCTACATGGGTTAGTTTATAATCTGGCCTTAGCCACCACACCTGGAGTTATAGTCCAAAACAGGGGTTGGGAATCGCTAGTCTATGGGCCAAATTTGGCTCAACCCAAGTTGCCATTTTCCCTGAACCGCCCCCACCTATCCCATACCTCACGACCTATGTGATGTCAGGGGTGGGGGCAGAAGGATGCACCTGGATAACAACAACAACAACAACAATTTATTATTTACAACAACAACAATTTATTATTTATACCCCGCCCATCTGGCTGAGTTTCCCCAGCCATTCTGGAGGGCTCCCAATCGAGTGTTAAAAACAATACAGCATTAAATATTAAAAACTTCCCTAAACAGGGCTGCCTTTAGATGTCTTTTAAAGATAGGATAGCTACTTATTTCCTTCACATCTGAAGGGAGGGTGTTTCACAGGGTGGGCGCCACTACCTAAAAGGCCCTCTGTCTGGTTCCCTGTAACCTCACTTCTTGCAATGAGGGAACCGCCAGAAGGCCCTCGGCGCTGGACCTCAGCATCCGGGCAGAACGATGGGAGTGGAGACGCTCCTTCAGGTATACAGGACCGAGGCCGTTTAGGGCTTTAAAGGTCAGCACCAACACTTTTAATTGTGCTCGGAAACGTACTGGGAGCCAATGCAGATCTCTCAGGACCGGTGTTATACTGTATGGTCCCGGCAGCCACTCCCAGTCACCAGTCCAGCTGCCGCATTCTGGATTAATTGCAGTTTCCGGGTCACCTTCAAAGGTAGCCCCACATAGAGAGCATTGTAGTAGTGAGAGATAACCAGAGCATGCACCACTCTGGCAAGACAGTCTATGGGCAGGTAGGGTCTCAGCCTGCGCACCAGATGGAGCTGGGAGACAGCTGCCCTGGACACAGAATTGACCTGCACCTCCATGGACAGCTGTGAGTCCAAAATGACTCCCAGGCTGCGCACCTGGTCCTTCAGGGGCACAGTTACCCTATTCAGGACCAGGGAGTCCCCCACACCAGCCTGCCTCCTGTCCCCCAAAAACAGTACTTCTGTCTTGTCAGGATTCAACCTCAATCCGTTAGCCGCCATCCATCCTCCAACCGCCTCCAGGCACTCACACAGGACCTTCACCGCCTTCACTCAGTCCGCTCCATGACTGAGTTCCCCAGAAAGCAGCTTTGAGCTTCGCCTGGTCATGACGCCAGGCCCAAACGCTTCTTCCCACATCCTGTATTAAGCTAAAAACTCTTTGAAAACAGACGCTCCTCTCTCTGGCCATAAATATTGCCTCTCAGTTATGAAACAATTCAGTTAACGCCGACTAACCTGCATAGGCCTTGGTTCGGTCTCCTCAAGTCGTCATGGCAACCCCAAACCGTTCCGCTCAAAATTGCGGGCCTCAAAGCGCTCAGCACGTTGGCGGCCGGGACAGGAAGGAGCAGCCTCTTCACCCGGAAGTACATTATTATGAGCGGACGACAAGCCGCTCTTCCCTTATCGGCTTTTTTTTTTAAAGGTCCCCTCTGCTAATAGGAGGACTGGGAACTCTATGACTCTGCCCTGTATGCCCCTAGGCGGCGGCGAGCGGCGTTGGCCCATGTGCCTGCACCCCGCCTCCCGCTCCCCCTAGCGATTGGTGGGATGAAAGATGAAAGGGAAGCGCGTGATCGTTACGTCACGATCAGGAGGCCCTCCGTGTTCCGCAATTCCTTGTCTCGCCGTCAGCACATTCGAGGACACCCATCCTTCCATTTCCCTCTTCGCCGCTTGGGCAGGAGGATGCGAACACGACTAAAAATAATAATACAATATTTGCTTTTTGCCGCCCCACGCGGAAAGCCGCCCGGCAGGTTTATCCCGCGCCGCCCCGCCCCCCCTCACTCGAGGCCGCTGTTGTCGAAAGTGCCGTAGCTGAAAAGCAGCTGGCTGTCGCCTGGCGAAAGGGAAGGTGGGGGCCGAGAAGTGAGTGTGGGAAGGAAAGGAGGGGGCAAGCTTGGCTGCGTTTTAAAAAAACAACCAGCGCCGTCCGCCGGCCGGCCAATCCGAGCGCCGGAAACGGGGGCACGTGACCCTGTCGGCTCCGAGCGTGAGGTGGGTGTTTTGCCAGAGGAGCCGCCGCCGCTGAGGGGGACGAAGGTAGAGCCGCCACCGCCGCTGCGTTTGCCGAGGGAGGGAGAAACCCCTCGCGAAGGCTCCTGTGGTCGCGGAGGCTGTTCCACCCGCGCGCGCGGAAAGGGCCTCGGCGGATGCGCAGGCCGCTGGCGCACTCGCTGCTGGCGGCGGCGGCGGCGAAAGAAGACTGCGAGGAGGAGGCTTCTCTCGGGTCCGTCCCTGGCTGAAGCGGCGGCGCGGGAGGGGGCCGCTCGCTCGGGAAGGGCCTCTCTCTCGCGCGCGCACCTGCCCGGCCCTCCATCATCCCGAGCGTGTGGCGCCTTTGCTCTCCCTCCTCAGCCCCGCCGGCACCCAAGAACCGGCTCCCTCTTCTCTTCTTCCCCCCTGCAGCCTCGCCGGGTGCGTATTTGCCTCGGCTCAGGCAGCCCCGCCAGCCCTCCCCTCTTCCCCTTCCTTTCCGAGCCTGCCACCACCAAAGCCCTGAGCCAGAGGATCAGCAAAGGCCCTCTTACCCCTCAGCAACCGACGAAGAGCCTTTCTATGACTTTCCATTACTAATCACGGTTTATCTACCCCACCCCCTAGCCCAGATATCTTGATAGGCATCGCCTTTCCTCCAAAAGGATAGCGTTTGTTTATACCTTTTGCCATCCCTCCCCCCAGCACACACGCACACCAAAAAAGAGCGCGGGCACTCACCTTGTTCCCTTTAAACGCTTGGCAGAGTCCCTACTTACCTGTGAGGCATTAATTGCTCTCTCGTTCTTACCACGCACACCCAGGCACCCGTTTCTGTAAAAGCGGGGCAGCTGCGAGGTTTATTTTCCTCTGCAGCTTGACACTAGTCCTTTTAGCCCTCTTCTGCCAGCTATTCCTGTTTATGCTGCAGGTGTTTTTAGTCTACACGCACATAAGCTTCCCACACTACTCAGACGGGACTGTTTCCTGTTACGATAGCTCTCGCTTTCACAAGGAACCTGTGCATTTCCTTTCCTGGGCCTCTGGAGCAAACGTTGGCCCCATTTTGTTCCTTTTCTGTTGGACCTTTTTCTATTCTGCAGGTGTTAGTTCCAATCAGTCCTTCTTCAACCATTATACTAACACTCCATTGTTTACCCCTACTGGGTAAAAACGTAACGGGCAAGGGAGCATTCCACATTTTCCAGACCAGCAAAATATTTCCGTGCCCTGCCAAATCTTCACAGAAATTGACCCAAGCCCATTTAAAGTAGTGCCCTTTTTGTCTTGCTCGCTCTCCTCCAACCCTAAGTAAAGGTTCTATTTCTTGTACCAAAAAGGCAGGGGTCCTCCCTGCATCCTCCTCCAGGTGATCCCATTCATCATTCATGGTCTCATTGCACCATTGCTGGGAGGAAAGGGTCTGGAGACCTTGGGAGCCTTTTCTTGCCAGGTGAAGGAAGGTGAAAAAGAGACAGGAGGTGACCCCTCAGTAATGACTCCATGAGAAGGGAAGAAGGAGAGCTCTCCCTGACAGAAACCTATCACGCTTGCCTGGCAATGGAGTGTGTACAAGTCTCCCCCATGCAGCAGCAGCAAGGGAAAGCTGCTGAGGGGGACCACCTCATGCTGCTGCTGCCACCTCCTGCTGTGCAGAAGGAAGAGGAGGGCCTGCTAAGGGCTTCTGATCCTTGGGCTGTCTCTCGAGTGGACGGCAGTCAAGGTGGGACAAAACTTCAAGAGGCTTTGGACTTTTCATCACATCTTCAGAATACAGAAAACCTCACGCACAGCCCTCCCACGCTAGGGAGCCATCCTGGCAGAGAGATGGTGGGCAATTCTACTGCATGTCCTTCAAAGGAGGATTTGAAAGATACTGAGCGTTGTGATCTGGCAGAGGAGCAGTTGCAGCCATCAGGGAAAGAGACTTTGAGCCATCCGCTACAGGAAGAGTCGCTGGCAAATAAGGTGGCCTGTAATAATCCTCCTTTGGCCACAGCTGCCGGAGAATGCCTTACGGTTGCTGAAAAATGTTCTCAACAGAACAACTGTTTGCAGGAAAAACTGGACTCCTCTTCACAGAACTGTTGTTTAGGCTTGGAAGCAACAAGTAGAGAGAGTCCAGAAGATGACCAAACAAGCCATGGTTCTCTGCCTGCTGATGATGGGAAACTGAAGCCTGGTGCAAAACATGTCACATTTCCCTCCGATGAAGACATTGTGTCTGGGGCTGTGGAACCCAAAGATCCTTGGCGTCATGGTAAGCAAGTTCCAACTTCTCTAAAGACCTTTTTCTCTTCTTGCAGCTGGACTGGACTTGTCCAAGCCAGTCCCTTTATTCACAGGATTGGCAATTGGTTTATAGTATGAGAACTGAATATTTCCTTTTATCTTTGTTAGTCACTTATCTACCAAAAGCTCTCAACACGTCTTACGATCAAGGGTTACAAACACAAAGCTATGCAATCCAATTAAAAGTAAGTGCATGCTATAAAAGCAGAAAGCTGATACAACAAGATGAACTAGGAAATAACAAAGCAATAGGCACTGACCTGCTCTTGAAAACAGGAACATAATTCAGTTGTCAGACTAAGTTCTAGAACAGCCACCCCCAACCTGGTGCCCTCAAGATATTTTGGATTACAATTCCCATCAGCCCCAGATGGTGCAGGCATGCTTCTAACGTTCCCATTTTATGGCTGCAGAACTGAACTGTTTCCGAGGTCACTCACTGAATTGGTGACTAAGCACAGAATTGAATCTGGGGCTTCTGGTTCATGTCTGATATTCTAAGCACAGAGTAGCCCTGCATAAATGACTTTTATTGGGTTGGTTCATACAGAATGCCAAACTAATTTGCACTCGCCCCCTTCTTTGAGTAGACTGTGTGTAGAAATACAGAACCTTCTGCTTTTGGTTAACCACCGCTTGCCATGTTGTCTAAATCTGGACAAACGGGTTCATCCAAACTGTGGATAATGGAAACAAGCAAACTTCCAGGGATAAAGCTGTCTTGTCACTAACGGTGGTTAAGATGAACCATGGTTTAGGGCCTGGGCAATATAGTTAAAAGTGTGGTTGATCTAAAGCAGAAGTTTACCATCTTCTTTCTGTCTGCTAGAGGAGGCTAGGATAGGAAAGAAGCATGTGACCCTGGGTGGGAGAAATTAGGCTTATTCTTGTAGTGCTAAACTATGGTTTAGTATTGCATCCAAACACTGCCATAGTGTATGCATTGTGGAGTTTTGATGGCTCCATTGTTTAATTTTAAAATACAGTATCTAGCTTCAGATAATTTTTTTTAAAAAGCTAAATGGTGAAGTATTATTATTGATAATTCATATCACTAGTTAGTGCTATTGAGAATGCATTATCATTGAGCATTTTTCAATAATGAAAAATACTATAGTAGTATACACAGGACTGAAAAGTTTATGAATGCCTGGTTGATAACAATGTTACATTGGTGGTAAGAATTTTTCATTCCTGAACATGTCCTGTTACATGTGTATTTTTTCCTCTTTCAAGTTACACATTCCTTGGAATCTAAAAGCCTGATCCTAAGATTTCTTATGGATAGCACAAGGGTACATTTGGATGGTGTATACCACAAGTGTTCTGTGGCAGAGCATGATGTTAGAATTGTGTTGCAGGTATGCATGCTGTGCAAGTGCGTTGAGAACATTTTTTTTTTGCACGTTTTGTATGCCATTTTAAGATGTCTTTTTCAAAGGATCTGTCTAACCTTGGATTATTACGTTTGCATTGGGAGCTCTTGATCTCCCTCCAAAGCACTTTCCTTCTTGTTGCCCCCCCCCAGTTGTAAGAGCATCTGAGTTGCTCTAGTTTTTCCGAGGTTGTATTTGGAGTTTTAAAATTTACGTATGCTATTTTTGACAATACCTGTGCTGATCTTCCAGAACTGAGAAATAGGGTCAGAGTCAACTTAATAGCTGTGCAAGCAAGAGTCAATGCAGCAAGTCCCACTAGCACCAAGGGGCTTGCCTACCCCTGCAGCCCCATAGTCTCTGAGGGGTTGTTGGGGGAATCCCCATAACAACACATGGGGGTAGGGGAGGAGAGAGAAGAGTGTTTCATCCGGCAAAGAGAAATGCTTGCACTGACAGAACTATCCTAATAGCGTGATGTTTAATTCCACCCGTTGAATTGAACATTGAACAGGAATGTAAAGTTGTCCCAACTTTTCCTTTGCTTTCCCTGAAGCCTTTGTTTTGAGATAAGTGGATGTTTAGAGATAAATGGAGGTTAAGAAAGTAAACTTGAATGCATTTACACTTGTTGAGCTCAAAGGAAAATATGTGTAAATACTTTTGTTAGGAACGCCAGGTGGATGTACAGATGTTAGGAGGAGAATGACCCTGTAGTCATTTTTCTGTCCCCAAGTGCGTGGTTTGCCTTACCTATCATAGATTCATAGAACTACAGAGTTGGAAGGGACCTTGAGGGTCAAACAGTCCAACCCCCCTGCAATGCAGGAATCTCAGCTAGGTCCTACATAACAGATAGACATCTAAACTCTGCTTAAGAACCTTCAAGGAAGGAGAATTAATCACCATTCAAAATTTGCCAGGTTTCAGGTGCACTTTGCACCTGGCTATTGGCCACTTTCAACTAAGTGAAAATGCCAGGGCGCCAGGTTGGCGCCTGAGGTCTCCACCATGTGGAGGTGCATGCCTAGGTATCCTTTGTGTCTCGACTGTTTTCACACACTAATACCCTATCCTGTGGAATTCTATCTGATATATTTTATCTGTGTTATCAGAATGAATTTCAGGAACCAAAAAGTTGTATTGGAAAATAGGACGTTTGGACCGTCTGGCCCCAAAATGAGAACTAGGCATTCCATTTTGGTGACTGTAACTCTGCTTTTAGGAGCTGTTTGGTGCCTAGCTTATATATCTGAGTTTCTACACTTCTCGTGGGAGTCTGTTCTACTGTTGAACAGCTCTTATTGTCAGAAAGTACTTCCTGACGTTTAGCCAGAATCTACTTTCTTGTAACTTAAATCCATTGGTTTGGCTTCTAGTATCTGAAGCAGGAGAAAACAAGCTTGCGCCATCCTCCATGTGACAACCCTTGATATATATGAAGATGGCTATCATATCTCCTCTGTCTCCTCTTTGCCACAACTTCACTTGATCCGGACACTAGATGCAGCCTAGAATAGCATTAGCTTTTTTTTGCTGCTGCATCACACTGTTGACTCATGTTCAGCTCGTGGTCTACTAAGACCCCTAGAGAGCAGTTTTGATGAGGTTACACCAGATGTGTATTTTTATAAATTAATTTGTGGTAAGTTAGAGGTAACGGGAGAAAGTGTATGTGACAGAACAGTTGTGGTCTCATAAATTATATTACTTTCAATGAGCCCCTTAACATTTGGCCAGTAGGACAAGACTTGAAATGATAGTTTTTAGGCAGTTTCCATAGTAAACACATTGCATACTGGAGAATGAATACACATTTGATTGCTTTATGCATAAAGCCAAACTACAGCTGCATCATTATTTTACATTCTCACTGCTCCCTTCATGTTCTCACTCCTCAGTTGCTTATTTCCTCTTTCACACAAACCAGTAATGGTTGGAATTAGGTTTGCAGCCTTGGTTTAGGGTGAAAAAAAAAATCTATAATTTACTGATTTATGTAACTGCAACGGTAACTGTTTTTTACCAGTACATATTTTATGTAGAAAATAAAATATACATAGCATAATCAGAAGAGAGTACATAAAAGCAATACTTAACTAACTGCAGAAGTTAACTAGCTGAAGCAGAGAAAATTAAAGGAAAGTGCAGAGGACAAGAGTCCTTCTCATGGTGCCAAACCATAGTTTGGTGTTACAACTGAAGTAAGCCACGGTCATGATTTTACATTATTGTCAAATGTGGTTTTATTTTTATTTTTTAGTAGGGGGAGGTGGGAGGCTGCAGACCATAATTGTATCAACAATGTTGTATTCTATTAGAGTTGTCTGTATCTGTAAGACCAGATACAGGCTTTTGGCTGATTGATATCAAATGCCCTTTTAAAATGTGTTGGGGAGGGGGGATTATTGGGTTGTTCTTGTTCTTGTTATGTGTTTTTATATTGTGATTTTATCTTGTGAACTGGCCTGAGATCTGCGGGTATAGGGCGCTATACAAATGTAATTAACGTAATAAGAATAATAAATGTTTCAGTTGTGCATTGGGTTGAGGATGGTGAGTTTGTGGAGTGTTAAAAAACAACCCACTTACGGTATTTAGGCAGAAAACACAATAGACAGAAATGGCAAGATCTGCTTGATTCCCTCCCCCCCCAATTGTTTCTGACTCTTTAGAGTGGCCACCAATTAGTTTTTGAACACACCTTTACAAGCATGTGGTTTAAAAACTATAACGAAGAGTGACACCTATCCATAAGGAAATGCCGCTTGTGTTGGTGGGACTTCATTGAGGCAATAGTTCCCTGTTCTGCTAGTAGACATGCCTGGTGGCTACAGATACAGTCACAACACAATTACATCCTCTATCACTCAGTGGAGTCAACCAGTTTTCTGTGCCTACATATAAGGAACCTTGGGCTAGGCAATTTTCTGGTTTCATTGAAGTCAGTAGATCAAGTTTCCCTTGCAGCTCTTTTTGCTTTATTGCTTGTTTATTGGATTTCTTGCCCGCCCTTCACCATAAGGTCTCATGAGGTATGCAGAAGTTGCAGTGTGTATACAGAGATCCTACAGTAGCCATGGCCTTCCCAGTTGGTACAGCAGTTTGCTGCGCTTATTCCTCTGCGCTTATTCGTGATCTGAGCCACTTCCTCTAGAAGTGGAGCAGGAGAATACTGTGAGAATACTGTGTGTGTATCAAGAAGCCCCCAGAGCTCTTAGTCAGTGATTATGAGAGAGAGATTGTGTGTGTGTGTGTGTGTGTGTGTGTGTGTGTGTGTTGCACAATGCCCATATGTTGTGGGTCATGGTGCTTTGTTGCAGATGGCTGTGTGGCTTAATTGAAGTGGTTGTCATATAAAAGCAGTGATTGATTCAAACAGGGACAGTTGGAGCTGTTAATTTCGCTTTCAATATCAAATGCCCCTTTAAATCGGATTATGGCAGCAGTGCATGCGCGTAACACTTGTGTTCAGCCTTTGCTCAGGTTAATGGCATTTCAGAGCCCCTTGCTATAAATTCCTGTTCAGTTCAGGAATCTGGGGCTTGTTCTCTGACGGATTCTGCACTGCCTTCTTGAAAACCAATGTCTTTTATTCGCATGTGCCAACAGTTCTGTTGGTAGTCAAACATTGTGTGCATAATCTGTTTTTGTGGAAAACATTCTCCCTCTCTTAATTGTATACCCGCTCCAGTTTCAGTCTGTTTTCACTGATGCTAGTTTTAACCTCTTATATGGTTTTGCAGTGTTTATATTTGGGCTGAAAGTAAAAAATGCAGGACTGAAAGAGGAAAAAAGAACCTCAAACGTGCACATAAGATAAATTTGCCAGTACATTTGGTGTAATAATTCTTCATGGGCAACTATAAAAACTAGAAGCATAGAATCATAGAATTGTAGAGTTGGAAGGGACACCAAGGGTCATCTAGTCCAACCTGCTGCATTGATCTGAAGTCCTCAATTCAAGTTTTGCCTCTGTCTCAAATTGGTGAAGTGTCCCTCAACATCAGCACCCCTCAACTACCATATGAAGATACTGTCTTGCCTTACAGGATTGCTGTAAGTATATCTTGGGTATTGTTCTGAAGTGCTTTGAACCCTGTGATGTACCATATGCATGCATTTGTCTTTTATGACATGGAGAAACATAGCAGGATCTAAGTCTTTGCTGCTTCTTCCTCTGACACACAGCAGTGGGAGAAGGGAGCAAAAGAAGTGGGTGGTGGTTCTAGGCTATAAGTGGGTGGCCATCCCTGCCAAACCTAACCTGCAAAAGCTGAGCTGAGACACCGAGTCACATGCATGCAAGGTGATTTGTGAAAAGGCAGCCTTCCTTTCATTATGCATTCTCACTGCTTCCTATTATAAGACAAACCTTCAGCTCACACTCCCACACCCTTCAGTTGCTTTCAACAAGAGAGGGGAGGTATCCTCTTGGCACATTATGCAAATGATATGTGACAAGAAGAAAGCAATATGCTTTTCATGTGTTCGTCTCCACTCAGGGCGTATCCAGAAATCCATCAGTTGGTTTCACATTGCCACACAGGTCATACATCCTACCCATGCAACCTGTGCCATGGGTTCTTCATCAACAGCATGCTAGCTAGGCACAAAGCTTCCCCCGCAGTGTGCCCCTCTCATGGTGTCATTTGGGAATGAGACTACTAGGCGACTGCCGCTGAAGCAGGGTGGGTGGGTTGTATCCTGTCCAAACAATAGCTGATAACGTATTTTCTTTGAAAAGTATCATTCTCGGGTTTCTTGGTGTTGCTGTGGCTGATTTCTTTATCCAGACATCTCCATAAACGCTGTACTTTCCTTCTGTTCCTTCTGATTGCGCCTGTGGTATGCGTTGCCTACGCTGTTTTGGGTCCTGTTTTCCTTGACACCTGTCAGGTCCTGTTATCCAGATAATCATTGCCCATCCGTAAGGGCACAGCTGCTTGTCTGAGCCAAGGAAATGTCTGGGGTTTTTTTTTTGCACCACATTTAACTAGAAAGGATGTTAAAGCTGAAAGCCAGCTTACTGCATGAGCTTTAAGAGAGCTCAGAATTTTTCTTAATATTGTACTCTCCCCGATGTCAGCTGCTGGATTAATGCTGAACTTTGCTACTGCTAGTATGTAATGCTTACACAGCACCCACATTGCCCTCAGATAGTCTTCTCTAGCACTGTGGACATTAGTTGGCTGAACACAGGACTGCAGGGTTTGAGACTCACCATCCCATAATCAACTAGCTAAGGAAGCATTATGGTCTTCTAGGTACATGACAGCCCCCACCTGACAACCAGGAAGCTTTATGAGCCCCTTGTGGGCTACTGTACATCTGTGCTTGGCTAGGTGGGTCAGAGGCTGTGCAGGCCGGGTCTGGTCACAGGCACTGTCCACCAGCAGCGCTTGTTGCACAACAGCAGTTGAGCCCAGGCCCAAATCGGGGCCTTTTCGCAGCTGCGATCAGAGCAGGAAGTGAATGCCATTTGTTGGTGCAACAGTGTTTGTGTACCCAGGGCCTTCAGATTTATCAGATGCACTGTCCTCTTTTTAATTCCAGCCTGCAATGTAGAATTTGCTTTTTCTTGACTGTAAGGTAAAGACTGTAGATGTTAGCATTTCTTGTCCTCTTTCTGGGTGACCAACTGCAAAGGAAGACGGGGCTCCTCTGTCTTATCAGAACATAAGAAGTGCTCTGCCAAATTCAATGAAGTGCCCATCTTGTCCAGCATTTTGTTTCCCAGAGTGGCCACTCCAGTCATACGCTTCAGGAAATCCCATAGCCCATGAAGGCAGCAGACCACTCCAGGGGCTGTGATTTCTGTCTCTGAACCTAGAGGCTGCATTTAGCTATTGTGGCGAATAGCCACAGAAACACTTCCATACATTTGCCTAATCTCTTTTTAAAGCCCTCTAAACACACAGCTACTGCACTGTCCAGTGGCAGCAAATTCCATTAATCATGCAAAAAGAGAGAATATCACTCTAATAGTTTCTCCCAGCATGGCAAGCTGCACCTACCAAAATTCTGTCTTCTACCAGCAATTCAAGGGTGCATAAGGCTTGTCCTTCTTTGCATCTGATTGCCTCTGTGTCTCCCAAAAAACATACCCCAACACAAACGAAGAAGCAAGCTATAGCAAAACAGAATGATGGTGCCAGCTGGCGTGAAGTGTCTTGGGTCAGGGCAAGACCCATTTGTGCATCCTTATCATCCCACTTAAAATTACCGGTAATTTTCTCCACCTGTAGCTAAAGATGTAAAAGCCCAGGGGGGAAATGTGGGGTGCATTCCCTCCCCTCACCTTTGTCACATCTATCTGTGAGGTTTGACTGGATTCAGGGCCCACCTTTGATTCAAACCGGCAAACAGGCTTCTGTTAATACTACTGCTATTAACATTTATGCAGTGCTTAATCATAAAACAACAACAGCTCCCTACCCCAAAAAATGAAGAGCTTTGCATAGATCAAAAAAAGACAGACCCTCCCTGCAAGCGCACAGTCTAATAACGAAGTATTTGTACCATTTACCCAAGCCTGTTTATTCAAGGCAGTTTAATCCAGTTACAAAGGATGACTTTTTGTTCCATACCACAAATCCATCGTTCAGTAGCAGCAATACAAAAGATGGCAATCTGGATGTGCAAACAACATTATAACAACTTTGGTCTGGAAGTCAGTCTTTGCTGATGTCGAGTGCATGCATGGCTTATGTAGACAAACTTAATTTCTTCCCCTGCTGCCCTTCCTCCACAGAACTGTCCTGTTACTACTGGTGAGGTTGCAACCCAACAGTTGGAAAAAAGCAATGCCCTAGATGCTTTGGACTGCAACTCTCATCAGCCATAGGCAGCATGGCTGATGGGAGTTGTAGTCCACAACATCCAGAGGGCACTTAGGTTGGGTAAGGCTGCGCTCCACATCAGCTCCTTGGAGCTGGTAAGGAGGCCCAGATCTCTGACTCCTGCAAAGGATCTCTTGGCCTTGGGCAGCCTTTTGCTCTGAGCATGACCCTCCAGCTCCTCCTTGCCTGTCCAGCTGTCTGACCACAGCAAGAGAGTAGACTTGTCTGCCACAGTCGTCTCTGGCCAGTTGTGGAAGCTGCTAGCCATTGATCAGCAGCAGCCATCCCTCACCTATGAAATTGTTCGATTATAGAGCAAATGAATGGGTTATTGGTGGTTGCTTCCCATTCACAGCTAGCTTGCATCACTTTCGTGGCCTTTACACATGGGAAGAGAGGACGGTGACCTTTTCTCAGTGTACTTTGGCACTTTGACTGGTCTAACTGGTTAGAAAGCATTTAAATTGCTTCTGGCAGGGTGACGTAATATAATGGTGTTTGGGCTGCATGGAGCCTCTGGGTGTCGTGAGCCCTACAATCCCGACTAGCTCGGGGCTGGGGTAGCAGGTTGATTTCAGGTGAGAAACAAGAGGAGTAGAGCGGGAGTGATTCCATAGGTGGGGAGCTGCCCAGGAAGGGCCTATCTGCCCCTTTGATTTTAGACGCTGAGAAAGGGGAGACAGTCCTGCAGGTGCCCTGCCCATAGAGCAGAGACATTCCCTAGCAACGGGAGGAGGAGCCAGAGGAGCTTTCCCTCCTTTGTGCTGCCTCTCCCATGTTGGCAGTGGGCCTATGCCCCTCTGAGAAGTGTGTGCCTCCAACCTTGTAAGGAGAGAGAGTGTGACCATTCCGCATTTAAAAACTCTTGGGATGGCACGACCAGTTGTTGAGACATCTTCATAGCTTTCATTCAGTCTTGGATCCCTCTTGGGGTCCTGTTCCTGAGATTGTGGGTCTTCAACTGATCCAGGGTGGGTCACAATAGCTGCACTACCACCATGCAAATATATGGCAATAGATTAAGTGGGCCCCCAAATACATGTTTGGGTTAAAGGTGGTTCCTGGGTCTGAAAAGGTTGAAGGCTACTGCCTTAGATGAACTGTATTTGCACCACGACTTGTACCATTGCAAGTTTTAAGAAAATAATAATAATAATAATAATAATAATAATAATAATACTTATACTCTCCCATCTGACTGGGTTTCCCCAGCCACTCTGGGTGGCTTCCAACAAAATATTAAAATACAATAGTCTGGTAAACATTAAAAGCTTCCCTAAACAAGGCTGCCTTCAGATGTCTTCTAAACTTCAGATAGTTGTTTATTCCTTTGACATCTGGTGGGAGGGCGTTCCACAGGGTGGGAGCCACTACCGAGAAGGCCCTCTGCCTGGTTCCCTGTAACCTCACTTCTTGTAGTGAGGGAACCACCAGAAGGCCCTTGGAGCTGGACCTCAGTGTCCGGGCAGAACGATAGGGGGTGGAGACACTCCTTCAGGTATACTGGGCCGAGGCCGTTTAGGGCTTTAAAGGTCAGCACCAACACTTTGAATTGTGCTTGGAAATGTACTGGGAGCCAATGTAGGTCTTTCAAGCATAATTTTTTACTCACACCTAAGAGCTTCTGCTGAAATGTTGTGGGCAAGAGCCTGGGCAGCAAGTCACGGTTGTATGGTCAGTGGGAATTGCAGATCAATTCATTTAAAACAAAGTTTTAAATCAATTCATTTAAAATGAAGTTTCTAGTGTTTGCAGAAGTGTGGCAGAGAACATGCTGCCCTATTAAAACTGTTGCCTCTACTTGGCACTTCTTAGCTCATGGACATTCCCCACTCCCTGTTTTGGCCCCTACATTTCCCCCCCCCCCATCTTTGTCTCTCATAGCCTCCCGCAGTCCTTGAAATCACCCACCCACCCATGCCAGTGGGTGGTGTGACCCACATTAAAGCATTATAACCACCTTGTATGTTCTGATCCTTCGGCTGAGTACCATAGATTTGGGAGTATTTTCAGATCATTGGAGAACTGGAGCCTACCACAGGCACTGTTGCTGGAGAAGGGATGGGCCTGGGAGCTTGGCAAGGAGTGATATGGGCGATAGGAGTGGGGTGGAGTTAGGCCAGGCCTGCGCGGCCTGTGACACAAGAAGCCAAAAGTAGCCCCATGTGGGAACTTCCCAGGAGCTTGGCAAAGCCCTCTCCATTATTTGCAGCCTTAGGGAAGTGGGGTGTTTACTTGGTTGGTTGTGTCATAAATTGTGTAGGCTCTACCTCAGGCAAGCATGATTCTCTCCCTTCACCCCTCGCCCATTTCCTCACTGTAGGAACCAAAATTAGGCTGAAACATTTGCTAGCAAGAAGCTGGCTCTGACTGTAAGTTAACAAGGACTGTTTTTGAAGGTTTACATTGGGTTATTGGGGGGAAAAAACCCTCCCCACCCTTCCCTTTCCCAGTTATTATCTCGGAACTGCTTTTGCTTGGTGGCTGTGTGTTGCCTGCTCTGGTGCATATAATGATGCGGTTTTGTTCACTGTGTTGGCGCAAGTTGAAGCGTTGCCTTTCCAGAGGCCTTTTGCCTTTTAAAACCTCAGCTGAGTCATGTCTGGTCATGACGATTAATGTTTTTCCTGGGAAGCCTTGTGTAAGCAAGCAGCTCCCAACTTGCTCAACTCGGAGGACCTGTGGAGTCTGTGGACTTGCAGAACAAACTTTGGAAGCTTATGTATAGCCCCAATTGAACCGCCTGGTTGACAGTGTTAGATGTTGTGACCGTCAAAGCTGGATCAGAATAAAGTTGCTTTAAAAAGTTATTGTGCATGGTTGGTTTTTTTTAGCTGTTTATAGCTTGTTGTGTTTCAGAGGCTAGACATGTTAGGGCTGCAATTTTAATTGGTTAGATCCAGATTTCCCAAGCTAGCAGGACCAAGTTGCCAGGGATGATGGGCATTGCAGTCCAAAAACAGCTGGAGACCCAAGTTTGGGAAATCAATCAGGCTTTTAAGTGACAAAAATGTGCAAATTAAAACACAGAGAGACATTTAAGAAACAAGTACTGTACTCATAAGAAACTGCAGATGGTAAGCACCATCTTAGGAGAGACACTGACTTTTACCTCTCACACAGAAGGAAATGTCTCTTCTAAGATGATGCATAATCAAAACACAAATAAAGTATGATTTTGCTTCCCAAAACACTGGTTTTACTTGTATGTAAATATAATCAATCAGTCAATCCACTAAGATTTATTTAATTGGGTAGCAGTCCTAAATTATTTGTTATGTTATTATCCCACCCTTCGTCCAAGTAGCTAAGCATGACAGATGAACTGTCACAACCTTATGAAAATAGGCTGGGCTGAGAGGAAAATGGTTTGCCTGAGCATCAGGCACTGAAGTGCCCAAATGGCAGCACAGCCCAACCACAGCTTGCCTCCTGGACTCAGGCCTGGGGTTTCATTCCAGGTTTGTGCAGAAACTGAGCATATATATATATATTTTAAAAACTGAATCGGGTCACTGGCTCATTTTGTCGAGTCAGTTTTTATGGAAGGTAGATCTGTCAGCGGCTTTGAACCACGAAAAGTAAATGGCATCTCTGTATTGTCAGAAACAGTCTACCCTTGGTTATGAGATGCTAGGAGCAGAATGGATGGGGCTATTGCTGTTGTGCCCTGCTGTAAGTTTTCTGAGAAGTACTCTGCTGTGGAAACAAAACACTGGGCTAGTCAGACCTTTTGGCCTGACCAACAGGCTCTCTCCCATTTGAGTCATCTACTCCATGGTGGTACCCTCAAGATGTGGTAGGACCATTCCTGACAGTTGATGGGAGATGACAGTCCCAACTGTAAGGCACCATGTTGGCTGTACCTCGTCTATTCTGACTGACAGCTGCTCTGCTACCTATGGGGTTCTTTTTTAAATGGCAATGGTGGGTATCAGACCTGCGGTCTCTGGCATTCAAAGTGTGTCCTCTGCCACTGAAGCCAGTTCTTACTTGGCCACTGTTCTTTGAGCTGCACAAGGTCTCTTTCTGCCAAAATCAGCTGAGACGCGATGCAAGGACTATCTTTGTGCGCCTTCTGGCAAACCATTTGAGTCCTTCTTAATATTAAGGATGGAGCTGTATGTTATAAGAAACACTGGGTTGCCGCAGATAAGGGCAGCTCCACACCCAAGTTTTCCCAGTTCCCCTCTAACGTGTAGGAAAGCATAGCCAGAATCCTGAAATTATGGGGTTCTGCGTTCCCCTACCAGCGTCGGCCACTGATGTGGACGTTCAGCCTGCTGAGACCAGGGCATGGGGTAAATCTTGCTACATGTTACAGAGTGGCAGAACTCTGCACAGCGATGCTGTTTTTGGGAGGAGCCCCATGCATCTCATAATTTGACCTTCCATGCTTAGGCTGCCTCTTGTGTGTAAAGTTTGGGCTAGAGCCTGCTCACTCAACTCCTTGCCATCAGCACGGGGTGCTGCTTCTCCTCTCCTGGGCTAGTTGCTTCTTTTCTCCCTGCCACCCCACTCCTCAAGCTTCTGGGTCAGAACCGAGAGGTCTGTCCAATTTCCAGCGCTTCTTTTCGCTGGCACGGTTCTGTTTGCTTGTGAGAAAGACAAATCTTGGCAAGCTTGCCAAAGCAAGAGGCTGGGAAAGGGTTAATGTCTGGGTCGTGACTCTTGGCTGAAGTCCCAGATGGAAAATGAGTTGGCTTTGTGCAGGAACAAACAATATTTTTGCCTGAGAGCTGGGAGCTGAAATGTCAAAAGCCGAGCCTGTGGACTCAGGGGCTAGAAAGCTCCCTAGATCAAGAGCCACTGCAGGAACTGGCAATGTTTGGTTTAACTTGCATCCTTGCTCTCTGTTGCCTGGCACTTCTTAATAATTATGATGTCATTAGTTTTCATGGGGAGAGCCGCCTAATGAAGTAGCTTCCTACAGGCTCTGCTGTAGTCTGTCCTTAATTCGTTTCTGTGCATGCTGTTTCTGCTAAAAGCTTGCCCGCCTTAAGTTGTACTTTACATTTCTCACACCCTGGGAGTCTAAATCTGTGTTGAAGGAGTGAGATATAAATTATGTAAATAAATTAGCATGGTAAAAAATGGATCGTGTTGGGCCTGCTGGTGTTACTTATTTATATTTCTTTACATTTCTCTCTTCCATGTCTTTATTGTGGGATTCAAGGCAATGTGCCTTTACGTAGAACTAAGACCAGCATGTTCCAAATAGCTGTCACAAGTGTGGGGAACCTTTGACCCTCCAAATATTGCTGAACTGCAACTCTTAAAAGAGCAGCAATTTCACATTTGAGTTACTTAAGGATTCTTGGGCGAATGCTATCTGGACTCATCAGTTTGTCAGTTTTTATTTTGTCTATAAGGTCTGGAATGTTCTTGTCAACACTATTTCCATTAGTTCTTCAGGCTCTCCACATATGGAAGTTGTTCTACATCATATATTGCACTGTGAAGACAGATGCAAGCAATTCACTCAATTTATCTGCAATCTCCTTATCCTCCGTTAGCACACCTAAGGCACTATTGCCTTGTCATCCTACAATCGCCTGCCCAGCTGGTCTCCTGTTAGTAATGTATTTAAAGAACCGTTTGCTGTTAACCTTTATGTTTCAGCAGCGTGCTCCTCAAATTGTTTTTAAGCATCTCTTAATGTCCACTTACATATCTTTTGCGTTCCATTTGGTCTCGTTTGGACAAGGCTTCCATTTTCTAAGGGAGCCTTCTTACCTTGGCTGCCTTGCAGAATATTTTCTGGAGCAGAAAAGGCTAAGGAGTAAACCCTACACAGATCCAGAGCGAAGCCCCTAAGATGGTTGGATGGTGCCTTGTACGCCTCCTTCCAGAAACTCCTGCAGCCCAGATGGCCCCAAATGTATTGCTATGCTTACCTTTGGACCACCTCAGTGAGGCCGAGAGGGGGTCTTGTCATGTGGACAGCCCAGGGCCTCCATCCACATAACCCAGGATTATGCCCTGGGGAGGTCACTTCAGTGTTGCCAACACAGCAGTTTGACTTCACCTCCAGAAGCACACTCCAGTCTCTCTCTCAAGACAGTTGGATGCCAACAGCAGCAGCTCTCATCATCTCTTGCCTTTGGCCATGCTTGCTAGGGCGGTTGGCAGTTGTAGTTCCTCAAGGTCTGGAGGGCCAAAGGTTTTGTCTTCTAGAAGCACATATCCACTTTTCTGTTCCCAGGGAATTCTTGCCAAACTCTGCTCTTTTCAAGTTGGGTAATCATGGAGGTGCTTAGTAGCAGTGTCTCTTTGTTTAGACTGGCAAGGCGCTGAGCTCAAAGAGCACCATTTGATCTACTCTGGCCAATGTTTGCTATGGGGCTTTTGGGGGATCTTGCTGGCCATTTCCTTCCCTTGGCTGGAGCTGCATGGTGATGACACACAAGCCGAACCCCTGCCTAACGTCCCAAGTTAGGACCAGCTGAGCTCAAGTCCAGATGGTCTGTTTCTTCCATCTAAGCAACATACAGACGCAACTGCAGTTGAGAGTTAAGCGGACCCAACACAACGCTGGCTCTTTGAAGAATCCGTTTTTGAACTCCTCCGTTGAAATTGGTTTCAGCCATCTGTTGTAGCTGCACCAATACCCCGCTGGCAGCTGGAAGCTGCTTTCTCTTAGCAAACTGAGGCTGGCTAATGGTATTTGGGGTACTGGGCTGGAAGCATATAGATGACAAAGGCAGGCAGCCGGGGAGAGAGCTGCTGAGTATATCCAGCAAGAGGGGAAGGACATACGACAGGTTGATGCCCTGGGACCCCCATCGGAGAACTGCAGAGAAAGCAGCCATGGAAGTCTGTTTGTGCCAGGAAGCCAGAGCAGCTCACATAGCACCCCCTGACCTCTTTGCTGCTCTGGCCCCTTTGTGGAGAATTCCACCTTGCCACCCTCACTCCCACCTGGACATTGATGCGGCAGCCAGCCGTTATTTGTGTATTCCTGTAACTAAATGGATCCTTCCATCAGATGACACTGAGGACATCCCCCATGCCTTACCTACCCAAGTCTGTTCAGAGTATGATTTGTCATGTTTCTTTGCCCTCCTCAGAATTGTGGTCACAGCCTCCCAGAGAATTTCCTTTCCTCCCTCCTCCCTCCTCCTCCTCCTCCTCCTCCTCCTCCTCTCTCTCTCTCCCTGACCCTGCTTTTCATGTGTTTCAGATCCTAACAACCTCTTCTGGCGTTTTTCTTTTTCTGTAAACACATTTACCAGCAGGGCCTGCCAAAAATTACCCTGTTCAGACATAAAAGGAAATACTGTGAGGGTTTAAGCCCTCTGGGGAGGGATTTTTTGGGGGGGGGGGCGGAGGCAGAATCCTGCGTTTGCTCTGGACTTCACTGCAAGCTTTATATTGCTGAGCTGATCTGGGCTAGCTGCCAAGTACAGCCAGCTACAGTAAGCGGATCTGTCCTCTTCCGCCCCCCCCCCCCGCCTTGCAACTCTCCTGCAAAACACTACTTCAATTGGAGGAACAAGCCTGGTCTGTCACAGGACTCCTTCTTTCGCAGAGAGATGTCCTCAGTTGTTAGCTTTGCCCGGAGCTTAAAAAGATCAAAAGATGAGTTGGGCACTTGTGATACTTTCTGGGAATAAATAAGTTGGAGTTGTTGTTTTTTTAAAAAAAAATCCTGCTTGAACGTTTATTAGTTGGCTTTCTAAATTGGTGTCGCATTTGTAGTGGAGATGCTTATACGGCTTTCCTGCAGCATTTTTACTTTTACGTGTTTGCACTTGTAGTGAACCAAGACTACAAGTTTTAATTTGTCAACTGAAGCTTTATTGCAAATTTTAATAGGTGAGAAACCTAGTATGATTTTGAAGCTATTTTGGTTCTGGTGTGTTACTGTAAAAATGAATGAAAAAGAAGAAAATGAAATTTGCCTCCCCCCGCCCAAGTCGTGAGCTTGTGGTTATTCTTAGGGTGTGTGTCTAAATTCCTCCATTAAAAGCAAAACACTGTATTGAAGTTTTGATGTTGAGGTGTATTTCATTGATCAGTTATAATGCAGATTATTTAATCAGTGAAGGCTGCAGTTGTGTGTATGCTTACTTGTGAGAAAGCCCCGTTGAACTGAGTGGGACTTCTAAATGGTTGGATTTATTTAGCTGATGTTTTGAATAGGTAGAGTGGAATGGGAGACAAAATCCTTTCTCTTCATTAAAGGTAAAGGTACCCCTGACCGTTAGGTCCAGTCGTGGACGACTCTGGGGTTGCGGCCCTCATCTCCCTCTATAGGGTGAGGGAGCCAGCGTACAGCTTCCGGGTCATGTGGCCAGCATGACTAAGCCACTTCTGGCGAATCAGAGCAGTGCACAGAAACACCGTTTGCCTTCCCGCCGGAGCAGTACCTATTTATCTACTTGCACTTTGATGTGCTTTCAAACTGCTAGGTGGGCAGGAGCTGGGACCGAGCAGTGGGAGCTCACTCCATCACGGGGATTCGATCCGCCGACCTTCTGATCGGCAAACCCAAGGCTCTGTGGTTTAACTCACAGCGCTACCCGCGTCCCTTTTTCTCTTCATACCCCCCCCCTTATTGCTGAGCTTCTTTGTCTCTGGTTCCTTAACTATGTTACCCGTGAATGGGTTTCCCTCCCACATCATCTCCGTGTGAAGCAAGGGAAGGAGTGAAAGTGAACTTCTGAGGTGCAAGAGGGAGGAACTCTGCCAAAGTCTCTTTGCTACTGTTCATGCTTAGGGTGGGTCAAAGAGCTGAGCCAGGAGAAAATGGGTGCTTTGGGATTAGGACCCGCTTGGCCAGCACTTGAGCTTCCATCCATATCACAGAAGTGATATCAGGTGATGAAGTGGAACTTCCAGGAGTTGGTAGAGATACCTCTTTGCTTAAACACCTTGCAGAAGTAATTTTGTGCAGTCCAAAGTAAATTATCCAGCTTCTGTAAAAAAAAAGAAAAAGAAAAGGCAAGTGAGTTTAAGGGTATGTGTGTGTGCCTAAAAAAAGTGAGAATTCTGCCAAAGCTTTGTGTAGGCAAAGAGAAGGTTAAACACCCCTTTGCCCTGACACTGCCCATTTAAGGCCACGTGAGTCACTAGTTGGAGACTCCGCTGCTCAACCTTCAGCCCTTGCTCAGTTTTAATCTGTGGCCCATGTTAAAAGTAGAGTAGCTTTACGAGGGTATCAGGGTATGTGCACCTGGTTATCCAAACATTCAGAACTAAACCTAGGAATAGACTTTTTTTTTTAATAAGATATTTATTAGGATTTTTTAAAAAATATTACAATAAAAAATGGAAAAAAGTACAAAATAAAAATGATTAAAAACACTCAAATTTTCCATTGCTTATTTTTCCTTAGCTTGTTTCCCGGACCTCCTCATACCTCCCTTTTTTGTATTCCAGTTCAATTTGTTGGTTCAGCAAATCCTTACCCTCTTTATTTATCCTAATCTTTGGTCTTAAAATAGTAACGTTAGATTTTTACCTCTTAACAACCCATTTTTCATATTCCCTTAAAGCATTACAGCTAGAAACCACTTAATTTCTATCCAACATCGTTCTAACATTCATTAATTTTACAATATTTCTGTAGATAATCTTTGAACTTCTTCCAATCTTCTTCCACCGACTCTTCTCCCTGGTCTCGGATTCTGCCAGTCATTTCTGCCAGTTCCATATAGTCCATCAGCTTCATCTGCCATTCTTCCAGAGTGGGTAAATCTTGTGTCTTCCAATACTTTGCAATGAGTATTCTTGCTGCTGTTGTGGCATACATAAAAAAGGTTCTATCCTTCTTTGGCACCAGTTGACCGACTATGCCTAGGAGAAAGGCCTCTGGTTTCTTCAAGAAGGTATATTTAAATATCTTTTTCAGTTCATTATATATCATTTCCCAGAAAGCCTTAATCCTTGGGCACGTCCACCAAAGGTGAAAGAATGTACCTTCAGTTTCTTTACATTTCCAACATTTGTTATCGGGCAAATGATAAATTTTTGCAAGCTTGACTGGGGTCATGTACCACCTGTATATCATTTTCATAATATTCTCTCTTAGGGTAAACCTAGGAATAGACTTTGCTAATGCTGCTCCTGCTTGTTGACAACCTGCAGTTTTGGTATATGTGTGTAGGGTCAGTTTATGAGAAAATAAAATGCGTAGATGCACGGCATGAAAAAAAAGGGCCCGGTGGATTAAAAAAATAATGGTGCTACATATTCAGGGTGTGCTCGCTTACAGGGCAGCCTCATTTTTTCCCTTTTTTACATCCTCAGTTCTCTAGTTGTAAAACGGGTCCGGGCAGCTTATTTCACAGGGTCGCTGTGCTACTTTGTGAGTAAAGAAGGACATTCCGTGTGCTTTAGATGCCAAAAGGACCTCTTTGGTATTAAAAATACAGAGTAAATGCAATCCCAGCCTCAACACTAGCTGGAATGATGCAGTTGCCTCCAGGGGGTTGGTTTTGAGAACCTAAAGGGCAGCAGGTTGTAAATTATTTAATTTAGTATTATGATTGCTATACTTGTAGGCAACTGCAGGTTTTTTTAAAAAAGTGTCTTAATGTTTCTGTAAAATGAGAATAAACCCTGATTTGGGTGATGGAACGTAAATGAAACAAATGGCTTTAGTAGCATACTTTGTTACGACAACGTATACATTTGTGTGCACTGCTTTCATTTGGGAGGCTGAGCGGTGCATTGAGAGGGAGGGAGAGAGTTGTCACCATTTGGATTTCCCACTTCAGGCACCAAAATATCTTGAGCGAGCACTGAGTGTGAATAATATTTAGTGATTTGCTGGAACAAAGACTGCCTGTCTGTTCATACGCAATTTTTGAGCTTAATTTTTAAAACCGGAAATTTCACAATACATATTTTGTACAGTGTATTACACCCTGTGTGCGAATTATTGGCAAGAAAACGCCTTCTCCTTACAGTAAACAAAGGGTTGGGAATGGGGAGACTCCCAGGATTAAAATTTATCCAAATTTAGACCAAGCGACTCTGCTTTATACAAGATAACCACCACCCATAGACTTTCTTGGCTTAACAGAGCTATAAGAACAACATACTTCTATAATGTATAAATTGTATCTATGTAAATTATATCCAGCAGCATAAAAGTGTCTTTACCACAAGTGTTTACTTTGTATCATTTTAATTTTGTTTTAAATGTATTTGCTTTTTTTGTTTTTAACTGTTTTTTATAATCTTAAATGTACATTGCCGTGTGAAGGCGATTAATGCATCAGTAATAATATAGAGCAGCTTTCCTCTGGCACACTGAAAGTCCATGTGGAATTTCTTGGGCAGGACTATTCATAAACAGCAAACCATCTTTTGTGCTAAGGAAGTATTAGGAAAACCGGCAACAACCGTGCAGATTTATTCCGTAAATTGAACACACTTGCTCTTATTTTTAGTCCAAAGTTTTAAGTTAATTTTAATCTACTTTAGATTTATGCCCCGCTTTCCTATAAAAACAAGAGCCAAAACTACATAGAACAGTGGAAGAGAACCGGGCTCCAATACTGCAGTTCAAAAGAGAAGCTGCACCTGCTGCAATTCCTTGGTCAACATGATTGTCACCTCCCCTTCTTTGACTCTGGCCATCCTATCTCAACCTCTCTGCAGTAGCTGGAAAGGTCTGCCCAGTGTGTACCCTCTCTTCCATCATTCTGGAAAACCCTGGCTGATACCTACATTCAGCTGAATGCCATGCAAACCCCAAACTGATAATGTTTTTCTGCTAATGGGCTGCTCTGCCAGTGGTTGAATTTCGCAGGAAAGTCTCTCTTAGCTGGAATGCCTGCCATTTGAGGTGCATTTCTCCTTTAGTAGCTTGAGTTTATTAGTAGCTTAAGGGTTTGCTGATTAGGGGTGGGAGACAACTTCCAAGGGAAGGGCAGGTAAGGTACTGCAGCTTTCAATAGAAGAAGAAGAAGAAGAAGAGTTTGGATTTGATATCCCGCCTTTCACTCCCTTTAAGGAGTCTCAAAGCGGCTCACATTCTCCTTTCCCTTCCTCCCCCACAACAAACACTCTGTGAGGTGAGTGGGGCTGAGAGACTTCAGAGAAGTGTGGCTGGCCCAAGGTCACCCAGCAGCTGCATGTGGAGGAGCAGAGACGCGAACCCGGTTCACCAGATACGAGACTACCGCTCTTAACCACTACACCACACTGGCTCTCTATAGGGTCTGATAGTCCACATTTCTTGGCTCATTGATCCTTATTTTCAGAAGGCAGTAATCACTTTTATTTATCGTATTTTTCGCTCTATAAGACGCACCAGAGCACAAGACGCACCTAGTTTTTGCAGGAGGAAAACAAGAAAAAAAAAATATTCTGAATCTCATAAGCCAGAACAGCAAGAGGGATCGCTGCGCAGTGAAAGCAGCAATCCCTCTTGCTGTTCTGGCTTCTGTGATAGCTGCGCAGCCTCCATTTGCTCCATAAGACACACATTCCCCCTTACTTTTTAGGAGGGAAAAAGTGAGTTATAGAGCAAAAAAATACGGTACCCACTCTCCACTGATATCCTCGAAGAGCATTGTCATATTCTATAGTTTGTTCACTGCCACCATCAGAACTCAAAGAAATTTTAGACTAAACAAACAGGCTGGAAAGTGCATTGCACATTAAATTCGCACATGGAATTGAATAATAAACTGCAACCTTAGGTTCTCACTTCGAGAAGCTGACCAGGGGCTTGCTACAGAACCCCTTTTAGGATCTTTTTTCAAAGCCCAGAACGAAATGTGATGCCAAATGAAATACTTCTTTCTCTCCGCATATCTGAACGCCTGGCCTGCACAATAAAGCAATTAAAGTGGAAGTGTGCAGCAGCTGCCGCAGCTTGGAAATTTCTGGTCTTCCCCGATAATTACGTTAGTGGTGGAATTATCCTTTCTCCGAACTGAGCCTGGAGTGGGGGGTGGAGAGATCGCTCTGCTTCAGTAATCCAGACCGGATTACAACGTTGTAATTGGATCCCTGCGCAACGAACTCCGTTTTGTGATGCAAGCCACTTGTTTTGCTGCTCTCGGAGCATTCCAAGTTGGTCTCTGTCTGTTCTGGTGTGTAAAAAGGACGCTTTGAGGGCAGCTTTTAAGGGCTGCCAGAATTTCTTGCCTTAATAACAGGCCTCTTGCTATCTGCCTCCTTTGGAGGGATGATTGGGGCAATGGAGGTGGGGGGGGGAAGGGACTCCTTCCTAGGGAAGCACAAGCAATTTAAATTGGCAGTAAATGGGGCTATGGATGTACTTTGTTCTAAAGCAATCCCCCTGAAATTCTGCTGCAAGGTACCCCCAAATCCTGCCGTAACAGGGCCCAGTTTTTCAAAGCCCTTCCCCTAATTTCTCCTGCTTTGCAATAGCTTCTCCTAGCCAATTGGGAGGGGCAAGGAGCTCTTTGGGAAGGGGGAGCAAAGAAATCCAGGCCCCCTGCAAGCCCCTCTGAATCAAAGAGGCTGGTTCTGGCCCCTGCTATGTGGTTTGTGGATGAAGGCTGGGAGCAAAGTTCCCTCCTTCCAAAGTTGCTGCTACTGTTCCGTTGCACCTGATTTCTACCTTACCCTTATCCCTTGTAAGACCCTCTGTGTCGTCCTTTCCCAGCCCTGCCTTCTTTTCCTCGCACTGTCAGACTTCCTTCTCTCCAGACTTTGCCAGATTAAGGTTTTGCAAGGCATTTTGCACTGGCGTATACAAGGTGCTCTGGCATCTGTGGAGCTTAATTCCACAGCTCCTCTGGCTTTGGGAATGTCTGCAAATGTTGCTAATGCGCTTTTGAGCGTGAAACTAATTCTGGCACGACTGCACTGGCTACCAATTAGTTTCCAGCGCAATTGAACGAGCTGCTTTTGACCTAGAAAGACGTAAGTAGCTCAGGACCTCAAGGCCCACCTCTCCCCACATGAGCTAGCCAGACCCTGTGCTCATTACTGGAGGCCCTTCTCCCTGTCCCCACCTCTGAGGGAGGTGCAGATGGTGGAAACTTGAGAACAGGCCTTCTCAGTGGTGGCTCCCTGCGTGTGGAAGGCTCTCCCCTAGGAGACATGCCTGGTGCATCGTATTTATTTTTAGGCACCAGGCAAAAACATTTATCTTCAGCTAGGTTCTACATCCTTTATTTGAAGGGTTTTAGGTGTACTTGTGGCCTCTTAACTTAGTCGGGTGGGTTGTGCTAAAGGTAAAGGGACCCCTGACCATTAGGTCCAGCTGTGACTGACTTTGGGGTTGCGGTGCTCATCTCGCTTTATTGGCCGAGGGAGCCGGCGTACAGCTTCCGGGTCATGTGGCCAGCATGACTAAGCCGCTTCTGGCACGGAAACGCCGTTTACCTTCCCACCGGAGCGGTATCTATTTATCTACTTGCACTTTGACGTGCTTTCGAACTGCTAGGTTGCCAGGAGCAGAGACCGGGCAACGGGAGCTCACCCCGTCGCGGGGATTCGAACCGCCGACCTTCCGATCGGCAAGTCCTAGGCTTTGTGGTTTAACCCACAGAGCCACCCGCATCCCTGGGTTGTGTTAGTTCTGCCTTTTTATATACTATGGTTGGTTTTTAGGGTTTGTTTTCATTTTTATTCTTTGTTTTAGTGTTGGTATTTTTTAAGCCGCTTTGGGTCACTTTTCACGAAAAAAGGAACCAGAAATGTATCTGATAACAATAACAATATTTGCAAGAACAGGCACTAGAAGATTGCTTTTTTAAAAACAGAGACCCAAGATTTTCATGAAAGAGTTGTCCGTCCCAAAACACATATTGCACTAGGAAGTCCCCGGTTCAAATGTCACCTCAGCTGCTCTTTGTGACGTGTGTCATCATGGGTGTGCAGTCTTTTTGTTTCAAAGGACAAAATGTGCTAGTAGCCTGCCCTGAAATCATGAGAGAATCACAAAACAGTTCATTAATACAATTTACAGTAATGGAAAAGAATTTCCAGTCGTTCTCTTTGGTCTACTATTGCAATAAAGTTTGCAACACTTTCAGTCTCTCTCAAAACAATTGAGATTACATACCTTTTGTCATTCCCCAGATGGATCCAGTAAATTGCCCGAGTACTGCTAAATCCTGTGCTGTTATGTGTCACTTTTTTTGGGGGGGGGGCAGGTTTCAAGTTTTGGGCATGCTGAATCTTGATGGGCCGTGATCAAATCAAATAATAAAATTCCTGTGGAAATTGCTAATAAAAACATCTTGGGGATCCTGTGTTCATTTTAACTCTCAGCGTGTCATTCATAGGATCTAGTATACATTTTATAGCTTTAATAACAGAACCACCACCAATGAGCAAAATTATCCGTTCCCCTCCATGTTTCCAGCATACACCTGAGCCCCTCTCATTTGTTTTTGACAGTTAAAATTACTTTTCACACAGAGGGAAGCAATACAGTGGTACCTCTGGTTGCGAACGGGATCCGTTTTGGAGGCCTGTTCACAACATGAGCAGAACGCAGCCCGCAGCGGCACGTCTGTGCACGTGCGGGTTGCGATTTGTCGCTTCTGCGCATGCATGTGACATCATTTTGCGCTTCTGCTCATGCGCGAGCAGCAAAACCCAGAAGTAACCCTTTCCGGTACTTCCAGGTCACCGTGGGATGTAACCTGAAAGAACATAACATGAAGCAAACGTAACATGAGGGATGACTGTAATGAATTTATTCACCAATGGTCATAGGTGAGGCTTTAAATTAACTGTCCATTTAGCTGGATCATTTTCTTTAATCTGTAATGAAGCCTGATAGATTTGGGATCAAACTCGCTTGGTGGTTTTTACTTTTATAAAGGCAAGCTTCCCACTGGGCATGCCCAATCCTGTGTGCACATGTAGGGTGATGCTCTGGATCCTGGCCTTTACCTCCACATGCAATTTGGGGGTGTAAATGCTGGCATCACTTTTCAGAGCTCTCGTAAGCTGTTGTTGGCATCTGACTGTCTTGAAACAATGGAGTGCACCTCTAAGGGAAAAGTCTAACTGCTGTGTTAGCAGCACCAAAGTGATTTCTCTGGGCGCAGTGGTTGTGGAGGTCCTGAACTGCCCAGAAGACAAGACACACACACCCCGCCTTGGTCTCACTGATGTGCTCCAAAGGAAAGCAGAGCAATACATTCAGTACCAGCTTGGCTGCAGGAGTTGCCAGAAGGAGGCATACAAGGCACCATCCAATCGTCTTAGGGACTCCTAAGCCAGTGTGGTGTAGTGGTTAAGAGCGGTAGTCTCGTAATCTGGGGAACCGGGTTCGCGTCTCCGCTCCTCCACCTGCAGCTGCTGGGTGACCTTGGGCCAGTCACACTTCTTTGAAGTCTCTCAGCCCCACTCACCTCACAGAGTGTTTGTTGTGGGGGAGGAAGGGAAAGGAGAATGTGAGCCGCTTTGAGACTCCTTAAAGGGAGTGAAAGGCGGGATATCAAATCCAAACTCCTCTTCTTCTTCTTCCACTCCAGATTTGTGTTGGGTTTACTCCTTAGCCTTTTTCTTCTCCCAAAGATATTCTGCAAGGCAGCAGAGGTTGAGGACCAGAGTTTTCCTTCTCCTAGATGGGCTCCCTTCCCAGGTGGACAAGCCCCATCTGCCCTTCCCTCTACAGCACTTGCAGAATCTGCCTTCTTGACTGTTGGACGCGCTCTTGGTCTTGTCTGCTCAATCTGCTGGATCCCGTCTTTGCATGCAGTAGAAGTCCCTAACTCACTGAGGCTTTGATGCCCATTGGCTACCCTCACCTGGTTTAGCCCGCCAGTCAAAGCCATTCCTGAGGTGTGGCCGCTGTTCCGTGCTGACACCTTCTAGGAGCCACAAGTGAGAGCTAAGTCCAGGGTGGGGACCAAAGGTGGACAAACTGCCTCAGAAAGAGCATGATGTGTCTCCCTCCCCTAACACCCCTTACACCTCTTTTGTAAGCAAATGTGTGTAAAGGAGCTCTGAACACCTGAAATGCAGAGGTGATGCTTAAATATTCTAGCTTTCAGCTTTGAAAGAATCCAGTTTCTGAGCTCAGCCATCTGCATTCTGCTGCTTGAATCAGTTTGACTATCTGGCACCTGAGGTACCCGATTCCCTGCTCCAGTGAGCAAAGCTTTGTGGCTGCTGTCGGGATTCTGGCAAATCATCTCATTATGCAACATCTGCTAACACCAGCAAAAATGCTGGCTGCTTGGACAGGGCTGGAAAAATCCTAGAAACCAAATGCTGGCACCTAGGTTAGAAAAAATACCCCCAATCTCTTTTTTCAGGTATTGAACACTTGAAGATAAAAGTTTGCATAAGGGGCCAAATCCTTATGACTAGTCCTGCAACTGATTTCATTGGCACACACAAAAAACATCACTCCAGTTCCCCTCTCTGCCGCCTCAGTTTCCCCTATTACTCTTTTCCGCAACTTTCTAATTCATGAAGAGATGGAGAATTGGTCCCTGTGCACGTTGTGGCTCTTACAAGCAAGAAAGTGTTCTTTATTATTATTTAATATTTATATATCCCACTCTTCTGCTAATAAGAGTGGAATGTGACAGAGCACAATATTATAATCTGATTGCAAGGTTTTAGCTAGCACTCGCCACTAATGACAGGTGACCTGTGAAATTGCAATATGGCTTTTGAAAATTTACTTTATGTGTATTTGTTTATCTGGTTGTTTGACTTTTAAAAATACCCTGTCCCACCCCAAAGGCTCCTTCCAGTGTGTAGGCAGCATAAATCAAATGAACTGCTAACCATCAGTATGATCCTTTCTCTCTCTCTCTTTCAGCTCAGAATGTGACTGTGGAAGAAATTATCACCGCCTACAAGCAAGCCTGTCAGAAGTTAAACTGTAAACAGATACCCAAACTACTGAAGCAGATCCAGGTATGTGCCTTTCCTTAAGTGCACAGCAGAACCGCTTATCAGATTCGTCTGTCAAAGGCAGAGATGGATTTTTATAAACACCGAAGAAAGCTGGCTGTCGCTGGAACTGAACAGTAATAAAAAAAGTCCTCTCTTGAAGTTGGGTCACATGTATTTCAAAGGCTGCAGCCCAAGCCCATGTAGCACAGCAAACACTAAACAAGGACGAGGTTTGTGTGTGTGTGTTTCCATTGCTTCCAAGATGGCTGTACTAACCTAGAGAGGGAACTGGGCCAGAGCCCAGAGAGCTAAATTACCGTATTTTTTGCTCTATAAGACTCACTTTTCCCCTCCTAAAAAGTAAGGGGAAATGTGTGTGCGTCTTATGGAGCGAATGCAGGCTGCACAGCTATCCCAGAAGCCAGAACAGCAAGAGGGATTGCTGCTTTCACTGTGCAGCGATCCCTCTTGCTGTTCTGGCTTCTGAGATTCAGAATATTTTTTTTCTTGTTTTCCTCCTCCAAAAACTAGGTGCGTCTTGTGGTCTGGTGCATCTTATAGAGCGAAAAATACGGTAGTCTGCAAGGTTATGAACATTGGAAGGTGCTTCACACAGTAACTGAAGATGCTGAGTTTTGGGCCCTCCCTAAAAGCATACAGGGATAAATCTATCCATGCAGGCAACAGTGATCTAGAGCCCATTACTCCTGCTCCGTTTGGGTGGTTTTAGGAAGTGCTGCTCTCTCTGTTGCTGGAGACAAGGAAAAGGAACAATATATTCCAATTCAGCATCAGAGAGCTACTCCAAAGGGCAGGGGTTCCCCAGACGGGGACATTATGATGTGGGACGTTACGTCCCATGTCACTGCACAATGGGCAACACCCATTGGCAGGACAAGACGAAGGCCCTCTCTTTTGCAGAACATGAGAGCTGGGCAGGCTGAGGGAGGGAGAGGTCCCCCTTCAAGTATTTGGGTTCCCAGGAACCTTCAGAATGGTGCCATTTACACACCCAGGGTGTGAAAGAGGGAGGACAATTTTGGCCCCTTATTTTGATTTGAAACCCTTCCTTCTCTGAAAACAACAGCTTGGGACAGAAAATCATCAACTGAGCTTTCAGCTCATGTTGAGATGATTGAAGAATTACCAGTAGCAACCAAAATGTCAATGATCATGAACTAGGGCAAGAAAATGAATCCACCTCTACTTGTTTTGCAGGATTTGCGATGTAATGCACACACTTGCATTGTATATTTGGGCCGATGAATGAAAACCTCTTTGTTATGAAGTGGCCAGCTATTATCAGTTTCTGGAATGACAGATTTGATTATGTGCATCCCCAGTCATTGTTTACATTGGTGTAATGAACTTTTCGCCCTTCTATTAGCTGGGAAATTTTATTATTAAATCTGTTATTAGAAGTGTGTGTGTAAATGTGTGTACATCTGTCTTGTTCATTTCTTTTTTTAAAAAAAGAAAATTGTGCTGTTGTTTTAAAAAGGCCAGTCTCCAGATTGGACCCAGGAGCAGCCCAAACCAATCCTGCAGAAAGGAGCCACCCCTTGTATATCGGGATATCTCCTCTGATCAGACCTGTTCCTAACTCTGGATCAGATTGGGAGATGAAAGACGTTCATATTACATAGAGCTTTTGAAACACTGGGCTGTCCATGCTTCCCTTTAGGTCTTCTTCTTCATTATATCTTACCTTTAAGCCGTTCCCTTCTGTGTGTAGTAATTTGCTGTTGCTTTATTGCAGGAATATAAAGACTTGACTCCCAGGATAGAGTGCCTGGATCTGAAAGGTACATATTTCCGTTCCCAAGTCTTCTGTTGACACAGTGCAGATCACAATCATCTTGCCGACTCTGGTTATTCCTCAGTGACTATGATCCCTCAAACCTTCTATCTGGGAGTCTGTGCTTGAAAATGGTCCCCTTTGGAGATTAGGAGGGGTTGGGGAGAAGGAATGTTCAGTGTTGTAAATGTGAGATCATTCTGCCTAGGCCACAGGTGTTACAACATAGTGTCATGTGCAGATTTGATAAACTCGGAGGTCTTGTTTTGCTGGCAAACGCATGGAAATCTTGCGTTCTGAAGCCAGCTCACTATTTCAGAGGTTTGCCAGCATGTATCTACACCCTCCTCCAACCCTTCCCCCCCCCTCAACAGCACCCCATTTTGTTCACATCCCAAATCCTTTCTCTGGTCCCAGATTTAACATTTGCAATAGCCCGCAAATGTTTGGAAACGAACCAGATTGTGTAACCATGTTTGGCACATGCAAACGGAACACGGCTGACTCCACGCTAGAGGTGCACGTGGCCTTGATTTGGGGTCACGTGGGGTCATCCCCTCCCTCGCCTCTCCCACTCCCTCACCTGGTTTCATATTTCATAACCAGCGAGTCGCTCCTTGCAAACAAACGAGTGAGCATCCTGTTCGTACTGCGGATACAGGTTGCTGACTTCAGGGCACGTTTACGTACAGAGTTTGCCTGTGAAATTTCTGCTGCCGTTGAGAGGCCAGTCCTAGTGGGCAGGGCAGAGAAGATTGTGAAGGCCCCAAGGCATACAAGGGTGGGGACTTCATTGGAGTGGAAAAGCAAAGCTGAGCAGATGGTATGTGATTGGGCAGGAGGAGGGGAAAGAGCTGCCACTTTGGGTTTGCTGGCTTTAGCAGAAAAGAAGCCCAGGCCTGCAGTGGTTCTTCATATTTGGAGTACAGCGCCAACGATGCTTCGTGGTGCAAAACATTCAGCTTAATGTCCTGGGCTCCTTTGGAGGAAGGAGTGGGACGTATGTTTAAGAAATAACTCTGCCTTTGCTGTAATATTTAGAGTGCCAGTTCTTAGCACTCATGCAGCAGGTGTTTTTAGAATGTTCCTATTTAGACTTGCACCATTGTTTAGGGAATAGATGCTGAAGTGTCATTAGAAAGTCTGGTTTAAACCAGCCTCCCCCTCCCCCGGCCCTGGTTTAAATCATTTTTGTACCCCACCAAGTTGTACCTTCATGCCTGGGTCTCTATAGCCCAGTTGTTTTCCAGTATTTAATGCAGTGTTTCTCAAACTTGGGTCCCCACTTGTTGTTGGACTGCAGCTCCCATCATCCCTGACCAGTGGTCCTGCTAGCTAGGGATGATGGGAGTTGTGGTCCAAGAACAGCTGAGGACCCACATTTGAGAAACACTGATGTAATGCATCCTGTGCTTGACAGTGAACCCTTTTAAATGCTGGAGGCTTGCAGATTTACTTTGTCTCTTGTTTTCCAGGCGAGAAGTTAGACTACAAGGCTTGTGAGGCCCTGGAAGAGATTTTTAAGCGCCTCCAGTTCAAAATAGTGGATTTGGAGCAAACGAACCTAGATGAAGATGTAGGTTTGCATGTAACAAATAAAGAACTGCCTTTCTTCTCCTCTGCCTCCCCCCCTTGTGAACAGTCAGCTGAGCTGAATCCTGCCATTCTTTAACATGGAGAAACTTACAGTTCAGGGCTGAGTGTTTATAAGTAAGGAATGTGGCCTAGTGTTGTCTGTTCCCATCACCAACAGCTCTCTGGCATCTTCGGCAAAGCATTTTCCCAGGCCTGTGGCTGGAGATTGAACCCGGGCCCTTGTGCACACAGAGCTTTGCTACCAGATCACGGGCCCCTCCAAATGGTGTGGCTGCTCTTCAAAAACTGCAGCAAATTGCTTCCTGAAAGTGGATTCCTAACATTGGCTAGTATTGGCTCTGTCTAGGCTTTGGGGGCCCTGTTCATAAGACACTTTAGTGAGGCCCCTTAATTTGAAAGAGGCAGGGTGTGCAAATCTAAAATCCTGTTGAGCTGCTGCTGGTCACGTAGGGGGAGAGTGGTGGCAGGTTGAGGTGGCCTTACAAAGGTTCGTTCTCATCACTCCCTGGACCCTGTCTAAGGCCTGATCTGCACATTAAATCATAGACTTGTAGAGTTGGAAGGTGCAAGTGGAGAATTGGCACAGCTGAGAGATGGATGGGGTTAAAAGCTTCCTCCCTCATGCTTGTTTTCTTCTTGCATGAGGACTTAAATGTGACCATCCACCACAATTCCACCTTGGGATTCTGCCAGGTCTTCCCACTTCATCTGTGGACAAGGTTTATGGCCCACTTTGTTAAGATGTACATCCAGCATTAAAATAAAAATAAAAATGACCCCTTCATTTATTAGGCACTTGAAAGTGATGGATGACCAGCTCCAAATTCTCCCTCTCCCCCCCTGCCCGCTCCCTGCTAAAAAGTATAAATCTGGGGCTGTAGTCAGCAAACTTTTACTCAGAGTAGACCCATTGAAATGAATGAACCTAAGCTAGTCATGGCAGGTAATTCAGTGGGTCTACTCTGAGTGTCTCATCTTAAATTACACAGCCATCAGCGATGTGTTGTGGTTCCTCTTCATGCAAATTACGGGAGTTGCATTTGAGTACGTTGTGCCAGTTCAGTCTGCTCATCTCACAGGCTTGTTGATAAGCAAGTCCCAACGCGAAAGAACAAATAGTTTGTGGTTGGAAGCCTAGAGCAAGACAGGTCTTGTGTTGTCTCCTTGACTTAGTTTACTGGTTTTTCAGTGCTATGACTAGCCAATTATTTCCCTGGGGGCAGCCTCCCAGTCTCCTTCCCCCTCCCACTAGCCCTGAGCTCCACAGTGTACAAATTAGACGAACAAAACTTCTGGGGGTATTTTGTGTTTAATACATTTCATTGCAGAACTTCAGAACCAGAAATGGCATTTGAGAAGTAGCGATGAACAAATACAGCAGGTGCATTCATGAATCGATTATCAAATTGGAAGAGTTTTAAATTTGATTCTTTGTAGACCTTTACTGCTTGCGGAGTTTCCATGTTCCTACTGCTCTGAAACTTGTGCAAAAGACCTGCTTGCTGTCTCCAGACAGTCTGGCCCTTCCTTCCTCTCCCATCAGTAATATTCAGTAGCGGTGCCCTGAGGATCATCTAGTCCCACCCCTGCAACGCAGGAATATTCAGCTGTCCCATACGGGGATCGAACCTGCAACCTTGGCATTATCAGCACCACACTCTAACCAGCTGAGCGATGTGCTGTACTGTGTTAGGCTGCAGGAGTGGGTCAGTGAGGCCTTGTCGCAAGGTGTGCTGCTATTCTGGAAGTCACCTCCATTTGCACACAGTGAGGCTTTCTTCCAAGTAGGCACATGCAGATTTGGGCTGTGAGCAAGCTGATACTTGGTTTGGATCTACCGCCTTGAAAAAGCGCACCTCGTTTCAAAACACAAAGAGAACTTGTACATTGTGTAATGTCGTCTTAAAAGATATCAGTATTGCTGCATGAACTTTGCCCATTTTGCGCCCTCTCTGGGTCGCACCCAGGACAGGCTGCTGCGGCCACACCCTTGCTAACAGTCCTGGTGTTTCTTCTTTTGTTTTTGCCAGGGTGCCTCGGCGCTGTTTGATATGATTGAATACTATGAGTCAGCCACACACCTCAACATCTCATTTAACAAACACATCGGCACACGAGGTTGGCAGGCAGCTGCGCACATGATGAGGAAGGTTTGTATTCACGATTAGATAGCATATCCCCTCTTCTCCCCCCCCATTGCATCGCTTGCAGTAGTGTTGCAAAAAGAGGGCAAGTGTTGAGCCCATGTCCTCATTCATGCCCAAGCCCAGTTTCACTGTCAAGCTGCAGCTCCCATTGCCTGGAAATGCCGTAAGTTAACATTTCTGCAGTGGTGTTATTGTTTTTTTTCTTCCTCCCCACCCCCCAGCCAAGAGAAAAAGACTTTCCCTCCCTAAGAGTGAGCATTGACAGGTTCTCCACGATTCCATGGGCCCAGCTGTAGACTTCCCTGGTGGAAGAAATTTGTACTCTCTGGTGCCAGTGGCAGACATAGGGACTCCAGTAGGACAGACTATATTAATGTTCCAGCAAAATTACAATTTAAGCAGGCAGCAAATACTACCGTACATACGCACCTTGATCTGAAGAGTAAAAGATTCCCTAACTATTTTTAAAAATCCATAGAAATGTGTTGTGACAGTTGTGCCACAGAACTCACACTAAGAGTAAGGCAGAAATGGAGGGGGAGATGTACGTGTCCTTAAGGCGAAGTGGGTTTGTGCTGATTCCTTGGGAGCGCTGGGTAAGCTATTGGCGCTGCGAGAACTGACTGGGGTTTTTAAAAATCCTGATTTCAGCCAATGCCCTCCATGGGGAAAGGGAGGAGGGCCTTGAGATGAACAATTCCTATAATTTCCTATTTTATCGTTTCCTGCCTGCTTCCCACTCTGTGTGCTTTGCTTTACAAAAGCTTGAAAGAATCTGTTCCCATGTGCAATTGACTAAACCTTGGTGATCCTTTCGTCTGCCTCCCACCTTAGCATTATCTCACTGTTATCTTGATGGCATCCATTCAGGTGTTGAAACAGACTTTGCTGGCGATGTGCTAGCCTTGACCAAGCATGAGGAGCTCAGGATGTTTTCCTGAATGGCTTTCGGAACACATTGTGATAAACCAGGGTCAAGCAAGGGTCATAGTGGGGAATCTCGTTTCCTGTTAAGTTACGCCAGTCCTTTTACTTGCGCCACGATCTGCAGTAATAAACCACAGAATAAGTTCAGATTGACACGCATCCCTATTCACACCTGCGCTCTGTTAATTCAGGAACTCAGTGATAATCTCCTGCTTTAACAGGCTTACTGATCTTGCTGTTCCTAGCTGCAAATAGAATAGTTTCCCCAGTGTGGAGTGCTATGCAAAGCCTGCACAGCAGACAGGAATCTTGGGCAGGGGCTAACGCTTCTCACCCTTACCACAAGCTTCTTTAAAGTTTTTTCTCTTTAAACAGCGGCAGTAGCCTCGGCACCCCTCCACAAGGCACCCCATCCACAGCTTGTGGAGCAGGGCTGCCTGATGCCAAGGCTGCCAAGCGCCGAGCCCAATGGCGGCATAAGGCAGCCCCAGCACTTCCTCCCGGGAGGAAGAGCTAACCCACCCACCCTGTGCGAGCCGAAGGCGGGGGGCTTGATCAGCTGAGAAGCCCACCCCTTCGCTCGTGCAGGGGCTGTGAGCTAACTCTTTGTCCGTTCAGGAGCGCGGGTGTGCGGCTGCTAGCTCCTAAACGGAGAAGTCTACCAGAGCCCCCACCCCCGTCTCCACCTTGTGCAAGCAGGCAGCCATGCGCCCCTCAATGCAGAAATAGAAACAATCCGCCTGCCTGTGTGGGCAGCCGAGGGAGGAACAAGCTACATTGGTCTGGCCGATGTAGCTTGTTCTTCCGTCAGCGGTATGAGGGCCAGTGCCAGATGGCTGCTTCACCCAGCGCTATATCACGAGTGAAACCACAAGCTGCGTCCCTCGCCACGGGCTGCAGCCGGGTGCTGGTGGCATGAGAACTCGGGAGCAGCAGTGGTTTCACTTGCAATACAGTGGTACCTCGGGTTACAGACGCTTCAGGTTACAGACTCCGCTAACCCAGAAATAGTACCTCGGGTTAAGAACTTTTCTTCAGGATGAGAACAGAAATCGCACAGCAGCGGCGTGGTGGCAGCGGGAGGCCCCATTAGCTAAAGTTGTGCTTTAGGTTAAGAACAGTTTCAGGTTAAGAACGGACCTCCAGAACGAATTAAGTTTGTAACCAGAGGTACCACTGTATACCAATTGTTCTCTCCTGCTGCGCATGTCTGGTCCACTGCATACTCTTCTGGCTGCTTCCAGCCCTTTGACTTGGTTGCGCGACAACCTGCTTTGAGGTGCTGGCTAAGAGCACCTCTGGCTCACGGGCGTTCTGAGCTGAAACGTTTGTTGATATCCAGGGACAGCACCGTTCATACCTTTCTATGACCTAACTCTCAACCTTTCCTTCCTTCCGCAGACAAACTGCCTCCAGTACTTGGACGCCCGCAACACACCTCTGCTCGATCACTCGGCACCGTTTGTGGCGCGCGCCTTGCGCATCAGCAACAGCCTGGCCGTGCTGCACCTGGAGAACGCCAGCCTGTCGGGGCGACCCCTTATGTTGCTAGGTGAACAGCTTGAGTTGCCCTCTGTGTACCCAGCCAAACGCCCTTCTCTCTTGCTGACCCTCCGCTTCCATGGTCACTTTTCCTAATTCCCCGCTGACAGCTCAGCTTGCTTCTAGCAGGCGCCTTTTCTGCAGGGCTCCTTGCCTGCCAAAGGCATCCCTCTGCAGCACTGCGAATGTGCCAGCATTGGTAGTCATAATGAGGGGCAGAGCGGTCCCCACTGATGCAGGCAGAAGCCCCCTTGTTGCCTTCCCTCATCCCTGGGCTCTTCAGTCAGCCTAGATCCTTGAAAGGCGCAGTGTGGAGGCTCGAAGGGCATCCTTGCCTTGCCAAAGCTCCCAGATCCGCATGCAGAGTCCATGATGGGGGGCAGGGGAGGTGTCGAAAAATATAGGGTAGGGTTGAATAGGAACCGGAACCACATGTGCTCTGGGTTTTGTTCATCCTGACTCTTCCGAGTATGAAATCCAGGCTTTACCACTAACACTGGACTCCAGCTCCCAAAGGCGTCATTTTTTAAGATTAGCCTAGGTGAGAGATACCAAGAGAAGCATATTAAACTTGGGAGAACGAAACATCCACACCTGGTTTTTTGCATCCTGCTGAAGGCATTAATAATGAATAGGAGCCAGCCTAAAGAATGCTAGCAATAATGGATGAAGTTTGAAAGATAGTCTCCTTCAGTTACGGGCCGCCTAGTGACAAATGCCCGGCTGCGGCTGACCTTGTGCTTTCAGTTCCAGGTGTCTATAAATGAAGAGCAGGGAGGGATTGGTTCTTAAATTCCATTCTCTTCCTCCTCTTGGGTAGCCAGTCTTTGCAAGCCAGTTGTGGTCTCTCCGCAGCCCCAGGCAGAAGGCAGGTGGATTGAATGAGAACTCACGGCTTTCAGACAGTTCTCTGTATTGGGCAGGACAGGCAGTTCCCCTCCTGAGATTTCGTAGGCTTCCAAGACACCGCTGCCATTTTCTCATACGTTACCTGCCCTTGAAGCGACCCCAGCTTATCTCCTCTTTACTCACTTATTATGTCTTGAGGTGGATAAATTAGCAGGAGAAGGTCTGGTGGATTGTGCCTCTCCTTGCTCCATCCGCATGGGGCAGCCAGTTAGATTTGTCCACCTCGTCTTGTGGGCAGGAACGGGGAGTTGTCTCACTGAGGAAAACTGGAGAAAGACAGCAGACCTCATTATTTAACTTGTTGGTTTCAAACGGTCAGCCAGTTGGCTGGTGGGCTAATTTAGGCCAAGGTCAGATCAAGGGGCAAGGCCCATCTCTCCTCCTTACTTGCTGTTGGCAGACTCATAACAGGCCGAAGCCAAGGGCTTGTCCTGTGAAGGGATGCATCAGTCGCACAGGGGGTCTGTGGCCTGGTCTCACATCCGCTGCCCAGCTGGGCAGGCAGAAAGCTCGTTGTCACCTGGGAGGCTCAGCAAGGCAGCCGTTGTTGTTTAGTTGTTTAGTTGTGTCCGACTCTTCGTGACCCCCTGGACCAGAGCACGCCAGGCACTCCTGTCTTCCACTGCCTCCCGCAGTTTGGTCAAACTCATGCTGGCAGCTTCAAGAACACTGTCCAACCATCTCGTCCTCTGTCGTCCCCTTCTCCTTGTGCCCTCCATCTTTCCGAACATCAGGGTCTTTTCCAGGGAGTCTTCTCTTCTCATGAGGTGGCCAAAGTATTGGAGCCTCAGCTTCAGGATCTGTCCTTCCAGTGAGCACTCAGGGCTGATTTCCTTAGCAAGGCAGCCACTTCTCTTTAATTTTATTCTCCCCTTTGTCTGCTTTCTAGCAACCGCTCTTAAAATGAACATGAATTTGCGGGAGCTTTACCTGGCTGACAACAAGCTGAACAGCCTCCAGGACTCGGCTCAGCTGGGCAACCTCTTGAAGTTCAATTGCTTCATACAGATTCTGGACCTGAGGAACAACCACATCCTGGACTCAGGTGAGGGATCCCTGCTTCCGTCTCCCCCCAAATTCTTTGAGAAACCGAGAGGAGGGCTCAGGCTGTGTCTCTGTCTGCAGTGTGCTTAAAAAGAAAGACAATAGTTGCTGTCTAGGCCAGGGCGGCTCAAATTCTCTTCCAAGAAATGGTCGGATTCTGTTGTTTGAACACATGTTGTTTGACATCATTAGATGTCAGAGAGATAAACTGTTATACAACCTTCCGTAGACACCTGAAGGCAGCCCTGTATCGGGAAGCTTATAATGTCTGGTGTGTTAATTAATATATTAATGTATTTTTATTTTAGCTGTGCCAAACTACTCACCAGCAAGAAGTTCTTCTAATTTGGAAGAACAGAGCCGTTGGCTACTTAAATGAGTTTGGTTGACTCTGATCATCTGCCTATCAACTGGTTAAATCCTTGAACACATTTAATTTGAAATAAATCGTGACACATTTACCAGAACCTCATGTGGGTGTCTTTTGCACATAACGGAAGGTGGTGTTGGATATTTACAACCAAATAAAAAGTTGCCGTCTTCAGTTTCCCCCTTCTTAAAAATCCCCCTCCTAACTAGAACCAAAAGAACCAATTGAAGCTAACACGGGGAATTTGCACAGCTGTTGCCGTCAGAGGATATAAATCTGATGAGCAAACCGATTTAGCTGTTCCCTAAATCAGACATGCAGAGAAAATGTAAATGTGTTCTTGTGGTGCTCTCTTCTGTCCTTTTAAACACAAATCCAACGAGTGCACAAAATTTTCCCAGCTGCCACCGTGACAGCCGAGTTGGCGGAGCGAGGGGGGAGAGAAAGGGGAGGGGGATTAGTTGAGACAAGGAAAGTGCCGCCTCCAAAAGCCGATGGTGCCTGGGTATTTGTGTCCGACTGAGCTGGTGTCGCCTCTAATGAGGGCTGCGAAAAGGGACTCCCATCCTCCCTCCCTCAACTGCTTGTCATTCGCTTCACAGGCCTGGCGTACATCTGCGAGGGGCTGAAGGAGCAGCGGAAAGGCCTCGTCACCCTGGTGCTGTGGAACAACCAGCTGACTCACACCGGCATGGCTTACATGGGGATGACGCTGGTGAGTCACAGGCAGCCTTGCTGCCCCGGGGCCTCGTTCTCTGGCTCGGGAGCCAGAGGCCATTCAGTGCTCCAGCCCGACCCTTTTCTGTGGGAGCTTTGTTGGGCAACATGTTGGCCCTCTCTGCCCAGCTGATCTGTTATCTGGGGTTTGCGCCTTGGGGCCTCCTGAGTGCAACATGGGAGCTCTGCCACTGAGCTTTATCCTCCTCCTTCCATGTTAGGGGTGGGAACATCTGGCCTGGTGCAGTCCGGGGGGGGGGGGTCACCAAAGCACACTGCGAGCTGGAAAGCCCAGAGGCAGCTGCGCTTGCTGCCCCCCCCCCACCCATCCAGCCCAACTTGAAAACAGAACCTCCTTTTTCTCCTTCCCGGTATTGAAAACAACAGACAGCTACCAAAAGCCATTATAAATTTAGGGCTGCTTCTGCCATCTTTAGAATACAGGTGGTGACCATTCTAGGGGCGTCCAATTGACGTGGGTCCTTTTGCACCCAGAAAAAGGCAGGGTGAGAACGGGACCCCCGTGTCGAAATGTTCTCTGCCTGTACTGCGTTCAGCTGTCCCGTCGGGAAAAAAAAGGAAAAAAGGGGTAATGGAACGCAGGACGTTGCCTTAGAATCATAGAATTGTAGCGTTGGAAGGGACCACCAGAGTCATCTAGTCCAGCCCCCTGCAATGCTGGAATCTTTTGCCCAACATGGTACTCGAACCCACAACCCTGAGGTTTAGAGTCTGAGCTCTGCCGGTGGAGCTATCCCAAGGAGGCTCTCCCTTAGGTTGAGTCAGACCATGGGTTCTCCCTGCTGTCGGCGCTGACCAGCTGTGCCTCTCCAGGGTTTCAGGCAGGAAGTCCTTTCCAGGCTTACATGGAGATGCCAGGGATTGAATTTGGGACTGTCTGCATGCAAGGCTGGTGCTCTGTCACAGAGCTGCAGCCCTTCCCAGAATAGGTGCTGAGCAGGACAACTAAAATGGCTTGGGGGCTCAAGGATTTTCCTCCAAGGAACGGCTAATGTTTGCTTTTAGCTGCAAGTGTGTGGAGAGAACGTTTTGTCCCTTTCTCATCACCTGGTGAATTGGACTGGCTGTAGTTAAGAGACAGAAAATATTTCATACAACTCTGTTGTATGTTGGACCTGCTTTGGGTTTCAGTGGGTCTGCCTTCTACCCTCCTCACAGCTGTGGATTTGGGAGTAGGGAGGAATGATGAGGTCCCTGCTGGATGGAGGTTAAACTTCAGCCAGTTGCCAGTTCTCTTACGAAACACGGGGTTTATTTCCCACTTGGGTGGCCAGAATCCTGCACAGAGAGCCTTGCAGATTCTCGGGCCATGTGAGCACCAGCAGACCTGAGGACAGAGTGACTCAAAACCCAGATTGTGGAACGCCCTTCCCGCAGAGGAGCGTTTGGCCCCCAAGCTTGTATGTGGGTTTTAAAAACTACTTATTTTGGGCTGTACCTTCTACACATAAGGCCTTCATTGTTAGAACAGCCGTTCATCTTAAAAGAGCTCTGTATGTATGCAGGAATTCTGTATGGTGGTTCTCATGTCCATGCTGCTGCCATTATCAATTTAAAAATCTGTTGTATGAATTGTGTCTTTAGACCATAGGCCCGGTTCACGGGTGAGGCTAAGTGAAACCATGATTTTGTGTGAACAGGTGAGCATGTGGGTTTCTGGACAGGCAGTTGCAGCCTCTTCGGTTCTCTGTTTGATTCTGTTGCTGGGAGCTAAGCCGTTGTTTGTCTTAGCGTGTCTTTCAAAGCTCGACTCATTGTTCGTCTCACTCCAGACAGACCACAAGGTCATTACCAAGGTGTGTTTCTTGATTTACAGTTCATGGTTTGCCTGAAGGAGACAAAGCATGAGCTCAGGTTCAGACAACATGCTAATCCTCAAACTGTGGCATAGCTCGCAGTAGTAACAGGACCAGAGGAGGGACAAAGCAACTGCAGTCTCCTCTCTGGGAGCTCGCAGACTTACCGGACTGGGCTGATCCCTGGTTTGGGTCAGTGCTGTGTGCAAATTGAGCCATTGTGAGCTGCCTTGAAGTGGACTAAGCCCCCAGAGGCAGTCAGTAAACAAGCAACAAACCAACATTCCCTGTTTGCATCTCCAGCCTCACACTCAGAGCCTGGAGACCCTGAATCTGGGACACAACCCCATCGGCAATGAAGGTGTTCGCAACTTGAAGAACGGGCTCATCAGCAACCGCTCAGTGCTGAGGTTGGGCTTGGCGTCGACCAAGCTGACGTGTGAGGGTAAGCCAGGCCACGCAGCCTCCCCGGGTACTCAGGCGGCTCACTGTCTTTTCCGAGGGCAGAGCAGCCGCCCCAGGCTCGGCCCCTGCGTTCGTGTGGACTCACTGGCTGTGTCTCTTGGTGCCCAGGCGCTGTGGCAGTGGCAGAATTCATCGCGGAGAGTCCCCGGCTACTTCGGCTGGACCTTCGGGAGAACGAAATCAAGACCGGAGGGTTGATGGCCTTGTCTTTAGCCCTGAAAGTCAATCACTCGCTGCTCAGGCTGGACCTTGACAGGGAGCCCAAAAAGGAATCGGTGAGTCTGTGCTGTGCTTCTGTTGCAGACCGAAGGAAGCGGCTGGGAAAGTCAAAACCCTCCTGAGATGGCCTAGTTTGATTTTCTGCTCATATTAGGCATACAGGGAGTGCTTGAACCACCCTGGAGCCTTCAAGCCCCACCTAGCCCATAGAATTGTAGCGTTGGAAGGGATCCCAAGGGTCAACCTCTGCTTAAAAACCTCCAAGGAAGGAGAGTCCACAACCTTCCGAGGGAGTCCATTCCGCTCTCAAACAGCTTTTACTGTCAAAAAGTTTTTTCCGGATGTTTAGTAGGAATCTCCTTTCTTTTAACTTTGAATCCATTGGTTCAAGTCCTACCCTCTGGAGTGGGAGAAAACAAGCTTGCTCCATCCTCCATGAGATACTCCATTGAGATCTTTGAAGATGGCTTTCATATCTCCTCTCAGGCTCCTCTTTCCCAGGCTAAACATACCCAATTCCCACAACCGTTCCTCATAAGGCTTGGTTTCCAGACCCTTGATCATCTTGGTTACCCTCCTCTGCACATGTTCCGCCTTGCCAACATCCTTCTTAAATGCCCAGAACTCGCTTTTTAGGCTGTTGTGGGTCAAGGCTCTCAGCCTTGCACGAAATGGGATGATTTTGTGTACAGCACCCTGAGTCCCACTAAGACAGGTTGGGATAGAAACATCAAAGCAGAAGCAAAAAGGGTCTTTTGAAAAAGTGGGGGGGGGAGAGTTTGGCTGGGAGCAGGAGATGGTATGAAGATGGAACAGGGTATTTTATAAAGGGCGGAAGCCACACACCTTAGCATTTACTCAGCAGTGCTCTCTGCATGGAAACAGAATGGCTTAGCCATGTGCTTTCCTGGTCCCTCACGACCAAACACATAAACACTCTTGACGTCTACAGGTGTCTGAATAGCTGCTTGGGAGCTTGTGGCAAATGCCTTCGTGTGGGCAGCTGTCTCCTGTTCCCAGCGATGTATATTTCCAGGCCCCATAAGCATCCCTCGCCGACAGCACACTGCTGTTGCCACTGAGCTGCCTTCATTTGAAATGCCGCGTTGTAAAAGCTTTCTGTGTCGCGAGGCAGTAACATGATTCCGCCTGTCAGGGAGCAAAAGCCTTTGTCCGAGCCACTCGATACCCGCCGTCTCACGTTTCCGTTGCTATAGGTCGGTTTTGCTGGCGTAGCTTTGGCTCCGCATGTGGCGCGTGCCAGCGCAGCCAGCCAGGTAACCCTGCTGCCTTGCCGATAAACCTTCCGCTCCGGAAAAATAGAGGCCCAGTGCCTGGCACAGACACAGGTGTGCTGTAGGCAGGTAGAAAAACTCCAGTTGTGCCAGGCATTTGGCTTCTCTTTGTCCCTTCCCACTTGTGGAAGGCCTTCCCCGTGTGGAAGAGCTGTGGCGCAATGGCAGAGCACACAGAAAAGTCCAGGTTCAGCCTCCAGCCTCTCCCATGTAGAGATGGGAGAGACTCCGCCTGGAACCCTGGCAAGAGCTGTTGCCAGTCAGTGCGGGCAATACTGATCTAGGTACACCAGTAGCCAGACCAGCTTCCTGTGGCCTGTCATGGTACTGTCAGGCAAGGGCTATCTGGAGTAAGTAATTAACTCTTTATTGTCAAAAGTACACTTACAAGTTTGGAAAATGCAGATCTGTCAGTCCGACGTCTCTCAGCTACTCCCAGGTGTGCACTCAGTGAGGCAGTTGTAGCCACAGAGAGATGCACCCCCACATTGAAACTTGCCGCAGGGAGAAAAGGGGTACATCAGCAAAATCAGGAAGAACTTTCTGGCAGTAAGCGCTGTCCGACTGTGGAACGGACTCTCCTTCATTGGGGGTTTTCATGCAGAGGGTGGGTGGCCATCTGTTGTGGATGTTTTAGTTGAGATTCCTGCATTGAGGAGCGTTGGACTAGAGGACCTTCAGGATCCCTTCCAATTCTACAATCTGTGATGTTTGATGAGCATTCAAACATGTGTTTTCTCCTCCCCCTGTATTGCCAATGAAGGTCCATGCTTTGCAAGGCTTCTGCGTGTGTAATTTGTCTGGGGCCACAGTGGTCTTTTGATCCCCTCCAGCATGATTCCTTCCAATCCACGCAGCATCTGAACTCAAGCAGGCAAGGCCAAACTCATCAAAACGCCCACCTTCAGGCTCTGTGCCAGCTTCCCTTACAATGGTGGTTGGGACGCTCAGATTCTTGGGCCCCAAGCCTTTCTGTCGGCCCCATGCCACTCTCCCTCTACCACACACAACCCTCCCAGCCTATCCCCTAGTGCCCCCAATTCCTTTCCTCCTGGAATGTTTTGCCTAAGCTGGAAAATGTCCTTGAGCTCTGACAATACTTGCTTGCATGGAAGATGGAGAGGAGATGCATGAATATGTGGGGAAACTAACCTGGCATTGAAAGATAAAATTTACGTTCCTTGCCTTGCCAACTTTGCCCCCCCCCAAGTTGTCCAGGAGGCTGTGGGCCCCTCAGGCCAGTGGCGTAGCGTGGGGGGTGCAGGGGGGGCCGGCCGCAGCGGGCGCAACATCTGGGGGTTAGGGTTAGGGGGCGCAAATCCAAGGGTTAGGGGGCGCAAATTACTTGCCTTGCCCCGGGTGCTGACAACCCACGCTACGCCACTGCCTCAGGCTGAAAAATGTTTTGCCTACCCCAGCTTTACAATAAATGGCGCCCCCGTGCCTTTCTCCCTTTTGCAGGTGAAGAGCTTTATCGAGACGCAGAAGGCCCTCTTGACGGAGATCCAGAACGGCTGCAAGCGCAACTTTGTCCTTGCCAAAGAGAAGGAGGAGAAGGAGCAGCAGCTCCAGCAGTCCGCCTCCATGCCCGAAATCACCATCACGGAGCCCCTCGAGGAGGGGCCGGTGGAGGACGAGGGGCAGAACGGCGACATGGCGCCCACGCCGGAGGAGGGGGAGGAAATCAGGGAGGCACCGCCCTCCCAGGAGAATGGGGCAGCTGACAAGAGAGCTGGTGACGACGACGAGTCCTCAGACTCCGATTCGGACACAGACGAAGAAGAGGATGAGAAGCTGGTGATGAAGGCTCTCCCGCCGTCGCCTCAGAAGCTCAGCAGCCCTGATCACGCGGGCGACTTGCCCAAGCCACCTTCCCCCCCAAAGACCAGCAGTGTCCTTAGCCCCGAAAGCAGGGCGCTGCCCCCCTTGAACACTACGGAAGAAATAAAATGTGAATCTCGATTGGGAGTCACCAGTGGGCCTCCAGCCCAGGCCAGCTCTCCTGGGAACGAGAGGAGGATTGCGGTCTCCAGTCCTGGGCGAGGCCACAAAATATTTGTCGTTACGCGGGTGGAGAGCCTGCCGGAGAAGGCAGCGCTGGGGGGCGCCGATACGCGGCAGGAGGGGAGCCCTCTTCCTCCACAGGCTTCTCCGCCAAAGCCCAGCGACCCTCCAGCCCCGCAGGCTCAGCCAGCAAAGACTGAATGCTCAGACGGACAAGCGACTGAGGCTGTTCCCAAGAGGGCGGCTGGCTCAGAAACCTCTCCCTCCACACCAAGCCCTGTTTTGGGGGCAGAAAAGATGAACTCTGGGCCGTGTGAGAGCGCTGTTCACAGCTCTCTGCTGCCCAACGGACTAAGGATGGAGTTTGTTCATGCACTACCAGATGCTCCCTCAGGGCATGATGGGAAAATGGCCAGTTGCTCTGTAGAACATGGTAAGCACATAGAGAGAGAGAGCACACACTTTGCATTCTGGAAGAGGCGTTTATATAGGGTAACAAACAGGCTCCACCCTGCTCTTCCTGTGTCAAGGAATAAAGCCGGGGGGAGGCTGTGTGGGTGGGGTGGGCTCAGCCATATGGAGTCTTGCCTCCTAAAAGGCAGGTGACTACGGATTTCACAGGGATTTTGAACGCAGAAGCAAAGGCCAGGTTTAGAATCATAGAATCATAGAGTCATAGAATCATAGAGTTGGAAGAGACCACAAGGGCCATCGAGTCCAACCCCCTGCCAAGCAGGAAACACCATCAGAGCACACTCCTTGAGTTTAGACACTCCTTGGGAGCAGGGCAAGGACCTGGCTGACTCTCTGCCTTTCCACTCTGCTTTCCAGAGCTAAACTGTTCCAAGAACGAGAAGGAGCTGGAGGAGTTACTTTTGGAAGCAAGCCTAGAGATGGGGCAGGAGCCAATGTGACGTTTTAGGTAAGGGAGTTGCGTATCAAAATGGGCAGAGGGAATATGCTGTCTGCTAAAAGAGGGGGCTCCAGGAAGGATAACATGGGGGCGGGCAGGGCAGGAGCTCTTCCTCCCTGCATTGCTGCACCAGCAGAACGTCACCTAGAAAGCATTAATCCTGAACACGCTTAAGCAGGAATCAGGTCCCGCTGGGTTCAGTGAGATTTTCACTTTCTAAGTAAGTAAGCTTTAGCACAGGTTTTCCCAAACTTGCGTTTTTTGGACTACAGCTCCCATCATCCCTGGCTGGCAGGACCAATGGTCAGGGACGATGGGAATTGTAGTCCAAAAACAGCAGCAGACCCAAGTTTGGGAAAACACTGCTTTAGCAGAATCTGGTGACTGACCTGAGCATTTTGAAAATTCAAGCTTGGTGTGCCTATTTAGTCAAGCTTCTCAATCGCATGGCGTTAGAAGCAAATCTGGGTGGTGTTCAGGTAAATATATTTACCTAAAATGTATATATATTATATATATTTACCCTAAACATATATAATATAATATATAATATGCACAGTAAGAGGAGGAGGGAAGTATTTGTGAGGGCTGAAAATGGGGAGGGCAGGATACTTGAGCTATTGTTAGAGTAGTGGTATTTCTAGATGGGGATAACCCGAAATACGTACTTATTATTCAATATATTGCTGGATGGGGAAGCAGAAGCAGTCAGCGTGGTCCTAACATCCCGGGACAGGGAGAAAGTTAAGAATGGAAGGGGGCTGAAGAGAATTGTAATGAAATTTTATTTAAGGCTTTCAAACACCACCACCCCTTTTCAAGGCAGGTACATTGAAAATTTAGCACTGTGCCATTTTCATGAGTTGGTAAGAAGCCGGTGATTTTATAATTAGATATGGGTCTATATGTGCTTGCGTTGCCCTCCCACTCTGGTCTCCCGGACATCTTTCTTGCTTCCCTCCCCACCTTCTCCTTTTCTCTCTCTTTCAGTTCTGGGCCATTCCGCATCCAATGGGGTCTCTTTGGGGAAGCGCCTGCCTAGCTTTACCTCCTCCCTTCACCATGTGATTCCGAAAACAACAACTCCACCGCCCCCCTGACTGCCACACAGAGGCAACGTGACAAGCGCCGCCCATCCCGTTCCCCCGAACGGCATCCATTTCCAACTGTGACCATTTCCCCCGCCGCCACCCCCCCTTTTTCTCATTCTCGAAGTCTTCCCTCTGATAAAAGATGTTCTGTTTGGAGGGGGGGGGGTCGGGATTCAGGAAACAGAAGAGCCGAGGAGACCTTGACCCAGGAGAAGAGCTTCCTTCAGGGCGAACTCTTGACATTTTTTGCTGCTTTGGTGTGTCTCCCTGGAACTCTTGCCAGGGGGGAGAACTCAACAATGTTTTTGTTTCTTTTTTCCTTTTGCAAGGGGATGCCCCTTGCAAGTGATTTCACAAGGCAGAGAGGCTGTTTTGCGGACTCGGATCGTTGGCACCGCCTCTCTCCAGTCTAACTGGGAAACTTTAAAAGGAAAAGGGCGAACACTACAGATGAACAGGGCCCTGTGTGTTTGCTTTGTGTGTGTCGCGAGCGCCGCAGGTCCCAGTAGGTCCAGTTTTCCACGAATGCTTGGGGAGGAGCAGGCCTCTCCTGGGTCCCGCTGGCTGAGAGCGCCGTAATGCTGTAGCTCCCTTGCCAAGCAAGACTATTGAGGCTGTTTAATCCGCAGCACAGACTACTATTTATTTTTATTTTCCAGTTTCTCTTTCCCCACCCACCGCCCTCCCTTACTTGCGTCTCCTTGTTTGTTTGTCTTTTCTCCGGTGTCTGTTGAACAGAATGGGAACAGTTTTTCCTCCCGCCTTTTAACCTCCAACCACCTTAAAAAAAGGAAAAGGATCTCTGCTTCCTCCCAATTTGCAGAGTGCACCAAATCGGGAATCCACCAAGAAGCTGCTTTTCCCTGGTGAAGTTGTTTGAAGTAAGCTGAGAGAGAGAGAGAGAGAGTGCCCCGGTGTGTGTGTGTGTGTGTGTGTGTGATTCCTTTTTGTGCATTGATGGGCAACCTTTGCCCATTGCCCACCAATAAGAGGACTGCCGTGGCTTCGACTGATCCGGCTTCTCCTGTCCTTCAGCAGAGAGAACGAGGCAAACTCCTTGCATCTCTCCTATCAAGATTTGTTCTTCAAGCCATACCGTGCCGAACTTTTGGACGATGGGGGTGATACTGTGTATGGCTTGACTGTTGAAGTAGCGAATATTTTAACTGACCGTAAAACTACATAAATGGCACGTTTATGAAGAGGGCAGGGTGGTTCTCTTCTCCCCCCCCCCCGTTTTGTTCACCCCATGCGATAAAACTGACGTGAGAAACTTCTTAGGATGCTGCTGATTTGGGGGGCAGTTTTCATCTTTTATTGTTACTTTGTTCTTCAAAAAGTTGTAGGCTTTCCCACAGTTCCTGTGCGTACATCAGCTGTGGACAAGGACCCAGCTGCAGTGATAAGAGTGTTATCTTGCTATCACCAGGGCCTTTCAGGGTCCAAAATCACTACTTTTGCAGAAGGAGGTCGAATCCCTCACAACAGCACCCCTATCCCACTCCCTGGAACTTCGATTTCCTTGAGAAAGGGGGGCAAACGCACCACCAGTTGAAACGCGAACTGCTCTCCCAAGTTTTGCTCCACAGAGGAAATGCTCCAGGCTTTGTGGGTCTCCTGGCCGGCCGTTCGGTGCCGAAAGTGGGGAGGAGGTGGGTTGCTGCAGAAAGCGTATTGCTAGAGGGTGGGTGGGGGTTGATTATTTTATTTCTCAGGGAAGGACTTTTTTGCAGCCAAAAAAATACCTGGGATTGCGGGGGAAGCCGGTGGAGCCAACAGTGCAGTCCCTCCCCCTGCCCCCCTCCTCCGGTGGTGCGTTGAGACCCAGCGGAAGAGATCCCAAAGGCTATTACGAGAAGCTCCGCAAAGACCAGGTTCAAATGGCCTCAGAGATTAGCTCCGATAGGCAAGGTTTCTTCCAAAAGAGAAGAAGCTTGCCTGCCAAGATGGGAAACCAGGACTGATGCTTTCGTATGTCGCCAGTAGGACGAGAGGCGGGGCAACCAGCCCCCTTGCATGGGGAAGTCCGTGTTGTAGGACGACAGGTGTAAAAACAAGCGGCCCTCTTATTTTGTTTCGAGCCAAGGTGCGGCGGGAAGAATAGGCCCTCTCTTTGGGTCCTTGAATTCTTTTCTCACGAAATCCCGCTGGGATCACTCGACTCTAACCCCGGTTTCTAGCAGGAAAGGAAGAAAAAGAAACACGCCTCATTCTCCCTACACGATGGACTACTTTCCTCCTGTTGACACAAAACGAAATCTCCACAGGAGATTTGCGGTACTAACCCTGAAACTGAAGCGAAAACGAAAAGGAATCTCTTTTTTGTATAGACTTAGCAGAGGAACCGTTTTCTCCGCCGCAACACCCTCTAAAAATGTGGGGTGGGGGGAGGGTGGCAGCTGTTGGGTAGACATAGAACTTTATGCTTTTTACTTTATTATTATTTTTCTTAAGTGCAATAAAAATCTTATCAGGGAGCTTGAGAGGGCACTTTTGCTGCATGGAAATTCAGGCTGGAGAGGCAGGAGGGAGAAAAACAAAAACTTTGTGTGCCCACCATCTGCTTGACCATGATTCCTTTTCTCTCTCTCTCTCTCTCTCTCACACACACACACACACCCCGACACACAGACACACATGGAGTTTTTGCTGCGTTAACACTACATTTACAGAAAAGAAGATGGCGCCAGTTTGATTTTGTGTTCCTTTTCCTCCCTCCCCCATTTTTTTTTAATTTTTTTTTGGCTAAAGTTTGTCATTTCTGTTTCGTGTGTGTGTGGAGTTTTATTTTTGTTGAAACTGTCTTCTATTAAATGAAAAGCTGCATTCATCACGTGGCTTCTCTCAGTCTCTTGGGGGAAGGGGGTCCAAAGCACAACCGGCGTTCTCGCCCCATGTCGCAGTCACATTTTGCCAGCAAAACGGACGCCAAATGAGCGGCGTTGTGAATTGAAAAGTGTGCCGAGGCTGGCTTGGGTCTCTGCACAACATCCTTCTTATTTATGTATTGCCGTTGGGTGACAATGTGCTTTTACAGAGTGACGTAAGCAAAAAAAAAAAAAAAAAAGAGAGGCCTGAGCCCTCAAAATCTTCCAGCATAATTTATCAATGGGAGAGGAAGGGGAAGGAATTGTGCATACTGAGATTTTATTTTGGTGTAGAACGAGAGGACTCTGCAGGTTAAACTATGAGCTTCAGAAGAAACTTTGTTTTTTGTCTCTGGCTTTCCCAAAAGCTTGGAAAGACGCTGCATTTTCATCGCCTGGCTGCACAACAGCTTTGCTGGTTCTTCTCCCGCCACCCAACTGCGTTACGCATCCTCATTCATCCTTGAACTTTTGCTTCCAAGCCTATCGGGCACTGCAGTTGTTTGGGGTTTTTTTGCTTGTTAGCATTTGGTTGCTTCATGGGCAAATAGGTCTGAGAAGAGATTAGGGATTGGAGCAATGGGCCATGACCCTTTGCAAAGGAATCGATGCCTCTGAAGCTGGGGACGCATTGTGCACTTGCGCAGTTCCGAGGGAAGGAAGTAAAAGGGGGGGGGGGGTTGCTTACTTGCCAGACGAGAGACGCCAGGAAAGCAGTTTGAGGAAGAGATCAGCAGGCAAGGTGTAGAGCTTTCCTACAGAAACCAACCTTCCCTTTCTAATAAAAGCAATAATCTACCGGACTAGCACCCTCTGGTGTGAGAAAGGTGGAACTGTCAGGAAGCCAAAGGAAAAGATGGCAGAGTGAATTCCTCGTGACGTAGTAATACTCATATGCAAGCTTAAGTTTTTATTTTATTTTAAACTCCTCTGAAACTTCTTCCTGCCATCAGAAAGGTGGGGTCCTGCTCACGTGCTTATCTCTGATGCATGTTTTAAAAGTGCATTCTGAAATAAACAAGCCTGTTTCATTTTTTTGCTTTTTTTTGGTAAATCCTCCCCCCACAAAAAAGGAAAATATTGCCACTGCCTGGATAGCTCAGTTGGTTAGAGTGGGGCGATGATAACGCCAGGGTTGCAGGTTCGATCCCCGTATGGCACAGCTGTGTATTCCTGCATTGCGGGGGGTTGGACAAGGTGATCCTCGGGGTCCCAACTCCACAATTATAGGGCCTAGAAATATAGAGGGTGGCGCTGTGGGTTAAACCACAGAGCCTAGGGCTTGCATATCAGAAGGTTGGCGGTTCGAATCCCCGCGACAGGGTGAGCTCCCGTTGCTCAGTCCCTGCTCCTGCCAACCTAGCAGTTCGAAAGCATGTCAAAGTGCAAGTAGATAAATAGGTACCACTCTGGCAGGAAGGTAAACGGCGTTTCCGTGCACTGCTCTGGTTCGCCAGAAGCGGCTTAGTCCTGCTGGCCACATGTACGCCGGCTCCCTCGGCCAATAAAGCAAGATGAGCGCCGCAACCCCAGAGTCGGCCATGACTGGACCTAATGGTCAGGGGTCCCTTTACCTTTACTGCAGGAGTAAGGACTTAAAACATTGCTTAGCTGGAGCAGAGCAAGATTCATAAGCTCCAGCTATTCTGTGCCCAGGCAGATGCTCAGGAGATTGGGGCATACAAGAAGACTCCTGTATCTGGATCGCACCAAAGGCCCATATAGTCCAACGTCGTGTTCTCACAGTGACCAACCAGATGCCCCAGTGGGGAGCAGGACCTGGTCAGGACCTGAATGCCACAGTGCCCCACTCCACAATTGCGATTCCTCTGCAACTGGCACGGGAGGCAGAGCATAGCCATCCTGGCTGGTAGCCATCGATAGCCTTTCCCTCCATGAATATGTCAAAATCCTCTTTAAAGCCATCCAAGCTGGAGGCGGCCACTACATCTTACTGGAGCGAATTTCATAGTTTTAACCAAGTGCCACGTGAGAAAGTTCATTTGTTCGCCTGCCCCCAGCCTTCATGGAGCATGGGACAAACTTGTGGTTTGTTTTTTTTAAAAAAAGAGATCCTATTCTGTCTTCTAGTTGACTTCTCATATGGTATTCATACCCTCCCCTGTTTTTTATTTATTCCTTCCAATTCTATGATTTGTCTCAGTGAAGATCCTCTCTTAAAGGCACGTTAACTCTTGTCCGTGGGAAACAACTCCAGCCTCCTGGCGTGGCTGATGTTTTCAGCTCCTGGATTGGCCTAGAGAGGCTGGGGGCTTGCAGGGAGGGCTTGCTCATCGTCCCCCAAATCTGAGAAGGCATCAGAGGGGGGCGTGATGCAGGGGAGCAGCTTGGAAGATGGGAAGGCTATATCAGGTCATGTAGCTCTGTAGTAACCACACAGACTGGCAGTAGCTCTCCAGATTTCATTCAGAGAGGAGTCTCTGCCAGCCGTGCCTAGAGACGCAGGGGATTGAACCTTAAACCTTCTGCATGCAAGGCAGCAGCTGTTCTACCATTGAGCTGAGGCCCTTCCCCTCTCTCTTTTAGGGTTCGAATGTGGAGGCTCCCTGCTCCCCACCCCCGTTACAACCGGAAACGCCTTTGGCCAAACATACGCTTGCAAGCTACCTTGAATTTCTGCGTGGCGGAGAGGTGGGATATGAAACAAGGTTCGATTCTTGCCGGTGTCCCACTGATGGATTGCTTTGTGGGTATCAAGGATGTCCCAGAGCACCAGTGGATCTTCTCTCTCTTTTTTTGTAGATACCAAAACTGTCATTCCAGCACTTTGGTGGGAGGAGAGAATAATTTCTTCCTGTTGATTTTGGGAAAGCTCGCCCTTGGTTCTGAGCTAGTTTTATTTATTAAACACGAAAAGGAAATCCCAGGGAATCTGTGTTCATGCATTTAACTATTTATACCATGTTCGGTTGAAATAAAGTTTCCCTTCTGACATAGGTTGGGCTTGTGTGTTTCCCTGTTTCCGCTATTATTATTCTCAGGGGGGTTAAGTTTGCACATATCGACAGCCTCGGATGGAGGAACCCAATCTCCCAATCCCAGAGGTTTCTCTGGCAGAAAGGTTTGTTGATTTGGATTTTCAAGTAGATATTATTATTATTATTTGGTAGAAGCACTCCCAGCACTGTACGCATTGGTAAGGTTTTTCTCCTGTGTTCTTTTGTGCATTGTCCAGTGGGTATTCTGATGGAAGCTGGATCATCTTAGTTTGAGAAGTGTCCCACAGAAACACAGAGGCTTTGCTGGTGCAAGGAAGTGAAAGGGGAGACTCCGAGACATAGTTTTGAACATTTTTTTTTATTCAGCTTTGAGAACAGGAAACACAGAACACAATGTCCCTTTGTGTTGAGGACCTTAACACGCACATACTCGTATATATATATATATATATATATATATATACTCTCTCACTCTCTCTCTCTCTCTCTCACACACACACACACACACACGTTTCCAGCTTTCTGCCACATGCTTGTCATTCTCTAGCCACAGGACCAAAACATAAGGCCAGGGCGAAGCTCTTGGGCAGATGGAGCCATCTCAGCAGCTCCCACTGAATTCTGTGGGATAAATTAAACTAGCTACAGTCTGGCTTGTGTGCAAAACTTGCTCTTGAATCCACATAGGTATCGTCCGTGGCAGGAACAAGCACCACCAGCCCTCAGTAGCCTATGCATTTGCTTTCCTCTATATTACTGAATGGGTATCATTCCGTCTTTATCAACTTGCTGCTTGTTCTGCCTGAAGGGTGATCATTATTATTTACACTTTCACATATCATTATTATTTTTTATTACTTCTAACGAGGGAAAGGCAGGGGGAAGCCACCAGTGCAAACTGAGAATACAATAACCACCAATACATCCGTATCAATCTAAAACGTATCAACCATAGAATTGTAGAGTTGGGAGCCCCAAGGCTCAATATCCATTGGGAGAAAGGGTTAACCCTCCTTCCCCAGAGCTGTGGCTCTGCTCCAAATCTCACTCCCGATGCTGCGAGGAAAATACGATACGGAGATCCGATGAGAGATTGCTCACATCCTGTGGACAGTCCTGTGTGGACATCCTGTGCGGACAGTTGAAGCAGAATGATGAGTAAAATGGTGTGTGTGTATTGCAGGTTACTCCAGGGCAAAGAATCTACCTTGGGTTGATTCTTGGAGGTGCAGGACTTTTGAGGTGAAACAAAGCCTAGTTTTCCCCCTGGAGCTGGCTAACTTTGCTCTCATGTCGAGGGGTAAGCCCAAGCCATGAATCTGAGGCAAGCTGGTGATATAATTGGCCCTGTGGAACTGGCCGAGGTGCAAACTGCAGGAGACCCACCCACTTTCCCTCAAGGCGAAGTCGTCATCGACAGCCCGAGTGCGGCTGTTTCCATATTTAGGTGCTACCTAAATTAAGTGAAGCTGCTGCTTGTTTTTTTTTTTGAGCACTCATAACTCATTGGGTTGGGAGACGAGAAAAGCGAGCTTTCGGCAACAGGAAGTTGCCTTTTCCTGAGTCAGAGCATTGGTCTGTCTAGCAAGGTATTATCCGCACTGATGGACAACTGCTCTGTCCAGAGTTTCAGACAGACAGGCTCTCATTGCCTTACCTGGAGATGCCAGGGATTGAATCGGGGCCCTTCTGCATGCCAAGCAGGTGCTCTAAGCAACTGAGCTGCGGTTCTTCCCCAACATTTGCTGAGGCGTTGCTTGGGAGAGTCTGCTGAGCCTTAAATCCATAAGCCTGCCCGACTCCTTCCCTCCTTCATTCTAGACCAGGCTTCTCCAACCTAACCCCCTCCAGACGTTGTAGTCTAAAACATCTGTAAGGGAACCAGGTTAGCAAAGGCTGTTGAAATTCCAACAAATGTAACGTGCAGCAAAATCCTATACATGTCTGCTCAGAAGCCCCATTGACTTCAATGGATTGCAGGCTTAGCTCTCTAACTGGGTATAAGGCGATCATTTTTAAATTTTACACACACAGCTCAGGGCTGTGTGCTTACCTGCCTTTTAAAAACCGAAACTCTACAGCAAAGGAAAGCAAATGCTGGAACCTGAATAAAGTATGGGTTGATCTATCATAATGTATGCTGCTGCTGCTTAAGGAATTCAGTCTTTGCAGATTACTTGACCTGATTCTTACTGCTTGGACTAATGTGCAGGTTTGAACTGGATTATCCGCTAGTTTTTTTTAAACTTCCTGAATGTTCTGGTGCACTTGTTAGCTCAAAAAAGAAGAAGCATCAAAACAGTAGAAATGTGTGCTTTGAGAGAAAATACATTCAAAACGTCATATTTAAATGCAAATTCTTGCACAGGTTTTTTTTTTAATTTAAAGAAGATGAATGCAGAGTCATCACAGAATCAGTACAAAAGTGGCATGGACAAGAAATTAGACTGGTTTGATCCTTCCCTACCTGCCAGCAGTGTCCAAAGGGACTGATATGGCAGAAGGCAGAAAGCCCAAAAATGAGGGGGTGAGGGGGGGAGAGAGAATTGGAGCCCTTGCCAGACTGAGCTGCTGTTTCTCCATTTGTGAGATACACACAGCCCTGCAGTAGATGTCACTCAGCATCCATATTCCCCCCCCCACAAACAAAACTTATTTAAACACCTTAAATAATTCAATCAGCTTGTTGCACAAATCTAAATCCTTCATTGGCTACAGCAGCACTCATTTCCCTTCACATTCGTTCCTGTATTCACAGCTTCCATTAAGTTTCGCAAAAAGAACAGAAGGAAGTTCAAATGTGGCCCATTTAGCATCACGTGTGGGAACGCCCGAAGTCTCTCCTAATCCCGTCTCCCGCTGCAGATTGCTGTGCGTTCCTCAGCTGATGGTAAATTGGCTTTCAAACTTCCCAGACATCAAGAAACACTTCCCACCGTAAACTTGTCTGCCACAATACCCAGTGCCTTTCCCAGAGGATTCTGGGATGTTTATGCCTCCCCCATCACCCTGCATTGAAGTCAGCGAATTGCTGGGGTGGGGCACTGACTGGTTTTTCTGCCGTTTCAGCAGCTGTGGTCCAGTATGTTTTTCTAATTGCATTTTTATTGCTTCCTTTAATTTCTTACATACTGTATTTTGTTGTGTCACAGCCGCATTTCACAGAATTCAAATTGCAGTGCAATAAAACACAAAAGAATAAATAAAAGGTACAGTTGAAAATGTGACGGCTGTGCCAGAAATCCACTGACACACCGTGGAACCACCTGGGTGAAGCTCACAGTTTGGAAAACCCCACCCTGGGAACACAGCCGACACTCATTCGCTGATCCACACCAAAGGGATAAATGGGCAACGCAGGCAAAATCGTCTCTCAAATAGCTTGTCCACCATGACTGGTCATACCTTATTACAGAACGTTTGATAACCTTCCAACAGACCCCTGGAAACCCTCCGCCTTACACCATCCTGCCTGAATTGGCTGCTTCTCTGCCCTCCTCCTTTTCCAAGGAAGCTGCTTCTTTCTCCTTATCTTTGTCCTTTTCCAGAGAAGCTAATTCTTTGAGGTAGTCCTTTTCCAGGGAAGCCAGGGACCGCAGCTGCCCCATCCGATACCTTATGGAGTGGTCCAAGTTGACGGTGTACCTCACGTACTTCTCCCCTTCCTTCACGGTGAAAGGGAAATCGTGCCACAAGAAGTTCTCAAAGAGTTCGGGGTCATTGTCCAACGCCATGATGTTGTGAAGCACCGTATGATGGGAGAAGAGCTCCTTGCAGTTCTCCGCGAAGACGTGCCACATGGTTTCCTCGCCGTCCTCGCCCACTGTGTGGCACTGCCGCCTGTCCTCCATGCACTGCAGTATCCAGCTCAAGCGGCAAGGCCATTGGTTGGCCATGACGACCCAGGCCGCCACTGACCGGGGGCAGATGGCATGTCTCAAGACATGCTGCTGGGCCATAAGCCGGATAGTGATGGGGATGGTGTTGACGATTCTCTTCATCTGGACAATACTGTCTGGGATGTACCTGTAAAGGGAATCGAATTCGTCGTGCAAGCAGTGGAAAGCCTCGTGGATGTACTGCACGGCCTGAGCATCAATCTGTTGCTGGTCCATCTCTGCCGACGCTTCCATGTCTCCCAAGGCCCTGTCCTTCCCTTTGGATCTTTTGATCCCCTGCTCCACGTTTCTGGTGATGATGTTGTACATCAAGTCCTCCCGGCTCTGGAAGGCCTCATGCAGAAACCGCAGCTTTGCCCTCTGGCCAATTTCCGGGATGGAGAAAGGCAGCGTCACCGTGCGGTTGAGGTAGAGGTAGCCGTTGTCGGCCATGCCCTTCATGCAGCTGGCTTCCTCCAGGCAAGAGACGATGACGCAAGGGTCCACCACCAGGATGAAGATGAAGGGGGCGTTGGTGTCTGAAAGCAGGGTGTTGATGGCGTTCAGGACCCCGATGACTCGTTCTGGGTAGCACATGTCCAAGTTGGTAATCTCAAAGACAATCCTCAGCCGCCGCCTCTCAAAGATCTCCATGTAATACACGAAGTTGGTGAGGAGTGCAATCTCTTTCTTCACAGCGCTCATGAAGCCCAGGTGGCTAGTGAATTTCTCATTGCTGGTCATGCTCTCGATCTTCTTCTTCTGGCTGATGATCAGGTGCTTAATCACCGGAGCAATGGCCACCAACGCCCCTGAACCGGTAACGCTGGCCAAGGAGGCGGCGAGGATCTTCAAGACAGTGCCATCCCTCAGCCCTGGCACAAGGTACGCGGTTGTGGCCAGGCCAATGCCAGCTAGCAAGATGGTCAGGAACCCTCCGGCTGCAAACGAGGCTTTCTTTTTGAGCCTCCACTCCTGCTGGCTGAACCCAGAGGCAAAGTGGGGCTTGCTCCCCACCACGTGGTAGAAGCTCAGAGGCAGAGGCCCGAATTGGTGGCGGATGCGGTCGCACAAGGTGGTGACCAGCCCAGCCCACAGCTTGTCACTGCCGGCGTATTCCCAGGCGCTGAATCTTATGAACATGAAGTCAATGTTCTTCCTCCTGAGATGAACCTCTGTGATGACTGGCTCATAGAACACCAAGTACCATAGGAGGGTCAGGTAGTTCCATCCTTCCGGTATCCGGGGCTTCTCATGTGTCCTCCTGTACTCGTTTTCTTCTCTCCGGATGGTTTCCTTGTGCATGCATTCTGCCAAAGTGGAACAAAAAGCCATTAGCCTTTCAAAAGTGAGATGAGATGTAGGGACCAGCTACTATCCCTCCTCCCTTCAACGTAGAAAGGAGATTCCGACTTTCTGGCTGTGAGAGCTGCTCAACAGTGGAACGGACTCCCTTGGAAGGTGGAGGACTCCACTGAAGGTTTTTTAACGGGTTGGATGGCCATTTTTCAGGGATTCTTTACCTGTGATTCTTGCGTTTCAGGGAGTGGGACTAGATGATTCTCAGGCTCCCAACTCTACAATTTTATGACTCTACACCTTCACTCATCATCACTCTTTTGTACACGCCTGAAGGTAGAGAACCTGGTAGCCTTTTTTATCAGAATGCCCCTTGTATTTAGATCCGAGAAGCTGTTAAATTGAGCCCCTTATTGCCGGGGAGAGCACTGCAGGAAGAATCTGCTTAACTTCCCCCGTCAAGCAAAAGTTCTCTTTGAGTTGGCTGAAGCAGATCACTACACAGCACTTAGGAGTGTGCAATTTGTAAAATTGGCTTGAGGGAAGTGGAAAACACTTACATGCCACTTTAGATGTTAATATTATGTTAATACACGTAAGCCAGTTGTAATTGTATAATTTTAAATCCATATTTTAGTGTGGCTTGATGCATTATGCACGTACGTATTTTACTTTTATTGTCCGTGCATGTGGGACAGCCTGATTGGCAAATGAGCAATACAGTGGTACCTCGGGTTAAGTACTTAATTTGTTCTGGAGGTCCGTTCTTAACCTGAAAATGTTCTTAACCTGAAGCACAACTTTAGCTAATGGGGCCTCCGGCTGCCGCCGCGCTGCCGGAGCACAATTTCTGTTCTCATCCTGAAGCAAAGTTCTTAACCCGAGGCATTATTTCTGGGTTTGCAGAGTCTGTGACCTGAAGCGTATGTACAGTGGTGCCTCGCAAGACGAAATTAATCCGTTCCGCGAGTCCTCTTCGTCTTGCGGTTTTTTTGTCTTGCAAAGCACGGCTATTAGCGGCTTAGCGGCTATTAGCGGCTTAGCGGCTATTAACGGCTTAGTGGCTTAGCGGCTTAGCGGCTATTAACGGCTTAGCGGCTTTAAGAAAAGGAAACAAACTCGCAAGAACTCGCAAGACGTTTCGTCTTGCAAAGCAAGCCCATAGGGAAATTCGTCTTGCGGAACGACTCAAAAAACGCAAAACCCTTTCGTCTAGCGAGTTTTTCGTCTTGCGAGGCATTCGTCTTGCGGGGCACCACTGTAACCTGAAGCGTATGTAACCCGAGGCACCGCTGTACATTTGTGCTTGTCTCTTAAATAACAAAATCCTGATTGAATGGACAGGCTAGAGAAAAAGGCCTGTTTATGGCAAAAATCCATGTTAGGAGGCACAGGGGCAGGGCTTTCCTCCCTATTATTACTGAATACCCAAGAAAAACTTGGATTCCTCCCCCACCCCTTCCACCCAGTTGATGCTTTTTTTCTTTTTTGCCCGGGACTTACTTCCAATATGATCAAGCAGCGAATGCAGGCGGTTTCCACAGGGGGAGTAGAAGCCCACTGTGACAGGCGTGGAGGTGTGGCACAGTGTCTTGGAAAGGGAGCAGCAGTAAATGTCATCTTCCGTCAGGATATCTGAGGACAGGAAAGGAATACAGCATTCGTAAACTGTGGACCAGCATAGATATGACAGCAGGAGATAACTGGGGGTGGCTTTCAGATGACCTGGCTGTCGGCGTTCATCCTGATGGGTTTGCACAAAGTTTGCAGGGAGGTCAGACAATGTTGGCTGTTTATTGAGCAATCTTTCTGGTCTGTTTTCGGAGAGGTTAGATCAGGTATCGTCAAACATTTCAGACCCACTTTTAAGCCAGACATGCCTTTGGGGACCCATTTCTTAATTTTTTTACCATATATTTTGCATGGTAAACCCACCTTGGATCAGACCAGCTGAAGACCAGTAGGTGATGTTGTGTGAAACAGTTGTTACCCTACACTTCCCAGTGCATTTTGCTGACTCTTTCCTTAGTGCAAAAAGTTAGATTTTGGGTGCGGTGAAGAGGGAAGCAGGTTTGTTGCACAAGAGCAGCAAATCAACTTTAACCGTGCAGCGCGAGTTTGCCGGTATGTAACTGAATCCCTGCTGAAAATAGAGACCGCTTGGAAGTGCCCATAATTGGGCAGCCTGTTTTAATGGTAGCTGTGGGAACAGGAAAGTCTGCAGTTCTAGAAAAGGCGGGGATGAAACCTGCCCCCTTCCAAAGCAGCTTCTGCAGTGTTAGAAACTCAGATATATAAGCTAGGTGCCAAATGTCTCCTTAAACCAAGGTTACAGTCGCCAGAACAGAATATCTAGTTGCCATTTGATGGATTGACTATGATTGACTGTATGACTAGTTCAGAGGACAACCTTGAGCTTGGTTAAGAACTCTGAGAACTTTAAAGAATAAAAGTCACTTGATCCAGGGATAGTCCACATATATATTGGCCTTTTCCAACCCCCTTTGCTTAAAAGTGACTGTTCCTGCTCAGGCTGCACAGAAAAAGCATTTTGGTTTGAGAAATTCATTCTGATTGTGTAGATAAAATACAATTGATAGAATTCTGCAAATTGGGGTATTAATAATAATAATAATAATAATAATAATAATAATATAATAATAATTTATTTATATCCCGCCCTCCCCAGCCGAAGCCGGGCTCAGGGCGGCTAACAACAATAAAACAGTACAAAAGTACAACACAAACAACACTCTAAAATCATTCATTATAAAATTATTTCAAATCAAGCCACTGGCAACCATTGGGCCAGAGCTCCGTGAAGATTGCCGAGGGAGGGAGTCAGGCTGTGCCCTGGCCAAAGGCCTGGTGGAACAGCTCTGTCTTGCAGGCCCTGCGGAAAGATGTCAAGTCCCGCAGGGCCCTGGTCTCTTGTGACAGATTGTTCCACCAGATCGGAGCTACAGCCGAAAAAGCCCTGGCTCTAGTTGAGGCCAGCCTAACTTCTCTGTGGCCTGGGACCTTCAATATGTTTTTATTTGAAGACCGTAAGTTTCTCTGTGGGGCATACCAGGAGAGGCGGTCCCGTAGGTACGAGGGTCCTAGGCCGTATAGGGCTTTAAAGGTTAAAACCAGCACCTTGAACCTGATCCTGTACTCCACTGGGAGCCAGTGCAGCTGGTATAGCACTGGGTGAATGTGATCTCGCAGCGAAGACCCCGTAAGGAGTCTCGCTGCAGCATTCTGCACCCGCTGGAGTTTCTGGGTCAGTCTCAAGGGCAGCCCCATGTAGAGCGAGTTACAACAATCCAGTCTGGAGGTGACCGTCGCGTGGATCACAGTGGCTAGGTCAGGGCGAGAGAGGTAAGGAGCCAACTGCTTAGCTTGGCGGAGTGGAAAAATGCCACCTTTGTTATAGCTGCAATCTGCGCCTCCATGGAAAGGGAGGTGTCGAAGATTATATCCCAATCCCATATCGTCCCGTCCCAGCCACAGGACCTCTGTCTTCGAAGGATTTAGTATTAGTGTGTGAAAACAGGCCAGATCAGTAAAGATGTCAGGCACCATCATTCCTGTCTCCCAGGCATCTTCACTTGGTTACAAGTGGTTGAAAGCCAGGTGCAAAATGCTCCTGGCGCCTGGCTAATTTCAAACACTGAGCTCCTCCAAGGTTTCATCTGGCAAACCTTATTGCTAATGTCATGGTTAAGGGGATATTGTAGAAAAATGTGACACTGGACGAACACTGCTCCCCAATACTGTTCCTTTTAAATTGTAACCTACTTTGCACTTTTACTTTCAGTTTCTTATTTGACTCTCAATTCAGTAAAGTGCCAGTTGCACTCTTATGATTAAGGCTACGTGCATAACAGCTTTTGTGTCCCCCATTTAGCCAGCCCCAGGCCCTCTGACCAAAGGAGGTAGGACCGTAATGGCTAAGTGAGAGCAAGCACGGTAGTTAGGTTGCTGGAATGTTTTATTAAAATACAAAGATGAAAGAGAAGGGTACCGGTAAATGAAGTTGTATTGGGAACGCTGGATAGCCCCTATTCCATTCACACCTGTTTCCTGGGCCCACAAATCAGCATGGAGGAACCATTTTTACAGGACTCTTAAAAAAGAATCCTCATCACTGTCTTGGAAACTTAGATAATTATTCAGTGGAATTAATGGCAACTGTAAGCGCTTTTTATAAGTCTTTTTATTTGCCTATTCAGTGACTGAACAGGAAGCTGAGGTGAGCTTTAAAGTCCCTTAATTGTTAGAGACTCTTGGAGATTTCTTCTCCAGCATAATTAGGTTGTGTACCGATGGGTGGAGTTCAGTGAGCTCCCGTTGCTCGGTCTCTGTTCCTGCCACCCTAGCAATTCAAAAGCACGTCAAAGTGCAAGTAGATAAATAGGTACCGCTCCGGAGGGAAGGTAAATGGCGTTTCCATGTGCTGCTCTGGTTCGCCAGAAGCGGCTTAGTCATGCTGGCCACATGACCCGGAAGCTGTACGCCAGCTCCTTCGGCCAATAAAGCAAGATGAGCGCTGCAACCTCAGAGTCGTCCGTGACTGGACCTAACGGTCAGGGGTCCCTTTACCTTTACCGATGGGTGGAGTTCAACTGTGAGGTTTGTGAGCAAGGGACACATGTGGTTAGACAATTCCTGGTTCAAAATTCAGGACCAGGATGAATATTGCCTCCAGGCAGTCAGTACTTTGCAGAGCGGATTCAAGTGCATATCAGAAATTTAGGTTTGTGCAACTAAAGTACTCTGTCGCCTTACTGCAGCAAATCCACTTCTGCTAAAAGTAAATATTAAAACTTTATATTTATATATTTAAAAACTTAGATATACTAAAATACACTAAATATAAATATACTAAAATAGAGTATAGCTTCTTTTGTTTTATTTTTGCTTCTCATTACAATTTTTGTCATTTGCGGCGCATAGCCCCAGTACTTTTTTTCTGGGGGGACGCAGGGGTACACATACCCCTAAACATTTTGTGAATCTAACAGGAGAAGAAACTTTTTTAAAAAAAAAATATGTTAGTTTCTTCTCTAGCATGGTGAATCGTCAGTTCTGTTGCTACCCCCAATGGTGGCCTCATTTCCCTTAATGGTGTTTCCTGATTCTCAGACAGAAGCAAGCGTTTAATGTGTGAAGCAGTGTGGAATGTGGATGTGTGGTGTTTTACTGATGAAAGTTTGGCCTCCCTGAGGGGCAGTATTTCAAGATGAGTAGGAAAATTACTATTTTTCACCATCATGAGGTAATGCATGCTCTCTGTACTTTTGTCCATGTACCCCTAAATATTTTTAAAGAACAAAAGCACCCTAAGATTATTTTGACTCGGGGATGGCACAGATACGTTCCAATGACAGAAACGTGGTGATAGGCTCCTAAATCTCCCGCGTTTCCGCCTTACAACGGAATTGGCTCTGGAATTTCCGGCTGCTTGGCATCATTTCCAGATATTCCTATGCCACAAGAGGGTGTAGTGCATTGCTCATGTTGCATCTCCCACTTGGCCCTGTTAATCATGAGGACGTTCAGGGACAAGAGAAGCCTCGCAGGGCGTCTGACATTCTGCCTCTGGGATATCCTGTCCGCAACACTCCCCATGTCCACCCAGCCACGCAGGCTTTTGATGCTGCACAGGTATTCTCTATAAGAAGAGCACAGGGATGTGCCTTATACCAGTGGATCCCATTGGCCCATCTGGTTGGCACCTGTCTGTCTTGAGAGTAAATGGAGTGCGCCTCCGGGGGTGAAATGTACTAGCAGCCCAGCAGTGACCCCCTTGGGCTGCAAGCCTGGGTAGTGTACATAGAGGTCCAGGGCTGTCCAAATGACTATATCAGAGCAATACGTTTGCCACTAGCTTGGCTGCATCTAGCTTAGAATTATCTGTGCTGATCAGCAGCCCACTTCCTGAGGTTTCAGGCAGGAATCTTTTCCAGTTCTACCTGGGGGTCATACCTGGGGCTTTCGGTACATAAAGTACCTGCTGTACCACAGAGCAATAGTAGGGCGGTTCATAAATGTATATATTTTTGAAAATGCCTGCTCCAAAGGTCTTATCACACTACACTAGGGATTATATAGCTATATCTGAAATTCCATGCATATCAGTTAATATCTTGACCCTGCTCCACTGAATTGAAATTTCAGCCTTCACGACGTAGGAAAACGGCCAAGTAAACAGCTATTTTCGTGGAGGAGGGTCAAGATATTAACTGATATGCATGAAATTTCAGATATGTCTGGAGTGAAAATAATGATGAACGCTAGAGGACCAGTTAAGTCCGGTATATGGGCCAGCAGTGGCTGTTGCAGCAACAATCCTTTTACAGTCTGACTCCTCGTTTACCAAAAATGAAGCATCCTGCTCATGCACATTGCTTGCTCAAGCAACATCAAGGTAAAACTCGCTTCATGCAAAATGTTGCAAAAGGAATGAAAATAATGATGAGCTCTAGAAAACCAGTCAAGTACAGTATTAATTTTCAGATATAGCTATATAATCCCTAGTAAGTAAGTACAGTGGTGCCTCGCAAGACGAAATTAATCCGTTCCGCGAGAGTCTTCGTCTAGCGGTTTTTTCGTCTTGCGAAGCAACCCTATTAGCGGCTTAACGGATTAGTGCTATTAGCGGTTTAGCGGCTATTAAAGGCTTATCGGCTTATCGGATTAGCTGCTAAAAGGCTATTAAAGGCTTAGCGGCTTAGATAAAGGGGGGGAAAGCGGAAAAAAAATCTCAAGACTCGCAAGACATTTTCGTCTTGCGAAGCAAGCCCATAGGGAAATTCGTCCTGCGAAGCAACTCAAAAACGGAAAACCCTTTCGTCTAGCGGGTTTTCCGTCTTGCGAGGCATTCGTCTTGCGGGGCACCACTGTAGTAAGATAAGACCTTTGGAGCAGGCATTTTTTTAAAAAAAGTTTTTTATGAACCGCCCTAGAGCAATAGTCCACGTGCATCCAAGCCTATTTTTGCATACTTGAGGGTTGGCAGTGGGTAGTAAAGCACCAACAGGGTATGCCCTGGCGGGAGTGAAATGCGTCTCTGGTCCACAGAATGCCAAGAAGCACAACAGCACTTCCTCCCCTGGGTGTTCCTGTAACATCCAGACCTTCCTTCCGCACACGCCACCCACTGTAATGGTTTAAAACACATAAATTACATTGCTACTATTCAGGTGTGACCTACATTCCAGAATTTCCTTAACGCTCTGCAAACAGGCATGCAAAAAGTAACAGCAACACACACCCCCCTCAGAAAAAGAGCTACCGCTCCAAACTGGTGGAAAACACCCATATATTCTGTCTCACTTTCGTGATGAAAATAATAAAATAGCAAGGAAGGCTTTCCATCCAGACCCAAAACTGCTTAGCTTCAACAAAGCGGATGTCTCATGTTCTTTCAGGCCAAGGCATGTTTTAAGACAGACCCTAAATTAACAGAGTGCTGGACTTCGACAGGGTAGATCTTGAGTTCAAATCCTTCCCCTCATCCAGTCATGATTCTTGCTGGTGGCCTTGGGCCACGCACCACACCTCGGCCTAACATACCTCACAGGGCTGTTGTCAAAATAAAATGCAATGTTCCACAATCGCCAATTTCCTCCTGCGTTTTTTTCCAGATGGAGCCTGTTGTTCCTCAAAGAAATAGGAACTTTAGTGCATAAGAACTGGCTAAAGTCAAGTCTGTGTATGGAGTCTGGTCTGTACCATTCTAAACTGCAGGAAAAGCTTCACACTACTGAATCCTCTTCCATAGCAATAATTCCCTCCACACACAAAATCAGAATGTCAGGGGAAGCTTAGGCTAGGTTTTTTGTGCAAGGATTTCCCCCCCTCCCCATGTAGTGCATTTATTTATATGTGCCCCTATCTGTAGTCTGAAGTAGCATAACCCATGACCGTGTCAGAACTGGGCTTCAGTTTCTGCTGTTGTTTTTTTAAATCAAGCAGAAATAATGCAAAATTCAAGTGCAGGAACATCAACCTTTCTTTCACATTAGGGATTTGAGGTATAGGCTTCAAAGAAGGGTCTAACTGACCAGGAAGTGGCTCACAAATGAATACAGTAATTACAGCTATGAATTCAAATGATGAAGGGCTGCTTCTTTTTTTTGAAATTTTTTTTTCTTAATGAGGATCTTGTGAAAATAAATATAAAAAGAAATAGATCTAAGAACAAGATTTTTAAGTGCAAGCATGGCATTAAATTTATAAAAATGGGGCTGCTTTATTAATATTCCTTAAAAGATATTACTCCCAAGGGTATCGCATCCATGCTAGATGCAAGGACTTTTTTTTCCTTATGTGATGGGGAATTGTTGAAGGTGTAAAGTAATTAACATAGAAAAAATGTTCTTAGGAAATCTGCAAAGAGAATTGTTGAGCTGTTCAAACGATGGCAGTTGGATTCAGTAACTTATCCCTGAGTTTGTTTCTGAAATAACCTGAAGCGCCACATCAGGAAGCAAAATCTAGCAATTAATTCATAACTTCTGAATGGCAGCCCTAATGCTTGTTGCAAAGTATTTGAAAAAGAAGGAGAAGTTGTTAAGCAACTGAAGGCTTGACATATTATGCTAATTAATGAAATAACTATTCAAATATGTTTCGGAAGTAAGCACTAATTAACTTCCTACTTACAGGAATTGTTCGCTGCAACAAAACAAAAGTTCTAATTGGCAGTTAACCTTCTGAGAATTATTATTATTTTTTTAATTCAGGTGGTGAGTGGGAAGCCTACTGTATAAACAACTTTTTTTCAGTTTCTGTTTAAGAAAACTATTGTTGGGGATCTGAAGAAAGTGGTAAAGTGATACACGTTTTGTTCCAAAAAATGAAGAACAGAAGTCCTGTTGATGCTCAGATTTAACAATTGGAAGATGAAATTCGAAAACAATTCCTACCATTCCAATTTTTAGAGTACCGTATTTTTAGACTCTCTTTTTCCCTCCTAAAAAGTAAGAGGAAATGTGTGTGCGTCTTATGGAGCGAATGCAGGCTGCACAGCTATCCCAGAAGCCAGAACAGCAAGAGGGATTGCTGCTTTCGCTGTGCAGCGATCCCTCTTGTTGTTCTGGCTTCTGAGATTCAGAATATTTTTTTTCTTGTTTTCCTCCTCCAAACACTAGGTGCGTCCATAATTATAGTCTGGTGCGTCTTATACAGCGAAAAATACGGTATACTGTTTCTTTTAACACACCTTTTAATGGGGAGCCAACGGGATTTAAACCTGGGGTACCTAGTTTGAAACCCCCTGTCCGCCACGAAGCTCACTGAGTGGCCTTGGGCCAGTCACCTCCTCTCAGCCGAACCTACCTCGCAGGGTCGTTGTGATAATAAACCCGGGCAAGGGAGAACCACGGGCACCTGAGCTCAACACGTACCTTAGAGCACAGGCGGGGTACGAACGCAACAATAAATAAACGGAATGACCTGACCCGCTCTCCCATACTACACCCAAACCCAGCTGCCGTGAGTCAGGAAAGGGCTTACCTTTCCGGCTGTGGCATTCTGCGTTCGAGCAATGCGAGCCCTCGCCAGAGCATGGGCAGCCTCCGTCATGGTGATCTTCGCAGCGATGCAACCTGGTGATCTCGTCATTGCAGCAGCTCATCGGTGGAGCTGGAGCTAAAGCTAGAGCTAGAGCAGGAGCAGGAGGTGGAGCTGGAGCCGGAGGTGAAGCTGGAGTAGGAGCTGGAGCTGGAGCTGGAAGTGGAGGTGGTGGAGCTGCAGGAGGCAAACTCACCAGAGTCCCCAGATAGTTGGGACCCTGCAAGAGAGAAAGAGACCGGTCTCAGCAGTTGCCTTAGGCAGCTAAACTTCTTTTCCAAAACTGTATTTCAGGCAGTTGTGTCAGTGTCCCACTGTGGCTGTAATTCTCTCCCTCTTCCCCACCAGATTTTTGGGGTTTTTTTGGGGGTGGTGGAATTGTTGTCAAAAAGCCCAAAGGAAGCAATGCGGCGATGTACCTGTCTGGGCAGGTACAGCCGATGAGACAGAAACGACGGCACGCGTTTCCTCAGTCTACCCAAGGTTAAAAACCGAGCGGAACGAAATATCCAGCAGGCGTGGCAAAAAGTTGGAACGCATCCTGAAATCTGCCTTCGCATACCAACAAAACAAATTAGCAAGACAAATATCTCAGTCACCTGAGGAAGATAATGGCTTTGCAGCGCATTAAGTGGTTGGTGACTGGTTTTTGAAGAGGTGGGAATGTGACGGAGGAGGGCTGAGTCAAGGAAGGCCGCACAACCCTGCTCTCGTATCAACTAGAGAGAGCCTTTTTCTTTTTAAACAATACCTTGAAAAAAGGCTGGTGCATTTAGGAGAGCCGATGTATTACGGAAAGCAAGCAAAGTATTTGTTGAATGTCATTTGCTGCCTGCTTTCATCTCCTTTCTACCGGGGGGGGGGCACAGCGGAGTGCCTTGGGAGTTTCTCTGGTTATATTATGCTCTGCTTGCAAAAATTCAAACCCGTTAAAGGAGAGAATCGGCAACTGGACACCCCGGGGCCCAAATCCAGCCCCCCAAGGACAAGAACCCGCCTGGAGTCGCCAACTCAAAAGTCCGAGCGAGACTAAAGGAAATCTGGTCCAGGATTAGAACTAGCAGCCAACACCGCTGCCTTTCAACAGAAAATATGAAGTCTGAGAGGAAGAGAGCTTTTGGCAAATGGCAAATAGGCAAATGACAAATGCAATGTCCTTTTTGAGGGAGACTGCCGTGGGCGGTCGTCCTTTCTTCAAAATAGCTACTCTCAGCTCGGCTTTTGATTTAAAAAATACTAGCCCTTTGAGAAGGACTTGGGGACAGAAGGGAGTTGAGTTGGGTGAGGAGCGGAGCCACAATGGCATCTGTCATGGTTGGGTTTGAACGAAGACATTGGAACTTAACAATAGTGGAACTTATACATATAAACTTAACGAGAAGAGCCTGACAGAATCCGACCCAGCCATATAAGCAGCCATCACTCTCCCTGGTACTACCAGACTTAGAAGCCCTGCCTCCTCCTTTAGGCCACATCCATTCCATTTTATTCCCATTTAATGAGATATGTTTCAATTAATGGTCTATAATAAATAAAGGTCCCCACGTGCATGTACAGAGAGCCTTTCTCTCACCCTTCAACAACTGCCACTGGCCCCACTCCCAAAACATACTTAGAATTAAGGCCTGGAATTTGCCCTTTTAGAAAACAAGTACCACCCATACCTCCCTGAGAACATGGTTTAAAAGCAAACATGGGAAGAAAAGCTTGTCACGATTCTCCTATTACTTTGCCGCACCCCCCCACCCTCAAACAAAAAGAAAATTGGGTGAGAAGACGGGATGTACCTGGACTCTGGGCAAACATTTGATAGTGTAAGGCGTGAATTGCATGTGGCAAAGATAGCCAAAACCTGGCCTAAGTTATGGACAAGTCTGGAAACTTCTGGAATTCTCTTTTCCCCAAATGGGATGCTTCTTCCTAGGATGGGCTTCGTTCCCAGGCCTTGGGAGTCCTGCGGAGCTTTGCAGAGATCTGGTTTTTTTTGTGTGCTCTATTTTGTGACGAAGAGAAGGAACGGATAGGATGCAGAAAGGAGCAAAGGCTCTGAGATCTCTCAAGGCAGCGAGGCCTTTCCAAACGTCTGGAGAAGGATCCTGGGGTCTTAAGATATAGGAGGGCTGCCTCTGGCTAAGGCAAGGAATACTGGGTGTCATTAAGAGCGGCGCTGGCAGATTGGGGAAAAGGCAGCGCGGGCGGTTAGCAAAGTCACTTAGATAACGCGGGCGGGGTCCAGAGAGAAAAGAAGTCCTGATAACACTTTACTGAGGGAACTGGAAAACAAACAAACAAACAAACAGAAAACACCGGTGTAGAAGGACAGAGAGGTTTTGTTTTCCTTACATTAGACCTTGTACAAAGCAGTGAGACATTCAACAAAGCACACAGAGCTAAATCTCCCTCAGAACTACACAGCCAATCCGAGCATGTGCTACTGCAACAAAGATGATGCCACTTTGACTGGTTGCTAAGCAACAGCTCCTCCTGCCCCCCCCGGCTAGTTGAGGGTACCACAGAATTAACCCTTAAATTGCACGCAGAATGATCTCTGCTGTTGCGTTTCTAACACCGACTTGCGCATCACAGTCCATTGAGAAGTTCCTGCTGAAATGAATGGGAGCTGTGCAAGAGGGGGCTGGAGAAGCTGCCCCTCGGTTTTGGCTCATATATAGTGATTTGCAGAAATGTATTATATATGAGGAAGTTGCTTTTATTTAAGTGTATATCTGGTAAAGATTGTATTGGAAAATGTGTATATTAGTAGAAATTCCCACTAAAACGATGAGTTCTCATTAGGGCTTTTTTTTTTTTTTTTAGTGCACCCTGATGGGCAAATGTGTGGAACTGGAGGTTTAAAAAATGAGAAACGGAGAGAAACCAAAACTGTCACTCATCCACCGCTTACTGTGAGCATCCTTTCAAGGACTGTGTAACTGTAGCCGATCTGACACTCGTATGCACACTTATCCCACACCTCTGGCCCACCCCCTGCAACTAAAGCAGAATATTATGCCTCTTCCAGCTCAGAAGGAAGCTGAGAAGGAAGCAGCCCACTATCTCAGGCAACCGTTTAAGGCCTGTTATCCATAAATTTTGTGTTGAGTGTGCCTAAGGGAGCAGGGAACTTCCGGAACATAAATACAGGTGGCCTTGTTAAGCTATTTAATTGTATTATTGGCACTTGAGGAGAATCCTGACTACACCATTTATCTTACGTATTTCCACAAAGGCTGGAGGCTGCTTTTCATTTTCTTCTACGTGGAATTAAACAAGTCAGTTGAGCTGTCATTTCCCTGCTGCTGCAGCGTCCGGCTGGCCACCCACAACTCAGTCCCGGGGGTTAGTTTGTTCCTTCGAGAGGTGAAGGAAGAGATCGCAGTGACTTGGCCGGCTAGGCAGATGGGAAACTGTCTGATACGAGGGCAGACATCTATCTTGGTGCTGACTTCACTGCCTGGCAGTGACTACGAGGCTTAAGAGTGTTCTGAAGCTTGTATTCAATCTGCTGGCGCCCTAAATCAATTAGTTTGCTGTACTAGGTATTCAAATGACTTGGCACTCTCTATTGTGCAGTGAAAAAACGTTGTGGAGCAATCGCGCAGTGAGTAACGCAGTGGTGAGACCGTCATGTGTTTGTGAATTGCCTGGCAAGGCCCCGTGAGGCACTAAGATCAGATTGTGAAATGCTTGATTTCCTTTTGAGGAACATCGGAGGCTATGAGAAGTCCTTGCTGGATCAGACAAAGATCCACGTAACATAGCGTCTAGCTGAATTGGTGAAGTCCCCCCCACCAAGAGCTCATAAACAGAACAGGGTGGGTGACAACTGTCCCCAACTCAGACAGGTAAACTGCATCTCACCCGGGAGGTTCCACTGAACAGCTGCATTGGCAATGATCACTCCATGTGGAACCTCCATGCGGAGAGGCAGTCAACATGCAAACACCAGATGCTGAAAGCAAGCAATGGGGATGCCTGTTGCCTTGTAGGCTTTTCAGCAACGGAGGCCCTTGCCCAAGTTCCCTCGTCACCAGAGATTAAGCAGGTGATTACAGGAGAGACGGGACCTTTTCTGTGGTAGCTCCCTGGCTTTGGAATTCCCTCCCGAGGGACATTTCCCCTCTGTCAACTACTATTGTCATATAGGCTCCAGCCCCCCCCCCAATAAAATAAATTTTTCCTGATCTTTGACATGAAGTGTCATGACTTTTATGTCATTTGCTGGTTTTATTCTGTGTGCTGCTTTATTCTCATTTTAGTCTATACCTCATCATTTTATTGTGTACTAGCAACATTGTAATAGGCATGGCTTGGGAATTCTAAGAAACCAACGTATCCGTGCAGTTTTGAAACCAGTGGCTAAAAGTTCAGTCCTCCATCTTGAATCAAAATGGCATCCTATTGTATCTGAACACAGAAGAAAACCTGGTCCTTGATCTCAGGAACCATTGTGCAAAAATGGGTTACAATATCTTAAGAGGTGTCCAAAAGCAAACAGAGAAACAACTTTCCCAAAAAATATAGTAGCTTTTTAATTTCTTGTATGCTACCTTGAGGATCTTTAAAAAACAAATAGAAGACTAGTTGGGTTGTTTTTTAACCCACTTAAATAATAAGCCACACAATTAAGTACAGTGGTACCTCAGTTTATGAACTTAATCCGTTCTGGAAGTCCGTTCTTAAACCGAAACCGTTCTTAAACCGAGGCATGCCTCCCACCTCCAGATTCCGTTCTTAGACTGAGGTAAAGTTTGCAAACTGGGACACTACTTCCGGTTTTGCAGAGTTCGTAAACCGAAATGTTCGTAAACCGAAATGTTCGTAAACTGAATTGTTCGTAAACAGGACTGTTCTTAAACCGAGGTACCACTGTATCTGCACATGTGAGAGAATGTTCCTTAAATCTTATACATTGTATACCCATTCAACTTTCTTATATTGCTTGCAATACATCACCAAATAGTTGGAGAGGCTGTGGGGATAAAGGGACTTTTTCCATCTCTGTTGGGAATGCCCAAAGGGTGCCTTATTCTGTAATGAAATCTACCAGGAGACATCAAAGATGATTAAAACACACGTTCAATTTCTCCTCAGTTAGCCCTAATAAATATGTGGACAGATACTATGTGGACATTTCACCAAAATGAACTTCTGACATGGGTGCCCGCAGCTGCCAGAATCTCTATGGCACAACAATGGAAAAATCTGATTATATCATTACAGTATAAAAATATCTTGAATTCAGTTTTTGCTGATAAAATAGCGCATAGGTTACAGGTCTCTAAGGGACAGGTAGATTCTGTTCATTTCTACTCAACATTGTGGGACTTTATGACATATCGTTTTAGTTTCAGGTTTTCAAGTACGTCATGATCTTAAATTAGGTGTTACTAGTTAATACGCTTAGTTTATGTGTGCGTATTAACGCACGGTTGGATACCGTATTTTTCGCTCTATAAGACGCACCAGACCACAAGACGCACCTAGTTTTTGGAGGAGGAAAACAAGAAAAAAAATATTCTGAATCTTAGAAGCCAGAACAGCAAGAGGGATCGCTGCGCAGTGAAAGCAGCAATCCCTCTTGCTGTTCTGGCTTCTGTGATAGATGCGCAGCCTGCATTCGCTCCGTAAGATGCACACACGTTTCCCCTTACTTTTTAGGAGGGAAAAAGTGAGTCTTATAGAGCAAAAAATACGGTATATTATGGGTTTTGTTCGTTTGTTTTAATTGTTTGTCTCTGTGGTTCTATAATAATTTGAAAACCAATAAAAAAAAAACTAGAGAAAAAAGAGAGAAAGAAAACCAGCTGACCACTGTTGGAAGCAGGAAACAGGGACTGATGGGGACATCGGTCTAATGAAGTACGGCTCTTATGCTCCTGTTAGGAGCAGAAGGGAAAAGGGTAAGGAGAAGGGAAAAGGCAAAAGAAGTATTAAGCGCTCAGAGTGGGCAGGCCTCATCAGAGCTGGGTGATGTAAAAGGATGCAAAGGCGTAATTAACCGCACCAGCTGGAAATGCTACAGACTGACAGAAAAACACTCAGAAAATCAGGTGTGGCAGCCACACTCCTCAGCTGCTGTCTTTCCTTTCCAGCTGGGAAGAATGGAGCATGACTAAGGCTGCGGAGGAGGCGTCCCAGTTTTCAGGGCCATTATGGGACGCCAGGATTTTAATTACCAGTGACGAGAGCTTATCGATTAAGAGAGAATTTCCTGCTTTCTCATCCTCCTCTGCTGCCCTCTACTGCTAGCGTGGTTGAAAAACGGCAAGGAAACATTCAGAATACACAAATAACAAATATTACATTTGCATACCTGGCTCTACAAGCACCCGGTGAGTGGCTCAGACTTAGCCGTTATTCAGGCTGGCCTGTGCTTTTAAACAGCTGTGGGACAGGCAGAAATACAGCAGGTGAAGCCTCTCCCCACCCCCACGTTACTGGCTGGGGAAACTTCATTTCATTTAGCTCAATTGGTAGAGCATGAGGCTCTTAATCCAGGGGCTGTGAGTTCGAGCCCCGCTTTGGGCGAAAGATTGCAGGGGGTTGGACTAGATGACCACCGTGGTCCCTTCCGACTCTGCGATTCTATGACCTTGCTCACAAGTTAATGGGAGCTGCGGTTGGCTGAGGTGTGGAGGACACCTGGAAAGAAAAAGCCATTTTGCCAGCAGTAGCAGCAGCAGCAGCCTAACCTGCAAGCCAAGGTCACAGCTGGGTGCAAAAAGATGACCATTTACACCCAGTGTAAGGTAGTCTCTATGGGAGTACTATGGGAGTATATTATGGGGTCTCAGAGTTTTTAGGGGGCTAACCAGGCTGGGATAGCTGGGATAACAGGCTTATTGGTTTCTGAATGTCTGATTTTCAATTTCGTTGTTCTGTATGGGACGATGACAGTAAAGATTATCGTATCGTATAGTAACTCCCATGCAGTGGTAATCTGGTCGCCCTGTGCCATCTTGCCGAAAAGAGCAAGGGGAATTTACTGCTCCGTGTTTCTGGTCTTGTGGGCAAAATTCTGCCACCTCTCAGCGCCTGGCCGGAAATGTGAGGAAGCAGCTAGAGCATGTTAAAATTGGCTTTGCCGTTTGCCAGCGTGGCGTGAACAACCACCTTACCCAGAGGCCCCTTCTCCATTACATTTTGGTGACAGTCCTCCTGCCCGAGTGGTGTATCCACTTCCAGTGGTAAAATATAGGTAAAGGTAAAGGGGTCCCTGACCATTAGGTCCAGTCATGGCCAACTCGGGTTGCGGCGCTCATCTCGCTTTATTGGCCGAGGGAGCCGGTGTACAGCTTCCGGGTCATGTGGCCAGCATGACTAAGCCGCTTCTGGCGAACCAGAGCAGCGCACGGAAACGCCGTTTACCTTCCCGCCGGAGCGGTACCTATTTATCTACTTGCATTTTGATTTACCTTCGAACTGCTAGGTTGGCAGGAGCTGGGACCGAGCAACAGGAGCTCACCCCGTTGCGGGGATTTGAACCGCCGACCTTCTGATCAGCAAGTCCTAGGCTCTATGGTTTAACCCACAGCGCCACCCGCATCCCTAGGTAAAATATAGGACGCCCTTAATAACCGATTATTCACGCCTTTCTGGACAGCACCACAAACTGTGCCTGAGGGTGGGCACGTCACTCTGCCAAATTGGATGACCAGCCCTTTCGCCCTCCGAGGGTGACGCCTCGCTTAAATGGCCGGCTGCATTCACTCGCCCAAAGGGCATATGTGGCCAGGTGTATCTGAGGTCCTACCAAATTTCCCATCGGACAGCCGCAACCCCAGAAGCATCTCCAGACTTACCCTAGATCATATCAAGGGCCTTTGGGTGTCAGCAGAGCCAAACTTTCTCAGGGTCTAAAAATCCTCATGTGGCCTCGGCACTCGGAAGTGCCGAGAAGGCTGCTCCAGTTGCTCTCGCCGCAGCTCTGAGAGGGAATCGTGCTTTATTCCCTTCAGGATCCTTCCTGGTACTTAAAGAGTAGGCAGGCAGGCAGGCAGTTGGGGAACATTCCTTCCTCGCAGCCTCCACCCCTCTTCAGCGGGCTGAGGATTGCAGGAGCTCCCTCAAACCTCCCCTGACCTGTTTTCGTGGGCCGGGTTGCAACAGGCGGGGGGAATGTGGGGGCGGACTTGGCCTCGCTGGTAAGGGACACGGGGTTCACGCGAGTGCCGTGGTGCCCGAGGGCAGGAAACCAGCCTCTGCCAAATTCTGTGATTATTTCAGTCTCCTGTGTTAATATGCATCTTTCTAAAGAAGAAGCTTTCGTTTTCATTAGGTCTCCCTATAATTTGTAGCATGGACCCAGGCACCCCAGGTTTCGCAAAGAGAAATCAATCTATTTGGCACATGCAAATCATAAGCAAACGATACATAATTGATTGTGCTTATTCCCGTTCCCCAAATGCATTGTGTTTCCTTTGCGCTGAAACAAACGGGGTGGATGACTTAGTATTGACGTTACAGGAGCCAGAATCTAGTACTAAAAGAGTACTTTTGGTCAAGTTGCAGGATTTAAATTGAATAAGTTAAAGACTAAGGTTTTAGAGAAAAATTTAACACCAATGGAGAGAGAGAGGTTTCAGAATGAGACAGGTTTAACAGTGGTTAAGAAAGTTAAATACTTGGGGATTAACATGAGAGCAAAAAATGGGAATTTATTTAAAGACAACTATGAAAAATGCTGGGCTGAAGTGAAAAAAGATTTAGAAATTTGGTCAAATTTGAAGCTTTCACTGCTGAGCCGTATTGCTGCGGTAAAAATGAATGTATTGCCTAGAATGTTGTTTTTGTTTCAAACATTGCAAATTGTAGACAAAATGGACTGTTTCAAGAGGTGGCAGAGAGATATTTCTAGATTTGTCTGGCAGGGCAAGAAGCCTAGAATAAAATTTAAAATATTAACAGATGCAAAGGAAAGAGGTGGATTTGCCCTGCCAGACTTTAAACTTTACTATGAATCAGCAGCTTTTTGCTGGTTGAAAGAATGGTTGCTTCTTGAAAACACTGACATTTTGGATCTAGAAGGTTTTAACAATGTATTTGGATGGCATGCATATCTGTGGTATGACAAGGTCAAAGCACATAAAGCATTTAAAAACCATATTGTCAGGAAAGCATTGTTTAATGTCTGGATAAGATATAAGGACTTATTGGAAAATAAAACCCCAAGGTGGTTGTCACCGATGGAAGCAAAAGCTCTGAAAAAGCTCAATATGGAGGCCAAATGGCCGAAATATTGGGAAATTTTGGAACAAGACGGAGATAGACTGAAATTGCAGAGTTTTGAGAAATTAAAAATCAAAGTGCGAGACTGGCTTCATTATTATCAGATAATGGAGGCATATAATTTGGACAAGAAAATTGGTTTCCAGGTGGAAAAATCAAAATTAGAAACAGAACTGTTAGAACCCAAAACTAAGACTTTGTCAAAGATGTATAACTTGTTGTTGAAATGGAATACTCAGGATGAAACGGTGAAATCTGCTATGATTAAATGGGCACAAGATGTTGGACATAACATAATGATGGCTGACTGGGAACAGTTATGGACCACAGGTATGAAGTTTACGGCATGTAATGCCTTAAGAGAGAATATTATGAAAATGATATACAGGTGGTACATGACCCCAGTCAAGCTTGCAAAAATTTATCATTTGCCCGATAACAAATGCTGGAAATGTAAAGAAACGGAAGGTACATTCTTTCACCTTTGGTGGACGTGCCCAAGGATTAAGGCTTTCTGGGAGATGATATATAATGAATTGAAAAAGGTATTTAAATATACCTTTTTGAAGAAACCAGAGGCCTTTCTCCTAGGCATAGTCGGCCAATTGGTGCCAAAGAAGGACAGAACTTTTTTTATGTATGCTACAACAGCAGCAAGAATACTCATTGCAAAGTATTGGAAGACACAAGATCTATCCACTCTGGAAGAATGGCAGATGAAGCTGATGGACTACATGGAACTGGCAGAAATGACTGGCAGAATCCGAGACCAGGGAGAAGAGTCGGTGGAAGAAGACTGGAAGAAATTCAAAGACTATCTACAGAAATATTGTAAAATTAATGAATGTTAGAATGATGTTGGATAGAATTAAGTGGTTTCCAGCTGTAATGCTTTAAGGGAATATGAAAAATGGGTTGTTAATAGGTAAAAATCTAACGTTACTATTTTAAGACCAAAGATTAGGATAAATAAAGAGGGTAAGGATTTGCTGAACCAACAAATTGAACTGGAATACAAAAAAGGGAGGTAGGAGGAGGTCCGGGAAACAAGCTAAGGAAAAATAAGTAATGGAAAAATTGAGTGGTTTTTAATCATCTTTATTTTGTATTTTCTTTTTCTTTTTCATTTTTATATTGTAACTTTGTATTTTCTTTTTCTTTTTCATTTTTATATTGTAATTTTCTGAAAATCTTAATAAATATCTTATATATATATAAAAAAGAAACAAACGGGTTGGAATAACATAACGTCAACATAACTTACATGAACTTTTGTAAGTTAGTAACTTTGCCACAGCAGACAGTAAGACTTGGGGCGCATTGAATTTTTCAAATTTCAAATTCCTGGAATGAGGGGAAATGGAAACAGGAACGCAAATTGCAGACCATTGACGGAGGTCAGTATTGGAAACTGCCCGATCGAATATGCATGGTATTGGGTGTTGTTGTTGTTTTAGTCCGCAAACGCTATGCAAATAATTACATTATTTACTGCATTGGTTTTTATGTTTCTCCTCCACTGAAGTGCTTAATTACACAAATAACGCTAGTTTCAGAAACAGTGGCTAATGAGACAAATAATTTAGGTTTTGGCGGAAGCTGACCTGTAGCAAAACTGATTGTGACAAACGCATTACTGGATGGAAATGGCTGCCTCGTTCCACCGCTGATCTGAGGAGCAGCTCATATGGCGCCTTCAGTTTTCAAGGCTCCTCGCAGCGGCCGCATCCGGACAATCTTAACTTGGCTTTATAAGCCGAGATAGGAACATAGGAAGCTGCCTTCCACTGAGTCAGACCATTGGTCCATCTTGCTCAGTAATGTCCACACTGGCTGACAGCAGCTCTCCGGCTTTCCAAAGAGGGAAAGCTTCCATCCCCTTGCCTGGAGGTGCCTGGGATCAAAGATAGTGCTTTGAAAGGGGCTTCACAAGACCCTGACCATCAGCAGGTCAAAAAGGTCACCGGATGTCATTGTAAGACCAGGTGAATGATAGGTGGCCAGAGCCACCCACACCTATCAAAGCTCATAATCCAGCTCCCCACCCCTGGTTTAATCTACGGAAGTCTTCCTTGTTACTTTGCCATCTGACACAAAAGGAAGAATCGAAGGGGCTGTGTCCTTGGCCGAAACACTGAATGGGCTGAGATATTTTTTTAAGCTTTATGGTTTTATTTTGAATACCAGGGTTGTGAGTAAGTTCATCAAGCCATCAGAAATACATTGGTGACTACAGGCCCCTGCCCCCTGCGCTTACACACGCCGGCTTATGTTCACGGCACTGGGAAAGAAATGAAATAATTCGATCCAAGCCTGGAAACGGCGGGAGAGAGCTGGAGAGTCCTTGTGGCTTGCGAGGAGACCCTCCCTGGAGCCTGAAGAAGATGTCAGTGGGGGCAGAGGAAGCCCCGAAGAGACCAGAGGTGCAGCAGGGCTTTGTTTGCACTGCTCAGCCTCCCTGCCTAACAGCTGATGTGCGGGGTAGCGCAGCTGCCACAGCCTCTTTCCCACACGTCCTCTGGCCTCCTGCCGGCCCCAGAGCTTCAATTCTAGTTGCAGATAATTTTGGATACAGTATTTTTGGTATAGATTGAAGAGAGCAACAGAGAGGGTGTTTAGAGGGTGCTCCTCACTTGGCGTGATTTCACTTAGGCGTGTGGGAGCTGCGTAAGTGAGGGGACGCTTGTATTGTACGCTTGCATTATTACAAGTATTAATAGTATTATAGTGTTATAATAGTATTATATAGTAGCATATAATAGTATTATAATAGTATTAATATCATATGTATTAGCAAACTCAAAAGCGGGAGGGGAATGTTAATCATATATGGTGATAAAGCAAGCGTCCCTTTGTAAAACATCAAATTTTTTTTGGTCAGTTATGTAAAAAAGAAAGGAGATCCTTTAGCTAGATAAGAAAAAAGGCCTGCCTAGACCCTACATCCCATTTCCCATACTGACCAACCAGATTCCCCTAGGAATCCCCCAAGCAGTGTATGAGCACAACGGCGCCCCCTGCTGCCGCCCTCCAGTTATCAACATTCAGAGGCATCCTGCTTATACGGTTTGTGTTATGATATTTATATATATTTGTTTTATGTCTCCCCAAACACCTTTGGAGGAAGGGTGGTTTTAATAAATATTTCAAACGTTTCAACTTCTAAACGCCTGCTGGGAACTTTGCTATTCCTCCAGGCCTATGCAGGCAATTAAGAACACGTATTTCTACCATGATTCATGTCTGCTGTTAACTTTTAAAAATGGTTTTTACTGTACAGTTGTACAACTGCCTCTGATTCAGGAGGCTTACATGATTAGTTCCCACTGAAAGTTTTTCCTCCAGGAATTTTGACTCATCCCCTTTGAAAGCTGCCCAACTTTGAGGCCACTGTCTGTAGTCCAGTGCCTCCTAGTGACGTAACAATATATTGTAGGGATGAGGAACCAGTGGTCCAGCTGCCATCAACTCCTTCCAGCCCCAGACAGAACAACTCAGTGGTCAGGGGTGGTTGGAGCTGGAAGTCCAGCAACATCTGAGGAGCCACAAGTCCCCCCACCCCTTTTATAACAGTACTGTTTGCACAGGTGGGTATCAGAACACAAGAGGTGTGATCCAATGCTGCAACTACTTCATATGTTCATGCAAGAGACCGTCTTCTTCAACTCCCCTTCCCTCCATCCCCTCAAAATCTACTCCAGGGGATTGGAGGACACCCACACACACACAAAGAGCAGATTTGGGTAGCACACACTGGGATGGGAAGAAACGGCAGTCCTGTTGTAAGAGCAAAACTCAGCTTGTGCAGCGTTGTATACAATGCAGAGTCTTCGCCTGATAAATAAGGACAATTTGTACTGATATATTAAAGGTAAAGGGACTCCTGACCATTAGATCCAGTCGTGACTGTCTCTGGGGTTGCAGCGCTCATCTTGCTTTATTGGCCAAGGGAGCCGGCGTTTGTCCGCAGACAGCTTCCGGGTCATGTGGCCAGCATGACTAAGCCGCTTCTGGTGAACCAGAGCAGCGCATGGAAATGCTGTTTACCTTCCCGCTGGAGCGGTACCTATTTATCTACTTGCACTTTGACGTGCTTTCGAACTGCTAGGTTGGCAGGAGCAGGGACCAAACAACGGGAGCTCACCCCGTCGCGGGGATTCAAACCGCCGACCTTCTGATCGGCAAGTCCTGGGCTCTGTGGCTTAACCCACAGCGCCACCCGTGTCCCGCGGATATATTAGGGCTGTGTTAATCTGAAGAAAGTGCATTGGAGCGTTTCATTCAGTGCTGAAGTCTCAAGTGTCATTCAAAATCCCATCAGTTTTAATAGAGCTAGGAGGAACATTTCACCTGTAAGCATCTGGTAGAATAAACCCATTCTTTCTTTAAATACACTGGATATTAAACCCTAAACAGTGTGAAACTGTTCACTATCGGATTTCTGGGTTTTTAAAATCTGTTTTATTTATTGCATGTATATCATCGTACTCTACAGATATTTGCTAAGAGTTAGGTAAAGGTAAAGGACCCTGACAGTCCAGTCGCAAACGACTCTGGGGTTGAGGCGCTCATCTCTCTTTATTGGCCGAGGGAGCCGACTTTTGTCTGCAGACAGTTTTTCCAGGTCATGTGGCCAGCATGACTAAGTCGCTTCTGGCAAAACCAGAGCAGCGCATGGAAATGCTGTTTACCTTCCTGCCAGAGCAGTACCTATTTATCTACTTGCACTTTGAGGTGCTTTTGAACTGCTAGGTTGTCAGGAGCAGGGACCGAGCAACGGGAGCTCACCCTGTCGCGGGGATTCAAACCACCAACCTTCTGATCGGCAAGCCCAAGAGGCTCAGTGGTGTAGACCACAGTGCCGCCCGTGTCCCTTTGCTAAGGCTTAGCAGCCTGCAAATTTCCCCCTATTAACTAAATAAAGTTTAAAGGTTATCATAAGCTGAGATGTGCATTTCATTCATCACCTGGCAATGGACAGCCTACTTTTCAACAATGGCTCCCAGTGCAGGATATAGCTCAGATAGGAGATATGATTGCTCGAAACATAGCCACTTGGAACAGAATGTGAAAAATGCAGCCTTTGCCAAACATTTGGAGTCTTCCAGATGTTTCAGACCACAATTCCCATCAGCCCCAGCCAGTCCAAAACACCTGGAAGGCTCCAGATTGGTCAAGGCTATGCTGTTCCAAGGTCTTTTGTGATAAAGTCGCGGATGTTCCTACCTTTGTGATCTCCTCTGCCTGGGTTTTCCTCCCCTCCGAATTCATTTAAACCGCTTGATCCTTGCTCTCACTGTCCTTCTCCTGTTCTCATGGAAGATCCCTCTTCCCCAGCTCTTCTTGTGTCCTCCTGCTCTGCTGGCTCTTTCTCACACACGTGCAGACATCCATTTGGCTTCTTTATTTAATCCCTCACATGCCTTCGGTTGCTACCATGAGTTTGCAGGGGGTGGAATGCTGTGAGTAACACCCTGAGCCGCGTTAAAAGTGGAACCTTCTCCAATCAAAATAATAATTACTTGGTGTCAAGTAGAAATTCAAGCTTGGCGAGGGATGGAGTTAGACGCTTGCAGAAGAGGGAGGAGGAGGAGGTGGTGGTGGTGGTGGTTGTGGTGGGGAAGAAATCACCTTCCTTCCTTGGAATGTGAGTCAGGAAGAAGACATTTATTTCACTGATTCAGAGTTCGGAGACTCCCATATTTTTTCCCTTGTCATACAGGCAAAGAATTAAATTATTGTTTTGTTTATTAAATTTGTATGATACTGCCCTTCATCCGGGGATCTCAGGGCACTTCACAACATGAGGGATACTTCTTTTCTCTCAATGTCCAGGAGTAGATGCAAGAAACACTGGAATGACCACGAGTGACTCATTCAAAACCAGGAGCAGGATGTGTGGACACCTAATGGGCTGAGCTGAATCTAGGAAGGTGCAGAGCTGTCCACGTTTGTTTCTCATTTCCCATTCTCCATATTTTTGCATCAGTTTGCATGAGAAGACTAACCTAGACAGCATCATAAAAAAGCAGAGACATCACCTTGCCAACAGAGGTCCGTATAGTTAAAGCTATGCTTTTCCCAGTAGTGATGTATGGAAGTGAGAGCTGGACCATAAAGAAGGCTGATCGCTTTTGAATTATGGTGCTGGAGGACAGATCCTAAAGCTGAGGCTCCAATACTTTGGCCACCTCATGAGAAGAGAAGACTCCCTGGAAAAGACCCTGATGCTGGGAAAGATGGAGGGCACAAGGAGAAGGGGACCACAGAGGACGAGATGGTTGGACAGTGTTCTCGAAGCTACCAGCATGAGTTTGGCCCAACTGCGGGAGGCAGTGGAAGACAGGAGTGCCTGGCGTGCTCTGGTCCATGGGGTCACGAAGAGTCGGACACGACTAAACGACTAAACAACTTGCACGAGAAAAACAGAACGCCTGAAAATTCATCAGCTCATTAGTGTGAATTTCTCCAAATACTGTATGCACATGTTTCTATGTAATTTCTCCTAATTTACATATTTTGCAAAGCAATTTCCCCTAATGTACTGGACATTTTGGCGCTATTTCCACTGTACATGCATTTGTATGGGAGAATGTGATGCTGATGACCAATACCAAGGCCCATGCGGCTTGAGCACAGATTTCTGGAAGCGAATTCGGATCGAATATCCTTTATTAGGCATATCAAACATTATCAAACAGACACCGTATACAAATTGTGCAAAATACGAGCTCAACATAACAAGGTTTGTCCCAGTCAGATCTTTAACTCCAGAGAAAATCAATTTGCATAAATAATACAATACAACACTACCACATCACCGATCAGTTAAGAACCACTAAATCTCTTTATATTGGCCCAGTCTTTCTACATGGACAGCACTCAAAAATTAAGCCACTATTAAAGTAATTTGATCATTCCTGTCCGAGAGCAGGTCCAGAACCGTTGGTAGCATAGAATTGAGCCTGTTGAGTTGTAAGGCCTCTAATAATTGTCTTCTGGCATAGATGCCAAAATCACAAGAAAAGAAAATATGCTCCAAAGTATCAGGTTCCTGTTTACTACATTTGCAGAGACGCTCTGATTCTGGGAGAGCTAAATATCTATGGTAGCGAATTGTGGGCAGCTTCTACCCAACAGAAGCGACATCTCCAAGCCTTCCATTTGCACTGTGTCGGGAAGAATTGGGGCATCATATGGCAGGACAAAGAAAGATGCCCACATTCCTTGCGTGTGCACACTCCTGCCTCAGCGACACCTGTGCTGGCTTAGTCATGTCCACAGAATTGAAAATGGGATCTTCAAGGATGTGCTCTGTGGGGAGCTGGCTTCAGGCAGAACTCTGTGTTACAAAGGTGTCTGCAAATGTGACACGGAGGTTGGCAGCATTAACCGCAGCACTTGGAGACAAGACAGTTCATGCACCCATAGCAGTGATCAGGGGAGAAATGACCTCTGGGAGGAGGGCAGAGAGAAGAAATGCTATGGTGCATCTGTAGCAGCAAAACCCAACGCCTTCCTCTGCCCCAGCTGCAACAAAACATGTCTCTCCCATATTGGCCTTTACAATCCCATCAGGCACTGTGAATCTCCAATGGTTAGACATTGCCCCCGATGGCGCACTCTTCCATTGTCTCTTGAGACAGACAGATGATAACAAGAATCTAGCTAAGGTGCTACTGGATAATTTTTTTATTTTTATATCTGTATTTCGACTGTGTCAGACCAACACGGCTACCTACCTGAATCTACAGTGAGGGGGGGAAGTATTTGATCCCCTGCTAAATTTGCCCGTTTGCCCTCTGACGAAGTCATCTTTTGCAAAGGGATCAAATACTTATTTCACTCATTATCATGCACATCAATCTCTGACTTTTGTCTTCTGAGTTTCTGGGGGTTTTCCTGTTGTTATTCCGTCTCTCACAGCTACAATAAACCTACCAATAAAATTATGGAATGGTGGTTTCTTTGTCAGAGGGCAAATTGGCAAATTTAGCAGGGGATCCAATACTTTTCCCCCTCACTGTAGCTAAGGTGCTGCTGGACAATTTTTTATTTTTATATATATTTTGACTGCGTCAGACGAACATGGCTACCTACCTGAATATAAAGTCCTACCTGAATATAAAGGGCTAACAAGGTCACTCCAGCATGCGAAGAACTGCATTGCAAAATTACTGTGTTTCAGTTGGTGTGTTATTGTGGAAAGTGTGAATTAGGCAGGTTCATCTTTAAATGTGCCCCACCCCACCCCTTAGCTGCAAGACACCTATGGCTGCCAGACTTTTTTTTTTTTTAACCACAACTCTCTCCCATACCCTTTAGCAATAGCCTGGCTTGCAGAAATGTAACAGGCAAGACTTTTCCTGTCCCGTTATCTTTATGCTAGGAAAAGCTTCACCTGCTACATTTCTGCATGCCAGGCTGCTTCTAACGGCATAGGAGCAGGCCAGGAAAAAAAGCTGGCAATTTTAATGTTGCACAAACACGGAATCTGCCTCCGTTCCACTGAGTTCCTGACCACGACTAGTGTCCACAGGTATATTCCCTGAGCATAAAAATGTCCCTTTTCTGAATCAAAGTTTCCCTCAAACTGTACTGTCATGAGTTGGAGCATTCTTGATTTTAAAAACATGTCTTTGGTTGCTTTCAGGATGGCTATGTCCTGCCTCCATGGTCAGAGGCAATAATGGTTCTGAATATCAGATGCTGGAAACCAAACACGTCTCTCTGTGTGTGTTTTTACAGACATCTGCTTGCGGGTTTCCTACATGCATTTGGTTTCCTCTGTGAGAACAGGATGCTGGACTATGTGGGCCATTGACCTGATAATAATAATAATAAATTTTATTTATACCCCGCCCTCCCCGGCCAGAGCCGGGCTCACAGCGGCTAACACCAATAAAATCACAGTAAAAACATAATAGGAGAAAAAGAGGGGGGGGGCAATTTAAAATATAGGTTAAAATGCAATTTAAAATGCAGCCTCATTTTAAAGTAGCTGATAAATCATAAGGGGAGAGAAACATGGGTCAGACAGAGTCCAAACCAAAGGCCAGGCGGAACAGCTCTGCCTTGCAGGCCCTGCGGAAAGATCTCAAGTCCCGCAGGGCCCTGGTCTCTTGTGACAGAGCATTCCACCAGGTTGGGGCCAATGCTGAAAAGGCCCTGGCCCTAGTTGAAACCAATCTAACCTCCTAGAAGAGGAAGAAGAAGAAGAAGAAGAAGAAGAAGAAGAAGAAGAAGAAGAAGAAGAAGAAGAAGAGGAGTTTGGATTTGATATCCCGCAATATCACTACCGGAAGGAGTCTCAAAGCGGCTAACATTCTCCTTTCCCTTCCTCCCCCACAACAAACACTCTGTGAGGTGAGTGGGGCTGAGAGACTTCAAAGAAGTGTGACTAGCCCAAGGTCACCCAGCAGCTGCATGTGGAGGAGCGGAGACGCGAACCCGGTTCCCCAGATTACGAATCTACCACTCTTAACCACTACACCACACTGGCTCTCCAGATCCCAGACCTTGAGGCTTGGGACCTCCAAAGTGTTGTTATTTGTGGACCTTAAGGTCCTCTGCAGGGCATACCAGGAGAGGCGGTCCCATAGGTACGAGGGTCCTAGGCCGCATAGGGCTTTAAGGATCCAGCAGGCTTGTGTTTGGTTCTCAGGGTCTCCCAGGCATCCTGCTCATTGAGCATTCACACTAATTTGCACAAAGTTTGCATGCAGATTATACAACAGGTGTTGGGAACTCTTTGCCCTCCAGACATTGCTGAACTACAACTCCCATCAGCACCAGCAAGCATGACCAATGGCCAGTTCTGCAACGTCTGGAAGGCAAAGGGTTCCCAACACCTGTTATACAACATTGCTTACTGAGCATCCATTCTTATTTGTTTGCAAGGACTTTTCATCAGGCAACAGTTATCCTCCCTCACTTTCCTTATTGTGTGGTGTTGTTGCTGTTTAGTCGTGTCCGACTCCTCATGACCCCATGGACCAGAGCACGCCAGGCACTCCTGTCTTCCACTGCCTCCTGCAGTTTGGTCAAACTCATGCTGGTAGCTTCGAGAACACTATCCAACCATCTCGTCCTCTGTCGTCCCCTTCTCCTTGTGCCCTCCATCTTTCCTAACATCAGGGTCTTTTCCAGGGAGTCTTCTCCTCTCATGAGGTGGCCAAAGTATTGGAGTCTCAGCTTCAGGATCTGTCCTTCCAGTGAGCACTCAGGGCTGATTTCCTTCAGAATGGATCGGTTTGATTTTCTTGCAGTCCATGGGACTCTCAAGAGTCTCCTCCAGCACCATAATTAGAGCTCAATATTTTGAGGAAGTGGGTTTATTGCACTCGAGTAGCAAAGCAACTATAACCATGTAGCCTCAATTTTCTGGTATGTGATTGAATCCCACCTGAAAAGAGTGTCATTCTGGAAGTGCTTTTGGCCTTTTGCAAGTACCGTATTTTTTGCTCTATAAGACTCACTTTTTCCCTCCTAAAAAGTAAGGGGAAATGTGTGTGCGTCTTATGGAGCGAATGCAGGCTGCACAGCTATCCCAGAAGCCAGAACAGGAAGAGGGATTGCTGCTTTCGCTGCACAGTGATCCCTCTTGCTGTTCTGGCTTCTGAGATTCAGAATATTTTTTTTCTTGTTTTCCTCCTCCAAAAAGTAGGTGCGTCTTATGGTCTGGTGCATCTTATAGAGCGAAAAATACGGTAATTTCTTGGAAGGTGGGACTTTGATCTTGAGCCTTACCCTTAAGCAAGAACAGATCGTTCAGAATCATTTAACGGGTGAGTTGTTACGCTTTCACTGTTAAAGAGCTCCTGAGTTATGCACTCTTGGTTTGCGAATGTAAAGCATGTTGGCGGAGTAAGGAGATTGCATTAAAGAACCAAAGTTATGTTACACAACTCTACAGCGAGGCCTCTCCACCACTCATTTTCCAGCAGCAACACTTGACGGCTGAGGTGCCTCTGCTAACTGCCCTGTCTTGCTGACTTACAGGATTGGCAAAAGAAGGGGGAAGTTGCAGATTTGACTCATGGAATCACCTGGAATGTGCCCATATGTAGGAGGCGGATGTGGTAAAAGCACATGGACTTGTGTGGGAATAACAATTAGCTTTCTGTTGTGTCTGACTGGTGCGTATTATTATTACTGACGGGACTCAAGATTGCATACAGATAAAAACAAGAATCTCTAAAAGCATCGAAAAGGAACTCGAGGAGGAGTGCAGGGTTCTGTTCCCTCCTTTTTGATTATGTTCTCACAACAGCCCTGTGAGGTAGGTTAGGCTGAGAGGCAGCAACTGGCTACCCAGTGAGCTTCATGGCTGAGTGGGGATTTTAGCCTTAGTCTCCCAGGTCCTAGTCCAGCACTCTAACTGCTAGACCACACTGACTAGCAGGCTAAGGATACATTTCTCAACCCACTAGGAGAAAGCCACATTAGGACTGAGTAGACACGGTTAAGACTTCACTGTCAATGTGTTGACCGAGATGTAAATCCTCTTGGTTTCAGTGGTAGTTGATTCCAAGTAAATATGTTTGGGTTGACAACCATGGGGTATTTTTAACCACTAGGCTTCTATATATTCTTGAAAGGTATTTCATGTGATCAATTAATACAGAAATAATGCGAATGTCTTGAATCTAGGGTAGCAAGGAGCTACTCACCTATTCACCTGTAACCATGAAGGATCTTCTCCAGATGACTAAACTTGGAGTATTTTGCAAAAGTCTTCTTTCACAAAAGAAAACACGCTTTCTCCAACTTCCAAGTGGCATTAGCTAGCCCTCCCCGTTTGGTGTCATCTGCAAATCTGATGAGCATCCCCTCAATTCCTTCATCCAAGGACAGAACGCTGTGGCACACCACTTGTTACTTTTTTTCTAGGATGACGAAGAACTATAGTGAGCACTCTTTGGAGAGCCAGTGTGGTGTAGTGGTTAAGAGCGGTAGTCTTGTAATCTGCTGAACAGGGTTCACGTCTCCGCTCCTCCACATGCAGCTGCTGGGTGACCTTGGGCTAGTCACACTTCTTTGAAGTCTCTCAGCCCCACTCACCTCACAGAGTGTTTGTTGTGGGGGAGGAAGGGAAAGGAGAATGTGAGCCGCTTTGAGAGTCTTTCGGGTAGTGATAAAGCGGGATATCAAATCCAAACTCCTCTTCTTCTTCTTTTCTTCTTTGGGTTCGGTCAGTCAACCAGCTGCAAATCCACCTAATGGTTGCCCCGTCCAGCTTTATCAGTTTCTCCACAAGAATATCATGGGGGACTTTGTCAAAAGCCTTGCTGAAATCAAGAGACCACAGCTGTCAAGAGTGCTCCCCAGCCAACGGAATGCACACAGCAGATAGTTAGCTCTTTATTGTCAAAGATAACACAGTCATTTCTACATCTCCAGATACCTATCCACGCTAGTCAAGCCTCTAAGCAGCTATTCCCTGGTCCACACTCTATGGAGCAGTTGCAGAAACAGGGGACCACTCCGTCTCAACCAGTTTATGTACCTTCCCCTGATGAGCTGCATGCACACAGCCAGAGACTACACCTGCGAGGCAACGTCCTCTGCTCGTCGCTTTTCGAACCCCTCCTGGTTCTGGGAGACGATGGTGCAGGAGAAAGTGGAGACACACCTGGCCCGTCACTTGCCTGATCTGAAGCTGCCCCTGCTCCTGACCTTTGCCTCCTGGCCAGTACAGTTCCCCACAAATCACAGATCCCCTTTCCCAAATCAGATTCCAACCTCGCTTCCCCCATTGCGCACACACCAGCACCCTGCCAGTCCCTGTCACCAGCACTCCCCTGATCCACCAAACTTGTAAAAAAGAGAGAGAGATTCGTCCAGCATGACTTGTTTTTGAGAAACCCAAGCTGGGCCCTAGTAATCACAGCATCTTTTCCTAAGTGCTCACACACCGACCTTTTAATTATCTGTTCCAGGACCTTTCCTGGTATCAACATCAAGCTGACCGGTCGCTAGTCACCTGGTATGAAGCATAGCTTGCTTGCTTGTTTGTTTGCTTTATTTGAAGTATCCCTAATCCACCATTCACCCAAAGGTTCCAGGGTGGAGACATACACAATATAACCAACATTAATCAATAACATTAAAACAACATAAAAGAAAATGGAGAGTTTAATTTGCAAATAAAACCAGCAGTGGCGACATAAATCCAAACTTTCACCCCTCTTCAAAAGCCTGCTTAAAGAGGTGCTTTGATGCCAAACCACACATTACCCAGATTTCTGTGTATCATAGAATCATAGAGTTGGAAGAGACCACAAGGACCATCGAGTCCAACCCCCTGCCAAGCAGGAACACCATCAGAGCACTCCTGACATATGGTTGTCAAGCCTCTGCTTAAAGACCTCCAAAGAAGGAGACTCCACCACACTCCTTGGCAGCAAATTCCACTGTCAAACAGCTCTTACTGTCAGGAAGTTCTTCCTAATGTTTAGGTGGAATCTTCTTTCTTGTAGTTTGGATCCATTGCTCCGTGTCCGCTTCTCTGGAGCAGCAGAAAACAACCTTTCTCCCTCCTCTATGTGACATCCTTTTATATATTTGAACATGGCTATCATATCACCCCTTAACCTCCTCTTCTCCAGGCTAAACATGCCCAGCTCTCTTAGCCGTTCCTCATAAGGCATCGTTCCAGGCAGAATACAGTGGCACTATTACTTCCCTTGATCTAGATGCTATACTCCTATTGATGCAGCCCAGAATTGCATTGGCTTTTTTAGCTGCCGCGTCACACTGTTGGCTCATGTCAAGTTTGTGGTCAACCAAGACTCCTAGATCCTTTTCACATGTACTGCTCTCAAGCCAGGTGTCACCCATCTTGTATTTGTGCCTCTCATTTTTTTGCCCAAGTGCAATACTTTACATTTCTCCCTGTTAAAATTCATCTTGTTTGTTTTGGCCCAGTTCTCTAATCTGTCAAGGTCGTTTTGAAGTGTGATCCTGTCCTCTGGGGTGTTAGCCACCCCTCCCAATTTGGTGTCATCTGCAAATTTGATCAGGATGCCCTTGAGTCCATCATCCAAGTCGTTGATAAAAATGTTGTGTAATTTTTCCTTTGATTATTATTTTTTAAATGAAAGCAGCTCTTGGAGGCTACAATCAGGAGCGAGGAAAGGTGAGTAGGGAAGAGGCTATAAAGGTATTTTTTCACCCGAAACATGCCCCGTCCAACTGCTTTCTCCTCCCATACACAAAAAAAATCTGGGCAAAAGTAGCTCAGTTGTGTTTATAAATTTTCCAGTTAACCATTTCTTCATCCCATCACATGTGTTGAAGTAAGATTCAGCTGCGAGTCCAGTCAGCATCTGTATGTGGAATGGGTTATGTTTGTGCACCATCTTGCCCTTTGCCTCAGGTGGCAAAATGTCTGGAGCCAGCCCTGCGTCCTAGCAGTGAGCTACAGCCCCTTCCCTGATTTGCCATTTCCTGACTGGGAATCCATTCTGGTCTGCAAAGGTGATGTCGCCAAATCTCAACCATGAAACCATCAAGAATCACTTTCACACAGAGACCTGCAAACATCCTGAAATGGCGCTGAGCAATGATCCATGTGGATTGATTTGGGAGGTACACGTGGGAAGTGAAGGAAAGTTTTTTGGAGGGGGCAACACACTGGGCTTGCATCCCCCCTGCCACCCATAACAGATTGTTGCCAACGAGGTCTTTAGTAAAGGTAAAGGTACCCCTGACCGTTAGATCCAGTCACGGATGATTCGGGGGTTGCAGCGCTCATCTCGCTCTATAGGCCGAGGGAGCCAGCGTTTGCCAGTAGACAACCTCCGGGTCGTGTGGCCAGCATGACTAAGCTGCTTCTGGCAAACCAGAGCAGCGCAGGGAAACGCCGTTTGCCTTCCCGCCGGAGTGGTACCTATTTATCTACTTGCACTTTAACATGCTTTCGAACTGCTAGGTTGGCAGGAGCTGGGACCGAGCAACGGGAGCTCACCCCATCACAGGGATTTGAACCGCTGATCTTCCGATCGGCAAGCCCTAGGCTCAGTGGTTTAGACCAGAGCGCCACCCGTGTCCCGAGGTCTTTGGTAGTTATACAAAATAGCTCTTGTGCATTTTGGCAGCCAGGAACCTGGGTGAGAGGAATTTATGTCCGTTGATGGCCTGTGACAATGGATCCCAGCTACATGTTACACCCCACCAGCCCGGATGTGTGTGTGAGTGTTTGTGTGAGGAGGAGGGGATTGAAAGGAACAGTTTTGACAGCCTTGATTGGGGCAGCCTTTGTTTGTTGGGAGCTGACTGAGGAAAACTGCTAAGCAGTTGGCAGAAGGCACCTATTGCCCCTGTGATCCGTGAGGTTTGCTATGGTGGGGGGGGGGGAGAGTTGTGGTAACCAGCGGAGGGGATGCACAATGCCAGAGGAGGCCAGTCTCAAGATATGTAGAGGGTCTTCGTTGTTGAACATTAAAGCAGTGCTCTCAGCCTCAGTGTAACCAGATGCTTGAAGCTTAACCAAAGGTAAAGGTAAAGGTAAAGGTAAAGGGACCCCTGACCATTAGGTCCAGTTGTGACCGACTCTGGAGTTGCGGTGCTCATCTCGCTTTATTGGCCAAGGGAGCCGGCGTACAGCTTCTAGGCCATGTGGCCAGCATGACTAAGCCGCTTCTGGCGAACCAGAGCAGCACACGGAAACGCCGTTTACCTTCCCGCCAGAGTGGTACCTATTTATCTACTTGCACTTTGACGTGCTTTGGAACTGCTAGGTTGGCAGGAGCAGGGACCGAGCAACGGGAGCTCACCCCGTCGCAGGGATTCGAACCGCCGACCTTCCGATCGGCAAGTCCTAGGCTCTGTGGTTTAACCCACAGTGCCACCCGCGTCCACAGCACCACCCACGTCCCAAAGGTGATGAGGCTCAAAGGTGACCATAGTACCTGAGAGACACTCATGGAATGGACAGCTGAGAGCAAATCATAGAATTGCAGAGTTGCAAGGGACCCCAAGGGTCATGCAGTCCAGTGCTTTTAATTGTTTTTGCATTAAAAACAACAAAGGGTGCTTCCAGACCATTTTCACCCCCCTGGGTAGGATTCATTCACACACTGGAAAATTCAGGCTGAAAAACTGAAGTCGATTTGGAGCTCTTGTGCAACAGACCTCCTTCCTCAAAAGATCAGACTTTTTGCAATAGAGAAAGTGATGGGGAAATGCACTGGGACTTGTGGGATAACCTGTTTTGACGTCACCTAACCTCACCACAAACAAATGAGGATGAATGCTCATTAAACAGCCAATGTCATCTAACCTCTCCCAAACATGCAAACAAATCCAGACTAATTCTCGATAAACTAGTTGTCCTCTGAAAAAGACCAGAGTCTTGCAGCAGCTTAAAGGCCAACAATTTTTTGTGGCAAAGGTTCTCATGGATTACAGTTTACTTCGCCAGATGCATGAAATATCGTCCTGAATTACAGGTGTGTGTATAGCAGTTCAAAAACACACCAAAGTGCAAGTAGATAAATAGGTACTACTCCGGCGGAAGGTAAACGGCGTTTCCGTGTGATGCTCTGGTTCGCGAGAAGCGGCTTAGTCATGCTGGCCCCATGACCCGGAAGCTGTACGCCTGCTCCCTCGGCCAATAAAGCGAGATGAGCGCCGCAACCCCAGAGTCGGTCACGACTGGACCTAATGGTCAGGGGTCCATTTACCTTTAATCCATTATTTAACTGATTTTTAGTACAGTGGTACCTTGGTTTATGAACTTAATCCGTTCCAGAAGTCCATTCTTAAACTGAAACTGTTCTTAAACCGAGGTGCGCTTTCTCTAATGAGGCCTCTCACCGCCGGTGCCCTGCCACCGTTCAGATTCCATTCTTAGACCGAGGTAAAGTTTTCAAACTGGCACACTATTTTCGGTTTTGCGGAGTTTGTAAACCGAATCGTTCTTAAACAGAACTGTTCTTAAACCGTTTGGCATCCATTCCTTGCATTGTCGCTTTAACACCTCTTCATGTAACAAATAAGTTTTTTTAATGTGTCTTAATGTTTAAGCCATAGAGGTAAGTGGGTACACAAACTTATTGTCTTGGGTGGAGATACACAACAGTCAAAGTGGGTGGAAGAGTTCAGCCAGAACTTGCAGGGTTGTTGCTTTGTCCCATTCAGAGATTGCAAAACCCACTTACAGTTTGTCTAGTCATGGATGGGGAACTTGCCACTTCCCAGCTCCTGTCAGCCCCAGCCAGCAGTGCCAGTAGTCGGGGATGAGTTCTAGTCCAACGGCATCTGGAAAAACGACAGCTTCCTCACTCCTGAAGGTGTTATCATTTGGAAAATTCCAAAATCTGCTTTAGGGGGGAACTTTTATTGGCCCAAACAAAACGTTATGAAATAGTGTGCAGAACTCTCATAGACACAACTAGAAATCTGCAAAGCACCGAGCAGAGACTGTGACAAAATGCTGGCTCTGTGTGTCTTGGAGACAAATGGTGGGATATAAATAAGCAAATAAATAAAATGGCTCCAACAATAATCAACGTTTTTTCTTACTCCTTCCTGCCCCTATTTTGCTTACCATGTGGCCTGGTTAAGAGTTCTGGATAACTTTGACAGTTAACACTTACTATGAATTTAAACACCTGTTAAGATATCGTAACTAAATTTTGCACCCGACTAAGGAGCTAGTTTTCATCTGTGTTTGGACACAATTTATCAATATAGCAAACTGAATCTCTCAAAACTGCATTGATCTTAAACAAATATTGCATGATGGTTCCTGAGATCAAGGAGCAGGTTTCCTCCATATGTTTGCAAACAACTGGACAGCATTTCAAACCTCTGTCTGGTTCCCTGTAACCTCACTTCTCGCAATGAGGGAACCGCCAGAAGGCCCTCGGAGCTGGATCTCAGTGTCCGGGCTGAACGATGGGGGTGGAGACACTCCTTCAGGTATACAGGACCGAGGCCGTTTAGGGCTTTAAAGGTCAGCACCAACACTTTGAATTGTGCTCGGAAACATACTGGGAGCCAATGCAGATCTCTCAGGACCGGTGTTCTACTGTATGGTCCCGGCAGCCACTCCCAGTCACCAGTCTAGCTGCCGCATTCTGGATTAATTGCAGTTTCCGGGTCACCTTCAAAGGTAGCCCCACGTAGAGCGCATTGCAGTAGTCCAAGCGGGAGACAACTAGAGCATGCACCACTCTGGTGAGACAGTCCTTGGGCAGGTAGGATCACAGCCTGCATACCAGATGGAGCTGGTAGACAGCTGCCCTGGATACAGAATTAACCTGCACCTCCATGGACAGCTGTGAGTCCAAAATGGCTCATAGGCTGCGCACCTGGTCCTTCAGGGGCACAGTTGCCCCATTCAGGACCAGGGAGTCCCCCACACCCACTCGCCCCCTGTCCCCCCCCCAAACAGTACTTCTGTCTTGTCAGGATTCAACCTCAATCTGTTAGCCGCCAGGCACTCACACAGGACATTCACGGCCTTCGCTGGTTCTGCTGTGTGTGTACAGCAAGCCTGATACCCTCATTTTACAGACAGGGAACTATTACAGAATGTCTTGACCAGGGCTACATAGATTTTGAGCCAGTGGCAGCGCTGAGACAGAAACTGCATCCAAATACATCTTTCTGTTTGCTGGACTACTCTAGCTGAAATGCCTAGAAATTAAAATGTTGTACACTGCCCTGGGATTGTTGGATAAAGGGCGGTATATAAATAGAAGAAGAAGAAGAAAGAAGGAGAAGGAGAAGGAGAAGGAGAAGGAGAAAGATGTTGCATACAGCCACATTACAAGTGAGCATTTGGCACGTACTAAATAAGCATGGGGCCACTTTGTCTTTTTAGACCTTGCATCTGACTAGCTTAATTTTCTTTAAAATTAAAATGTGCCAGTCCTCTGGGCAATGAAGCAGTTAACACTGCAGCGAGGATGATAGGATGCTCCTAAAAGGATGCTCAGGCATCATTCAGGAATTAATCTCTTAAAATTACTTTATTTTCCTGATGCTAATGGGTGGAATGCTATTATGTGTAATTACTGTGCCCATAATCTCTCTTTGTCACCTTCTCCCTTCCTCTTGCATACTCTTCCTACCTGCCCATTTCTTAGACACCAGGATAACGTTGGCTTGGGGAGTCACTGGGTGGTTGAGAAAGAGCCTTGGGTTCCTGCACCGGAATGGGTGTGCTTTCAGGCTGAAGCAAGGAAGAACACCAGCGGCTAGCTTGGAGGGACTTGTGTGGTGTGTGACTTAAGGTTCCCAGAAAAACGATTTCCTTGCTGGGTTAGTTGGGGAATAACCTGTGCCGAGCCACACAACATCCTTGCCTCTGTTTGCTGCAGTCTGTGGGCTCAAGAGACAATTAGAGGGGAGTGAGACACAAGAGCAAGAGCACTCCCCTGTTTGTGAGCTTCAGCTACCAGTATTCAGACTCATGCTGCCTCTGATTCTGGATGTAGTATACAGAGCTTCCAGGCCTCTGTACTCTTGAGATCTGGCTGCCTCTTAACTCAGGGATGGGGAAACCTGTGGCCTTCCAAATATTGCGGGACAGCCACTCCCACCTTCCCTGGCTGTTGGCCATGCTGTCTGGGATGGATGGGAGTTGGGTCCAAAAGCATCTGATGTTCACAGGCATACCCTCCAACACTTTGAAGCCAAAATCCAGGACGCCAGATTCAACTTTTTTATCGCAACAGTTTGGGGTGCTGTGATCTCATGCAATTTCACTTTTTTTCCGGGCGGAAATTGAGCGAGGTCACAGCAAGCAAAACGGCCTCCATTCTCTCATGATTAAAAAAAATAGGCTGTCCCTTTCTTCCGGGACACTTGTGGGGTATACACAGGTCCCTCATCACTGCCTCAGTTAATATGAATTAGGGTGTAATCCTAAAGATATATACCTGGAAAGATATATACCTCCACTGAACTCGATGGTGATTGCTTCTGAGTACACACATGGAAGACTGTACTGTAAATCCAATTAAGTAAAACACAGCTCATTAGATTGTTTCCTTTAGGGCAAGTCTGTAATTCATCTTTTAAAATTGACTTAGGAGTTCAAACATCAGACACACCCACTTGATGCATCCTTCAATGGAAACATAAATCATGCTAATAAAATTCCAAACAGTTCTTATAATCTTAGAATCATCCATTGTCTTTAAGCAAATTACCTTTCCTGAGGCTTGTCACTGCATCACAATTGCTTGCAGATTTGGCCCAGTTGGGTTTGAATACTGTTATGTGCTCTCCCCACTTTCCTGAGATGTGAGACCTTCTGAGAAAACACTACTTGGGTTTGGCTTCCTATGGAGGAGAGACAAGTAGAGATGGGTGCTGTTTTGTAATATTTGATTCATTTAGAAATCTACAGTAGTGACTACTACAATGAATGAGAGAGCCTCGTCTGTCTGGAGAAGTAGGGGAGAGCTTAAGGAGGTTTTGAATAGGGTGGCCAGGTGACAAAGAAAAGAGGGCATGTTCACTAGTCATGTAGAAGAGAGAATTCCAGCAGGTATATAGTGCATGACGAGCTGCACTGGATGAAATTATCCCTTCTATGCGACAATTAAAGGTTCAGGAGCCCCATCCATACCACTATTAAAGGTGCAGGAGCCCTGTTCATTTTTTGGCATCTGTCCATTCTATTTGGCCAGCAAAGGAGAATGCTTTACAAGTGACTGGGAGAACTGATCCTGATGGATACTAGCATGGCTTGCTTACTTGCAAATTAACAATCCAGTACAGTACAACCGCATTTAACTTGTACATTTTCAAATTACCTGGTTGGAGGCTGGTGGGTTGAAATCAAACAATTTAAATGCTGGAAGTTGGAGAGCTTAAAAGCCCTTTTGGCACAGGGTTTTCCCAGTGTGGAAGGAGCTTTTAAGCTCTCTGCCTTGCTTACCAGACTCTGGGATGCTCTTGCAGGAACTTGCATGACCCTGCAAGATCTCGTGGGAGCATTCCAGAACCTTAAAAACAAAGCAGAAACCTTAAAAAACTCTCTTTTTTGTTTGCGGGGTGGGGGTGGGGGTGCAAGGCCCTCTTAGCACACCAACTCTGGAAAAATAAGGCTGCTTGCTTGGGAAGGGGGCTGTCATTACACCAATCAGGCCATTGTTCTGTCTAGCATAGTATTGTGTGCTCTGATTGGCAGGACTGTCCCAGGTAGACTTTCCAACCCTCATTACAGAGATCTATCAGGTGGAGTTGTCAGAAATTGAAACGTCTGAGTACGAAACATAGGTTTTACAACAGTGGTGGGGAACATTCAGCCCCCCCAAGGCAAATTAAGTCCGGCAGGTATCCTAATTAGGCTCACAAGGCAGTTCTCCCCAAACCGTGCCAGCCTGCCCACATACCTGCCATTACCAGGTATGTGTGACACCAGGTGTGGGGCAGGTGAAGACACAACTGCAAAGCAGGAGGCTCTGCTGGAATAATCTGGTTCTGAAGCATGGGAAGAGAAACGTAAAGGGAAACACTTCTTTTGCTCTTGAAGTTTGAAAACTAACCATGAGGTCTGCAGCACCTGCCGCCTATCAGCTGCACTTGTTGATTTCAAACTCCAAGGGCAAAGGAAGGGTTTTTCAAGCTTGTCTGCAAAGGAAAACACTTCACCTGACACCAGGGCAACAGCCAGTGACTGACAGGTAGAGAGTCCCACCTCCTGCCAAATTGACCCACAGCTGTTGGGCGATATGTCGCTGGACCCAGTTCCTTATCTCTGCTTTAGGAATAAGCTGTGTGCTCCACTCAGGAGATTAGAGTGTGTTGCAAGTGCAGTGACTGAGGTGTGCCCAGTCAGAGATGAGGATGTGTGTGGAGTGTATTTTATGCAGGTGATTCAGACTGTTTCACCTGCATATATTATATAACCAGGGCCACTTGCTGTTCATAGGACTTCACAATAAGGAAGTGCATACCCTCAAGGATTTCTCCGATGAAAATAGGAATGTCCTAAGGAAAAGCAGGACATTCCGGCATCAAACCAGAAACCAGGACAAGCTTCTCTAAATCAGGGAAATCCCTGGAAAATAGGGACACTTGAGAGGGTCAGGAAGTGCTGATGTTCACTTTGTGTTTGCTTGATGTAATTTGTAGGAAAGCTTCCCTGACCAAAGGAATTCAAGCACCCAGAAATATTTCCCCCTACTAGACTAGACATTACATAGGAGATGTATTCATCAAACTCCAGTCTTGTTTGCTTTTTTAAAAAATTAAATGAACAACAACCTTCGTGTTTGCAGCATAGGTTGGAGGGACTGCTTAGCAATTTTCCTTTCTGGCATTTTTTTCACTCAGAACCTGCTGCCTCACATTTTAAAGATACAGAATAAACCTTATCTCACCACCACTCCCCAGCTGCTGAGAGAAAAGTAGTGTAGGAAAGAATCATTGTGCATGAACAAATGGTGGAAATGGTTAAGCAGCCCCTCACCTTTCATTTTCACTGCTCCTGAATGCAGCCTCCGAGGTTGCTATTCATAAAATGAATTTTCAGAACAGATTCATGTGCCTCCAAGTGTAATGGCTAGTTGATTCACTCAAGGAGCTTCCAGAGTATCACTATTTTTTGGTGGTATTCAATCACATCCTGGTGAACTCAGGCTACACAATTAAAGCTGATAATTGGGGCTGTTCCAAAAGATTGGACTTTTTCTGATAAGAAAAGTGATTGGAAAATGGCACTGGAAAGTGTGAGACAATGCTTGGTGCGACATCGTCTAACCTCCCCGCAAACAAGTCAGCATAAATGCTTCTGAAATAGCTGGCGTCATCTAATCTCTCCACAAAGAGTAAACAGGAGTGTGTACACAGGACACCAGAGAGGACTGGACACTGTAGCGTGCCCTTGAGTGGCACAATCTCATGCTTTGTGCTTGACTTGTTGTGGCACACTTGCCACAGACTTTGGCCACCACTGAGCATAGGGCTTGTTCAATGTCAGATTTCCTGATGGATTCTCATGTGACCTGCTCTGGCCTGTGAAATTAAAAATGGTTTTTTGCTGTGTGTTTAATTGTCTTGTAGTACATCCCTGACTAGGCTGGTGCTCAGTAGTGGCGCTAGTGCACAGGCTAAATCACTGCTTGACCTTCTGATGACCCTGTCAGTTCAAATCCTGCTTTGAGCTCCAGTCCTGATAATTGACAAAAACGGCAGATGAGGGACTAGTGTAGCCGACGATTCATGATTGGAATAAAATACTTAAATAAAACTCACTTAATTAGAAATATTTGCCGATTTCTTAATCGCGAAGCTCTCTGAGCAGCGTACATGATGGAATTGTTCACAGAGCATGGCTAAAATCCATGGCTGTTAAAAGAAACAAACCCAAATAAACATAAACTATTAATAAAACGCAGATAAAATGAGTAGTACTTCTAATAAAACAAAACAAATATAGATACCGTAACTGAATTTTATGTGTGGGCAGGCTTGCTGAAAAAAACAAAACGGTTTTCTGCAGTCGTCTAAAGTTATAGAGTAAAGGCATCTGCCTAAGGCAAGGAGTTCGAAAAAGGCTAACAGATGCAACAAACTCTGATACAGAATGATGAAATGCATACCTTGACTAAACTAATGAAAACATGTGACAAAGGGAAAGGGGAAGTGTTTCCAGGGAGAAAAGGCATTGCAAGGATTGCAGACAATGCTAGTCATGGAAATGTTTTGTCGGTTCTTGGCTCCGAGTAGGAGTGTGACAAATATCTTATTAATGCTAATCATGCATAGTCCTGACAATGCTTTGTTTATTTAGCAAAAATGATATCCTGCCTTTCAGAGAGAGAGAAATCCTCTTAAGACAACAAACAAATATATATATAAACTAAGGATGCCTCCAGACTATCACTATTTTGCAGGAGGGAATCAAGCACATATTGGAAATTTAGGTTTGCAAAATTAAAAAGGATTGAAGTGCTCTGTCAATCTAGTGCAATGGAAGAACTTTATGTTATTATTTATTAAATTTGTATACAGTGGTACCTTGGTTTATGAACTTAATCCATTCCGGAAGTCCGTTCTTAAACAAAGCATTTTTAAACCAAGGCGTGGTTTCCCATAGCAGTGGGGGACTCAATTTACAAATGGAACACACTCAACAGGAAGCGAAACATGTTCTTATTCCAAGGCAAAGTTCCCAAACCAAAACACCTACTTCCGGGTTTGCAGCGTTCTTAATCCAAGTTAACTAAGCTGTTCTTAAACCAAGGTACCACTGTACTGCCCTTCACCTGAAGATCACAGGGCGGTTCACAATGCAAATGCCTGGTTGAACAGAAACGTTTTTGCCGGCGCCTAAAGATGTATAATGAAGGTGCCAGGCACACATCCCTTGGTAAAGCATTCCACAATCGAGGAGCCACCACAGAAAAGGCCCATTCTTGTGCTGCCACCCTCTCCACCTCTCTGAACGGGGCACACCAAGAAGGGGCTCAGATGATGATCTCATGGTCCAGGTTGGATCATATGGAGAGAGGTGGTCCTTAAGGAATTGCAGTCCTGAACCGTTTAAGGCTTTATAGGTCAAAACAAGCACTTTGAATTGTGCCCAGAAACTATATGGCAGCCAGTGCTGTCAGGCCAGGATCGGTGTCATATGCCCAAACTATCTTGTCCTGGTAAACCACCTGGCCCACTCCTTCAGAGAGAGTGTAACCCCCTCAAGAGCTGGCAACCTTTCATCCATCCGGTCTAGGGAACCACCCGCTAAGAGTGCCTCAGTTTTATCTGGATTGAGCTTCAGTTTGTTGGCTCTCATCCAGTCCATTACTGAGGCAAGACATCAATCCAGTACTGCCCCACCTGTGGATTTAAAGGAGAAGTAGAGCTGTGTGTCATCACCGTATTGCTGACAACATACTCTGGATAACCCCACTCAGCAATTTCATGTAGATGTTGAACAGTATAGGAGATAAAATTGAACGCTGAGGAACCCCACACTGAAGGACCCAAGAGCATCACCCTCTTGGAATGGCTATCCAAGTAGGACCAGATCAAAGCTCACCCCCAACTCAGACAGCTGCTCCAGAGGGTACCATGGTCGATGGTATCAAAAGCTGCTGAGAGGTTGAAGAAAATTAACAGCGGCACATTTCCTCTGTCTCTCTCCCAAAAGAGCTCATCATACCGGCTGACCAAAGCAGTTTCTGTGCCGAAACCCCAATTGAAATGGATCTAGAAAATCTGTTTCCTCCAAGAGTCCCTAGACTTGGTCCACGACTACCTGCTCAAGAACCTTGCCCAGGAAGGGGAGATTGGCTGGTAGTTACTTAATTTCCAAATCCAGGGAGAGTTTCTTGAGGAGTGGTTTTGCCACAGGCTCCTTCAAGCGGGCAGGGAACCCCCCCCCCCCTTGCAAGGCAATATTGAACACCTCCCTGGTTCAGCCAACTGTCCCCTCCCTGCTAATTTGTATCAGCCAAGAGGGGCAAGGGTCCAGAATACAAGTAGTTGCCCTGACAGCTTGTCCACATCCTTGAGCTTTACTAGCTAAAACTCACCCAACACAACAGGAATGGACACCCCTTGAGATTCATCTACCATTAATAGCAGAGTCAAGATCCCAGTCACAAGCTTCATTCAGCTGGTCCACAGCATACCTGTAAAAAAAAATGCAATTAATAATCATGCACCATCTAGTACAGCAGTTGCTACAACAGGCCGAGAAGTCATTTAGTGATCTGCTAAGATGCTTAGCAACTTTCAAGTGGTTTATAAGGGGGGAAAGTTTGTGTTTAAAAAAGATAAAGGAATCACCACATCAGAGCAAAATAGATAGACAGCAACAGTTTTATATTTTTTAAAAAGTCACAGCACTATTGTGCATGCTTCTTTCATGTGGCGAAGGCTTATTAACTGGTTGCCTACCTCACTAGACTGGAATATGTACATTGTTAATTAATATGGGTGGTATGAGCTGAAAACACAAATTTAAGCCGCTCCAGCCTACCACAACTGCTTTGTATTTCTTGCCAAGAGATGTTGGTCCAGGAAAAGTGATTGCTTTAACCCACATGGTGACACTCTACATATCATTGTGATGATGCTCTCACAGGCCCGCCAGTTTAAAATAAAAACAAACCTATCTGCTTGGAATTCAAAGGAAGTCAAAGCACCAGTGGAATCCTTAAGGGGGTGGAGAACTGGAGAGGAACTGCATCCCTAAGATGTAAACAACAAACAGCCTTACGGTGTTGCAAAGACTAACCTGGATGGATTGTGGCATAGTAAGGAGATCCTCTCACCGTTTCATCCTACTCGTGCTGTAAGATGTGCAAAGAAAGCTCTCCTTTGCATTCCACTGTGTGGGGTAGTCTCATTATGTGATGAAGCAAGAAAGAGCCCTCTCTGTAGTGGTGCTTTGCTGACACTTTCCATCATTTTGGTGCCAAGTTTTATTTATTCATTTATCTATTGCATGTACAGTGGTACCTCGGGTTACATACGCTTCAGGTTACATACGCTTCAGGTTACAGACTCCGCTAACCCAGAAATAGTACCTCGGGTTAAGAACTTTGCTTCAGAATGAGAACAGAAATTGTGCTCTGGCGGCACGGCAGCAGCAGGAGGCCCCGTTAGCTAAAGTGGTGCTTCAGGTTAAGAACAGTTTCAGGTTAAGAACAGACCTCAAGAATGAATTAAGTACTTAACCTGAGGTACCACTGTGTATCCCACCTTTTTTCTCTAAGGAACTCAAGGTGGCGAACACAGGTCCTCCCCCTCCTCGTTTAATCCCCAGAACAACCCTGTGAGGTAGGTTAGGCTGAGAGGCAGTGACTGGCCCAAAGGTCATCCAGTTAGGTTCATGACCAAGGCGGGGGGGGGGGGATTCAAAGTTGGAGTAGTCTCCAACTACTACTCCACACTGGCTCTTATAAGTAAGAGATTTACTTATTTGCAAAGGCATTTTCATTGTATTATGTGTGTGTGTTCTTATTGTTTAAACTGGTTTTCAGTGGTTTGTATTTTTGTTTTATGTTACTGCGTTCTGTATTTTGCACCCCATCGTGGCATCCGCTAAAGGACGGGCTATAAATATTCCTCATAAGTAAATAATTCATTGAATAAAACTGTTAGTCACTGAGGTGCCACAAGGATCCTTGACGAATGGAGTTGCCTCTCTGGAATTCATCCCAAAAGTAGTTTGTGACAGAGATTTAGTCGCTCATCTATGAACATAAGCCACTTACACTTCTAGCAGTCAGCCCAAGTCATCGTGAGCACTTCTAATGCTGAAACCAGTACTTTTCCCTAGGCAACCAGAATATGATAAATATTTATGGCAAACACTTGTTTCAGTGCCATGACTGTTAAAGTGGTACTGTATTAGTGTTTTACATTTATAGTGTGGATGTGATCAAAGCCAGCTTCTGGATACAGGCAGCAGATGGTTTGGATGAGGAAAGATCTTGGACTGCCCAGATAACCAGCAGAAAAGGAGGAGTCTGGTCCCTAATGAGTATTTCCTGTGCACAGAGTAAGATCTGCTCAGTCACCCACTGCCAAATGATTATTGCCAGGTAGGCTGTCATTAACTATAGCATAGTCAGGCTGCGGACACAGTAACCTGTTTGGAGCACAAAAATATAGTTCATCTCAATCTGGATCTATTCATGCTCATCTTCAACATGCTGCTTTCAATCAAAATTGATTCTAGATCCTGCCGTGCACAAGGGTGGGGTGTGATTAGTTGAAACACATTATAAACCCCTCCCCTTGTAATAGGATTATCCACTCCTCTTCCTCCCTGTACACGGCCCAGGTGAATGATGGAGGAAGCGGTGACTGCAATCTTGGTTATTAGTCCACCCACAACGGAATTAGGCAGGTGTGGTTACACCCCCCTCCTCAATTGCTGGAACCATCTACAAACGGACACAATTTCCTACTTTACAATTGTATGGTTATATGGCACTGCAGGGTAATGCAGAACCAACCTGCTTTATTCTCGGATTGAAACCAGTTTCTCAATAAGTGGTTTTCAGATTGTGTGTGGACTATGTAGAAAAAGCAACTAATTACAGCAGAACAGAATGTTTGCAAAACTAACTTATTTGTCATGCTACTAATAAAGTAGACATTTGGCCGCCATAGCAAAGCCCATTGCCCTGCTGGACATCAGCCAAAAAAACCCTCTATAGCACAGGCTTCCATCTTGAAAAGTCAATACCTATGGCATTTCAGAACATTCCCATCTTGGTCAGCAAACAGTTGTTGCAGTTTGGATCGGGGACCCAGAAGTGGACCCGGACCAACAGAAAAAAAGATTTAGAGGATCCCCAGTGTGCCAGTGAGAAAGCAAATTGGATTGTGGAGTTTTGTCTTGAAGCAGCTGCAGAGACCGATCCACAACTGGGGTGGCTCCAAAATTATTAAACCTGTGATTTTTTCTGAAGTAGCTGCTTAATCTGCAGGATCTGTGAAAACCCCAAGATGAAAACAACATACAGTAGGACGCTGCCTAATGTGTGTGTGTGTGTGTGTGTGTGTTTGTATTTTTTTTGTGGGGGAGGCTGTTTACTTTTGCTACAGGGATTTTTCCTGCAAGTTTTAGCAGTGGTTTTAAAATGCTGTTGATCTGTGCTTTTTGCAGGTTGTTAAGTGGTGAGAAAGGGATGTGGGTGGCGCTGTGGGTTAAACTACAGAGCCTAGGACTTGCCGATTGGAAGGTCAGTGGTTTGAATCCCCGTGACAGGGTGAGCTCCTGTTGCTCGGTCCCTGCTCCTGCCAACCTAGCAGTTCGAAAGCACGTCAAAGTGCAAGTAGATAAATAGGAACCGCTCCGGCGGGAAGGTAAACAGTGTTTCTGTGCCAGAAGCGGCTTAGTCATGCTGGCCACATGACCCGGAAGCTGTACGCCGGCTCCCTCGGCCAATAAAGTGAGATGAGTGCTGCAACCCCAGAGTCGGCCACGACTGGACCTAATCGTCAGGGGTCCCCTTACCTTTAAGTGGCGAGAACTGTTTAATGGTTTTAAGAACATGGTGTGTGTGTCTGTGTGTGTGTTTGAAAGCCACCTTGTGCTGCAGTCGCCCAAGGGAAAAAGAAATGATTGTGATGATTGTTTGGGTAACTGTGTGTTTGTTTGAAAGCCGTGTGTGCTACAAGGGCACAAAAAAAGGGAAAGAATGAACAAAGGCCTTAGGGCGATACAGCTCTGCCACTGAGGTTTACATCCTGACTTAAACATGTTGGAAACCCATTATCTTGTGCATGCCAAGGTGGGGTAACTGGGTAAGCTGGACTGGGATGTAGAAGTGACTGGGAGTGTGCACCATGGGGAACAGGGTGGCTTGAAGAGTTCACAAGGGACTGGATATTGCTAAACAGGAATAAGCTGTTGCTGTGTTAGGTTGGGATAAAAATGATGATGTGTTACGATATGTTTTTGATGATGTGTGTTCTAAATGCCTGTTGTAACTTTTCTGTTACTTTTCCATAGGGGAGCTGTGTGTGGTGCATCCTGGGTGGGTGATGTTATGAGTTTGTGGGTAACAGGCACCCATAATTTCTGGGTTTGGTAGATGTTATAATTTAATCGATGCTTGGAGTATTGAAATAGGTTGCCAGGCGCTGGATTTAGCAAAGTGACAAAATACAGGCCAAACCAGTTTTTCTGTGTGTGCAGGAAATCGCCTGGTGAAGGAACCATCAAGGAGAACAAAGGAAGGGAATAGGCAGAGTCATTAAGCCAACAAAGACAGGAAGGGAAGCTACCAGCAAAGCTAAAACTGTGTGCCAGCCAGCAGATGGGTTGAGTCTTGCACTGTGCTCTGGGTAGTTAGCAAAAGACTTAGGACAGATGCTTTTTTTGGGGGGGGGCGAGTTTCAGGATTGGAGTTGGCCTGCTGTAAACGGGAGGAAAAATACTGGTAGCTGCATTTTGTAAATGTTTTGCGAGCTGGAGAAAGCGGGGTCAGAGCACAATGCAGGCTAGCAGTTTGAATCCAACGTTGCAGCCATGGGAGAAACAGGACCAGCTTGGGGTGTCAAGCTCTGAATTCCTCCACCGTAGGCTCAGGTTGTATATATGTGTAAATAAACCATATGTCATAAAGACACCACAACAGTTGACTCTGTGCCTCATTTCTGAAGGAAACACAGACCTCGGATAAGCGCCTGGACCCCTGGAATCCCACACTGCTTGGAGGTTGCGGTGGCGCGTAATAGTATGTTTTAACATTTTGATTCTTATGATTGTATAGTGGTGCCTCTCAAGACGAAATTAATCCGTTCCGCGAGTCTCTTCGTCTTGCGGTTTTTTCGTCTTGCGAAGCACGGCTATTAGCGGCTTAGCAGCTTAGCGGCTATTAACGGCTTAGCGGCTATTAACGGCTTAGCGGCTTTAAGAAAAAGGGAACAAACTTGCAAGAACTCGCAAGACGTTTCGTCTTTCGAAGCAAGCCCATAGGGAAATTCGTCTTGCGGAACGACTCAAAAAACGGAAAACTCTTTCGTCTTGCGCGTTTTTCGTCTTGCGAGGCATTCGTCTTGCGAGGTACCACTGTAAAGCACTTCCTCTGCCCCAGCCGCAACAAAACATGACTCTCCTGCATCCCTCTCTACAGCCAGAGCAGGCACTGTAACCTTCCAACGCTTTGACTTCACACCCAAAGGTCCATGGTCTCTCAAAAAGACGGATGCCAGCCAACGTGCTTTGAGGTGCTTTATAGTAAGCATTCTAGAAACTGATGACTATATAGTGCAAAATAAAATATACAGCTGTTGTTAGTCCTCCCCACCCCACCCAGCTGCATTGGCTGCTTATCTGCTTCCAAGTACAGGTCAATGAACCTGCCTTGACCCATAAAGCCTGAAATTGGTTGGGGGGCCAGGTAACCTGGAGGACTCAAAGGTAAAGGGACCCCTGACCATTAGGTCCAGTTGTGACTGACTCTGGGGTTGCGGTGCTCATCTTGCTTTATTGGCCGAGGGAGCCGGCGTACAGCTTCTGGGTCATGTGGCCAGCATGACTAAGCCGCTTCTGGCGAACCAGAGCAGCGCACAGAAACGCTGTTTACCTTCCCGCCGGATTGGTACCTATTTATCTACTTGCACTTTGACGTGCTTTCGAACTGCTAGGTGGGCAGGAGCAGGGACCGAGCAACGGGAGCTCACCCCGTCGCAGGGATTCGAACCGCCGACCTTCTGATCGGCAAGTCCTAGGCTCTGTGGTTTAACCCACAGTGCCACCTGCGTCCCTCTGGTGGAATCTACACACACATATAAAAAAGGTTGTGAAAATGCTTTTTAAAAAAAATGTTCTGAAAAATACATTGAATTTGCCATAGCTCAATGTCGCCATCTAGTTTCACATCTGTATATTGCACTTTACAACACACTTTAAAACGGGCATCCCCAAACTCGGCCCTCCAACTCCCATCATCCCTAGCTAACAGGACCAGTGGTCAGGGATGATGGGAATTGTAGTCCCAAAACATAGGAGGGCCGAGTTTGAGGATGCCTGCTTTAAAAGTTTTATTTGCAGCTGTATAACTAAGTCCTCTGTCCCTCCATATAATCCTTCCTGAGAATCAATATCTTCGACAGAGGCCTTTCTTGCCTTCCTTCCAGGTATCCAAAAGATGGCAATGTTTAATATGCTATTTTCTATGCCCCCCTCAGTCCTTTGATGGCCACCAACTTGAATGACTTTAAAAGAGAATTAGGCAAATTCATTGAGATAACGCTGTCAGTGGCCACCAACTCTGATGGTTATGTTCTACCCGTAAGGTGATCATTCACTGTTTGCCCTTAGGAGGTTTTTTTCTTTTTAATCAGGTCTTTTGGCCCTCATACTTATTTGGGCTGCTGTGAGTTCTGTTGTTTTCTATCACTTGCTTACATTGTTATACTGGATTGGGTGTATACCACTCTGATCTCCTTAGGGAGGTAGAACAAGATCAGGATTATTTTATATAAATAAAGATCTAGGGATTTGTAGGCTGAAGAACTGGACTTTACAGATTCTTAATGTTTGCCTGACAAATTGCTGTCCACACACCTCGAGCTGAAAACAGTCATCCATTAGAAGAGGCAGATTTTACCATGCTGTTATAATCATAGAATCATAGAATCATAGAGTTGGAAGAGACCACAAGGGCCATCGAGTCCAACCCCCTGCCAAGCAGGAAACACCATCAGAGCACTCCTGACATATGGTTGTCAAGCCTCTGCTTAAAGACCTCCAAAGAAGGAGACTCCACCACACTCCTTGGCAGCAAATTCCACTGTCAAACAGCTCTTACTGTCAGGAAGTTCTTCCTAATGTTTAGGTGGAATCTTCTTTCTTGTAGTTTGGATCCATTGCTCCGTGTCCGCTTCTCTGGAGCAGCAGAAAACAACCTTTCTCCCTCCTCCATGTGACATCCTTTTATATATTTGAACATGGCTATCATATCACCCCTTAACCTCCTCTTCTCCAGGCTAAACATGCCCAGTTCCCTTAGCCGTTCCTCATAAGGCATCGTTTCCAGGCCTTTGACCATTTTGGTTGCCCTCCTCTGGACACGTTCCAGTTTGTCAGTGTCCTTCTTGAACTGTGGTGCCCAGAACTGGACACAGTACTCCAGGTGAGGTCTGACCAGAGCAGAATACAGTGGCACTATTACTTCCCTTGATCTAGATACTATACTCCTATTGATGCAGCCCAGAATTGCATTGGCTTTTTTAGCTGCCGCGTCACACTGTTGGCTCATGTCAAGTTTGTGGTCAACCAAGACTCCTAGATCCTTTTCACATGTACTGCTCTCAAGCCAGGTGTCACCCATCTTGTATTCGTGCCTCTCATTTTTTTTGCCCAAGTGCAATACTTTACATTTCCCCTGTTAAAATTCATCTTGTTTGTTTTGGCCCAGTTCTCTAATCTGTCAAGGTCGTTTTGAAGTGTGATCCTGTCCTCTGGGGTGTTAACCACCCCTCCCAGTTTGGTGTCATCTGCAAATTTGATTAGGATGCCCTTGAGTCCATCATCCAAGTCGTTGATAAAGATGTTGAATAAGACCGGGCCCAAGACAGAACCCTGTGGCACCCCACTAGTCACTCTTCTCCAGGATGAAGAGGAACCATTGATGAGCACCCTTTGGGTTCGGTCAGTCAGCCAGTTACAAATCCACTGAGTGGTAGCATAGTCAAGACCGCATTTTACCAGCTTCTTTACAAGAATATCATGGGGCACCTTGTCAAATGCCTTGCTGAAATCAAGGTAGGCTACATCCACTGCGTTCCCTTCATCTACCAGGCTTGTAATTCTGTCAAAAAACGAGTTCAGGTTAGTCTGACATGACTTATTTTTCAGAAATCCATGCTGACTATTGGTGATCACAGCATTCCTTTCTAGGTGCTCACAGACTGTTTGCTTAATGATTTGCTCCAGAATCCTCCCTGGTATTGATGTCAGACTGACTGGGCGGTAATTATTTGGGTCCTCTCTTTTCCCCTTTTTGAAAATAGGGACAACATTTGCCCTCCTCCAGTCTGCCGGGACTTCGCCTGTTCTCCAGGAATTCTCAAAGATGACTGCCAGTGGTTCTGAGATGACATCTGCCAGTTCTTTTAATACTCTTGGATGCAGTTCATCTGGCCCTGGAGACTTGAATACATCTAAACTAGCCAAGTATTCTTGTACTATCTCCTTAGTTATTCTGGGCTGTGTTTCCTTTGCTGAATCATTTGCTCCAAATTCTTCAGGTCGGGCATTGTTTTCTTTATCGGAGAAGACTGAGGCAAAGAAGGCATTGAGGAGTTCAGCCCTTTCTGTGTCCCCTGTTTGCATTTCACCATCTTCTCCTCTGAGTGACCCCACTGTTTCTTTGTTCTTCCTTTTGCTACGAACATACCCATAAAAGCCTTTTTGTTGCTTTTAACCTCTCTAGCAAGCCTGAGTTCATTCTGTGCTTTAGCTTTTCTGACTTTGTGTCTACACGTGCTGGCTATTTGTTTGAATTCCTCTTTGGTGGTTTCCCCCCTTTTCCATTTTTTGTACACATCCTTTTTTAATCTTAACTCAGTTAAAAGTTCTTTAGATAGCCACCCTGGCTTCTTTAATCAGCTGTGAGCATGTGGTAACTTTTGCGTGTTCAGACCCAGAAACCGCCCCCTAAATAAATTCACACTTGACTCAAAATTTTGGTTTGGTTTTTGGCAGAATTTAGGCCACAACTTTATTGATTACAGAAAGTGACTGGTGGCATAGGCTCTGGTTCGACTAGCTCCCTGCCATGCAGGTAGCGCTGACCCTGGGTACCAGCATAGGTGAGCCAAGGATGAACACCTGGATAAGCGGAAAGCCGGGCACAGGCTAACTCCGCCACCCAAATGTCCCCCAGGACTCAGGTACAGGCACAACCCCCTCTCAGGGGTTGACCAAACCATCGAGTTCCTGGATTCCTTTAACTGAATACTCTTTACATAGGGATGGCGAGAGCGTTCTCCCATCCCTATCACCTGAACCAGAGCCTATCCGCAACCTAACAAGTTGTGACGATTTGCTATGCGGCAGGCGAAACCTAAATGGCAACAGTCAATCAACCAAGTGGGGAAAATTCCTGCTGTCCCCCTGTCCCAACGACAGATGACACACGACGGCACAGCAAGGTCAAGCACAACAAGCCCCAAAAGTAGAGGAGAGGTGGGTGGATGTTCCGAATACACGTGCTGAAAGAGGAAGCTCTGGGTCACGTGCATGTGCATAAATAGGTCCCTCAAACTGTTTAGACTGCGTCCCATTGGCCAGATTGTACCCAGCTTTGAGGGACCTACCAATCGGGTGTTGTGGCTAACCAACTGTACCCACCCACAACAGGTTGTCCAGGTCTCACCGCAATACGTGCCCTCTTTAAGGGAGGACCCAATTTGTCTCACATAGGCGTTTGGATGGGCAAATCTGTCAATTTTGATTTCTCTCAGTTTCTCACATTTCCAGTCAGACATTTCCACATCGGTTTGCGACTTAAAAAAAAAGTCCTCATGAATATCCATCCACATCTTAGTGCTTAGTCCGAATACACACCTTTTTTTTCTGTGCAAAATATACATATTTTTACAATCCAGTTTCCCCTAATAGAATGCATTTTGTATGTTATTGTCCCTATGATGAGCATTTTATGTGCACCTTTACATCAGTACCTGCATTTTTTAGCACATTACTTGGTTGGAGAACTGCATTGCAAAATTCAGAGAAGTCCAAATTTCAAAGGATGGCTATGTTTCAGATCATGTATTGACTCAAAAAGTACGAAGTTCACCTTCAGATACAAACTAAACAGAATTCTACACACACCCAATCCCTAAACAGAACTTTCTCATATGAGCTAACAGATAGTAAACCTTTGCCTGCTTCTGTATTTCAGTGCAGAGTGCTTTAATGGCTGCAGAAGAGGGAAAAATTCAACAGATAACCCTTCTCTCCTCCCCTTGCTGCACCTTCATGTTGTAAAAAATGTATTGTGCCAGAAAAATATGCGGTAACCGGTGTTGTTGGAGCAGGTTTATTGCTATCTCTTGGGTCCCTGATAATAGCTTTATTCCCATTTGATAAAAGAACAAACAGCGGCCAGTTTTGTACCCCGCCTACTTTTCTGAGGAAACGAAACTTAATTCTGCTTTGGCAAGCTTTCCCTTTTCCTTCAGAAGGGCATAGAAAGAGAAAGACCAGGTGCTGAGATCCAGGAAGCTCCAAGATGGCTTTGCAGCCTATTTTAAACCCGGTGAGTGTGGAGAGTGTGTGTAAGAGGGGAAAGCTTGAGAAGGTGGTGGTCAGGAAGGCTGCATAGACATTTTCTAAGAGGTTGTGTCTCTCCTAAGGATGAACTAGCCGGGAGATCTGACTAGCCCTTCCCTGTCTCCTTGCAGCAAGCTTTCTATGTGCATCCTTACAGCTAGGATTGAGCTGCTGCAAGGATAATTGAGTTACAGAGAAAACCCAGAGAAAATGCAGACCAGAAGCGGATAAGGCTTTTCTTGGCAGGGAGATAAGTAACGGGGAAAGCTCAGCTCCTCAATTCCTCTGGATTCCTCTGGACCGACACTGTTTTGTGGGAGAGATTCAAGTGCGTACCTGAACTTTAGGTTTGCACAGTTAAAGTGCACTGAAGGGCTCTGTTACCATAGTGCAATAAATCTGCTTAACAAAGAAGAGCGCTTTTTGTGGTTTGGAAAGTGGTTTGGAAATGCATTGAAAAGTATGCGATGAACGAAGTAACAGCGAGAAGACATGTAAGCTTCCCGCAAGCAAATTGGGATGGGTGCTCATTGTAGTATAAACAAATTGGAACAAATGCTCAGTAAAAACCAGACATCGCCTAAGCTTCGTGTTAGCTCTGTGGAAGCGTATCGGGATAAATGCTGAATAACCTTGGCTATGTTACCTCAACCGAAAGGCATGGTAAGAAAAAAAGCAAGGCAAAATTTAAAGTGGTTGTGACTCTTTGCTGCCTTCCAGTCAATGCAATCTAAGTTGCCCCTGAGGTCTTTCGCTCCTTGCGCACTACCAAATTTGAGTCAAATCTTTGCCCAGAATGTCCCCACCACCAAGTTTGGGGCCTTAAGCTAAAAATGTGTATTTAGAAAACAGGACTTTTAGACCATTTCCTTTGTTTATCACACCAATGATATTCAGAGATATATAATGCCTGAGGAGATTATACTTGAGTTTGGGGAATAGGGACCCAGCAGATGACCACCTTTTTCTTTTCTTTTTTCTGCCCCACAGAGCGTTCCCTTTACTGGCCCCATTTTTGGGGGTCTGACTGAGGGGAAGATGATTGTAATCCAAGGGCAAGTCCGGGTTTCTGTGAAAAGGTTTGTCCTGCTTCCGCTTAGCTCTTTGTGCCCTTTTGATAATTATCCCACCTCATCAATACCTTCCCCTCACATTTGATTCTCTGTTTTTACAGTCTTTCCATCTCCTTCCTCTTCACTGACTTTCCCCTGCTCTCCCAAATTCCAGAGAGTGCCTCACATTTTGCATTTAACGTGACCTTGCCCTGTCAGGAACAGCCCTAGCATTGGGCAGAGTAAGTTGGTTGCCTCAGGCGGCTGAAATTTTGGGTGTCGTCAAGACAAGGCATTAAATCACCTCTTATTTACTTTTATATTTATTGAGATTTTTACTCTCGGGGAGATGTGAGATTTCCTGCCTCAGGTGCTATAATAACTTACCCAGCCCTAGGTAACTTTCATGTTGACATTAGAGGAGGTGTCATTTGCATTGTGCCTCAGGGGACAAAATATATTTGTGTGAACAAGGAACCAGGAGAAACAACAACATGGGCAGTGTTTTCCTTTTGGAATAGTTTCCAGGACGATTAAAGCCACAACTCCATCCAGCCTTTACTATCGTTATTTTTAGCTGCTCACCACAAGTGAATAAGCTGCTTTTGCAGTGGACTTCACCGCCCATACTGATGTGGTCTACCCCCGAACTTGGAGGGTTTTACATCAAGCCCTACCCTGTTACCAGTATTCTTGATTTTAAGAATATCTGTAGAAATATTACAATTTACCAGTATTTAGCCACAAACCGGGTTGGTTCCAGGTACTAATGTGCAGGCAAAAACATGTAGTTTTCCCCACAAGGGACCCACATTTTCCTCCCCCTGAAAGTGTGGTGCAGTTTTTAATCTACCCCTCTCCTTTAGCTAGGGTGGTCACTTAGATGTCACCCCAAGCGACAGATTTGCCCAAAATGTGCAGAAATCTTGGGTTGTACCTGATGCTAGTCCTCCTCATTAAAGCTAATGGACAAGGCTAACGTAGGTTCACTATTTTAAGTGGGTCTCCTCTGAGTATAACTAAGTTAGAGAAATCTGTGTACCATAATTTTATTTTAAAAAGATCAGTACATCTGCTCTCATTATAGTGGTGAAGACTGTGAGCAGGTGAGCTGTGTGCCTACCTGTTCCCAGGTGTTCATTGCTGATGGACCCCTGCAAGGTCTCCTTAGTGGCTGTTTTTTATCATTGATTAATTAATTAAACTTATTAGTAACACACACACACACGTAACCCAGACAGCTTACAAAAATAAATAGATAACACATACATCAAAACCAGCATAAAGCAAAACAGAAAAAGCTAAAACTCATTAGTATTTTAAAAAGGCATGGCTAAAGCATTCTTCTAATGTTTTAGGCCACGGGTAATTCAAAGCCACAGGTCTGGTGATAAGAAATGTTTTTTTGCCTGGTGCCTAAAAGTAAGTAATGATGGCACCAGGTGAGCCTCCCTGAGGAGAGCATTCCACAAATGGGGAGCCATCACTGAAAAGGCCTTTAAACAGGGTTTAGACCAGAAATCCCTTCAAACAGAGGACTGTCTTCTGTAAAGGAGGGCATTGTACCTGCTGGAAGAGCAGCAGGATTAAGGATTTAGGGCTCATTCCAGTAAACACTTCAAAATACCCATAGGCCATCTTGTTTGGTGCCGGCACTGTATATAGCATAGCTCATGATACTTGACGCTAATTTCTGTGGAGAAATTATATCCCTTTGATAGTAAGGGATTTCATTTTTAAAAGAAGCAACAATTTACCAGTTGCTTGAAAACCAGCCCCTAGTAATGGGGTGCTGTTCTTATACAGACACAAAACCGCCTGAAGAACATTTCATGGCTGCCAATATGGCAGCTCCCCCACCTATACCTTTGCCCATTACTGGTGGTAAATGGGAGTGAGGATGCTGCCATAAGCAACCATAGAATGGTCTTCATGTGTTTTGTGGTAATTTACCTCACACAACTGGCTTTCAAGCAACTGGTAAAGTTTTTTGTTTTTTTTAAAGAAGAATCATTCAAAAAAGCCTTTCTTGTGTGAGGGAGATACTGATCTAAGGGTGCTGTTGAGAGGCTTGTTTTGCAGCATTATATAATGAAATTGTTGTTGGGTTTTTGTTTGTTTTATGACTTTAATCTAAAAAAGCAGGAAACTAGTTCCTGGTACCAAAGAGGACTTTGAGCCACTTTTGAAACTGTAGGAAGTCTCAGAAATGGTTTATGTCATGAGGCAGCTTGGGGAGAAGATCTATTAAAAAGGCAGAAACCACATTAAGCTTCCCCATCCCTTCAAGTGCGTCAAAAGTAGCTATTTGGGGATCCCAGCCTAAATGGCTATTTTTCAATTTATTCTTATTTTATTTTAATATTGTGAGCCATGTTGAGGGTGTGCACTAGACCAAAAGGTACTTCACCCAAACAAACAAACAAAATAGGGTGGACAGGAGCAAAAGTGGTCAGGGTCCCTGTACCTTCAATAGGTATATAGAATATGGAACTTTTCTCACCCAAGCATGACAAATCACACAACATATGCACAGTTATTAAAACAAAGCCTTGTAATTTATTTTGCAAGTGGCTATATATATTGTTATTCACTCAGAATGGTAGGGGTGGCTTGAAGTGGCATACTTTTGGGTTTTTTTGGCAAATATTTTTATTGACTGGCTTTCTGAACATACAATTAACAAACATTATCCTAAAATAGAAGCATGGTGCTTCTGCTTGAAGTCCAGTAGATTAATTTAAAGAGTCTCTCCATGGGTTGCTGGAGGAATTATCGTGTGACTAAGCTCTGTTAACATATGAAATGAAACGAAACTATGTCAGTCATTTTTTATAAAAAATATAGCCTTCAATCTTCCCATTAACTTTTCAACTAAATCAGTTTGCCAAATGTTTGCATACCACCTGGATAATGTTAATCCTAGAGTAGTTTTACCAGTACTTATTAGCCGTCGAGCCGCCACCATTAAAAATGTAAGGAACACCAGGATTTTGATTATCAAATATGGACAACGATGCTAGTTGAGGAATACAACTTCTTTGCCAGTCTCTTCAAATTTATTTATTTTTTTTTTGGTCCACCATATGTTTTAAGCGCCCTCAAAGAACCTCATGGGAACTGTAGTTTGTTATGGGTGCTGGGAATTCTAGGTCATCGAGGGGTAAACTACAGTTCCCAATGTTCTTGAGGGAGAGGACTGTGCTTTAAAGGGATGGTGTGTACACAGCCTAAAGCTCATTAACAACACAATCTTTTATGCACCTTCATGGCTCCTGCTCTTTCCGAATCACCCCTTTCCCCTACTCTCCCCTCCATTTCATCTCTCCAGTTCTTTCCCTGCAGGTGTGGTCATGGTCAACAAGCCCACCTGCCCATCTCTTCCCGCTGAGCTTCAGCCCAACCATCCCCTCACATTTCAGATTCTCGGTCAATCTAGTGTGCGGCAACGGCAACGTCGCCTTCCACTTCAACCCCCGTTTCGATGAAGGCCGAGTCGTCGTGTGCAATACTCAGCAACACGGCCGCTGGGGAGCTGAGGAGCGGGCCTACAACATGCCTTTCCAGCCAAATATTTATTTTGAGATGATCATCAACGTCAAGAGCCACTGCTATCAGGTGAGGAGGCTGGAGAAGCTGCTCCGGCTCGCTGTCTACCATGCAGCCCCTTCGTGTCTTGCAGGGGAAGGACTTGATAATTTGCAAGTGCAAGACTCCGACTTGGCTTTATGTTTAGGCCGGCAGAAGCTTGGCCCCATAGTGGTGCAGCAATAGAGCTGCTAGCACATTTGCAAAGCTAAGCAGGGTCGGGTATGGTTTCATATTGGATGGGGAGCCTCGTGTTGCAATTCTTGCTTTGCAGGGGGTTGGAGTAGATGACCCTCGGGGTCCCTTCCAGCTCTACAGTTCTATGATTCTATAAGAGATATGCTTCTCCATTCCTTCCCCTCCCGCCGCATTCCCGTTAGAGATGCGGCTCGGCTGACAAGAACAATTTGGCAGGGGATGATGATAGTGAAGAACAAATATATAAAGGCTGTATAAGAGCTGTGCAGGCTGGCCCGATGTTGCAATGAATTCTCATGAGGACTTAAAACAGAAATGAGCAGACCGATATGCAAATTGTGGGGAAATGAACTTAGGACTGGAAGAATTAGGAACCTGCAGAAACTTGAATGGATTTATCTGCCCATCCCTAACCACAGTAAGCGTGTCTGGGAAGTGAAGTGTTTAGGGGGTTCTGTGCATACTTTCATGCTGAGGGGTGTGGCGCTTGTACAAGTGTGGGCACAGCCTTCCATTTCAGGAGGGCCAGGCTTCTGAAAATATAGAAGAAATGCTTCACCTGTGAGTTCTGCTGAATGGGTTGCCTCACAAGTCCCCTTTGTTTGATAGCTGCTACCACCTAGTGGGTGAAGTAGAACAAGGGTGGAATTCTATTCCAAGAAGAAGGTAGGCTGTCACAGATCATATGAGGCGTCCAGTACAATTCACCAAACTGTCTCCCTGTGGGCTGTCATTCAGTTTTAAGCAGCTAGGCCAAGAGAGAAGCCAAACAAACATAGGACATCAGTCAATCCAAGGCATTAAAGAGATGGCTGTAGTCTGTAGAATCATGTATTTATGCTTATAATAATTTTATTCAAACAACCTTTAAGAAATAAACTTGACAGTGGATTTTCTAAATGTTTCCATTTATTAAATCTTGAAACTATAAGAGGAGGGGGGCCATGTGGGCACTACCAAAAAAGGAGACACAGATTTGCATAACGTTTGCACCTGCCATTTTTCTATCGATTTGAATGGAAATATAATCCATCTCGTCATAGTGGGGAGGGCAGGGGCAGTGTGTCGCGTTGTGTCACCCGAGGTGAAGTGGGAATGTGCTGCGCTGCCATGCTACACCCCTTCCTCCTCCTTTACCTGGGTTGCCCATGAAGTGGCAGCAGCATCGGTGGGTTCCAGCGAGGCAAAATGTCACAAAATCTTGCCTCGTCTCAAAGGGACTCGCCTAACCAGTTCCTCAACCTCCTCCAAACTCATAACAATAAAGTTAAATGCTAAGAGTTACTTATATCCAATTGTAGTTCTACACAGAGTAGACAACTGAAATTAATGGACATGAGAGTCAGTTTAGTTCCATCAATTTCAATGAGTCTACTCTGATTATAATCTAGTTCAACTCACTGACTCCAACACCTTAACTAGGTTGTCCCTCCAAGTTCCACCCTCGGATTAGGAGCCCACAAAGCACAAATTCTGCCTCTTGTTTCCCAAGAACTAATCTCACCTCCTCCTTCCATTATTCTAGGTATCCGTCAATGGCAACCACTTCCTGGAGTACAGACACCGCCTTCCTTTCCATGAGGTCCAGACATTGCAGATCAATGGAGATGTCTCTTTGAACTGCATCAGCTTTGCTGGCACTAATGTGAGTTGCACAGTTTCACCTCTTACACCTCCTCCAATTTCAGCTTACCGTGGTGGATCATGTACCTTGTAATGTGGGTAGCAGCCATTTGCAAATCAAAGGAGAACACTTAGAAATGTGTCAGTCTAATTTTAAAATGAGGTGCTGGCAACTGGTGACATATGGAGTCGGCAGAGACAAAACATTTGTGGTTGCAGTTCTCATGCGAGCTTGAACACTAGAAACAAGATGCAGTGAATTTGTATGAACAACTTACCCTTCTTGGGGAGCAATCCTGGGGAGGGATGCTGCAGACCTCTATGCCAGAGAGGGTGGTTTGCAGATAGACTCTTCTTCATCATGGTGGCAGAAACCTTAAGTGCCATCAGTGCTGTGCTCTGCCATTGCTGCACCAGCGGTGGCAAGACCAACAATGAACTGTGTTGTGCCATGCCAAGCCTCTGTCAGAGGAGGCTGTGGGTGTACAGGATCCCAAGCCTCCTTGTGACCCCAGATAAACCTTCATTTGCATTGCCTGGCATAAGCTTTTGGGACTTGGCAGAATTTGACAGAATTCCACACACACACCCTGTGTCCCATTAGGATTGTTCTGTAAGTTATTTTTTGAAACGTACTTGCCGTACGTCTTTGCCAGTTCTTGAAATTGATTTCACAGTTCCCACACTGAAACACAAATATGTGAAACAGAAGATTTTGCTTTATATCACAAGGTGATCAGCAGGGTTAAGATTCTTCTTGATTAGCCTTTGCCTGATACGTGAAGTATAAGAAAGTAGGCAGCAGGCAGACCTATCAGAGAAAGCATTCCATAAATAAGGTACCACCACCAATAATGCTAAGTTTCAAATTTTCAAATATCAGGTAAGAGAACTGTGAGAGGCATCTCTGAGGATTCTACCAGAAGTTTCATGGCCCTGTTACCCAAGATGCTGCCAGCTGGAGTAAGCAGAATGGGCCAAGCTGGATAAGTGATCTGACCTAGTACAAAGTGGCTTTGTGTGCTCATACTTAATCTTAAGAGGGCATGAGAAATACAAACTTGCTTCAGAAGCAAACAAATAAAAAAGGATTTTTTTTTGCTTTGGAAGCCAATAATGTTATTTACGCATTCATATATTTACGAATGGATGTATCACTTTAAGGTGGCAGTTGATGGCTTTTGGATCAAATTGGGAAAAGAGACAGTGCCAGAAGGGCAAGTTGTTATTGTTGTTGTTGTTTAAAAAAATAGTTCTTATTTCCAAACGTATTTTTATTGTGTTTCAGCCTCCACCCCCATATACCCCTCCTGCTTACAATGTTGTGACAGCCACCACAGTAAGTAGAAACCCTTAGTTTGTTTGCATCTCTTTGCTTTGCAAATCTAGTGGGGGGCTGGGGCTGGTGGGGATTGATTAGTACTGGTTATTTATGTAGCAGTTTCAGTGCACGAAGTGCTTTACAGTGGTACCTCTAGTTATGAACTTAATTCGTTCTGGAGGTCCGTTCTTAACCTGAAACTGTTCTTAACTAGAGGCGGGCTTTCGCTAATGGGGCCTCTTGCTGCCGCTGCACCGCCGGCACGTGATTTCTGTTCTCATCCTGAGGCAAAGTTCTCAACTCGAGGCAAATCTTCCAGGTTAGCGGAGTTTGTAACCTGAACCGTTTGTAACCTGAGGCGTTTGTTAACTCGAGGTACCACTGTACTACATTCACCTTCATAACTCCTTGCAAAGTAGGCCACTAGTTTTCCCATTTTCTGGGTTGGAACGGAGAAATAAGTGACTTATTCAAGGTCACCCACTGAAGACCTAGCCACATAACTGTTGAGGACATGGTGCACTGGGGGAAAATAGTTGAGAATCCTGTTTGTGTTCACATTGAACCTTTGCCTCCCTAATTCTTGGAAGCCAATCACAGAATCACTGTTAGAGGAGCCTGGTAGACTAGGAGGGGGGAACCTCTGCTCCTCCCAATATTGCTGAACTACAACTCCCAAGCAAATGCGGCCAGAAATTATGGAAGTTATAGTTCAGCAACATCTGGAGGACCAAAGGGTCCCCACACCTGTTGTGCAGATCATCTGGGCCAACCTTCTCCACTGTTCAGCACTAAGGCATTCCTAGAACAAGGCTGCCTAACGTCAACTTGTAGACCTCCAGTAAGCGCGAACCCCATGACCCCATATACGTAACCAGTGGTCTCATACCCTGCGTTGCTCAGAAATCAGTCTTGAAAGGCTCAAAATGACATCTAGCTATATCCAAACAGACAAAAACCTGTGTCTTGATCTCAGGAACCACCATGCAAAATTTTGCAACGATATTTTAAGAGGTGTCCAAATGCACAGTGAACAGGCAGACCACTTTGTCAAACCACTCTGACCATTAATAAAATTATCCTAACGTTCAACTGAAGTCTACCCTTCTGTAACTTAAGATCTAGATCTTTCCCAGGAGCAAATAAGTCTTTCCCCTCTTCTCTGTGACAGCTTTCCAGATATTTGAGCAGTGTTATCATATCCCCCCCTCAGTCCTCTAGGTTAAACATACCAATAGAGCACGCTTCTGGGGTTGAAGTCAAATGGCTGTGTTAGCAGCACTAAAGTGACCTCTGCCTGCAATAATAATAATAATAATAATAATAATAATAATAATGCTGAAACTGCATCCCAGAGCTAAGAGAATCAAACCGCTAAATATCCTTCTATCAGTGCAAAAGTTAATGCTCCCTTAATGATATATCTCTTTCTTTTCAGGTTGGTGGTATGTTTGCTCAGCCGAACTTTGTGCAGCCATCATTTTCTGTGAGTAGCTTCGTGGAAACTTCTCAGATCCTATAAACTACTGGGCTAAAGGATGGGAGGCCTAAGGCACAACCTGGCACCCTGATCCACTCACAAATGGTGACTTGTTGTGGTTGCCGCACAACAGCAGAATCCTGTTGGCACATGGGAAGGCCCAGAGCTCAGTGGAAGTAGGGCATAGCTCCATGAGAAAAATACATGCTTTCCAGGCAGAAGGTTCCACAGGTTGCGATCCTATACTCAGTTACCTGGCTGGGAATAAATCCTGTTGAAATCTGTGGGACTTTCTTCTTCTTCTTCCATTTTTTTAAATCAATGTATATACAGTGGTACCTCGCAAGACGAATGCCTCGCAAGACAAAAAACTCGCTAGACGAAAGGGTTTTTTGTTTTTTGAGCTGCTTCGCAAGACGATTTTCCCTATGGGCTTGCTTCGCAAGACGGAAACGTCTTACAAGTTTGTTTCCTTTTTCTTAACACCGTTAATACAGTTGCGACTTGACTTCGAGGAGCAACTCATAGAATGCGGTGTGGTAGCCTTTTTTGAGGTTTTTAAAGACTTTGGTGATTTTTGAAGCTTTTCCAAAACTTTCCCGACACCGTGCTTCGCAAGACGAAAAAAATCGCAAGACGACAAAACTCGCGGAACGAATTAATTTCGTCTTGCGAGGCACCACTGTACAACATGAAAAACAGTTGTAGGGAAATATTAGAAAAAGAACAGAAAAACAAACCAAGCACATGGTAAAGGTAAAGGTAAAGGGACCCCTGACCGTTAGGTCCAGTCGCGGACGACTCTGGGGTTGTGGCGTTCATCTCGCTTTACTGGCTGAGGGAGCTGGCGTACAGCTTCCGGGTCATGTGGCCAGCATGACTAAGCCGCTTCTGGCGAACCAGAGCAGCGCATGGAAACGCTGTTTGATCCACGTGCTTTAATCCACTTTGATTGTGCAAACCTAAATTTTCTGGTATGCGTTTTCAATCCTACCTGCAAAATAATGAGACTGTGGAAGAGTTTTGTTCCCTCCCACTGAGCTACGTATAGATCCACCCACTGGCAAGTCAGGATTGCAGAGAGGAAGTGAGGATTAGGAGAAGAATGGGGTTAAGAATTAGGGTGAGATGTTAAATGAGAAGAAGCTGGAGTATTTACAGATTCCAGAGTGATGATTTTTCCTTTCTTTCTTAGTATAGATTTTGATATTTCATGCAGGGCCCTTACAAAGAAAACATTTTAAATTATATTAAGGGGGGGGGGTTTACTTAAACTGACTAATCAAAAAGCAAGACTCGGTGTTTTTTTCTGGGGGGACACAGGGGTACACATACCCCTAATCATTTTGTGAATCTAAGTTTGCCTCACTAAGGGGCAGTATTTCAGTATGAGTAGGAAAATGAGAATACCCCTAAACATTTTTTTAGAAAAAAAGCACTGGCAAGACTAGTCAGTGAAACATTCTCTCTAGTTAGTGGACAACTCTGGAGACATTTGATTGCTCCACCTCTTCACTGGGTTCAACAAGTGTTCCCTGAAACAAAAAAAAATTAATACAAACAATAGTTCTATGTAAGTTAAATTATTGCTTTTCTTTTCATTCTTTGCAGACAAGGAAGAAGAAGACGGCCCAGGTGTGTGGGTTAAATTCTGGGGCAATATTGTAGTCTACCTAGTTTAGATAAGGCAGGACTGCAGGGGTTTGGTCTAGACTGAATTTTGATGCTTTTCGGTTCTGCTATACAGTATTATTATTGCAAGGCCTTTCACTTTTTCTCTGTTTCTTCATCTTTTCTCAGGGTAACAGTGGAATAACTTTGTCCAATCCTGTGAGTATATTGGTGTTCTGTTTTCTATGCCTCTTGGTTCTCCATCATAGATAAATTTAGAAATTTCTGCTCGTTTTTGACATAGATTAAAGATGGTAAACTGGCAGCCTGTAGGCCCCAAATATAATTTACAACACACCCACACAACAGATGCATCTCCTTTTGGCTATATGAAGTGTTCTTGTGGCATTTTTCCCCTGAAGCTCCTGAATCTTCCCACTCTTGGGAGACAGGACGCTTAGTCAAGACGGATTGGTCTGATCTTATACAGGCATCAGGCCAAGTCTAGACATAGGTTGCCTAGTTAGATTAGGGAAAGCTGAGTGTTAAGAGGCAGCAAAGCAGACAGGAGTCAAAGAGGGTCTGGGCAGGGCACAATGAAAGAAAAGGCTCAGCAAGCAAGTTCAAGAGGCAACCAACGTGCAAATATAATCAAGAGATTTGCTCTGCGTGCCAGCAGCTTCTCCCCTTAAGACATAAGCTATAAGTTAAAGAGATCCCATAGCACTACCAAGAAGATGTGTATATTCTATCAGAAAAGACAAGGAAGATAGAAATAATGACGTTTGATGTTTGCATATATATTGGCACAAAGGCAAGGATGCAACTAAAAACTAAGAAACTAGTCCATTTTTTGGTGTTTAGAGGCGCCTCATAATCAGAGGCATTAAACTGTACCTTGCTTCTCCCTGCTTCAATAGGGGCTGGAGGGTAGAGATACAGTGTGGGAAGGTTCTAGCAGTTCAATGTGTACTTGCATTTTAGGGCTAAGGAAGAGCGATTACAGCTGACTTGTAAATTGTGTCCTTTGGTTGCAGCCAGCCTACCCAATTTCCGCCTCTGATAATAGATCAAGATCCACCTGTGCTGATTTCTGAATGCAGGAACATTCTTCAGCTTCTGGGAGTCTTAGTTCTGGGAGTCTTAGTTCTGCTTTGTCTTCTTGCTTCTCTTGATGAAAGACTGAATCCCTGTTGTTATTTTTTCCAGGCTGTCCCATTCCACATTGCCATCCCGGGGAATTTCACTCAGTTCCGCAAGATTACAATTGTGGGGAATGTGCCTTTTCACGCAAACAGGTGCGTTAGCAGAGGGGGCAATATTATGCACCAACTTCCTACATTCAATTATCAAATGAAGTTGAAGCCAATCAGAAAGCACCGTATATACTTGTGTATAAGCTGACTTTTTCAGCACATTTTTTTATGCTGAAAAAGCCCCCCTCGGCTTATACTCGAGTGAGGGTCCCTTTCGGGCTGCTCCTTCCTCCTCCTCTGCCTTTGCCGCTGGCGGCGGCGGTGGAGGAACGAGCAGCCCGAAAGCAGCCCTTTGGGGCTGCTTGTTCTTACTCCGCCGCTGCCGCCACCAGCCTCTGCCTCTTGGCAGCACCCTGGGTAGGCTGGGGGACAGGAGGGGCTGGGAGGGAGAGAGAAGCCCCCTCTGCCGTGTGCGCGTGTGCACACGAACTCTGGCCCACCAGGAGGTTTGTGGTGTGGTGAACCGGCTTATACTCGGGTCAGTAAGTTTTCCCAGTTTTTTGTGGTAAAATTAGGTGCCTCAGCTTATATTTGGGTCGGCTTATACTCGAGTATATACGGTATCTGTCAAATTATGTCTGCAGGTTCCAGAGATACAACCAATCTAATTCGCTTCCCTATCACATTTGAATCTTATTTTGCTGCCTTCTTATTCAGTTTACCTTTGCTGTGTGTGGTTTTTCCAAAATATTTATTTCTTTCAGAGTAATTTTCTTTCTCGATTGGCAGTGACGTTGTTTGGGAACAACATGCAAGTGTCATGAAGGGTGGCTGATTTCATAACATTCACACATGCAGCAGAAGCTGAGCTTCTAGGTCAACCTGTGGCTCCTAGGTGTAGGTTTGCTTTTCTGCAAATGAGGATAATAACGAGAGCCAGTGTGGTGAGCACTTTGGTTCGGCTGGAGAGTTCAAATCCTCGTTCAGCCATGAAGCTCACTGGATGAAGTTGAGCCAGAGACTCATAGGGCAAGGCAAAGTAATCTTCAAAGATGCCACCCTGAGTACAGTGGTACCTCCGGTTACGAACTTAATTCGTTCCAGAGGTCCATTCTTAAGCCGAAACTGTTCTTATCATGAGACGCGCTTTTGCTAATGGGGCCTCCCACTGCCGCCACACCGTGGGCGCGCGACTTCCGCTTGCATCCCAGGGCAACGTTTGCAACTAGGGGCATCTACTTCCGGGTTAGCGGAGCTCGTTACCCGAAGCATTCGTAAAGAGGACGGTACGTAACCCGAGGTTCCACTGTATATTGGAGGAAAGGGATGGTACCAGTGTGGTAATACAAATCTGATCCAGAGAAGACTCAGGTCTAAAAAGATCATGGGCTTATCCAGACTTTCTGTTACATTGCGCTTTTCAGGCACAGATCTGGGATTTAAAGCTGTGTGTCAGAGTGATGTTGGTTTTTTTATATATTTATCCCAGTGCTTCCCCAGGGAAAATCCGCATTTTACTGCTGAATCAGAGCAAATAAAAAACTGCAGAAAACCTGATTGCCGTAATCAGCAGTAAAGCGCAGGTTTCCCTAGGGAAACCACCGGGACAAAAAAGAAAACCTGCTTGGACACAAAGCTTTAAATTCCAGACCTTTTGGCTAGAAATGTGGCATAAAAGGTAGTCTGGATGAGCCATGAGTGAAATAAAAGCCAGATCAAGAAGTTTAGGCCAAGCAGATGAAAGAGTGAATTATTTAAGATGGCTGTAGAGCAAGAAGCAGAGAAAGGCAGGCTCAAGAAGAATGTCTATCAGGTAAGTACCGGTACTCTCAAATACCCATTTGTTTTGTGTATTTCTCTAAAAAAAAGCAGGTTGTAAATAGTCACTTACCCAGTCACTTGTGGCAAATAATGGAGAGCCCTCAAGGCTATGGCAAGAACAAAAATGATCAAAATAAGTTTTTCTTTCAGACCACATGCAACTAGCAGATCCTATGCATATTTACTGAGAACTAAATCCCAGTGAGTTCAATGCAGCCCACTCCAAGTTAAGTGTACAGAAGAGGATAGCATTAGATATTTATACTGGGAGCAGCCAGGCTAGTAAACATTTTCAGTGGGCATGTAACTTTAGTAGATTTATTTGCAAAGCTGTGAAGAAGTTATTTATTCCACCCACCTTACCCACCCATTTTATAAGTTCTTGTAGGCAGGGGTTACATTTCCAGGTATGCGTGAAATTATATATAGTGGGGAACACCATCTAAAAAACCAAACTCCGCCAAGAATCTGGCAAACTCCATCACAATTGCTCCCTCCAAACCTCCGTTCTCAAACTCCCAACTCTCCACAGCCCTCAAAGGTCTGTGCAAAGGCTTCTGGATCGCTAGCCATTTTCCTGCTCTTTTCATGTCATTTTTGCAGTTTTTCTGCTCTTCTTAGGCTCTTTTTGCCCTTTAAATTTATTTATCTGTATCCCAGCAATGCGCATATATGCAGTTGTGCATAAGTGGGGAAACTTCTGTATTGCTTCCACTCAATAGCTACATTAAATTTGCAAAGGATTAGGAAGACTTGCTTCTCTAAGATCTATGCTGGGTTAAAAGTCGTGTTGTATCATTTTGGAGACCCCAGGAATATGCATTGTCGCCTCCTTCCTCCCAGATTCCATGTGAACCTGAAAAACACAATGACCGGCAACATCGCCCTGCACATCAACCCCCGACTGAAGGAGGGAGCAATAGTCCGGAACACCTTCATCCATGGCAGTTGGGGCTCTGAGGAGAGGCACTTGCCTGCCATGCCTTTCTCCCCTGGCCAGGCCTTCCATGTAAGAAATACCTTTGGGGAATGAGCATTTGCACTGGTTTAAATTTCAGATCTTTGTCAGAAGGCACACCTCATCAACAATACCAACCTAGGTTGAAACGGTTACACAGAAGCTTCTGACATTCTGTGGCAGGTATTAGTTTCAACAGCAGATCTTGGAAAGACCCTTCCAACACTCTCCTTGCCCCCTGCCCTTTTAGCAGAGAGGAACTGGCCACTTCCTCCTGCTCTTCATGTGCAGGTGAAAACACATGAAGAAGGACCTTTGGCCTGATCAAGGAAAGCAGTGTTTATATTCCTACAGCCATTTTACTGGCTTATACTTGCCTTTCCACATCAGACCATCAATTCCAGCATTCTCTCTCAAACAATGCCTTTTAAGCAGCTAAGAAGGGAGAGATTGCCCCCTCCCCAGATTAGCCTAATTAGTCCAGTAGGGGGCTGGATTTTCTTGGGACCAGAGCGCTATACTTTTATAAAGTAGTGCTATACATCTGACAGGATTCTTGGCACTCTGAACAAACTGCTTCATTTTAGGAAATCATTAAACTGGTATAAAATTAGGGTTGCCATACGTCCATAATTTCCCAGACGTAGCCGGGATTTGGCAGTCGGAAACAGTGACCGGGCAGAAATCACAGCGATCTCTGTGAAAATCCAGATGTATAGCAACCCGTGTCAGAAGTGACTCTGCAAAAAAAAACAAAAAAACCAACCACCCCTCAACAACAGTATGGCAACCCTAATAAAATTGATATAATGGATAAAACCTGCTCCATGCCTCTTGTTGTGTGTGGATTAGTATGGTTTGAAAACTCAGAATAAAACATTTCTTACTTTCTACCACTAGATGGAGATCACCAACCTAAAGAATAACTATCAGGTGACTGTGAATGGAATTGTGATATTCAATTATACCCATCGAATCCCTTCAGGACAGGTGGACCACCTGGAAATAGCTGGGGATGTGACCCTCTCCTGTGTGCAGTACTGACGAGTCTCTGTTCTTCTTACACAACATTTTAAATAAGCTATCTTGAAAGAGAAAAGCAAATACGTTTCTGTAGTGCCTTTCCCCCCTGTGGATCAGCACTGCTTCAAACCACGTCAGGCATACCTGACCTGCAAGGCTAATGTTTACTATTATGGCTTCCCTACAAGGGACCCTGGGAATTATAGTCTGAAAGGATCACTTGCAGAAAAAAAATGTGGTAACCTTGTGGGATACCTGTGGGTAGGGAAGCCATGCTTGCGAAATCTGTTAAAACCCTTTTTCTGGTACTGATGCAAATATACAGGTGTTGAATAAAGATGCTGAATGGAGATTTTACTAACTGGACAGCAGATAGAATTGTTTTGTCTTAAATTCAGATAATCATTTACTTCTTCCCTTGTACCCTTAATCATACTTTGCAGTTATGTAAATTATGCTCATATGCCTCCTTGATGAAAAATAAATGCCAATGAAGATAAAGATGGAATGATACTGCAGCATTCAATGATATTCTATATTGTTGTGCTATTTTTGTCTGAGCAGACTCCATAACCACCTGCAAAAGAAAGTATGAAGTAACGAAACAAGCTCACACAATTAACGCAAGGTGTAACACAACTCTCTCACTGAATTCCACAAATACTCAGCCTTCTGTATTCAGAGGATTGTGCTTTATAAAGACACAACTAATTTCAAACCAGTCCTGTTCCACCACCATCATGATGGATCACAAGCTTGTACAGGGCAAAGTCTTTTAAAAGATGCCCCGTGGAACATGTGTACTCTGTATCCGCGGGGCCTCTTTTAAAGGACTCACCCTGTACTAGTCACTTGCTTAATCACCTACATTAAATATGTCTGTAAGTGGGCAGGCTTTCCCGCTCTTTCTCAGATTATTCACATGTCACAGATGAACAGAGGTATGTGTGGACAGACAGACTAGGTTTTTTCTTTACATGAAATGGAAGCTTTTAAGATGCTGGTGTGAATATAAATATGGTAAGCATTAGCTTTAAAAATTCAATATACCTTGAAGCGCAACAAAAGATTTATCAAGAGCAGTTTAATTTTCTTTGACTCTACCGTGCTGGACTATTTAGGCAAGATTATTACAGGATATACAAGTGTGATTGAAACACTAGGCATCAAAAGTTTTGAGTCAAAAGCTTCTATTCCAGTTTCTTATTGCACCTTATGGCCAGGGTTGCAGCAGTCTCTCTCTCTCAACACCTTTAACTGCCTGCAAAAAGCAGTTAATTGGCTAGCTATTGTTCTAGAACCAGCTAGGTGTTTACTGGAGGTAGCTCTATCTGGATATCAGGCAGCAGGTTGCAGCTGGTGATGATGTCTATCTTTTCTGCAACAGCACGCAAGTCCTCCAGGACAAGCCGGATGTTGTGTGATGCGCTAATGATGCCGTTTTGGGAGTTACTGAGCTGTCCAGTTATGGCCCCAATCTCCTTGATAGCAGTCTGGTACACTTGCTTGACGGTGCTGCTGACATCGTAGTACAAGCGGGCATTACTCTCGATCAGCTTCTGCTGTAGCAAAGTGCTGTAGCGGCCGCGATGTCTGATACGAAGGGCAGGCTTCTCTTCAACCGCTGTGGGGGACCCCAGATCCTCATTCCTGAAAACAATCAGCGGAGGCAAGTCTGTGCCGATCAATTTAGGCTCTGCTTTCGGACTACAGGGGCTTGCATCTTCCTCCTCATCTGTTTCAGAGGCCTCCCCAGCAATTTTTACGCCGGAAAGGTTAGGACATGAAGCCTGGGGTACGGAGGACAGATAAACCTCTTCCTCTGAATCAGTCTCTGAGGCTTCTCCCTGAACAACAGTTTTGTACCTCCGGGTAGTCATTTTTGCATTACCTAAAGAAACAAAAGCAACTTCAATTTTGAGAATTTGTGACGGAGATAAACCTACCAGGATAACCCCAATTGATTATATCCTATTATGGAGCAGTAATTAAGAATAGGATGTACAGACAGTGCTGTTGATGTGGGAGGTTGATGAGGGGGGGCTATACAAAAAATGAGGGAACTGCTTCACAAATCCTCCATGTCCAGAGACCAGTTCCATCTATGTACTGACAGATGAGATAACATAAGATGGGTGGCTCCCTCCATCATCCCCTCTTTGTCATCTTCTCAGGGACAGCTGTCTAATCACTGTTGGAGACAGAGGTGAGAAACCTCAGACCTGGGAGGCAAGCCTCTCACACCACAGCTTCGCATCTTCCTTTTGTCCAGCTGGAAGGTGTCCTCAAACTCTGTTTATGCCTCTCACTTTCACTCTGCCCACCATGGAAATATGGCTCCTGGAAGTTCGCCCAGAAACTTCCTCCACACTCACAATGCCAGCAGCCCGATAGCATACCATTACCCAATCCTCTCACACGGGTTACCCCAGGGTTGTTACTTTTAACACACCACCACAAACAAGATTTGTGTAGCATTTGCTAATTTATATCTATTAAACTGTTTGCTTATAAAAGCCTACTGTAACTTAAATGGAAATGCATCTCACCGCAGCGGTGAGATACCAAATGTCTCACTTAAATAGTTTTAAGTTGATCTGGGTTGCCTTGGGCATGATAAAGCAACTGATGAAATAATATTATTAATAATAATAGTAATAATAATAATAATAGCGAGAAAGACTGTGGCCAGGCTACCTGTGTGGCTGCTCAGTGTGTACTCCAGGTGCTAAATGCAGATAGGAAACGTCAACACACACACACATACATACACCCCACTTCATAGAATCAGAGAACTGTGCAGTTGGAAAGGAACCCAAGGGTCATCTAGTCCAGCCCCATAAAATGCAGGAGTCTTTAAACTGGATGCGTTGCCACCCCAGCTCAAGCAAAGGTGCGACCCCCTTGCAGAACCAGCCGCAACACCTCCCCATCCTCCTCTCCTCTCCCCTTCCCTCCCTTTTTTCTCTCACAGCCTGACCCAACGGATGCCTACTCGGAAGTAAGCGCCACTAGCTCCAAGGGAGCTTTATCCTGAAGTAAATGCACACAAAACTGCAGCTACTCTCTCTCTCTCTCTCTCTCTCTCTCTATATATGCAGCTGCTGCTGCTATTATTAATACTGCTCCTCCTGCCTTACGTACGGCATACCCCCCTTCCAAAAAAATTCCAAACTCAACCTTTCGATCAGGAAGAAGCGTCTCCACCTTTGAGCTGGTCACGTGACATCGACGGATCACGTGCCGCAGCAGCGCTTCGATTTATGTTCGGAGGTTAAAAAAAAAAAGCAGCACGTAGCGCATGCGCGCTAGCGGCTGAAGGCTGGCGCGAGCCGTCCTCTTCTCTCAGCCAATCCTCTCTCGCCTCCGCCTCGCCGTCTTCGCCTTCCCTCCCTTCGCGAGCCCAAGCGTCGAAACGTTTTGAGCTGAGGAGAGGCTATAAAAGGGGCCGCTCGGCTGGTGCAGAGCGCGTTTACCTCAGCGCTAGCGAAGTTTGTTGAGCTCTTAAGGGCGGAGAAGGGGAGGAGCTCAACGGCTGGGCCAAAAGACGCACTTACTTAATTTCTTTATTAGTATTATTATTTATTTTCAATGCAGAGTTACAACAAAAATTACAAAACTTACAAACATTGAATCCAAAATAATACTGTACAAACAAGAAAGAAAAACGGAACACACAAAAAAGAAAACAAAAAAGCATACATCTACAAATAAAACCATATCTTCATTCTAATCTAGTCATTACATACACCACATTACATACAACACATATTGACTTCCTTTGTTCTAAGACCTCAAAAAATTTACTCTTTCTAAATTGTTGTGTCTAATGTAGATTACTTCTATCTTTATACTTTTTTTACGTCATTTCCCCTTTTCTTTAACCCTGTAAAGCATCATTCATTACATACTTACTTAATTTCATAGAATTTATACACCGCTTCATCGTAAACGCACAGTCACCCTCAAAGTGAATTACAAAGAAACCAAAAATCTACAACCGTACTTTAAAACACGCCAAAGTTAACATGCTAACACGGATTGAAATGACCTCGTCAACTTACTTTCTGACATTAAGAGCTGTTCGACAGTGGCATGGTCTCTGGAAGCTGTGGACACTCCTCCCTTGGAGGTTTTTAAGCGGAGTTTGCATGGGTGCTTTAGTTGAGATGCCTGCATTGCAGGGGTTTGGGTGAGATGACCTTCCAGCTCTTAGAAGTCTATGATTCGATGCCTTCCTAAGCATCTGGGTAGCATTGCCTAAACAGGAATGCTTTTAGCAGGCATGTGGTGAAGGCGCCTTCTGGATCTCAATAGGCAGGTAGTTCCAAAGGGCAGGGGCCGCCACGCTACGCAATCAGAGTTCTTGCAAATGTGGAACGGAGGCTCCAATACTTTGGCCACCTCATGAGAACAGAAGACTCCCTGGAAAAGACCCTGGAGTTGGGAAAGATGGAGGGCACAAGGAGATGGGGACGACAGAGGACGAGATGGTTGGACAGTGTTCTCGAAGCTACGAACATGAGTTTGACCAAACTGCGGGAGGTATGTAAAGAAACTGAAGGTACATTTTTTCACCTTTGGTGGACGTGCCCAAAGATTAAGGCTTTCTGGGAGATGATATATAATGAATTAAAAAAGGTATTTAAATATACCTTCTTGAAGAAACCAGAGGCCTTTCTCCTGGGCATAGTCAGCCAATCGGTGTTAAAAAGGATAGAACTTTCTTTATGTATGCAATAACAGCAGCAAGAATACTCATCGCAAAGTATTGGAAGACACAAGAGCTACCCACACTGGAGGAATGGCAGATGAAATTGATGGACTATATGGAATTGGCGGAAATGACTGGTAGAATCCGTGACCAGGGAGAAGAGTCGGTGGAAGAAGATTGGAAGAAATTCAAAGATCATTTACAGAAATATTGCAAAATTAAAGAATGTTAGAGTGATGATGGATTGAAATTAAGTGGCTTCTAGCTGTACAGGTTTTAAAGTTATATATAGATCAAGATTAAGGATTAGGATTAAAAAGGTTAAAAGAATGGAAAATTGGTTTTTAATAGGTTAAAATTTAATGTTATATTATATTAAGATTAAAGATTGGGATTAAAAAGGAGGGAAAGGAATTGCTGGACAAACAAACTGAATTGGAATACAAAAGAGGGAGTTATGAGGAAGTCCGGGAAACAAGTAAATGTAAAAGAAGTTATGAAAAGACGGAATTGTTTTTAACTGTTTTTTTCTTCTTTTTTTATCTTTTTGTATTTTGTATTTTCTATTTTCTATTGTGTATCTTTCTTTTTTCTTTTCAAATTTCTCTTGTTTATGAATGTGATTTTATTTTTTCTGAAACTTTAATAAATATTAATTAAAAAAAAACAAAACTGCGGGAGGTAGTGGAAGACAGGAGTGCCTGGCGTGCTCTGGGGTCATGAAGAGTTGGACACGACTAAACAACATCAAAGCACCACAGTTGCAGGAAGCCGCTGGAGGGGAAGAGGGCTCTTGTGCTTGCTGGTTTCCCATGCAGGCAACTCTTCAGCCGCAGTGAAAACAGGATGTTGCGCTAGATGCAGGGCCAGATTTAGGTTTGATGAGGCTCTAAGCTACTGGTAATGGGGCCCTTTGTATGTCCAGCTGTCCTTTGTCAACAACAAATTGTCGCTGTTTTTTGTGTTGAATATACAGTGGTACCTCTGGTTGCGAACGGGATCCGTTCCGGAGCCCCATTTGCAACATGAGCAGAACGCAACCGGTGCCTGCACATGCGTGGGTTGCAATTTGCTGCTTCTGCGCATGCGCGTGACATCATTTTGAGCATCTGCGCTTGCGCAAGCAGCGAACCCAGAAGGGACCCATTCTGGTACCTCCGGGTTGCCGCGGGATGCAACCTGAAAAGATGTAACCTGAACCGAACGTAACAAGAGGTATGACTGTATGCTATATGGTAGTTTATGGACCTAATACAGTGGTACCTCGAGTTACAGACGCTTCAGGTTACAGACTCTGCTCAGCCAGAATAGTACCTCGGGTTAAGAACTTTGCTTCAGAATGAGAACAGAAATCGTGTGGCAGCAGCATGGCGGCAGCAGGAGGCCCCATTAGCTAAAGTGATAACTCAGGTTAAGAACAGTTTCAGGTTAAGAACGGACCTCCAGAACGAATTAAGTTCTTAACCCGAGGTACCACTGTATATCCCACCTTTTTTCTCTAAGGAACTCAAGGTGGCGAACACTGGCTAGATGGACCATTGGTTCTCTTTTAGGTCTGCTGAAATTATATTAGAAGTTATTCCAAATCCAGTTCCATTGTTTCCTGGTTATTCTTTGATCCAAATCTTGCACCTGTTTTCTCTATCTGATTCCGATCCAAGTTTAACCAGTCTTAAAATTGAAATTCAGTCTCGAAGTTACATCTTTATCCAACTAAGAGATAATAGAGTTTCACAATTGTTCTCTTTCCTGACTTCCACATGTTTTTGTATCAGAAAGGAGATCACACCTCTAATTTGAAATACTGGAAGAGTGGAGGTCTCCTTCATTTCATAGCACTCACAACCTCCTCAACCTTGTCAGAATGATGACCCCGCAACATCTTTATGCTTTCTAAACCAGTATTTTCCCATTGCTTGAAGTATTTAACTACCATTTATTCCAGATTTAGAAATTCATTATAAAATGGGGAAGTTAACGATGACAGACCCATAGATATTCTGTCTTTAATTTCATACTAGGTTCTTATACTAAGGGAAGAATTTCAAATTTAAGTTCCCAGTAGTTTTCTTTAAACCATATTTAAGCTTTTTCGTTATGATTAATTATTCTGCCCTCCAGTATTGGATCTTCTTTAAACCATTTTTAAACAATTTTGTTGCCTAACAACAACTCTTTCTGCTAGGTGCTGCCATAATCCACTGCTTGGTTTTTTAAATACAGTTTTGGCAGCTGCCCTTTATGGTTTTTCTTCTGTATAAAATGCTGTATCAGTCTCTGCCACTTTGTATTTCAGATGAGACAACTAATGGAATATTTAGGAGTATAAATAAATTTATGGGAATCTCCTGAGCAGATATAGTTGTCAAAAGCTGATAGATTTGCAGACTTGCAAGAGTGGCCCCTAATCTCTGGCTGTATTTTATAGCTGCACCATTGGAAACTGCTGGTTGAGAGGAAAGGTCACTTCCTTGCAGAAGACCTTCTTGCATTAAGGGTCCTCTACTGAGGGACTCCGGGACGCGGGTGGCGCTGTGGGTTAAACCACAGAGCCTAGGACTTGCTGATCAGAAGGTCGGTGGTTCAAATCCCCGCGATGGGGTGAGCTCCTGTTGCTCGGTCCCTGATCCTGCCAACCTAGCAGTTCGAAAGCACGTCAAAGTGCAATTAGATAAATAGGTACCGCTCTGGTGGGAAGGTAAACAGTGTTTCCGTGCGCTGCTCTAGTTTGCCAGAAGCAGCTTAGTCATGCTGGCCACATGACCCGGAAGCTATACACCGGCTCCCTCGGCCGGTAAAGCGAGATGAGTGCCGCAACCCCAGAGTCGGCCACGACTGGACCTAATGGTCAGGGGTCCCTTTACCTTTACCTTTACTGAGGGACTCCACCACATGCCCCTGTTTTTTGCCCATGGATGGTGCATCCTGTTTAAGGATTTTATGGACCCAGGTCACTCAGGACAGATGTCTGCTGACCACATGAAACTGCCAGGGATCTGGCAGGATTGTTGCAAGTGATCATCACAGACTGTCCATTGTGTTTGTATGCATGTGTGTGTGTGAAACTCCACTTTGGCTAGGCAATTAGCCCAACTGCTTCTGGATTTAGGGAGATAGGGCTGCAGTTATTTCCAAAATAACCCAATACAGTGGTACCTCAGGTTAAGTACTTAATTCGTTCCGGAGGTCTCTTATTAACCTGAAACTGTTCTTAACCTGAAGCAACACTTTAGCTAATGGGGCCTCCTGCTGCTGCCACGTCACCAGAGCACGATTTCTGTTCTCATCCTGAAGCAAAGTTCTTAACCTGAAGCACTTTTCCTGGGTTAGCGGAGTCTGTAACCTGAAGCGTATGTAACCAGAGGTACCACTGTACGAGCCATGGATAGTTACCGTAATTCATCTTTCATTTTCCTTGCAAGAGTTGCACTTTCACATGACCTGGAGAGGAAGTTCAAGAGTTCCTTGTTTCATTTTCTCCTTCCAACATGTCCTTATATAGCAAGATTTTAACTTTCTCGCAAACAAGAGTGGACTGTCCTGAATTTTTTTTGTCATGCAATAACAAAAGGAAAAGAAACCTTTAGAACTTTTGGTTCTCCAGGTCATTGTAAAGTTCAGACTTAAAGCTGGGGGTCATTAGCAGCTTAAACTACAGCGAGCTCATTCCCTCTACCTACTGCATTTCAAGTTGCTTTTGCACATGGCAGTACACACTAGAGAGGGGGCAGGGATGTCTTCACCAGAGGACCATTATCTGTTTGGTTTTCCTGAGCCTGCAGTCTCTCCAAATCCCATTTATAAAGCTGTCATCTGTGCATGTACAATGGCTGTCTCAAATGTACACACCTCAGCTTAACCATGGCTTACATCCTGAAACTGGATGGAAGCTGGGATGAGGGAAGACACATCAAACAGCAGCATTTATCAAGAAACTACATGATAGATATGGATTGTGGCTGATAATATGTAGCAGAAGAATCTTTATTTGCATCAGCGGCTAGCCATAGCAATAAAATAAAATGTACTGAAGATAGAGGTAAAAACTTAACTATGGAAAATACATTTTGGGGGTTTACGTCAATAATCAAATCATAGATCTTATTCTAATTGCCCCCGCTAAAAACCTTGCTGATATCATGTGTACATGGCTTCAGATGCCAGCTGTGGGATTGCCAGAGTACAGTGGTACCTCAGGTTACATACGCTTCAGGTTACATATGCTTCAGGTTACAGACTCCACCAACCCAGAAATAGTACCTCGGGTTAAGAATTTTGCTTCAGGATGAGAAAAGAAATCACGTGGCGGTGGTGTGGCAGCAGTGGGAGGCCCCATTAGCTAAAGTGGTGCTTCAGGTTAAGAACAGTTTCAGGTTAAGTATGGACCTCCGGAACGAATTAAGTACTTAACCTGAGGCACCACTGTATATGGCAATGTGTACATAGCCATGTTCAAAGAAAATGCTTGCCATGCAAAAACAAAAAGGGGGAAATGCTTGGTTTTTGTTTTATTATGAAAAGTTCATCTTCATTTTCACTGTTTAGGAAATACAGGAACTTCACAGAAAGCAATTAGCAAAATAGAAAATGGAAGCTTTTTATCTAAGCGTAATTATTGTTGCATGGTGGGACAGGTTTGAGAATGGGAGGCAGTAGGCCAGATTCAAAGGCACTGTGGACCAGATGACCATCCCTGATATAGCTGGTAAAATAAATGGGAGAAGCACGAATCTAACCACTCATTCAATGCATGCTATCATTGGAAATATCCAGCGACTGCTGTCCTCTGATTTTCCAAATAAACCCCCCTTACTCTTCCTCATCCTCCCTGTGCTCCTGTTTGTTTGCATTAGACATTTAAGTCAAATCATCGAGTGGTCGAATCTAACCACTCATTCAATGCATGCTATCATTGGAAATATCCAGCGACTGCTGTCCTCTGATTTTCCAAATAAACCCCCCTTACTCTTCCTCATCCTCCCTGTGCTCCTGTTTGTTTGCATTAGACATTTAAGTCAAATCATAGCTTTTTATATAAGGCTTTGATGCTTGCCAGTCATAGAATCATAGAGTTGGAAGTGACCACGAGGATCATCTAGTCCACCCTCCTGCAGTGCAGGAATCACAGCTGTAAGATGTCTTATATATTGTAGATTTAAAAGTGTTTATTTAATTTTACTCTCTTTTTGTAAAGTTTTTTTATTATTTCATTTTATAATGTATATAAAAGAAAGAGAACAATTATAACAGACAAAAATAAAAAAGATTATAAACATTCTAGTTTTGTAAGCATAATTATTTGAGATGATTTCCAAGTGCCTGGTATTTCTTCACCATTCCATTTTTTAAATAAAATAATTAAAAAAGGAAAAATCAAATCTTTAAACTTCTTGTAGAAATTTGAAGAAACACCATCTGGGCCTAGTGGTCATTTGGTTTTCAGTTTTTTTCATAGCTGGTTGAGTGACTGAACCCAAAGATTGCTCATTAATAATAATAATAATAAATTTTTATTTATACCCCGCCATCCCCAGCCAAGACCGGGCTCAGGGCGGCTAACAACCAATAATAAAAACAAGTTGAATAAAATACAATTTAAAAAATTAAGATACAACATTAAAACAATTAGGGAGCAATCTCATAATAGGAGGAGAAAGGAAAAAGAAAAAAGAAAAAGGGGGAGGGAATCAAACTGATTCTGAGCCAAAGGCCAGGTGGAACAACTCTGTCTTACAGGCCCTGCGGAAAGAGATCAGATCCCGCAGGGCCCTGGTCTCAAGATGGTTCCTCATCATCCTGGAAAAAAGTGACAACTGGGGTGTCGCAGGGTTCTGTCCTAGGCCTATTGTTGCTCAATGTCTTGGATGAAGGAATTGAGGGGATGCTCATCAAATTTGCAGATGACACCAAACTAGGAGGGGTAGCTAATGTCGCAGAAGACAGAATCGGGATTTAAAATGACCTTAACAGATTGGAGACCTGGACACAAGCTAACAAAATGAATTTCAACAGGGACAAATGCAAGGTTCTGCACTTAGGCAGCAAGAACCAGTGGCACCAATATAAGATGGGGGACACCTGGCTTACTAGCAGTACATGTGAAAAGGACGGAGAGGTCTTAGTGGATCACAAGCTGAACATGAGTCAACAGTGTGATGCAGCAGCAAAAAACCCCCTAACACTATTCTAGGTTTTATTCAAGGGAGGCAATAGTACCACTCCTGCCTTGGTCAGACCACACCTGGAGTACTGTATCCATATCTGGGCGCCACAATTTCAGAAGGATATTGACAAGCTGGAACATGTGCAGTGGAGAGCAACATCACAAGTTGTGTAGATTGATATCTGCCCTCATCCACCTTTAAACAAATGTTCCCCACAAAAATACTTAGGCTAGAATAAATCACAGAGACTTGGCCCTGAGATGTGCCCCAGAGAAAAAAAAGATGATGGTTGGACTAGATGTCCCTTGGTGTTCTTTCCAGCTCTACAATTGTATGATTCTACGATGGCTATTCTCCACCTCCACAGTGAGGCAATATTACTTTTGAATGCCAGCTGCTGGAAGCCACAGGAGGGAAGAATGTTCTTGTGCTCGGGTCCCACTTGCTGGTTTCTCACAGGTAACTGGGTGGCCACTGTGACCACAGGATGCTGGACTAGATGGGCCATTGGATTGTTCCAGTAGGCTCCTCTTATGTTCTTGTGTACGGTGTGAAGGTAGAATTAAGATTTGTTGCTATGTTCCCTGTTGCCTCTGGCCCTGACCATCACTGGCTTGTGCTCAACCCACAGATGATTGCTCAGTGGGGAATGTTCCCTGTCCCTGGGTTAGCTACGCATTTTGGTGTTCAGCTGAATATAAAGTCGAACAAAAACCAAACTACTAAGAAGGCAGCAAACTCCACTGATGTAACACACATGATACAGAAGGTGGAACCTTTCCAGAAGACGTTACATTGATTCACAGAATGCAGTACGTTACATTTCTTTCTTCAATATATACATAGATTTATCATGAACATATGTACAAACTATCTTAATGTATAACCATACAAACAGTAACAGAACCATACATCTTCAGTATTTGTAAGCGACACCCTTCCTTTCAATAATGACTGCTCACGCAAGTTGTTCTTTTAAAAAGAAAACTAAAGTTTATTCTATATCTCCTCCCTGCCCAATGTTCCCTTAATACTTGTGCAAACTTTCTAACCCAGAAAGAATCCCGTTTCTCTCACATTTATTATTATAAACAACAAAGAAAAGCATCAATACCCATAAACATTTCTTCAAATTTAAATTTTAAAAACGGCTTCCTAATGAATGAAAGCACTTTGTTTCCCCAATAAATAATCACAAATAAAAGGAAAAATCATAGCAATTCAAGTAAGTGCTCTGGGCTTCCAAAGAGCATAGAGGTATGTCATCAAACAATAGTATTTTTTTAAAAAGTAAAAGCCACAGTTCTATCAGCTTTCTGAAATTGCTGACAGCAGTCACAGGGCAATGTAGTGCAGGTGGGTAAAAATGCTTGTGCAGCAAAGCAGATTTCTAAGAACCATCTCATTTAAAGGTAAAAGAAGTCCTGGTGGTTTTGCTTTCACACGTTTGGCTTCCTGAGGAAATGAAACTTAATTCTATATAAACATCTCCTTTCGTTGCGTTTTTGGAGGGCAGAAAAAGGTGGAGACTCATTCGGTCAGTTCCAGCAAGTGCTATAAGATGGCTTTCTCCTCACCTATTTTGCATCCAGTGAGTATAGAAATAAGATGTTTAATAGATGAAAGCTTTTGGGATTGCAATGGGAAGAAGGATGGCGTGGGCTGGAGCTTTCTAAATGACAGCATGCAACTCATACGGTGAGGCAGATCTCTAAAGCAGATCTCTAAAGAAGTGGCCAAGCAGATTTACAGTCCCTTTCCTGCCTCCTTCGCAGCAGAGTTTTTGCAGGCAAGCTGACCAAGCTTGCAGGTGGAATGGCGACCTGCAACTAGGATCAGATTCAAACATATAGGAAATGCAGAAACTAAGTAGGCAGAGCGTTGTCATGGAACTGAAGTTGTCATCCATCTGCCTGGCGGGACAATGGAGGAAAGTGCCATCGGGGGAACAGTCAAATGGCTGAAGAGTTACAGTGCCTGCTTTTTTGTTTTATTGGTCATTCCTGCTCTAATCACTGCTGTGGATACACGACCTGACTGTCTGTCTCCAGGCACTGCGGTCATCTGCAAAGGATCCCAGCAGGGTTTATGGCATGTAATTGGGTGATGGGAAAAGCTTGCCTCCTTAAATATTTTGTCTGCCAGGCTGCTGTTCAAGGCACAGTAAAGGGGGCCGGGAAGGGAAAGCTAAGATAATAGAATAACAGAATGGTTCAGCTGGAAGGGACCCTGAGGGTCATCTAGTCCAACCCCCGCAATGCAGAAATCTCAACTGAAGCACCCATGACAGATGGCCAGGCAACCTCTGCTTAAAAACTCCCAAGGAATGAGAGTCCACCACCTTCTGAGCGCGTCCGTTCTGCTATCGAAAAGCTTTTACCACCAGAAAGTTCTTCCTGATGGCAAATCCTAACCGCTGACTTCCAGTTAACCTCAGCAGTGATGTGGCTCACATTCCTTCCTCCTCTCCAAATCAGAGGAGGAGGTTAAATCATAGCTGTCAACTTTTCCCTTTTCTTGCGAGGAATCCTATTTGGAATAAGGGAATTTCCCTTTTAAAAAGGGAAACGTTGACTGCTATGTGTTAAATGCATTTTTGCATTTAACATGCTGGGCTCCCTCCAACCCCAAAGCCAATAGAATAGCATTAGCTGGGAGGCCTGATAATTTTTGGGACTGTGGTGGGCATGGAGGAGGAATTAACCCTTGCTCCACCAGCTGAGGTCCCCTAGGGGCTTTAAGTTTATTCCCAAGTTAAGGTCTCTGCCTAGGGTGTCCCCAACTCTAGGACCAAGTGTGCATATTTGAAAAGCAGCCTCCTGATTTTTAAAACTTAACTACTTCCAGTAGGGGACGCGGGTGGCGCTGTGGGTTAAACCACAGAGCCTAGGTCTTGCTGATCAGAAGGTCGGCGGTTCGAATCCCTGCGACGGGGTGAGCTCCCGTTGCTCGGTCCCTGCTCCTGCCAACCTAGCAGTTCGAAAGCACACCAAGCGCAAGTAGATAAATAGGTACCACTCCGGTGGGAAGGTAAATGGCGTTTTCGTGCGCTGCTCTGGTTCGCCAGAAGTGGCTTAGTCATGCTGGCCACATGACCTGGAAGTTGTACGCCGGCTCCTTCGGCAAATAAAGCAAGATGAGCGCTGCAACCCAAGAGTCGTCGCGACTGGACCTAGTGGTCAGGGGTCCCTTTACCTTTACCTTTACTTCCAGTAGAGATTTATAATAGATGATGATGATAAATGTATAGTTCATTTTGGAGAATAGGAACAAGGATGTGATGATTTTTGTTTTTCTGCTCCACAGAGTGTTCCCTTTCTGCAATACTTTCACACGCCCTTGCGTGGGGGGATGTCGATTTGCATCATAGGACAGGTCTTGCATTCCGCAAAAGGGTTTGTGTGTCTCCTCTTTGTCTCCCATGCCCTCCCTCCCTCAAGAAATGCCCTTACCCCTCCTACACCAATCTTTCTTCTATTACTAAAGAATTTCCCAGGCTGAAGTCAGAAAGTTATCTTAGGGAGCCCAAACCCTCTACCACACCGAGATTAACCCTTCAGACTATATTTTGACTTTTTGTCACATAGAAAAGATACTATGAGCAGCACTGAGGGCTCATTCACACTCACCTTTGCTTTCATGCTTTCGAGGCAACTGCCCAAGCTTTCCAGCTCTGTGTTCGAGTGTTTGTTTGTTGTGTCCTCAGGTTTTCCCGGGGGAAAACCCATGTTTTACCTGGGAAAACCCAAATGAATTGGAGCAAATGGCAATCCCCCAAAAAAACCTATTTCCAGTTGCTCCGATTCAGGGGTGAAATTTGGGTCTTCCTGAGGAAAGTGCTGGGACTAAAAAGCCTGTACTGGTCAAAACTTCCTTTCAATAATGACTGCTATCAAAAGTTGTTATTTTTAAAAGAAAGCTAGAGTTTATTCTATAGCTGCTCCCTGCCCAATGTTCCCTTGCAGGGTGTCCATACTTGTCACAACTTTTTCCACCCCTTCAGGACAAATCACACTTACCAGAATTCTACTGTGCAGCTGTTAAAAGGTCACTTTTTTTTTTTTTGCACTGGCTACACATCACACCACCACTCTGTGACAATTTAGTATGGGGGACTCAGACCTGGGGTCCGGATGCGGCCCTCCAGGCCTCTGCATTTGGCCCTTGGAGCTCTCCACAGGCCACACTGTTCACTGGCCCTGCTTCATATCCAGAGTGTTTTTGCCTGGCTGGAATTGGCCCTCAAACTCTGATCATGAATTTTCTGCTTCCCTGGGTAAAGGATGGGGATGGATGGGTGAGCGGATGCAGGACAGCTTTCAACAACCCGGTGCTGTCCCACAGTATCTGGAGGACACCAGGCTGGTGAAGGCTGGTGGAGAAACTAATCTGCTGCGCAACAGGTAAAACTATATTACTAAATAAGTACAACTCCTTCCTCCATTTTGCCTCTGGCCCTGCCCACCACTGGGGGGTGGCACTCAGAAGGTTGTCCAGAAAGCAAATGTGGCCCTCAGGGTGAGCAAACCTCCCCACCTGTTATGCACTGAGTTGAATGGGATCCCAAATGCAGCAGTCTGATTGGCCCTAGAACAACAGGATTCAGAATGCAGCAGTCTGATTGGTCCTAGAACAATGCAGCAGTCTGATTGGTCCGCAGGAGCCACCCAATCCAGCTCCAGGTGGAAGTGAATCCACAACCTGATTGGCCTACAGCAGAATCCCGGAATTAGCCCATCACGTGGGGCCCACTGTGTAAATAATGTATATAAAGCAGATATTGTGGGGGAAATTCCATTCCTCCTCACCACTATGAGGGGAATAAAGAGCATGAAATCCACTCTCGACTCCGAGTATATTTCACCACCCTTTTTTTTTAAGCAGATACTTGTGTGCATTGAAATGCTACACATTTTAAGGAGGTGAAAACTACAGCCATCTTTGCGTTAAGTAGTTTCCCTAGCACTATACACCAGTGTGTATTTAATAAGCTTTAATGGCCCATCCTATCCCAAAGTCTGGGTAGCTGAGTTGGTTAGAGCATGGCGCTGATAATGCCAAGGTTGCTGATTTGATCCCCATATGGGACATTTGCACATTCCTGCATTTCAAGGGGTTGGACTAGATGATCCTCAGGGTCCCTTACAACTTTGATTCTATCGTTCTAAGGTGAGTTTCAGGACATCCATTCTTAATTCAGCCTCAAACTACCCCTTTCTCCCACTACCCCTCCGCTATTAACCCCCCTCACCCCACCTTTCCCTTCAGTACCATCTCCTCCTGCGCAGCATCAGTGTCAATATCGCATTTCAGGTTCGCGTTCACTGTTAATCTGTTGGGCGAGAATGGCGACATCGTCTTCCACTTCAACCCACGGATGAACGAAAACGAGGTGGTCTGCAATACGAAGCAAAACGGAGGTTGGGGAAAAGAGGAACGCTGGCCCATTCCTTTCGAGGCAGGGGCCACTTTTATGATGATCATCGATGTCATGAGCGACTGCTACAGGGTGAGGCTGCCAGCGGGGCATATCTATTCTTCATCAAACAGTCTTCTCATGGCCTGTGGGCTTTTAATTCTCGTGGCTCAAGATGGCTTTACTTTTTCTGTAACGGGCAAGATGGCTTTATGTTTAGTAAAGTAAAGTGGTAAAGTGGCTCCTGACCATTAGGTCCAGTCGTGACCGACTCTGGGGTGGCGGCGCTCATCTCGCTTTATTGGCCGAGGCAGCCGGCGTACAGCTTCCAGGTCATGTGGCCAGCATGACTAAGCCGCTTCTGGCGAACCAGAGCAGCGCACGGAAACACCGTTTACCTTCCCGCTGGAGCGGTACCTATTTATCTACTTGCACTTTGAAGTGCTTTCGAGGAGCAGGGACCAAGCAACGGGAGCTCACCCCGTCACGGGGATTCGAACTGCCGACCTTCTGATCGGCAAGTCCTAGGCTCTGTGGTTTAACCCACAGCGCCACCCGTGTCCCGGCTTTATGTTTAGGCAGTGCTATTTTTCTAGAAAAAGAGGTGCCAGAACTCACCATGAACGCCCCCTCGTTCTCTTAGAATGGCAATGGCGCCCTCTTGAGAGATGCTGGAACTGAGTTCTGGTGAGTTCCGATTGAAAAAAAAGTCCTGCATTTAGACATTCTCCTTGTGCCCTCCATCTTTCCCAACATCAGGGTCTTTTCCAGGGAGTCTTCTCTTCTCATGAGGTGGCCAAAGTATTGGAGCCTCAGCTTCACGATCTGTCCTTCCAGTGAGCACTCAGGGCTGATTTCCTTCAGATTGGATAGGTTTGATTTTCTTGCAGTCCATGGGACTCTCAAGAGCATAGATGAGCATAAAGCTTCTGAGTTTGCTTCTCCCTCTATTCTTTCGCATCCCCAAATACTCTCAAGGATGAGCAAATGCAAACATGCTCTGAGCTACCTTTACTCCTTGTTTTCGGAAAACACACAGCCCCTAATGTTAATATATTAGATAAGGCACGTTTCCCTCTCCGATCTAAAGTATGTTTCAAAGTATGAATTCATCTTCCTAGTGAACTCATCTTTGTCACTGGAGGTGCAAATAGCCTCTGAGGCATGAAGCATTTCTGAGACTGGCTTCCTAACAATGATTTCTTTTGGACAGAGAGAATCTGGCCACGTGCGGCTGCCTTTGAAGACAGTTCAGAGGCAGCAGCTAGCTGAGAACATCGCAGCGAGGCTGCTAATGGGAGCTAGGCGATGAGACCTCTCGCTCCTGTATCAAAACAACTTTACTGACTCCTAGTGGTAGTCATTATTATGATAGTTATTATTATTTCTACTCATTAGTAGCTTTTTCGCAGGATTAACACATCTCACCCACTAAAAAGAGACAACAAATGTCTGAAACCCTCCAAATTTACATGCAAAAGCCTGGGCGAAAAAAAATGTTGTTGCATAAAGATATATAGTGGTACTTCAGTTTACGAACTTAATCCGTTCCGGAGGTCCATTCTTCAACCAAAGCTGTTCTTAAACTGAAGCTCGCTTTCCCTAATGAGACCTCCCGCCGCTGGTGCCCTTCCACTGTTTGGCTTCCATTCTTAGACAGAGGTAAAGTTTGCTAACCGGGACACTACTTCCGGTTTTGCGGAGTTCGTATACCGAATAGTTTGTAAACAGGGCTGTTCTTAAACCGAGGTACCACTGTATAATGATGCTGTAAGGCCGGCCTCCCTAGGGAGAGCATTCCACAAGCAGGGAGCCATCACCGAAAAGGCCCATTCTCATGTCACCACCCTCCACACGTCCCTCAGAGAGGGCACATGTCTTAGATGACAATTGCTCAGCACCCTATGTGGAGGTACCGGTCGTACTGCCCTAAATCTGCATGTGCTGTCACTTTCTTGTTCTATTCTTTTCCTAGGTAACTGTCAATAGTAAAGACTTCCTGAAATACGTCCACCGCATTCCCTTTTTTAGCGCCCGGGCTCTGGAGATCAAAGGGGATGTCAACTTGCAGAGGGTCTCTTAGGGTGAGTTGCAGGTTTTTAAAGCTTCTTAATCCTTCCCCGTTTAAAACTTGTCAACGTGGTTTCTCTTGCTTACGGTAAGGAAAACAGCCGTTTGTCAGTTAAAGAGAAGTCCTTTGAAATGAGGCAATCTAATCTTAAAGGAGCTGTTGTTGGGCAAGTTTATTTATTTATTACATTGATATCTCCCACCCTTCCTCCCAAAGGAGACAGATTTGCAGAGCAACAAGTGATAAAGCAATAAAAACACATTGAAAATAATTCCAGTACAGATGCAGACTGGGTGCGAACTCAACTTAAAAGGTTTGTTGGAAGAGGAAAGTCTGCAGTAGTCAGTCAGACCTCTCTTAAAGGAACACCTTAGTCCTACTACTGACCAGTGTCAAATCATTTGACCCTGGCCAAATCTGATGTATCAGGACAACGTGACTGCTACGTACGCTTGGATGAAGGCAGGTTATTTGGATCTGTTCCGTTGTGATGTCTATCCTAGTTTTGAAATCTTAAACTGCTCTGCCTTCTGTAGGGCAGGGGTAGCCAATGTAATGCCTTCCAGATGTTTTGGACTACAACTCCCATAATTCTCTACATTGGCCAGGCTTGCTGGGGCTGTTGGGAGTTGTAGTTCAAAACGTGTAGCGGGTACAACAATAGGGTTGCCATATTTCAAAAAGTGGAAATACGGACACACTACCAACATGGCTGCCATATGGCCAGATTTTCCTGCCCAGATGCTGTTTATGAGGACTGAATACTGAGTATGTCCAGGAAATTCTGGAGGTATGGCAACCTACACAACATTGGTTCTCCTTGCTCCAGTGGATGATCTTCCCTGGAAGACAAGGGAGGCTGAGACCCTGATGAATCTCCTGGATCTCTTGGTGGTGGCTGATGCAATCAGTCAGAGTATCATTCCGGACCACTTTGTAGGACTGTGATGAATGGGGAATACCTGTGGTGCCGGTAACTCATTTGCATTTTTTAAAATTGTGTGTGGTTGTGTTTTGTTTTTTTTTACAGGAACAAAACAAAAAGAGGGGAAAAGAGAAGACAATGCTCAGGAAGACGACACAGAACAGAAAACAAATTTATTTTTTAAAGGATAATAAAATGCAATACCTTATCTACTTACAATAAAATAAAAGAGAATGCAACTTAATATTTGTGGAAGAAATATTGTTGACTAGTATATAAAAACGAGTCTGAGCTTTCATGGCCTCTTGCATATGGATTCTGAAGAGTCTGTGAACATTAAGAAGAGAGAAACCATTATTGCTCCAAGAAAATACCTTTTGCAACAGATCAGTCCTCTCCTTAAAAAAATAAAATCAGCAAATACTTGCAGGCATGCCCATAATGGATCTGAGGTTTCTAGAAGTTATGGTGGACGGAAAAGTGCTGATTTAGGGGAGGGGACAGCAACAGACAATGCAAATATATTTCACCAAGCACACCGGTCACTAGTGGGAATGGGAAACACTGACATAGATTTTGGAGACATAAAATTGAAAGTGCCTATGTATGGATGAGGGAACCCAAATGTGCACATGGAAACAGCAATCCACAGAGAAATCTGAACCCACTGTTATTATTAGCAACCCATCCTTCACTCTAAGGTCCAGGGGCGCGTTACAACATTAAAACACAATGTTTAAAACTGTTTCAAAAAAACTTGCAGTCACAGAAATAAGGTGGGGTCCAAAAAATAAACACATCAAGTCTCAAAAGCCAGGGCAAAGTGTTAATAATAATAATAATAATAATAATAATAATTATTATTATTTTTATTTATACCCCACCCTTCCCAGCCAAGGCCGGGCTCAGGGCGGCTAACAAGCAATAATAAAAACAAGTTGAATGATTACAACTTAAAAACAAAATTAAAATACAACATTAAAATATTGAAACATTAAAATATTAAAATGTAGCCTCATCGCAGGAGGAGAAAGGAAAAGAAAAAAGAAAGAGGGGGAGGGAATCAAATTGGCTCCAAGTCAAAGGCCAGGCGGAACAACTCTGTCTTACAGGCCCTGCGGAAAGAAATCAGATCCTGCAGGGCCCTGGTCTCATGAGGCAGAGCGTTCCACCAGGCCGGGGCCAGTGTTGAAAAGGCCCTGCCTCTGGTTGAGGCTAATCTGACTTCCTTAGGGTCCAGGACCTCTAGGGTGTTGCTATTTATGGACCTTGAGGCTCTCCGTGGGGCATACCGGGAGAGGCGGTCCCGTAGGTACGAGGGTCCTTGGCCGTGAAGGGCTTTAAAGGTCAAAAGCAGCACCTTAAATCTGACCCTGTACTCCACCGGGAGCCAGTGCAACTAGTAAAGCACTGGGTGAATATGCTCCCATGGCAGGGACCCCGTGAGGAGCCTCGCTGCAGCATTCTGCACCCGCTGGAGTTTCTGGGACAACTTCAAGTGTTGTGTGTCCAGCATTTGCCAGGGGCAATGTGTCAGAAGCAGCTCTGTGGGCAGGGAGCTCCACACCTCCTCATCCCTTCCCAGCCTTTCTCTGCCACTGCCAAGGCCCAGCCCCACATGAGGCATTGGCTCTGAGGGGCAGGCAGAGGGCAGGGCTGCCCTGGGTGGGAAGAAAGGGGGAGCGGAGAAAAAGAAGTCTTGAATTTTTTTTATTTAAAAATGCTTTGTACGTCAACATCTAATCTTGCCCCTTTCTAAAATTTATTTATCGGAGTGTGTTTTTCTTGTTGTCAATCTACCAAAGAATAAAATGAAACCAGGATTGATGGGTTTTCTGTGGGCGGTGGAGGGTGGGGGTGTGCTGGTAAAGTGGGGGGTGGCACTCACCCTTCGTCTGATAGGAAATGCTCTGTGGGGGAGGGGGCACAGCAATGGGGGTTCGAGGAGGGTCAGTTGGGGTGAGGAGTGAGCAATGTCCCTATTTCCATATGAGGAATGTTGGAGGGTATGCAATCAATGGCTTATAGCCATGACATGGCTATGCTCCATCTCCACAGTTGCAGTGATGCTTTTGAATTGCTGGAAGTCACAGGAACAGGGGTGAACAAAGGCGTTGTGACACCCGGGGCGGCAACCCGCTATGTACGGTGCATGTGCAGCATGCGCCGTACTTAGAGGTGCCACACATGCACTGTACATAGCGGTTTGCCGCCGGCACCACTCCAGCGCTGTACGAATGGTGCCGGGATCTTCTGCTCGCCACTTGAGCGGCGCCGCTCGCAGCAAACCGTTATGTACAGCACATGTGCGGTGTTGTTATGTACAGCGCATGTGCGGCATCGCGGTTTCCTGCCGGCGCCAGAATCCTCTGCTCACGGCTGCAGCTCCCTGCACAGGAAGGGAGAATGCCCTTGTGCTTGAGTCCTGACTCCTGTTTGCTGGCTTTGTGGGAATGTTCAGGGAGGCAGGAGAGGATATATTGTTTAATGATATCCTTCCTAACTTGTGTTAGCAAGTTCTATGGCTTAGCAGAGTTTAAGCATTCTCCTTTAAACACACAGCGGTTACCTTGTTGCAGGCTCGCCTCAGTATAAGATTCCTGGTAAGATCCCGTCTCGTCCCTCTTAAAAAGAGGCAATCTTATTAAAGTCAATATAAAACTAGTTTACTCACAATCATTCAGTTCACAGTTGGATACCTGAAGGCAGACTTAGGTTACAGAAGTATATGTACATGTGGAACTATCCCATAATAGTTCCAAGTGACTGATGACAGGCAGTCACTTCTGCTAACATGTAGAAAAACAAAATGGAGACGAGAGAGAAGCTAAAGAAGATGGTGTACTCGTCTTCCCCAGATTAGGCCTCACAGACACAGGCCTCTAGTCACATGCAGAGAAAGTTTGTCCCAGCTCAGGAGGAAACAGGAAGTTAGACTTATTAAATAGTGGGTGGACATAGCAAACAACACAGAGATTTCTCCGAGTAGTTCTTTATAAGTAAGCTGGAACTGAACTGAACATCAAACAGCTCAGCCGGCCTGCTTTTATAGGCAGCTGGCTGTCAACATTGTAACAACAACAACCTAGGGTTTCCCGCCTAAATTAACTGACGTGGACCTGAGTGAAAACTATATACACGATACCCCTGGTGGCCGGGGTGAGAACTTCGATACATAACTCCCCTCCCCACCGAGATAAGGCAATAGTTACAATCCTAGTGGTTCCATTGCACACAGCAATACCCTTATTGGTTTCAGTCAGGGACATAAGCATATCGATTCCAATTTTACAAGTTCGCAGGCATAACTGTTTCGCTATCAACTATATTGCCTGTAAGACTCACCATCACATATTAATTTACCCTATTCACCATACAGCTTTACATGTGCAGTTTGTCCGGTGAACATAGTCTTTTAAATAAGCTGGACGCTTGGAAACCCTGCCGGACCGCCAAGGCCCAGTATCAGAGTCTGGATGGCCGCCCGATTCTGGCTGCGACTGTAGTGTGACCAAATGTGGCGTTGAGCCCGAGTTCCCTGGCTCCGCTGCTGTCGAAGGAACCGCCGCGAGCGGACTCGGCGGACGGTCAGGCACGGCAGTGGTCCGAGTCTCTGGAGAGCCAGGCAGACCCACCGAAACGACTTGGCTCGGCTCCATGTCCGCAGTTTTGAGGAAGATGTAGGTGGAGCCTCGCCTTCCATTAACAACTGCTCCGGAGCTGGGGCCACAGTTGGGGGCACAGCGGTAGTGTTCAAATCCCCAACCCTGCACCTTAGCTGGTCTATGTGCCGGCGCCACAAGCGTCCGTTCTCTTTTTTTAAAAAAAATATTTTTTATTGATTTTCCAATAAAAAACATCCAGTTAAATATCCGATCATAATACCTCAATTAAAAACTAAAAAACTAAAATAAAAAAGATCAAATTATAGTTCAAATCGTATTTATTAATTTCTTGGGGCTCCCCACGGTCTGGATCTCTAGAACATATCTCCGCATCTTAGTCCTGCTTCTCCTTGTCGTTTCCACATTTTCCACATCTCGATATTAATGCTTGGTGATTTTTTGTCCCTGGGTCCAGGATTCTCATTCATGTCAAACACCATATACTTTCATCTGCCGAATACAGCTTTGTTAATATAAAATTTTTCCAACTGCCTTTTTATCAGCTCAGCTTCGTCTGATTCCGTTCCAATTCCGGGATGTTGTCCAAATCTGTTATCTTTTATGGCGCAGCAGCTCATTAATTGTCCAACAAGCGTCCGTTCTCGAGTGTCACCTGGTACAAACGGGGCCCTGTGACCCCCACTACTGTGGCCGACACCCAAGGAATGTCCCCCACAAAGTTCTGGGCAAAAACCTGGAATAAATGACCGTGGTGTGTTAATATATAACAAGACTGTTAATATATAACAAGATGCTCTGGCTGGCACAGAGCATCCACTAGCATGTCCATTCTAGGAATGTTGTACTTGATTGCTATGTGCTTCACATCCCTCAGGTTTCTCCCCAGAACCTGGTTGGCCAATGGGAATGCTGGACTATCTAGTCCAATGCTGGACTAGATCGCCTGATTCAGCAGGCTTACCTTATGTCCTTGTGTGCTGTGTGAAGGTAAAATTCACATTTGCTGCTCTGTGCACTTTTGTCTCTGGCGCTGACCACCATGTGCTCACCCCCAGAAAATTGCCCAGAAGGGACTCTCACCCCAGACTGAAAAAGATTCCCTTGCACCTGGGCTAATTCCTCCTTATGGTGGTCAATTGATCATTGCTTGATAATTTGTATTCACAATCCCAATGTTTAAGATGCAGGTTGCAGATGATCCGTCACTAACTTATCCTCCCCTTGCCTCCTCCCCTCAAGGGTTCAAGGCTAGAAGAGAGGAGGTAGAGCGGTCCTCCTTGTCCTCCTGCGCCGGCTTTTGGCCCCTTCGTTAGGGATTGTGGAGAAATTTGATTCAGTTTGCATTTAAAGACGAACACACCTAATTCACACTTCCCATAACAATATGAGAACCGAAACGCAGCCCTCCTTTGGAACCGACTTCTCTGAATTTTGCAATGTAGCAAAATAATATGCACAAGAATACTGGGGTAATGCGGAAATAAAAACACACAAATCAAAATAATATACAGAAATGTGTTGTGTTAGGGAAAATCAATTTGCAAAAATATGTGTACAGTCATACCTTGGATTCTGAACGCCTTGCAAATCAAACATTTTGACTCGTGAACGCCGCAAACCCGGAAGTGAGTGTTCCGGTTTGGAAACGTTCTTTGGAACCCAAACGTCCGACTTGGCTTCCGTTTTAGTGCAGGAAGCTCCTGCAGCCAATTGGAAGCCGCATCTTGGTTGTCGAACATTTTCGGACATCAAACGGATTCCGTTCGACAACCAAGGTACAACTGTATTAGGCATGACTGCATACAAATGTGTTATAAGGTATATTACAAGAAATTCGCAACAAAATGCTGATTAGTTTTCATAGGGCTTCACAGGAAAGAAACTGATGTGGAAATGTGGAGAGCTATACTTAAGATTGGGATGCGGGTGGTGCTGTGGGCCTAGGACTTGCCGATCAGAAGGTCGGTGGTTCGAATCCCTGCAACGGGGTGAGCTCCCATTGCTGGGTCCCTGCTCCTGCCAACCTAGCAGTTTGAAAGCACGTCAAAGTACAAGTAGATAAATAGGTACCACTCTGGCGGGAAGGTAAACAGCGTTTCCGTGAGCTGCTCTGGTTCGCCAGAAGCGGCTTAGTCATGCTGGCCACATGACCCGGAAGCTGTACGTTGGCTCCCTCGGCCAATAAAGCGAGATGAGCGCTGCAATCCCAGAGTCGTCCGTGACTGGACCTAATGGTCAGGGGTCCCTTTACCTTTACCTATACTTAAGATTGGGGAAATGAAAAATCGAGAGAAATCAAAATGGACAGACTGGCCCATTCTCCCTGTGGCCTGAACTTTGGTCAAAAGGAACTGCCAGCTTTGTGTCCCACCCCTTTCCTGAGGAAGGTTGATGCTTGCTAGATGAGGCTTTGCTTTCACTTTCACGCCAGGAGAACGTGAGAAGAAAAGCTGACGAACTAGCTCCAAGATGGTGAGTGGGGTGCAGAGAAAGGGCATGTCAGAGGGGGAACCACCCTTTCTTCATGTGGGAGTGGGGTGGTGCTTCTGGTTCAGCCTTAACATGTGCTGATGATCTCCAGCACTGAGCTGTTGCTTTATCATCATCAGGAAAAGCGACAGCATCTTTCTTGACATGTGATGCAGTTCACTCCTAAGGAAAGGATCGGCTCTTAACGGCCTCGTTTTAGCTGGCACAGCCCCTATTTAATGCCCGTTTCCTTAGCAGAGCACTGCCCCTGTTTTGCCTTGTGGGGAAATCATGTTGTTGACTTCTCAAAAGCTTTGTGAATCTGCGTAAGAATTTCTTTAGGATAGAACCTTCCTCTCCATCCCATGTTCCGTGACATCACCTACACGGTTGAAAGTTTGGCTACTCTGAAGTAAGTCCCATTGTTAAATGTGGCTTGCAGGGTATGGGAAAGCAGCCTAAAGATGTTTGGAGAAAGTAGAAGAGCCTTTGCTCTCAGGAAGTCAGGTGAGCAGAAGGCAGATTGAGATCTCTCAGGAGTTATTTGTGTCAAATCGGCAGATGTTTATGGCTCCAGGATCTAATAGGATCTTTTCTAATTGAAAAGCTTACCTGACCCCAAGTTAGGTTGCTGAAAAAGGACACGGGTTTGGGGGTGGAGAACCAGGAGTGGGTTTGGGGCAAAAATACTTTTGATCTTGGTCCTGGTACTGATCATAAATTCCTTAGCTGAAAATGTCCTCTGAGGTTTCCCGTTCCTTAATTTTTAGTACTGAGTCTTCTATGTTTTATGTGTTTAATATGTCTGGATTACCTGTGTTTTATAGATTCCCCCCTCTCTTTTATGATTTTTATTGTCTAAATTATGCCAATAAAGGATGAATGAATGAATATTAGTATATAAATGCAGGTTACACTAGCACAGAAGATGGGGGTAGACTCTCAAAACCTGAGCTGGGGTCCTGTGCAGTGTTCTTGTCTCTACCCTGGGCCCTTGAAGGCCATGCTGTTAAAACAAATTCTCGTTTTAAACAACGGATACATAAAACTCTGCCTTTAAAATACATTCAATGCACCTTTTCCTCGTCAAAGAATCCTGGCATTCTGACATTACCTCTCAGAGATTTATGATTCCTATCCTTTGGAACTTACTTCTCTGAATTTAGCAATGTAGCAAAATAATATGCACAAGAGTACTGGGGTAATGCGGAAATAAAAACATACATATGAAAATAATATACAGAAACGTGTTGTATCAGGGGAAATCAATTTGCAAAAATACGTGTATGAGACGCGACTGCATGAGAACGTGTTATACGGTATATTACAAGAAATGCAAACCAAAGTGCTGATTAGTTTTCATGGGAGCTTTGGGGAAAGAAAGTGCACCTGATGTGGGAGTGTGGAGAGCTATTGTTAGGATTGGAAAAATGAGAAATTGAGAGGAACCAAAATGGACAGACTAGCCCATCTCTCCCTTCCACAATGGTGTTCTCCCTGTGGCGTGAACTTTGCTCAAAAGGAGCTGCCAGCTTTGTGTCCCACCCCTTTCCTGATAGATAGATGAGGCTTTGCTTTCACTTTCACGCCAGGAGAATGTGAGACGAAAAGTTGATGAACCAGCTCCAAGATGGCGGGTGGGGTGCAGAGATAGTGCCTTTCAGAGGGGGAACAACCCTTTCTTCATGGGGGAGAGTGGTGGTGCTCCTGGCTCAGCCTTAACATGTGGTGTCCAAATTATGGCAATAAAAGATGACTAAATGAATATTAGTATATAAATGCAGTTTATTTTTGAATTATGGTGCTGGAGGAGACTCTTGAGAGTCCCATGGACTGCAAGAAGATCAAACCTATCCATTCTTAGGGAAATCAGCCCTGAGGGCTCACTGGAAGGTCAGATTGTGAAGCTGAGGCTCCAATACTTTGGCCACCCAATGAGAAGAGAAGACTCCCTGGAAAAGAACCTGATGTTGGGAAAGATGGAGGGCACAAGGAGAAGGGGACGACAGAGGACGAGATGGCTGGACAGTGTTCTCGAAGCTACCAGCATGAGTTTAACCAAACTGTGGGAGGCAGTGGAAGACAGGAGTGCCTGGCGTGCTCTGGTCCATGGGGTCACGAAGAGTCGGACACAACTAAACAACAACAACAAATGCAGTATATGCTAGCACAGAAGATGGGGGTATACTCTCGAAACCTGAGCTGGGGCTCTGTGCAGTGTTGTCGTCTGCACCCAGGGCCCTTGAAGGCTATGCTCTTAAAACAAATTCTCATTTCAAACAATGGATACATAAAATTCTACCTTTAAAATACATTCGACACGCCTTTCCCCTCCTCAAATAATTCTGGGCATTCTGGCATTACCCCTCAGAGAGTTATGATTCTCAGCAACCCCTAACAAAGTACAATGAGGTGAGGAAAGAATGTGCTTCCAATGTGCTTTAAAAATATAGCATGTATGCAGTCGATATAAACAGTTTCCATTAAAATTTGAGTTCTCTTCATGACGGTTGGGATGGTTCTGAGGCTGAGTTTGAGGCTATTGGATCGAGAATGAGATGACCTTATTTTTGCGCTTTCCTCCCCACTCCACAGAGTTTTCCCATTGCTGCTGCTTGGACCAATATTGAAGGCCTCAGTGAGGGAAAGAGATTTTTAATCCAAGGCTTTGTCCGACCATACACGAAAAGGTTTGTAAAGCCTGCTGGTCACGTTCGATTCCCTTTGTTTTTTGGGAGCTGTTCTGCCCCATCCATCTCTTCCTCTCAGAACTGGCCCTTCTTCCTCTGTGACCAGAATCATGGATGTGGGGTGATGCATGCAGTCTGTCAGGGTAGTGAAGCTGCCGTGTTCTGCTGCTGAATCTTCTTGAGTTCATTTAGGAATAATTTACAAAAATAGTACTCCATAAAGAAATGCTGATTTAAAATAAAATTTTAAAAAGTTTGAAAAGCATTGTTGCTGATTTGAATGTGTTACTGTGGGGCTTATTTTGCCGCTTGATTTCGTTGCCATTCGTTGTTGCAATAGACTACCACAAAAAAGACACAACAAACAAATAAAAGTATCAGAAGTGTAGAGTTGGAAGGAACCACGAGAGTCATCTAGTCTACCCCCTGCAATGCAGGAATATTTGTTCAGTGTGAGGCTCGAATCCACAACCCTGAGATTAAGAGTCTCGTGGTCTACTGGCTGAGCTAAATAATCATTTTGAGGTATTCAACACACACACACACAAACACCTGAAAACTAATAACACCCCCTTGCACTGTCAGTTTGCCTTTCTTGGTGCAGAAAGTACAGTGGTACCTCGGGTTAAGTACTTAATAAGTTCTGGAGGTCCGTTCTTAACCTGAAACTGTTCTTAACCTGAAGCACCACTTTAGCTAATGGGGCCTCCCGCTGCTGCCGCGCCACCAGAGCACGATTTCTGTTCTCATCCTGAAGCAAAGTTCTTAACCTGAGGCACTATTTCTGGGTTAGTGGAGTCTGTAACCTGAAGCGTAGGGACATGGGTGGCGCTGTGGGTTAAACCACAGAGCCTAGGACTTGCCGATCAGAAGGTCGGTGGTTCGAATCCCCGCAACGGGGTGAGCTCCCGTTGCTCGGTCCCTGCTCCTGCCAACCTAGCAGTTCGAAAGCATGTCAAAGTGCAAGTAGATAAATAGGTACCACTCCAGCGGGAAGGTAAACGGCATTTCTGTGCGCTGCTCTGGTTCGCCAGAAGCAGCTTAGTCATGCTGACCACATGACCCGGAAGCTGTATGCCGGCTCCCTCAACCAATAAAGCAAGATGAGTGCTGCAACCCCAGAGTTGGCCACGAGTGGCCCTAATGGTCAGGGGTCACTTTACCTTTACCTTTAACCTGAAGCGTATGTAACCTGAAGCGTATGTAACCCAAGGTAATACTGTATTGATCTGACGTGTAGAGATCTTTCGTATTTTAATTAATTCAAGAGGATTCTGAAAGCTTCTCTGTGTGAAAGAAACAAGCAAGACGGTTCATGATGTTTGAGTATTATCTTCAGAGAAGCTAGTACAGCTGGTTTAAACTGGTTCTCTTATCTCTTTCTGTGAAGGTCATGCTGACTATAAAAGTAGGGCCAGAAGGAGCCTGGACTTCCCTTTCACTTTCTATCTCTTTTCCTTTTGGTGTGGTGTTCTGTATACCGTATAGTGTTAAGGTGTAGACTTATTATAAATTATCATATGTTTAAGTTAAGTCTGCTGCAACTGGATTTCTTAGGGACAGTGCCAATCCTGAATGTATTGGATTTGTGACCATTATGCTCACCTGCCTTCAGTAGCAGTAAAGCTCTGCTGGATGAACTATTAATAGCCTCTGGTCTATTTTTAGGGAATCCTGCAACGTGTTTAAATTTTTACTCTGCTAACTATATCTTATGTACTAAGCCTGGAGTATATTTCACTGTACATTGGGGTTCTGCTCTGGATCAGTATTAAATAGAATTCTATGACATGCATATCACACACTGTAACTCTTCAATAAGCTATAAAGTGTTAAATATTACAACAGAACAGAAGCACACACACACCAAGTTTCTTGGAACCTGGCTTGCATTTTCTCAGTGGCCAGAGCAAATCTTGAGACTTGGATGTTAATGAATATGTCTTCCCCTGGAATATATATATATATATTTACTGTTTTTGCGTTGATATAGCTGAGAGCCAGTGAGCATCTTATCACAGAGGTGTATTGGACTGCAGGGGCACATGCACCGGAAGTCCTGATTCAAGCTGTTCCCTCAGCTCTCTGTTTTGTCAAGCAAGGAACTGGGAATCGGGGATAAGGATCTGGGAACAAACTTCAGCCTGTTATTCTTTGGAGGGTTAATTCAGAGCACTGTCAAGTACATGCCTTGATAGAATTATATTCATGCTTAAAAGACTCGGTGAGGATAATCAATGGGCATGCTATAGGTGCACAGAAACTTTACTGTGGTGTTCCCACTTCCTTTTGCTGAGTCCCAGTTGTGCTCCTCCATGACTCCTGCCCTTTCCAAACCTTGCCTTTCTCTCTTGCTCCATTCTCCCCTCCATTTGGCCTTTTCTTTTTTCTTTTTTGGTTTGCATGTTTGTTTTATTTTTGTTTAAATAATACAGAAAAAAACAAAACAACAACAACAAAAAATTGAAAACAATCCAAAAACATTGAAAACAAATATTACATACTTATCATATAATACGCCCCCCACCCGCAGCTTTCTTCCACCACAATTCGACTTCTTTGAATCTCTATTTCCACCTTTATCTTTGCATTCTCCAAATGCATCATTCTTTGTATTTCTTTTATCTCTTCTCTTTTCCAATTCATAGATATACTTTACATTTTTATTCTAGGCAGATTAGCATATCTTTCTCAGAACAAGATTTTAACATATAATCTTCCAAACATTTCCATTCCTTTTTTAATTTTTGATTTGACTGTTATCTTACGATTGAGGTTAGCTTTGCCAGTTCTAAATATTCATTTAATTTGCAAATCCACTCCTTTTTTGAGGGCAAGATTTGAGATTTCTATTTAGAAGCAATCACTACCCTGGTTGCCGTAGTTGCATATAGAAAAATTCTTTTTTTCCACTTGCGGTATAGCTTTCCCTATCACGCCTAGGAGATATGCCTCTGGCTTTCTAACAATTGGGATTTTCAACATTTTCTTTAATTCCTCATGTATTACTTCCCAAAATTTCTCAATCTCCTCACAACCCCACCACATGTGTATTGTTGTTCCTGCTTCTTTGTCCACTTGGCTTTTCCAGTTCCTTTCCCTCTGCGATCGGCTGCTCTCTCCTTCCTCACAGTGCTTCTGCCCTTCTTACATTTCAGATTTGCAGTGAATTTTCTGTGCGCCAATGGTGACATCGCCTTCCACTTCAATCCGCGATTCGATACGCTAAAACCGATGGTTGTGTGCAACACTCAAATGAAAAGTAAAAAACAGCTCTGGGAGTCCTGGAAGAGTGACGATGTCTTCTGGGGGGAAGAGGAAATTGCCCCCAGCACACCTTTCAAGCAGAACAGTTCTTTTGAGATGACCATCAATGTTGAGAGTGGCTGCTATCAGGTGCGGTGGGACTGGGATGGTGAGCCAGGTTACTCCATTTGATAGCAAGCAACCTGGAGTGGCGTGGGTGGCGCTGTGGTGTAAACCACAGAGCCTAGGACTTGCCGATCAGAAGGTTAGCGGTTCAAATCCCCGCAACGGGGTGAGCTCCCGTTGCTTGGTCCCAGCTCCTGCCAACCTAGCAGTTCGAAAGCACACCAGTGCAAGTAGATAAATAGGTACCGCTCCGGCGGGAAGGTAAATGGTGTTTCCATGCGCTGCTCTGGTTTCGCCAGAAGCGGAATGACCTGGAAGCTGTACGCCGGCTCCCTCGGCCAGTAAAGCGAGATGAGCGCCGCAACCCCAGAGTCGGCCACGACTGGACCTAATGGTCAGGGGTCCCTTTACCTTTTTAACCTGGAGTGTCAGCTGGAAAAGGAAAGGCTGAGGAGGAGAGGAAGACTCTCCTATATTCCTGGAACCAGAAATGTTTTAGGATTTAACCAATCCCCAGATGCAGCAGTTGCTGAGACTAGCCGAGTCGCTAAGCAAACAAAGCAGGGATATGCGCCATTAGCAGAGACTCTGTACCAGGCAGCAGAGGGATGGGGCCCCTTCTCCATCTCTGTGTCAGTTAGCAGAGTTGCGCTTAGGATCTCAGCTTGCCTGAGGTGAGCTAGGGGGGAAAGGTGTCAGTTTGTAAGAGGCGGCAGGCTGGAGAAAGGCAGGGATCAGAGCACCATGTGGGCTGGCAGCTTGAATCCAGAATCGTGGCCATGAGAGAAGCAGGACTCATCGTAGGCTCAGGTTGAATATATGTGTAAATAAACTATCTATTATAAAGACACCACAGTCTTCGCTGTGTCTCGTTCCCAAAGGAAACACGAACCCTGCCGGGACCCCTGGAGTCTCGCACTGGTGTGGAGATTGGGGTGGCGTGCAACAATGCTGGGTAAATAACTGGGAAGAAATACAGGGGTTTGCTTTTTTAAACTATTATTTGTTTAAGCCATAAAATTTATATGCTGCAGTTTATTTAAGGATCTAGAACTAACCAGCCAATCAGAATTCAAGTTACCTCAGCATGGATTGTTTCAGGGCTTGTCCACATGTGACTTGGCTCCACACTTTCTAGGCACAGGTCCAGGTGGCTGTTGTTGTTTATCCACCACCACCACCACCACCACCCAGGAAAAACCAGTGTTTTACCATTAATCGGAGCAAAATGCAACCCACAGAAAACCCTATTGCTGTTTGCTCTGATTCAGCGGTAAAGAGTGGTTTTCGCCAGGGAAAAGCAGCAGGAGGAGAAGAAATGTGGGATAAGCTCTCAGTGTGAATGTGCAGGCCAGCAGTGAAGTGAGAGTGTGTCCCTGTGGGTAAAATACTGTCTTATTCAGCACTGTGGGAGTGAAGCTACTGGCTTAAAAGGAAATAATAGGCATAGCTGTCAACTTTTCCCTGTTCTTGCGAGGAATCCTATTCGGAATAAGGGAATTTCCCTTAAAAAAATGGGAAACATTGACAGCTATGATAATGGGGCTAGTGAGCTTGCCTCACCACAACTCGGCTTCCCTACCTAGCCAAAATCTTGTTTCTGACTCACCCACACACTTTTCTCAGGCTTGGGCTAAAACAAATGACACCAGTTATTCTTAATTAAATTTCTCAGTTGCTTTATCTGGCTCAGGGCAACCCAAAGCATCTTGCAACCAGTCTAATTTCTGAGCTATAAGCAGCGAAATATTCAGAATTGTTTTCTTGACTGCAAATACGGGATTCAAATCTGTGTGAGATATTATGCAAACAAAGGCAGGGGCTGAGGGGGTAGAATGTTGGGGAAGTGGCAGTTGGAAAGTGACAGTTGTGTTGCATTTTTCTTTTTTAAAATTAAATGTAAAGCTGTAGAGAAAAAAGAAAATGCTCCATCTAGTGGTGGAAGCAAAGAGTATAGAGAAAACAAAAAACCTGGGTAGAAATAAGGCTAAAACAGGGCAAGGATCTGCTCCGTTGTTTTAGGGTGGAAGATTTAGACATAGAACAACAGAGCTTTCCAAACTGTGAGTCACAGCACATCAGTGCGTCGGCCGCGGTGTGTAGGTGTATCGTGCGAATGCTCCCTGCGCTCCTCCCGGGGCTGGAAAGGGGTTAGTTTAACCTCCGGTTTGTTAGTAAAGCTGAATTACTGTGTCACGGAATGATTCATGTCTAAAAAGTGTGTCACCAACATGAAAAGTTTGGAAAGCTCTGAGGTAGAAGCTTAGCCCCCCCGCCCCCGCGAGGCTGTAAACCTCTGTAGCATGGGTAGGCAAACTAAGACCCAGGGGCCGGATCCGGCCCAATCACCTCAAACTGGCCCGCGGACGGTCAAGGAATCAGTGTGTTTTTATATGAGTAGAATGTGCCCTTTTATTTAAAATGCATCTCTGGGTTATTTGTGGGGCCTGCCTGGTGTTTTTACATGAGTAGAATGTGTGCTTTTATTTAAAATGCATCTCTGGGTTATTTGTGCGGCATAGGAATTTGTTCATTCCCCCCCCCCCAAAATATAGTCTGGCCCCCCACAAGGTCTGAGGAACAGTGGACCGGCCCCCCTGATGAAAAAGTTTGCTGACCCCTACGTGTAGTGTAAGCTGCGCTGATTATCTAAACGGCAGAAAGGAAGGGCAAAAACATGTTAAATTAAGTAGAAAACATTTACATTACTCTGGAATAAGCTTCGGTGAAATAGCTGACAGTCAGATATATCCCACGAGAACTTACATTGTATTACGCCTGGTAGTCTTTTAAACACCTGAAGCCTTCTTCTTGTCCCTGCCAACTGGTAATTGAATGCTTGTTTCATTTTTCCTGTAGGTGTATGTCAATGGAAATCGCTTTTTGGAGTACAAGCACCGTGTTGCCCTCAAAGAAATCCAGACCTTGGAGGTCAAAGGTGATGTCTCAGTGAACCGCTTTGAATTTTCTGAGATTAAAGTGAGTTGGTTTTTCTCCTCTTTCGTCCTTAGCTTAAACTTGCCAGTCTGGTTTATGGGGCATCTAACGTGGGAAACAGCCATTTGTCAAAGAAATGAGGCTCCCCAAAAATAATTTGAGGAGGCCCTCACCTTTTTACTTGCAAAATTCTGGACAGGATATTAATGATTTCTGGGAGAATGCCTGATTTCTGCTTTTAAGTGATTCAGCACAGAGTTGGAAAAGATGGATGAGACTGCATAGCAGTTTCAGGTCTCTGAGGATGAAAAGTTGAAACAAGAAAACAGTTATGATGCAAGTGGCTGGATTTCTAAAGCTTAGTCCCCACTATCTGAAGCCATGCACTTTTCAACATCTGCTCTCATCCCCTGGTATCTATATTTTTGTGTTCCAGGCTCCACCCCCTTACAGCCCTCCTAATTCTGGTGACACCACATATAACAAAGTAAGTCAGTCCCCTGTGTTTATTTGTACTTCTCTCCCAATAATGGATGGAACTGGTAAAGATTTTTCAGTAAGCTCAATTCTGCACATGAGTTTATAATTTTTTTAAAAAAGTCCTCATGAAGATTCATTAGCAGTTTAATTGAATTTATTGTGATATGCATATGTGTGTACAATTTTGCCTGATGGGGTTTTTCCCCGCAAAGCAACTTCCCCTAATAGAATGCACATTCTTGTGTTGTTGTTTTTAAAAATATACTATATGCATCTTTGTACACATTATTTGGCTTGGAAACTGCACTGCAATATTTGGAAAAGTGGCTTTCAAAGAATGCCCGTGTTTTGGTTTGCGTACCCTTTAGGAAACTGTGAATTAGGGAGGTTCACTTTGTGAGTGCAAACTGAATCAGATTTCTCCCCCATGCCAGCCAATACAGTGTATCCTAACTGAGATTGCAGCTCTGCCTTCCATCTCAACACAGCCTGCAGGGCTTTACCATGATGTCCAGAGGCATATTTCCCCCTAAAAGGTCACTGCCTCTGCTGGATAACAAAAATTTGGGATTTCTTTGGGTTTGTTCAGAGCAATTATCCTTAAAAAAACAAACAAAAAACTTTGCTTTTACTCAACTTTTAATGCCATATGTATTGAGCACTGTAAGGGACGCGGGTAGCGCTGTGGGTTAAACCACAGAGCCTAGTGTTATGTACTGAAGTTCTCACCCTGGGCCAGCAGGGGGATACTGTAGATAGTTTTCACTCAGGTCCACATATGCAAATAAGGGATTGAAAGTGACTTTCAGTAATTGGATAGTTACAGAAAATGGTTACTGTTGCGTTCTAGTGGAGCTCTATATAAGCAGGCTGGCTGAACCCTTCAGTTCAGTTCTGTTCTGGCTTGTGAATAAACAAGAGCTGTTTGAAGAATGATGTGCCATCTGATATGTTCACCCACAACTTAACACCTAGGACTTGCCAATCAGAAGGTCGGTGCTACTTTCAAGGGACACGGGTGGTGCTGTGGATTAAACCACAGAGCCTAGGACTTGCCGATCAGAAGGTCGGCGGTTCGAATCCCCACGACGGGGCGAGCTCCCGTTGCTCGGTCCCTGCTCCTGCTAACCTAGCAGTTCAAAAGCACGTCAAAGTGCAAGTAGATAAATAGGTACCGCTCCGGCAGGAAGGTAAACGGCATTTCCGTGCACTGCTCTGGTTCACCAGAAGCAGCTTAGTCATGCTGGCCACATGACCCGGAAGCTGTACGCCGGCTCCCTTGGCCAATAAAGCCAGATGTGTGCCGCAACCCCAGAGTTGGCCATGACTGGACCTAATGGTCAGGGGTCCCTTTACCCTTTACCTTTATTGAGCACTGCAACAGCAATAAGCAGTCACCCCAGCCTCCTCATGGTTGGGCAAGCTTTGACCCCATTTCCTTTATGGCAGTCTTCCATAAGCCCACCTAGGTTGGTGATAACTTGGCATTGACTTCATTCTGTGCTTTTCTTTTGTCTCTGCCACTCAGCAGGAAGAGAAGCGTGCCCCAGAAGCAAAGTCAACCAAATAGTGAAGACCCAAGATGAGCCTGCGTGGTCCTTTGGAAAACGGAAGCCCTGGCTGGTTGGGTAAAGGGATGGGTGCTCTTTTCCTGACCTCACTGAGGATAGAGTTCATCTGTTATGTGTGGAATGAAGCAAGATTAAGTAGTGTCATAAAAACCAGTAGTTAGCAAAATATTTGCATGTTTTCTATATACTGTACTTTGTTATTGTTGGCTGTTGTGAGGGCAATGGGAGATTGCAAAACGACAAGGCTTGGGGAATAAACATTGTAAACACAAGTAAACCCAAGGCCCTTCAACAGTCACCACCAATGCTTTGTTACCAGCAGATCCTGCTAGCCGTCCTCAATACATTTCCTGGAAATCATTTGTCAGGCAAATGTTTGCAGACAAATCCACAATTTCCATTGATGTCTTTGGGAATCGGTTATCTCTGTCCACTCCTGCCATGGTTTGTTCCTAAAATGGCTGCAGCCAACCAGGTAAAGGGAAGCAAAGCAAAAAAACAGATTTGTCCAATCTCTCTCCCCACTCCCTTTCCCCACGGTTTCTGTCCAAAAATGGCTGCCACTGACCAGCCAAGCACAATGAGTGAGGAAGTGGGCAAACTCTGGCTTTTTGGATAACTGAATCTGTGGAGTGTATAGCGAGGTTTGGGCATGATTATTTCTGTTTGGATAAGTGAACTGGCAGATAGTGAGCAGGTGGACAGCAGGACCTGCATGTACTTTATGCTGCTTGTGTTTATGCTCGCTTTTAGGTTGCTTTTTTGTGCTGACTGGTAATTCCATTTTAATATTCTTCTGCTTTAATTTGTCATGTTAATAACTTTGTTAACCACCCGCAAAGGTGGTATAGAACTGAAACAAACAAGCTTGGAAATTTGAAATATATAAATAAAAGTGCTATATAAATAACAGAAAAGTGAAATGTGTGAGCCTTTAGGAATTATTGCATTACTTTTATGTGATTTCTCTAAAATGCATGTTACATCTGGGGCGATCCTCCTTTTGCCCATGCACAACCAGGAGCACACTTTAAGACTGCCATTTGTGCATTGGCAGCCATGTCAACTGTTGGGCCGGTGGACGTGGTTTGGGGGAGGAAAGGATTCGTAGGCCATATTGGGACCAGCAGCCAGCTTTACACTATAAAAGATCAAACAGAGACTTTTGATGATATTAAGGTTGGCGGAGACCATTTTCAGCCCACATGCCAGGGGTAGATACGGCCTTCGGCAAAAGCGAGCAGAGCAGGAATTTAATGTTTGCCGTCCTCCGGTAGGCTAATTTCTGCACAAGCACACACCTGTGTTCTCCCTCCAGGAAAGGAAGTGGCATTATAGGAGTTCAGGGAGGCATTCCAGCCAGACAAAACACTTAAGGAGCGTTCATAGCGGGGCCAGAGAGAGATGTGGGGTTGTGGCTGGGTTTTTCAGAAGCAAGTCAGGCAAAGTTTGAACCTGCTGAGTCTACCACGATCTACAAAAATGCAAACGCAACACGCTGGCTAATAACTATTAGTGAATATATAATTGGTTATGATGTCATTCAAAATATACGAATAAGCCACATATATCATACAACACATCAATGAATAGCGAGGAACGCCAAGCCATCTCTCAATGGAAGACGTCTCACAAAAGTCTCGAAGGAAGATGTCTCTCAGAAGTCTCAAAAGGACAGTATATCAGGAATAGTTCAACTGTTTCGGAATAAAGTCTTCATCAGCTGGAAATGGAATACAAGGCATTGCAAGCAATGAATGACAACAAAACTGAGCAACCTGCATGTAAGTTATACAGTAGAACAAAATATATAAAGAGGTACATACTGAATAATTATCAATGAAATATACGTACTAGTAAGGATCATACTAGTGGATCAGTGTTCACTGGATAGTGTCGCTGCTGATGCTTGCAACACAAATGCGTAGGACATATAAAGTTGACCACAAGTGTCTCAAATAACAATTAATTGCAGACAATGTAAAGAAACTTAGAGGAACAGTACGTCAATTCCGGCATCACAATGCAAAGACAACCCATAAAGTGACAGACTTAAAACAGAACAGATTTGGATGGTTTTGAAATAGTATTTAAATACAACGGATTTTACGTAAAATAGATTTTAAATAAAACAATTGAAGTCGAGTTCTGAATTCAACCCCCCAGGATATGTGGATTTAAACAAATAAACGGGTTTCTTGTTGATGCAATAGCTGTTCAAAATCTCGCCCAACCCCACGTTTCTTCTGGTTCACCCATAGTACTGTACATAATAAATCTGTATCCGAATGGTGATGTGTGATGAAGTGTTCAACCAGAGGTGCCTTCACGAGGCTGTCAGGGACAAGACATATTCTATGATGGCCCCATATATTTGGAATTAATCTGCCCAAGCCCCCACTTTGGACCCTGCAGACTCATTGTTTAGTTTTCCCCTGAATGATTTTATGGCAGACCTGATGGATTGGATGGATGGATCCTGGTCGCAAGAATGTGGAATAGCTGCCTGGGAGCTAGATTGGTGTGTGTCTGTATCCAGAGCTGTAGAAGTGACAGTCAGTGTTATCTTTGACAATACAAACTTACCGTATTTTTCGCTCTATAGGACGCACCCGACCATAGGACACATCTTGTTTTAGAGGGGGAGAACAAGAAAAAAAAAATCTCCCCCTGTCTGCTCAGCGCCCCTTCAGCGAAGCGGCAGGAGAAACGGAGCCCCTTCCATTTCTCTTCCCGCTTGGCTGAAGGGGCCCGGCACAGCTCTCCCTCTCTGCTGAAGCCAGGAGAGTATTGCTCTCCCGGCTTCAGCCAAAGGAACCCGAAGCCTCTGGCTATCCCTGAAGCCTTCGGAGTGCAGCACGAGTTCTCGCTGCGCTCCGGAGGCTTCGGGTTCCTTTTGCTGAAGCTGGGAGAGCAAGACTCTCCTGGCTTCAGCGAAAGGAACCTGAAGCCTGCGGGGCACAGCAGGAACTCGCGCTGTGCTCTGAAGGCTTCAGGCGGCTATCCCTGAAGCCTGGAGAGCGAGAGGGGTCGGTGTGCACTGACCCCTCTCGCTCTCCAAGCTTCAGCGAAAGCAGCGTGAAGCCTCCAGAGCGCTTCGGAGGCTTCGTGTTGCTATCGCTGAAGCCAAGGAGCCTGCATTCGCTCCATAGGACACACACACATTTCCCCTTAATTTTTGGAGGGGGAAAAGTGCGTCCTATAGAGCGAAAAATACGGTAACTCTGCTGTATGCATTCCTTTGAGTGCAAAGTGCCCTTGGCACTTCCCCTGCTAGCTTGGCCAATGGACAGGAATGTTGGGAAGTGTGGAGAAATACTGTATACAGTGGTACCTCGGGTTAAGTACTTAATTCGTTCCGGAGGTCAATTCTTAACCTGAAACTGTTCTTAACCTGAAGCACAACTTTAGCTAATTGGGCCTCCTGCTGCCACTGCGCCGCCGGAGCACGATTTCTGTTCTCATCCTGAAGCAAAGTTCTTAAACTGAGGTACTATTTCTGGGTTAGCGGAGTCTGTAACCTGAAGCGTCTGTAACCTGAAGCGTATGTAACCTGAGGTACCACTGTATATCTCTCTGTGTATGTTTGCAAACGCGTTAGAAAGGAAAAAGTTGTTCCCCACACCCACACATGTAGGGCGACTGGAAATAATCAATCAATCTGGAAATAAATTAAACTTCAGTTAGTAAGAATTTTGGGTTATGAGGCTCCACTGCTTCCAACTATATTTTTATTGAATTATTTGGGAGGGTCAATAAAGAAACAACACAAAGAAAGGATTTTTTTCTTCTTTGCTAGCAATGGCTGGAATCTTCTAGGCCAGTAAATGAAGAGGAAAAACAGCCCCAAAGGTCAAAGAATGTCAAAATATGAGGCTATATAGCAGTGTCTTTCATTTCCAATAGGTTGAACCAACCCTAGCACTTTTTATAAGTGAAGAATTCACAAATACTATGGCCCAATGTGTTGTTTTTACATAAGGTTTCCTACCAGTCTTGGTCTAAATCAGGAACAACCAACACAGAGCCCTCCTGATGTTGGGACTATAGCTCCCATTACTCCTGACCACTGATTATGCTGACTAGTTAGGGCTGATGGGAGTTGTAGTGGGACACCATCTGAAGGGCACATTGTTGGCTTCTCCTGGTTTAAATGGTAGGTGGTAGGCGGCAAAGGGGTTTTCTGGAAACCTACCAGAACCTGAACCCTTTGCACCCACTTTTCTCTCTCATTGCAAGCTGCCGCACTTCAAAAATGCAGACTGGCTTCTTGCTTTATGGCTCATATTCATAAGTTGCTTCTTCTGCCCAGCAGAGTGTGCTACACCATTCACCATGTGAACAAATTTCAATATTATTACTATTTCTGAATGCTTTTTTTACATCTGAACACATCCACAAGGTGTGCCAACCTTAAAAGACACAAGGAGTTGTCAATTAATGGGGCATATGCTAACAATTTATCTCTCAAGAACTTTGTGTTGAAGTTCAAACGGCCTTTCAAACCCTTTTCCTCATGGCAGTCACCTCACTTCTATGCGTAACCACAGAGTTCTGTGTTCAGAACCCAATTCTTTGCAGACAGCTTCTGTCGAGAGCACTAGTTTCGACGAAAGTAACAATTTTCACATGTCATCCTAGGACAGAATGCAGGACTTTACTCATGTGTTTGGAAGCTTGTACTGCAATGCGCTCTACGTGGGGCTACCTTTGAAGGTGACCCGGAAACTGCAATTAATCCAGAATGCGGCAGCTAGACTGGTGACTGGGACTGGCCGCCGGGACCACATAACACTGGTCCTGAGAGATCTGCATTGGCTCCCGGTACGTTTCCGAGCACAATTCAAAGTGTTGGTGCTGACCTTTAAAGCCCTAAACGGCCTCAAAGGCCCAGTATACCTGAAGGAGCGTCTCCACTTCCATCGTTCAGCCCAGACACTGAGGTCCAGCGCTGAGGGCCTTCTGGCGGTTCCCTCATTAGGAGAAGTGAGGTTACAGGGAACCAGACAGAGGGCCTTCTCGGTAGTGGCGCCCACCCTGTAGAACACCCTCCCTTCAGATGTGAAGGAAATAAGCAGCTATCTTCTCTTTAAAAGACATCTGAAGGCAGCCCTGTTCAGGGAAGTTTTTAATATTAATGCTGTACTGTTTTTAACATTTGATTTGGAGCCGCCCAGAGTGGCTGGGGAAACTCAGCCAGATGGGCGGGGTATAAACAATAAATTATTATTATTATTATTATTATTATTATTATTATTATTATTATCTGTGGAGAAGAAAGCAATGAATCAGAGTTGCTTTCTGAACAGACTGGATCCAACCATTCTTCCATCCTGTCGCATATGGAACAAAGTTTCCCTGCTCTTCTAAAACTGGTTGTCCAGGGTTTTTTTGAAAATAATAATAAAATCTCAAAATGGCATGCTTTGTTTCTAAATGAATGAATGAACAGCTTTGATGGATGCAAATTTTCATTTGCTAGCATCTCACCACCCTTCACATGCAAATATCCTGACATGCTATTTTTCCCCAGTACGTGAAACCATATTTCATGTATTGTTGGTCAAACTTTCAGTAGTTGTGTTCTTTCTCTGCTTTCTGGGGTTATTCACAGGATCATCTTCTGCGTCTTCTACTACTTTCTTTTGCTTTCAAAACCTATTTTCCTTCTCTGTCACCTGCCTTTATTTCTCCTACCTTATTGCACTTCTTGTCCTCTGTCACCTGTCTTGGTTTTGTTTTCCTCCTTTTTCTTTGCCTCCTTGCCCTTTCTCGGCACTTTTTCTGCTGCCACTCTGTCCCTTGTCTCACCTTCTTTCCAAATCCTTTATCCCCCCCCCATTTTTTAAAAAATAATTTTTATTAAATTTCCAATTAACAAACCAATCATATCACATTAGTTCCAAATTATACCAGT